TGAAATTGGTGGAATAAATGGGGGATAATTGGGGATATTTGGGGAAAATCAGGAGAAATTTGGGATAATTGGGGAAAATCAAGAGAAATATGGGATAATTGGGGAAAATCAAGAGAAATATGGGATAATTGGGGAAAATCAAGAGAAGTATGAGATGGAATTGGGTAAATAAAAATTTAAGAAGAATCATTTTAAATATATGATGGATAGGATAATTGGAAAAAAAAAAAAAAAAAAAAAAAAAAAGACAACCCCGGTTGTTGCCCCCGCCTCCCGAATCTCAACCCGGCTCTGCCAAAGTACACTGATTCTCTAATTGACACCCGTTGAATCTTATATATCCGACATGGAGACTGAGATCGTCAGTCATTAGACCACCTCTTTCCGTCGTGGAATTGTACGATATGACCGCGGCCGTATCCCGCTCGCTTAATTCCAGCTGCAATTAACCGAACAGGTAACCGAACAGGTAACCGAACAGCTGACCAGAATGGCCTCATCGTATGTTTTCTTCGAGAATGCTCGTTTGGGATCGTTTGTCCTTTTCCGGGGTCCAAACCTCCGTTTTTTACCTGTTTGAGAAGCTCAGACAAGGTCTGCATTTATACAGGCTGTGGTTGACTGGACGCAATAAAGAACAAAAAATAAAGGTCAAAAGATCGAAATCAAAATCAAAATCAAAATAAAATCAAAATCATAAAATCAAAATCAAAAAAATTGAAGAATTAAAAAATCAAAAAATCAAAAAATACAGATGGTGTGTCTCATGCAGCTTTGGCCACTCAAACAACGCCCCCAGTGGTCTAGAGCAAGCAAAAAGAAATTGAGATCGAGGGCCCCATTTCGGGTGGTCACGTGACGTCCGCCTGCCCCATCACCATGTTCCATGTTCCACTCCTCGATCGCCACCGTCCTACCGTCCTACCGTATCGTGAGATCTCCACAAAATTCAATCTTATTGATCGAAAAGAAAAAAAAATAAGACTAAAATGAATTAATGTCTTGACGACACAATTGGCCCATTGTATGCAGCGGTCTGCCGTTTTTTGCATGCGGGTTGAACTTTGGGGCGGTGATTGATAAATGGGAAAAAGGGGAAATAAATGGACGATGGACGATGGACGATGGACGATGGACGATGGACGATAGAAGATGGAAGATGTACCATGGACCATGAACAATGGACCATGGACGATTGAAAGACCACAGCTCAACCCACTCTCCCCCCAACCAAAACTCAACCAAATGACCTTACACGCACAGTGGATCTACTGCAGTTCCATACAGTAAAAGGGGCGTTTGCGTATGGAGGAGTGTGTGTATCCGACATTGTTTTTTCGTTTCTTCCTTAGTTTTTGCTCTTTTCTCTTGATCGGATTCGCTGTGACGTCATTCATTTGCCAACGATTTGTGACACGGCTGTTCGATCTTTAGCAGGTGTAGAGTCTTCCTGGATCGGAGCAATGAAAAAAGCAATGCCAATAAATTGGGGGAAGAGTCGACCAAAGTTTCACCGGTGACCGCCCCAATCTATTGTATCGTTCATCTGTATCGCTCATTTGTATCGTTCATCCCTTGTGCTAACGTCAGTCCCCACCACTTGTTCATACTGTACTTCTCAACACATTATGCGTACATTACCGTACCTGTGGATGTGCGCACTTTAGCCGCTGAGACGATTCGGCTTTTGATCTCTTCCGTTACGACTTCGGTATGAGTGGGTGGAGGGGAGTGCGGATACAGTATGGAGTTTGCTGGGGCGGGAGAGGAGGGAGAGTTTTCGTGGAAGAGTAGGAGAGTTTTCGTGGAAGAGTAGGAGAGTTTTCGTGGAAGAGTAGGGGAGCTCGCTGGAGTGGAAGAGTAGTTTGTCATTTGTCCTTTGTCATTCGTCATTCGTTATTCGTCATTCGTCACTCGTCATTCGTCACTCGTCATTCGTCACTCGTCATTCGTCACTCGTCATTCGTCACTCGTCACTCGTCACTCGTCTCACGTCTCACGTCGCCTCACGCCTCACGTCTCATCATTCGTGCCAACCATACTGTACATGACGGCAAGGCAAGGCAAGGCAAGGCTTTTCTTGTTTTAATTCTGCGAAACTTGCTCACCACCAACCCGATGGAGTTGGTTTCCACAGTTTGAATCTCAGCCAACCGAGAACCACATTCGCTGGGATGAAAAGACGTTTCCAGCCCCAATTTCGGTCCCGAAAGCCGTGCTGTTCGTTCGATTGAGCCCCGGGAGCAACGCCGGAGCCTGGCAACTGTCTCCCTGCCCAATCTGCCACGTCTGCACTTTCTAGGGCTGGCAAAGGGCCCGGTGCATGTTCTTGCGTCGAGTGAGGGCATACGAGAAGAAAAGGGTAAAAATAAAAAGGGGAAAAACAAAAAGGGGGAAAATAAAAAGGGAAAAAAAGGGTAAAAATAAAAAGGGCAAAAAGAAGGGCGAAACAGGGCCTAAAAAAGGGCAAAAGGCCTAGAAAAAGGGCATAAAAAAACAACAAAGAAGGACCCAGAAGCGCAAAAGGACAAAACCAGCAAAAAAGCAATTCGATCAACCCCATTACAAAGCCAAGATGTGGGATTAAAGCGTATACGGTGAAATGAAGTGCAAACGTGAGTGTGACAGATTTCACTCGGGTTCATGGGGTTGAACAAAAATCGGACGAGCAGAGAAACCAACAACCAACCCAGTTTCGTAGCCTCCGGTTCGCTAACTCTCGCTTGTCGCTAACCCTCGCTTGCTGACCCTCGCTTGGAGTTTGCTTGTTTTCTCGCTTGCCGGATCGAGGACGCTTGTTTGCCGGCGCCGCGAGTGGATCAAGAGGGGCGTCGAAGGTGGTTATTGACCATTACCACGTCCTGGGGTCCCAAACGGGTCTCGATGAGTCCAAATTTCTTGTCCGAAACGAGTCTCGGTAAGCCCAAGTACCCCAACTAGTCTCACCAACGTGGACCCGAGCCCCAAAATCGCCGCTGTGAACCCGGAAATACCAGCCGGAGATGCGGAGCCCCAACACATGATCTCACCAGCCACATTCACCACAACTTTCTGCACTGGTGCCTCCTGGGCTTTGTCTCTTTGTTATGTGGAGAATAGACAGGACTGCAGTAAGAGTAGACCGTAGGACCAGACGAGACTGGCGACAGAAAATGCTACAGAGAAACAGAGAAAATGTGGACTTGACCGCTAGGTTCGCAGCGCGTTTCTGGGCACATTGGAACTTGTTTGGTCTCTCCACGGGCTCTAGATCCCAGTTTGGGCTCCTGTATCCCACTCTTCTCAGCCCCTTAGCAAAAGTCTTTGTTTTTATTTGATGGCAATTATCAACCGTCGCGAGGAGATGAATCAGGCAAATAAATAAATAATTGAGACAGTTCAGACAATTGACCAAATGAACCGCCTGAATAATAACACATTGGCGCAACTCCTACGAGGGTGCTACTTGTAGGGCGGCAGAGATAACCCCGTTCAGAAATTCACCCAAACTCATCCGTTAATTTTCAACTTTTATTCAGACATTCAGATGGAGATTTCGAAAATGAAAAATTGAGACTCTGAGAAAATAAATAATTCCAGTTCTCTCATTCCAGTTCTCCCATTCCAGCTCTCCAATTCCAGTGCTCTCATTCCAGTTTTCTCAATAATTCAGATGCCCAAAAATAATTCCACATCCCCCATTCCTTCCATTCAAATCACTTGTCTCACGCACACTTGCACTTGTTTCAATACATACCAATTGAATCGCAACACAATAAAATACCGGCTCTTGTACAATGTAGTCGAACTTGTTCCTCATTGCGTATATCTCTTTGTGTGCCGCCCTGATTTTCGACTCAAGTTTCGGCTTTTTTCCAGCCTGTTTTAAAAGAATTGACAATTAAGAAAGGAAAAATCAAATAACCGAAATAAATCAAATAAACGAAATAAATCAAACAAAAACAATTACCAATAAATCAAATAAAACAATTATCAATAAATCAAATCCCAGCAGTAATTGCCTCTCTGGTAAATGTCTCACCAGGTCTCACCTCCCAATATCACACAATTTGAGGGGTTCAACAATCAATATCAGCCCCAAATTTTCCAAACAATCATTTCCATTTACATACCCATTATTTTCCATTTCTTTATAATTCATTTCCCAGTTCCTCTTTTATTCCATTGTCTCCCAAACACTTACTTGTACCACCGTGGTGATATGGGCTGATCTGACGCAGAACCACACTTGGGGAGGTCGCCAAGCACCACGAATCCAGAACTTATTTATGTTTATTTTTATTTTTATTTTTATTTTTATTTTTATTTTATTCCACATCTGCCATTATGTCAACCGCCCAATCACCCCGTATAATATTCCACACAGGCAAGGTGTGGAATACTCGCCAATTCTCCTGCCAGCAAATGCACTCCTGCACCCTCATGCACAATATGCACCCATCTGCACCCTCATGCACACTCAAGAAGCGTGAACCTTCGGCCCGAAATTAGCTTGCCGAAATGTAGGACCAAAACCTCCGACCATCTGTGGCTATTTAGCTCGTTAGTTCGTGGTAGATCCGCCGACATGTCGTCACGTGTAGACGTTCAACACCCCCGATTTCCCGATCTCACGTGATCGCCACGTGACCGTCGGGGGTTTTCTTCCGGCGGGGAAAAATGCACGCGGGCCTCACATATTTGTGTGTGTGCCACTTCCGTATTGCCGAAACCTGCCCGTTTGATTTTTCATTTATGCAAACCCTAATTTCTAGAGCAACGAACCGTAACCATACGTCTAACCGTAACCCTATTTGCACCTGATGCAGGCATGGGTCAGATTGTATGTATAAGCGAAACAAAGAAGCTGAATTAAACCCATTATACAACTGAAAAATGGGCCCAAACGCGAGACAAAAAAAAAGCGTCATGTATCCACTCCATCTCTCTGTGGGGTTATATATATATATGTTGAGTGTCCCCCTGGATCCGCCTAAATCACTCCTCTCCAATTCCTCACAATGACGTCATTGCCTTCTCTATCGGTTCTCAACCTGCCTGAGCCCGTCATGAATCCCGTGGCCCAGACCCAGAAACAGACGGCTCCCCATACCCATTCGCACTTGACATACACCCATCTTCCTGTTCCCGTGGGCGGATCTGGAGGGAATGGTCTCTCTCAGTATTCGTTTGACACGAAACCGGCGTCTGTCCCTGGTCACAACATGACCAAGGTGGTCCACAACATGACCAAGGTGACCCCAAACGTTGGCAATGTCACCCACAACGTTGGCAATGCCACTCACAACGTTGGCAATGTCGCCCACAACACTGGCCAAGTTGTTAGCAACCCCAGTCATATCACCAACACGGTCAACCTCTATCAAATTCCCTACTCGGCACCAACTCCCCCCTCAATGAACCCTCCAACTCCCACTCCCTCGGAGCTCCCTGCCAGTCCCGCGACTCAGCTCGATAGCCCCGCCACCTCGCCACCCATGGTAACTCTCTCTCAGCATCAGCACCCCCAGCAGACGTATCCTACGTCGGTACCTCACGCTCCGACCACAATGCTGACTCCTCTATACACTCCCGAGGCTTCGCGACGCAATTCGACCGAAAAGGAGTACTTTGGGGTCTTGTCGCAAAACATGCCCCAGAACATGCCCCAGAACCTCCATCTCCACCAGCAGCATATCCAACAACAGTTGCAACAGCAGCAGATGCACCAGCAGCAACAACAGCAACAATACTACCCCCATGGCTATCGACAAGCGTCCTTGTCACCGCCCCAGCACTACCACTGGGACAACCAGCCTCAAATGGTGGGCCTGGCGCCCTCCCACGAGCTCAAGCAGAAGATGCACAAGCGTCAGGTGCGAAAACGGACCAAGACGGGCTGTATGACGTGCCGCAAGCGTCGCATCAAGTGCGATGAGGCCAAACCCTCCTGTTTCAATTGCGCAAAGTCCAAGCGAGATTGCATGGGTTATGCCCTGGTTCCCATGTAGTTTTGCGTCCATGAAGGGGGGGGCTGTTACAGCACCCAAAATGTGACCCTTCTGTCACGTGATATTTATATTTATTCTAGCATAATTGCATTATTTATTCTCCTGAATTGGTTTCTGGGTAACCCGTTGTTTTTTGTTTGTTTTTCCGTCATTTTGTTTTTATTTATTTACTATTTTATTTTTCGCCGTTTTTCGCCGGTCCGCTTATCGTGAAATATTTCCCGAAATATGCAGTGTGTGCATAAAATATGCGAGTATATGCACCCATGTCAATTGTTCGGCTAATCCTGCCTCTTTATCAAATGGGGGCATTTACGCGATCCACTCGCAAACATAGCCTGGGCCACTTTCCTGAAATAGATGTTTGCGCAACTTTTGGCGGCGATGAGATGCGATGAGTTTTTAGTGGCATTTTAGCGAGAGTTAATGGTTTGGATTGGGTGTTTTATTCGGGGTAGAATTTAAAAATTACTGAAATTGAAGAAAATAATAAATTGAGAAATTAGGAAATTAGGAAATTTGAAAATTAATAAATTCGGGAATAGAAAACTAGCAGAAAAACAGAAAAAAAATTGGACTCATGACTCATGACTTTGAGAAAATTAGTAAAATGGATTAAAAACGGCCTGATTTTTCGTAGACCGCCTCGAACCTGTCGGTCTCCATCTCTGCTTCTCTGGTCAAAAGCCGAGGTCCTGCGGCGCGCAAATAGCATTTCGGTAATCAACAGGTGAGCCTCGACTGAGCCACAATTCTTCCAGCACTGCGCCACACATAGACACATACAAGGCTGCCAAAAGAAAATACCGAGCAATCTGGGCGTCGATTCGGGGAAAAAGAAAAAAGAAATGCAGGCGGAAAGAGGGCAAAAGCCGAACTCACGGAGGGGTAGCGGGGTATGACATCATGGGATTTTCATATTGCGGATTCTTGTGCAGATTGGGATGAGTCAACCAACTTTGAGCCAACAGTGAACAGAGGTGGATCCAGGAAGAGATTTGCGGAAATGGAGGCGATAATGGAATGGTGGCATCTGGAGAATACGATTGGGCTTTTCAGCGGTTGATTCGGAGCCATCTTGAGTATTTCGACACCGTCATGTGCGTTCGATAGTAGATCGTTGGTGGTCTGTGAGATAGATGGTGGTCTGTGAGATAGATGGTGGTCCACAAGATAGATGTGGACGTGTCTCTCACGTACAGTAAAGTGCTCCTACCGATATCAGTAGTTATCGTACAACTTGTATGCTTCTGGTCAGCTGCCAAACCAGCTGAGGGATTTATCCACAGCTAGATCTAAGCCGTACCTGCAACGATGGCCACACAATGTAGCTACAAAAGCAACGGAAAAAGCAACGATCCAGCTACTTCGTGTCGACGTTCAAGTGGGGCAGATATTAATAGAAATCTCTGCTGTCTGACGCCTTGATGGATATATGGCGCAATTGTGGTGGACACCGGCATCAGGCCATTGTGGTCTTCTTTGTATTCGTGAACGGCAGTTGTAGTCGGCTGGTGAACGGATGCGGTAGATAAGGAATGTGTCGGAGAAATCGGAGTTTGGCAGAGTGAGACATGGTCATTTGGCAACCGAGTGGCGGACTCCGAATCAACGTCTCCTCAAGTTGGAGCGCTTTGTCACCACCGGCATGTCTATGCTGAAGAGAAGGGCTGAATGGCGACAGTCAGATCACGTGGCCAACGAAATTGCAAGTTACCTGTGAGAGAATCGGGAAACTGTTATTGGTTTCGAACCATTCAATCGGATTCAGTCGGTTTCAGAGTGTTTAGAAGAGGCCAATCTCTGCTGGTGCGAGCGTTGATCAAGGACATTGACAGGATGTGATTTAGGAGCAACCAGCATCGAAAGACTTGGCCACTGGTGTAGAAACAAATCGACAAATTGACAAGCAGGACGAACAAGACGAATTTCGACTATTGAAGATACTCCACCATATGTACAGTATGTATATAGACATGTTGCTGTTTTGGATCTTGCAATGAGGTTAGAATGGAATATAGAGCTCATAGACCAAAGTGGAGTTGATAGAAATGACAAAAACCTCTGATATATCTGGAATCCCAACTTTTCCTGTTTACCTGAGTCCCATCAATGCTCCTTTCAAGTGCCGTGTCAATCCGGGCATCGTACGTTGAACCTGACAGGTGCTAGAGATGGTACGAGCAGCCTTACTGGAGAAGAGAACTGCCGGTCAATCTACCTACATGAGCCCAAAGGGAACACGTGAACTTTTCTGTCTGTCAAAATACTTTCCAAGACAGTCATGTAACCCGCAACATCTCTGGTCTGTGTGGACCTTCTTGGACTTCCCTCGCTCCTGCCTGATACTGAACGGAAACAACTAAGACCAAGCAAACGATTTCTACCTGACCCCATTCGCCCCTCGATGGTCATATCTACATCCAATCTCGGTACTTGTAACAATAACATTAAGGGTATGGTGATATGTAAAAGGCGCTTCCCGCCGTGTCGTGCGAGGTCTAGTTGTCGCGGTAAAACTTTCTGAAAATGAAATGAAGCAGCAAGTTGGTGTTCATCTTGACCATGTCGTCAAACAGGTTGACCAGCTGCTGGTTGTTGTACTGCTGTGACAGCAGATCGTCGAGAGTCAGAGTGGTGGTGGCTCCAGGAAGAGCAATGCCGCCGTAGGCAGCCTCCACTGTAAAAACTCCAACCTCGTCGGACGAAAAGGTGAACATGACCTTGTCCTGGGCCTTGTCCTGGTATCCGTTGAGCTCCACAAGAATTCCCTTCTGCATCAGAGCCTGAGCAGAGTAGACAAAAGAGCCAAACTTGGGCACCTTGCCAGACTTTTGCAGCTCTCTCTGATGGAAGTACTGCTTGGTAAAGGGCAGAACAAGACCCTTTCGCTTGCCCTTCTTGGTCTGAAGAGTCGCCATGGCCTGCTCGATGTAGTCATTGTAGTTCTTGAGCTGCAACTGCAGGTAGGCTTCCTTCTCCGACAGGCCCTGGAGAGTTAGAGCAATAGAATCCAGCTCCGCATGTCGAGCAAGACGTCGGTTCTTCTTCGTCTTGATATCCTGCGCAATGGAGTTGACAATCTCCTGGTAGTTGTTGGCTCGGGAAATCTTCCCAAGAGTCTCCAGCTCAATCACCTTCTCCAGAGACAGCAGCTTGAGGTCTCTGTAGGTCATCTGGGAGAACTGGTGCTCCGAGGGCGAGTTACAGAGTCGGTGGAGCGACCGCGACGACTGCGACGAAGATGTGCTCTTGGTCATCTGCTCTTCAGATTCCCGCTTTCGTCTCTCAATAGCCTCCTCGGTCAGAATGGCTCTGTATTTGTCCTCATGAGACTGGTTGACAGGAGCCAGCAGAATATCCAGAAGAGAGGCACCGGTCTGGACTCGAATCACGTACAACAGGTACCGTTTCGTTTCGACCAGCATGGTATTGTAGGCCGATTCAGAGTCGTCTCCCTTGGCGAAAATGGGGTTCAGATCCAGCTTGACTTCGGTGAATCGAGCCATGTTGAGCACCTCGGTAGCTGAAGACGGCAGAGCTCCCATATCGGTGACCACCTCTCGAAGAGGATCCTTGGCATCAGGAGCCACGGTCTCGATTTCTCTGCAGATGAGATTGTGAATGACAAAAATGTCGTTGGTTCGCAGGAACAAAGTAGGACGCTTGGTGGCCGTCACATCGTCAGTCGTGGAAGTCTCATAGTACTGCTCCGGGTCACAGACGTCAACAACAAGTTTGAGCATGGCCCGAACTCGAGGCTGGGTCTGCTTGATGTAATCGTTGAGAGGCTGGAGGTAGACGTTCTCCCGTGAGAAAAGCCGAAGAGACGCAATCTGGGCCAGCATCTTGGCCACCTCGCCGAGGTTTCGTCGCTGAGCAGGTCCAATGGCAGACTCACACACTCCATAGTCGTCAGGAGCAACAATGGGAGGAATGACAAACAGAGAGACAAGAACGACTCCAATCACGGCCAGGTGGCGATCCTCAGACTCGTGGGGGAACGTCTTCTGCACAGATCGGTAACACTCTCGGGCAACGTATCGCACATGGTAGGGCAGTTGAAGAACAGATGATTCGATGGTATGCAAAAACTCGGAGGTGAGCTCTCGAAGACGCTGCAGGTTGGCAATGAACGTCTGTCGAGTCTCGGGGTCCTGGATAGCCTCATCTACAGGTAGGTTGGGGTCACGTGCAGAAGTTCGGCCACTGGCTAGCTCCTCCTGGTTGATCAAAGATCGGTAGATGGCAATGGGGTCGCTCTCGAGGTCCAGCATGTGCTGGTCAACAACGGTGCTTACGTGAGGGCCGAGAAGAGACTTGAGCAGCTTCTTGGGAGCAGCTCCTCGGTTGAGTGCCGCAAACAGACGCTGCCACATGTGCTTGTCTCGGACCATGTTCTTGGACGCGTCCAACGTGGAAATGTGAGCTGCCGCCGATCGCGAAATCAGCTTCAACAGAAAAAACTCTTCTCGGCGTCTCTGAGCATGTGCAAAAATGTTCATGGTCAGCGTCTCCACGTTCTTCATGTCCTTTTCTGGAGTGGAGGAGATTCGACCAAACAACCGGGTCAAGTAAGTTGGCCGTGTCTGAAGAAGGTAAAAGAAACCCTGGTAGAGCTCAAGACGGTGCCTTGAGGTTTTGTTGAGTGCCTTGAGGTTGAAAACGTCGCCATTGTCAATCTGAGGAACCGCAACACCCTTATTTCGAGTTCGAATGAGCTCATCCAAGGTGATCTTGTTCTTCACAAGCAGTGCAATCTTAACGTCCAGGTTCTGAATGAACTGCTCCAGCTGCTCATTCTTATGTACCTCGTCGGACACCTGCTTTCGCTGCTTCTCTAAAGTCACTTCCTCCTCGAAATCAAAGTCAGAGTCGTTTAGAAGATGCACAAACTTCTTGACAGTCGACAGAGGAGGGTCTGGAGAAGAAACCAGCGACTTGTAGGCATCTCCCTGGGTTCGGGCTCGCAAGTACGACTGGATCTTGATCACCTTGTCCATGTTTCGGTGGAAATGAGCCATTCGATCATTGTGTTTGGTTCGAACAAGTGCTGCTCGACATGCGGCCTGCAGCATAATGATACTGGGCTCCTCGTCAAGGAACTCTTCGATCATGAGAGAGTAATCGAAACGGGCAAGAACACCCCAAATGACCGTCTGCAGCTTGGTGACGGAAGAAGAAGCTCTATCCAGCCGCTCATGGAACCGAGCAAGCTGGTTTCGAACAATTCCAGCACGTACCGCGCTCTGGAGAGTCAGAACAGCTCCATGTTGACCGTTCAACACAGCCATCTTCTCGTTGATTACGTTTCGGACCAATCCTCCTCGAGCAGCGCACTGCAGCTCGCAAACGTCCTCAGAGATAGCTCTCAAAGCAGCCCTCTTGGCACCGACCTCCTGTCTCACCATCCATCCTCTGATCAACGACTGCAATTCAATCACTCCAGAAGACATGTCCAGCATGTGATTGGAGGTGGAAATGGTGGAAGACCGGACTTGAGAGCCTCTAATGACGCTCTGGAGGGTTGTGATTGCATGGGACTCGGATTGTAGAGCTCGAGCGATGTTGTCAAGCTCCTCTCGAACCGAATTTCCTCTGGAAATCGCCTGAAGCTCAGAAATAGCGTCACAACAGTTGCCCAACTCAGCCTTGGTCTTCAAAATAGCTCTTCTGACAACAGAACCTCGAATGATAGATTGAAGAGTGGTCACGTCGCCCAAATCACGTGACGACGTCTGTCGAACGACGCCTGCACGCACCTTGTTGCCCCTAGCAACAGACTGAAGGGTGACAATCTGAGACTCGGCAAAGGAGAGTCGATCGAGTGTCTTTTGGAACTGCTTTCTCGACAAATAACCTCTCAGAAGAGCCTGGACCTTAGTGACGTCGGAGGAAGATCTTGAGACCGCTCCCTGTTGAACCACAAAGGTTTGTCGGGGTCCCAGAGCTCTGATCAGAGATTGGAGAGCAATAATGGACTGTTCAGCCTCCTTGAGCTGTCTTTTGGTATCGTTGAACTCCCTTCTGGCGAGGTAACCAAAGCACAGAGACTGTAGTTCCTCAATATTGTCGTTGGCCTCGCACAATTCTCGGACCATGATTTCCTCCTCGCTCTCCTCGGGTTCCACGTGCTCCGGCTCGGGAGTCTGTTCCTCCATGCCGAGCTCCTTGTTCATGGACGAGAAATTGGGCATGCGGACACCGAGATTGTCGAGGCCACGTTGTGTTCGGGCGAGCTCTTCGTCTGAGAACTCCAGCTTACCCACGAGGTTGCTCATGGGAGGAGCCACACCCTCGACGTAGAGGGCGTAGGCAATGGCGTGAATTGTGTAGATGACTCGAGGGATGTTCTTTTTCTCGTAGAGATCGGTGAGTTCGAAAGTGAAGAGATCGGGCATGCCGAGCTCGGAAACCAGGGCGAAAAAGTAGTTGATGTTTTCCGAGTGTCGAAATTGAAGGCCGGGTCCCTCGTAGATTCGTTTGACAAGGTGTGGAGCGACAGCCTGGGTCACTTTGGCGAGCGCAATACCGTTACGAAGGTAGTCTTCGAGTTGGACAACGGGAGGAAGAGTCATCTGGGTGACTTCTTCAATCCATCTGAGTTAGTACAAGTTCCACGGGAGTGGTGATGTTAGGAAGGTCAGAAGTAACAGAAGGAACAGACAGATTGGAATTGTTATCAGGTGGATTTGGGGCACTGGAGGGGCAAAAACGGTGTGGTTTATCCATGTCTCTGTCGATTGACATCAAATATACGTCCACCTGTAAGGGATCTAGCCACGAGCGACTGGTTCACTGTCACTCCATCAGATGCGCTCAAATTCGCTCCCCCCTCCAAACCCACTCCACCATCCCACTTACTTCAGTCACATTCGCTTCGCTCATGCGACTTGGACTTTGCCCATAACTCACTCTTTGCACGCCCCCACATAGCACAAATACTCATAGGCAGCCAGGTTTTTTCGCTGCATGTCCATCCAGTTGTGTTTCTCGTCCTCCAGCTTCATCAACCGTACCCGGCCCTGCAGACCAATCACGTCTTCCTGGTCCACCGTCACGCCCGGCAGACGCAGGTTTTCAATGTCGTTGTTGGCGAGGTTGCGGAAATGGCTGGTCGACGACGACTTTAGAATCTTTTGGTTCCTCAGCGTGCCCGAGTTGATTCGGGCGTTGGACCGCGGTCGTAGCGGTTGTGGAGGCGCCTCGGCCCCCCCCAGCGTCTCCAAGTAGCGGCTTGCCACTCCCTTTTTGACCATGGCTGAGATGTGTACTGAATTGGCTAATTAACGCGGTCGTCGAGCGGGTGGTAGTTGTGTCGGTTCCGTAGATGGAGATGTTGCAAACCTTGACCGCTTGTTTTTTGGTAAACATGCACCTCTCCTATTATCACAACCTACTTTCCCGAAACGGCAACGTCCAAACAGACTGTAGCGAGGGCAATAAAGTTGCACCCCAAATGAAGATAATAATAACAACCGTGCATGGTCACGAGAACCAGGACGTAAATAGCGAGCGAGGCTGGGTGGTCACGTGACGGAGAAGACGAGAATCCGGGTGTTTGTAGGTATCTCCGGGTGTCTCCGGGTGTCTCCGGGTGTCTCTGGGTGTCTCTGGGTGTCTCCGGGTGTCTCCGGGTGTTTCACTCTCTTCCGTTGATCTTGATCTTGACCATCTCCTCTGTAGATCGAGATGAGCGTGAATTTTGGCTCTGCGACGGGGCTCAAAAGAGCTCGGATATCGCTCGATATCAACCTTGTCGGTCGTCGGATTTCGGACATGTTGCGGTGTTTCTTTGGCACGTTTTGGTTGGTTTCGGACGTGTTTCTTTGGCGCGTTGTTGGAGCCTCTTGTTAGGCATTAAACAGAGCCATAGATATATCTATTAAAAATTCTCTGATTAAATTATAATTTTTTATTTTGAAAAATAAACATGATCACAGCAAAGTTCCCAAAACCTGTTTTGAGTGGCTAATAAGCCCATTACTGGTGGAACTGACTGTATATATACAAGTAGATACTCTGAGACGGATGATTCTCTACCCTTTGTCCACCGTCAATCCCACAATTTGGGAGCTTGTTTTTTTATGTTTTGTTGATAATTTGTGAATTCTTGGTTAATGTTTTGTTAATGTTTTGTTGATAATTTGTTAATAATTTGCTGATAATTTGCTAACAATTTGTTAATAATGTTAATTTGTTGATAATTTGTTAATTTTTGCTATTAATTCGTTAATAATTTGTCAATAATTTGTTAATACTTGGTTAATGATTTGTTAATAATTTGCTATTAATTCGTTAATACTTTGTCAATAATTTGTTAATACTCTGCTGATACGATTTCTATTTTAATTCGGTTTACTAAAGACCCAAAACACAACATAAATAGTCCAAAATGGACAACGCCCGCTGACCAAACCCCCCAGAAATATTTCTGTTCCTCCTCCATTCACGTCGTAAAGTTCATGCATCAAAATCACAACCTCCTATTTTCAGTTTGACTTGATCATCACCACTACACACAAGATCACCACACGGCACCCAATACACTACACGCCATGCCACCCCCAGAAAAGCTCCATTTGACGGCCCAAGACGCGCGATATCTCCGAGACGAGTTTTCCTCGGCCGTGGACCAGAAAACGTCGCTGCATTTGCCCGGAAACGACCCCACCGACCCGCTCATCCTGCGCGTAAAACAACTTGTGTCGGAGTTCGTCACAGAAACCATGCAACTGTCGCGACACGCGTTGGTCGTGGACGGCGCGGAGATGGGACGGGTGAACTCCATCGACGCGCATCTGCGTGAGTCCACCGAGCACATTGAGCCGTTTGACATGGGTTTAGCTGAGGAGCTGAGACGGGTGTACGCCGAGGTTGACGAGACAACTGTGCGGTTGAGCGAGATGCGCAAGAATGTTCCCAAGGTCATTTCTGAACTATACAAACAGGCTGAAGTCAACTGCGCCGACATTGGCCAACCTACTGAGGAAGGAGTGACATTGGAAGCGGTGCTGGAGGAACTGCCTCCTGTCGAAGAGCTCAATGAGGAGGACAGAGAGACGCTGAGGCAGTCATTGCTGGAAATTAAGCGCCTGAGAGGAGCTGTTCCAGAAACCCATACGAGATTGGAGGAGCTCGGCAAGGTGAAGGAGGTTGTCGGAGGGCTTTGAGAGAGACCATACAATTGCGCTATCCGTTTTGACAGCATTAGCTGGAGCTGACGCGTGTCTACAAGACATAATAGGAAACTTGCTTGGAAGCATGCGACTCCTGGCATACGGATACGACTGCTAAGCCTACTGCTGACTACTCATCTTGGGTGAACTACAGAAACTGGAGTACAATACCGTATGTACACTCTTGTGATAGAGTACCCAGCTCCAACTCTTCAACGCATCCGACACGAGCTAACTGCTACTTACCCCGATCTGCTACAAGTACATTGATCACTGAACGAGCGCCATATCCGCTGACTCAAGCCATGGGTAAGGCTAGGCAACCATCGGCCCTCTCGTCATCTGTACTGCTGCCATAGACCCACTGGGATGAGAGATATCGTTGTTTTATCCCAATTGACATAATTTATTTCATTATTTATTCAAGGATTTAGTCTACAATTGTGTAGATCTGAGGCAGTCCTATGACTATGGCCCAGGCTCAGAATCACCAAGCTTGTGCAGTATACAATCTATTACTATTCATAACGCTTACTCCTCCTTAACACCTCCGGCACCGGCAGTCTCGGCGGCAGAAATGGTCTTCTTGTCGGTCTTGATGTCGCCACCGCCCATACCGGCTCCACCAAACATGGAGGCGGCCTTGAAGGGTCGCTTGAGATCGCCAATGGCGGGCTTGCCAAAGACGTGGATCTGGACAATGTTCTGCTCAATGGCGGACTTGATGGGCATGATGGACTGCAACAGAAGAGGGTTAGTGTACTTCATGTAGATGTGCATGAAACCCATCATGGCGATACCGGTGAAGACACCTCGGATGGCAGAGTTAACCTGCTTGATATCGTACTCCTTGATGGTGGTGGTCACGAGCTTGGGCTCCTCCTGGCCGCCGAAAGCGTTGGCAGGCTCGACGTATTTGAGGGTGGTGAGATCTGGGTTAGTACTGAAAGACGGTGAAGGCTGGGTGTAACTTGCGCAGATCACAGCAGTGAAAAAGATGACATGGACATTAGCTGTGACATATGCTGTGACATATGTGCCCTGTCTGTGAACTCTCTCTATGGACAGTGGCGCTGATCTGTTGACCAAACCACGTAGTAGCGTCCTTCGGGTCACGGAACACGACCACCGTCGGTTCTACTCTCATACTCACCATTCTTCTTGGTAATGATGGACCGGGTGTAAAGGTACAGGCCCAGGACCAGCAACTGGGCCACCACGTAGAGAATTCGGATGCCCATCAGCACCTGGGGGTCCTCAAAGGGCACCTTCTTGGACACCTGCATCATGACAAGCATGATGACGAGGTTGGAAATAGCAGGGTTGACCATTTTTGCGGTTTTTTGGGGGGAGCGTTGGCTGTGTGGGTTTTTTTTAGTGGTGGCGTATGACGACAAGGAAGATCGTGGGTTTGGGGTTATGGGGGTTTTACAATACGTTGCAAGTAATAAAGTTTGCCGTGGGAAATTTCACCACCGCCAAACTGGGTCGAACGGCACACGTTATCGGAGCCATAACAATATGGAAGGTTCCAGCAGCATAGATTTGGGCGGAATAAAAAATAAACATTAAATATAAAATGAAATTAAAAAAATAAAAAAATAAAAAATTGAGAAATTGGGCGCGGAAATTCGGGAAAATCCGGGGAAATCCGGGGAAATCCGGAAAAATTGCGGCCAGAATCGTTTCTTGGAGGTGAAATTTTCGCAGATATTTGGACATGTTATAAAATAACTTTCCATCTTGGTCTCCTCACCCCAGACCTTCGGTCTACCACTCGTATTGCACGTATGTACAGTAGTGTAAATTCGGGTTGTTTGGTTGTTTAGTTCTGTCTACCTGTATGTAATATGAAGTCACGTCACGTGGCTGTGTGTACTCGGCGTTAGTTGGATTCGGGCAGATGGGGGTTCCTGTTTTGTTTATGGATTTTGCGCCGTTTTTCCCGAAAAAATAATGAAAAAATAAAAATATTTGCTCGTGATTTTCTGGCTCTTATCAGTATGGCTGGCTCGCTTCTTTTTATGGGACTGCAGGGTGTGCATGGTGGCAGTAAATTCACCTGAAATTGCAGAAAGTGAAGAAAAAAAATTGAAAAAATTGAAAAAATTGAAAAAATTGAAAAAAGACTTAGAAAAACACATGAAAGGATCCTAGGATGCCGTACAGTACCACCATTGTAGAAATATAAAATCAGTTCAGTTCCCACAGTGTCCTGTCGAGATTCCCTGTCTGATACCGTGAAACGGAAAAGTTGTCTGCAGTGAGTTAAGTACGTAGATGCAATACAAATGCCCACTCTCAATATCAGTAATAAAGACTTAAGTATACAATGCAAACCCTTGTTCAGGGATATAATTAGCTGTTCATGGGCTGAACGGGACTGAAGGACTCGTGCCGACTCATGCCGTCTCATGCCGTCTCGTGCTGTCTCATGCGCTGTTCAACATGCCCAAAATGACTGCATCAGACGAATTACAGCCCTAACTGTAGTGGATCGAAACAGCCACTGGTAAGGCAACAATAGTTGCAATAATGGTCACTACCTTGGTGGCCCACCATAGATGCTGGACGACAAAGGGACACAGAGAGTAGTCAAAGTCGTACTTGCCCTCTGTATCGTTCCAGCTGCCTGTCAGCAGGCCTGTGTTGCCGCCAAACTCGCCCATCATGCTTCGAACGGTATATTCTGACACGGCATTGCCTCTTCCACCCTCAACTGTCCAGTTTCCGTGTCCAGGATCAAAGCTGTAACTGGAAACACAACCCTCGTGATCGTGGCCAGCCAAGATAACGCCTCGAGGATCTTCCCTGCCGAAGATACCGTCAAGAAGTCGGTTGGTAGCATCCTCAGAAAGATGGTTCTGAGACCGCAGCCACTTGTACTCGTTATCATAGTACTTAAACATGGGTCCGTCGGCACAAATGCCTGCCGGCTTGTAAAGAGGCACGTGGGTCATGAGAATGGTCGACACGTCGGGCTCCTGTTCTCGAGCCTGTCTCACCATATCCACAAACATCCAGCAATCGTTTTGGAACTGCTGTTCGTAAACGGGACCGTCTAGAGCCAGATTATTGAGCACCACGACACGATACCCTTTTCTGGGCACATAATAGTTGACTCTGCCAAATCGGTTTTCGAATCGGTCGATCCGTTCACGCGTCATTTCTCCTCCATATCCAATATCGTGGTTTCCAGCAATATTGTACCACATGACGTACCCGTCATTATTTTTGACCAGAGACTCGTCAAAGATGCGCCCAAAGTACCGATCTGCCCGTCGCTCGAATTCGTCGTCCGTGATCCACTGAGAAGACAAGAGATCACCGAGCACCGACACTTGGTTGGGTTTGGTGCGCTTGGCCATGACTCGGTAGATATGGCCCAGAAAGTGGTCGTTGCCAAAGATGTCGAGGCGCGTCCGCCAGTTGGACGTGTTGGATGCTCCGCGGATCTGCGGGTCGCCAAAGGCCAGCAAATGCACCTCCTCGTGGCTCTTGTCGAGGTTCCATCCACGGTCATCTCTCCAAATGCACTCTGTCCGGTTCTGGAGATAGGGGTAATTGTAGATGTACAGGTTGAGCAGCAGCGCTGCAAGCAGTGTCACGTAGGCGGGCCAGCGAAGAAGATGAAGATGGAGGGAGATCATGGCATTATTGTGGGTGTCGAGGAACAGGTGGAATCGAGATCGCGACGTGAAATCCAACATGAAACTTAGCCTAACTTTGAGTTAGCCAGGGGGACGAAAAACAAGAAACTGTGGCAGGCTTCAGAAGCGGTAATACGGGCTCTGCAAGGTCCAAGTGAGAGGCTACATGGATGCTGTGGTGGTGAAGCGTCTTGGTATAAGTTTCAAGCCGGTATAAGTAAAACTGGGCGTTCTAACGTGACACTTGGTAGAAGAGACATTTCAACTAATGTCAACAAGACTTGGACGACATCTTACTTGACAAACTTTTGTCGACTGCGAGTTCGATTCTTGCATGTGACATTGTATATGGCTAAATTTGAGCACGGGCCCCGGCCCAGGTTACTGGTGTTCCTGTAAGTAGAATTGGAATTTTGAAAATACCAATCGACTCGCAATCTCATTCTATGGACCACCAAATCCGCCAATTCCAGTTACAATTCCTCCCCGTCAATCTACACAACACCATAGACTGCATGTGCTGTACCGTGTTGGTAAAAAAAAAAAAAAAAAAAAAAAACATTGTGCCCTATTCTGAAAAAGATCAGGGGTCTCGTCCTGGCACCTGGCACAGCTCCGATCTACAAGAAAAAACCACCAATGAGCTCGTCTCGCCCATCTCTCCAAAATTCCACCTTTAAAACCCCTCCACGGCTCCTACATCAAATTCTGCCAACTAGCCCCGCTAACGCACGTGCTCCATACGCGTGGCAATAGGCTCCATCAGCACGCACCTTGACCAAGCATACCGTGCCAACCGCCACTCGTCCAGCTCTCTCAATCCAACCATGGAATACACAGAAATTCTTGTGGCACCTATCCGGCCCTATGTGCAGATCATCACCGAGAACCTGCCCAACCCCGTGAGCCACCTGGCCATGGATCTGCTGGGCCAACAGTGCTACGACCAACTGCTGCTGGAGGTGGACTTCACCAAGCCCGAGTGTGTCAAGCTGGCCATCTCCAAGGGTCTGGGAATCGGCATTGTGGCCATGAGCTCCATTGTGAAGCTGCCGCAGATCTTTTCGCTGTTGGCCTCTCAGTCTGCTGACGGTCTGTCTTTCGCCTCCTTCTATCTGGAGATTGTTGCCCAGCTCATTTCGCTGGCCTACAACTTCCGTAACGGCTTCCCCTTCTCGACTTTTGGCGAGACCGCGCTCATTGTTATCCAGAACATTGTCATTGCGGCGCTGATCCTGACCTACAGAAACAAAAAGGCCCAGGCTGCCCTACTGTTTGTCAACATTGCCTTCTTCGTCAACGCGCTCTTCAACCCCACCGCCAGCCTGGTCAACAACGACATGCTCAACATGCTGCAGACTGCCACCATCCCCATCGGCCTGGCCTCCAAGCTGCCCCAGATCTACACCAACTTTGCCAACAAGAGCACCGGCAAGCTCTCCACCTTTTCGGTCGTCAACTACCTGGCTGGCTCGCTGGCCCGAGTCTTCACCACCATGCAGGAGGTCAACGATCCCAAGATTCTCGCCTCCTTTGCCGCTGGAGCCGTGCTCAATTTGATCCTCATGCTCCAGGTCATCTTCTACTGGAACAACAAGCCCCGCCGGGTGTCCCAGCTTAAGAAGCGAGCCTAGTCGTGCAAAACAATGTATTGGTAGTTTATTGACATGTAGGGGGACAATGACTTGGAAACCAGCCGTCTGGTTAAGAGGATATCCGGACACCCATTCACTTCAACCACAACTAATCAAACTGGACCACGTTTCATTCCCCTATAGCTTACAGCTATGATGCTCCAGGGGTGTCTTGTGGTGTCTTATGACTGTCTTTGTTTAGCCTGGACTTCTGTTGATACTGGTCTTCCAGCCTATCTCTAGACAAATAAACACAGTATTTGGCATAGCAGACCCCACTTTTCTCTACAAGTGTCTTTCCTTCGGCCTAAATGTACTCCAGATACCGAACCACACGCCCCTACGTATGAGCATCTAATATGGTCGGCTTGAGCCCACTGAATGAGGATCTAGCTGGAAACCACTCAGTGAGATTATAGCTAGTGGTTTATAGCTAGTGGTTTATAGCTAGTGGTTTGTAGCTAGCGGTTTATAGCTAGCCTGATCCTCTTCAAATTGTATCATATCTCGATCCTCTCCCCCAAACTCCCTTTACCCTCTTGACCCTGGCTTCGATCCATGCTCAACATACGGCTTAATTATAGAAGCTCTCGGCTATGGATGCTAATCATAGTGGCTATTCTTGCCTTAGCTGTGGTTGTACTCGTACAGTACCGAGATGTGTAATGACAATTGATGCGATTAGACGCGAATATTTCGTCGATCTGATTTACTGCCGTCTGCGGTTCACGTATATTACGTTCGCTTGTTGTCACTGAGTCGAAAATATTCTCTTGTTCGGTGTTTTTTCTTTTTTGTCAAGATTTTCCACTCCCTCCAGATGCAGCCAACTCTATTTCCTTATCAATTAAGCGAGTTTTACATTTGACTGACAACGTGACACTTTCGACATCACTCTCAAATGCCGTCTCTAACATGGGATATCCAGAAACCCGTGCGCGAGGAAACCGCTCCTATACGCGGCGGCCCATCTAACACGCCGGACCACAACTACGGAGCGCTGCAACGGCCATGCACGGTGCAGCAGGAGGAAGATCGACTGATTGGAGACTTCTACAAACGACACAACAGCGTGGCCGGAGACAAGCCCGCCGACACGGGCGACGAGAAACTGGGCACGTTTTCGGGCGTGTTTATGCCAACGACGCTCAACGTGCTGTCCATTCTCATGTTCCTGCGATTCGGCTTCATTCTGGGCCAGGTGGGTATCCTCGGCATGTTTGCCCTGCTGGTTCTGTCGTACGCAATTGACCTGTTGACCACGCTGTCAATCTCGGCAATTGCCACCAACGGAACCGTACGAGGAGGAGGAGCCTACTACATGATTTCCCGAAGCCTGGGACCGGAGTTTGGAGGAGCGATTGGCGTGGTCTTCTTCTTTGGCCAGGTGCTCAATGCCGGTCTCAACGTGGCCGGTTTCTGCCAACCCATTCTGTCGTCCTTTGGCCAGAACGCAGGCGGATTCTTTCCCGAAGGATACTGGTACGAGTTCTTCTACGCCACCGGAGTGTTGCTGTTTTGCACGTCCATCTGCATGTTTGGCTCGGGTCTGTTTTCGCAGGCCGGAAAGGTGCTGTTTGTGATTCTCATTGTCGCAACGGTGTCAGTGCCGCTTTCAGTCTTCTTTGTCAAGCCTTTCCTTGTAACCAAACTTGACATCTGGTACATGGGACCCAGCTGGGACGTGTTCTCGGATAACTTGCTTCCCAGATTCACCACTGGCGCTGTGGGCTCGGATCTCCCCCCAGGTCAGATGGAGACCTTCACCTCCTTATTTGGTGTCTTTTTTCCAGCTACAGCAGGCATCTTTGCAGGTGCCTCCATGAGTGGAGATCTCAAGAGACCCTCGTACAGCATTCCCAAGGGCACTCTGTCAGGTCTGGGACTCACGTTCATTCTTTACGCCGCAACCATCCTCGGAATGGGTGTCGCTATCCCCCGAGCTCTTCTCTACAAGGATATTTCTGTCATTGAGACCGTCAACCTTTCGAAATGGCTGATTCTGTTTGGAGAAATGTCCACCTCCCTCTTCTCCTCCATGGTCGGAGTCATTGGAGCTGCCTACGTTCTCCAGGCGATTGCTAAAGACGCTCTGGTTCCTTACACGTCTTTTCTGGCGTCGGAAATCAACGGGCTTCCTATTCCAGCAGTGTTCACCACTTATATTCTTACCCAGCTCACTCTCTTCTTCCCTCTGAACAGACTGGCCACCTTCATCACCATGGCGTATTTGATGACGTTTGTGGTGACAAATCTGGCCTGTTTCCTGCTCAAGATTGCATCTGCTCCCAACTTTCGACCTTCGTTCAAGTACTTTTCGTCCACGACAGCCTTCCTTGGAGCCGTCTCTTGCATTGCCAGCATGTTTATTGCTGACGGATGGGCTTCTATCGGTGCTATTGTCATTCTGGCGTTCCTCTTTATCCTGATTCACTACGTTTCGCCCCCCAAACCGTGGGGAGATGTGTCTCAGGCTCTTCTTTACCACCAGGTGCGAAAGTACCTGCTTCGACTTCGACAGGACCACGTCAAGTTCTGGCGACCGCAGATTCTGCTGCTTGTTGACGACCCTCGGTCAGCATGGGGTCTCATCAAGTTTTGCAACTATCTCAAAAAGGGAGGCCTGTACATTCTGGGTCACGTGGTGATCACCAAGGACTTCCAGGAGACGTTCAAGGAGGTCAAGAAGCAGCAACAGAGCTGGACCAAGCTGCGCGACATGACTGGAGCTAAGGCGTTTGTCCAAATTGCCTGTTCCCCAGATGTCGTTTGGGGTGCGCGAAACGTTTTCCTAGGCAGTGGTCTGGGCGGTATGAAGCCTAACATCACCATTCTGGGCTCGTTGCGAGACAAGTCGCAACCTCTGGACCTCCACCGGGCTCAGACTATCGACATGGAGGCTCTTCCCACTGACAATTGTCGAAAAGAGTCTAACATTCGAGTCACCCAGTGGGTCAACATTATCGAGGATATAATTGCTATGCAGGGCAATGTTGCCATTGCACGAGGATTTATGGGTATGGAGCTGCCTGGCAAGAATATTAAAACAACGCAAAAGTACATTGATTTGTACCCCATTCAGATGAGCGCGCAGGTGGTGGATGAGAACGGAACCTCAACCATGACCACCAACTTTGACACCTACACTCTGATCTTGCAGATGGGGGCCATTCTTCGAACTGTTCCTCTCTGGAAGGAGCGATACACTCTGCGAGTTATTGTTTTTGTGGAGTTTGAAGATGCTGTTGAGGAGGAACGAGAACGAGTGAGCACGTTGCTCGACACCCTGCGAATCAAGGCCAAGATTCTGGTTCTGTGTCTCAACTCCGGCAACTATGCTGCGTACGAGTGCATCATCAAGGGCACTTCTAACCCTGCGGTTGAATCCAAGTTGTCTGAGCAGGATTGGTGGTCTGAGCTTGTGGAGGCTCGTGAGAGCAACAAGCCTTATGCTTTCACTCGTAAGATGGAAGAGCATAAGGTGATTGCCATTGATCATAAGAGAAGACACACGTTCTCTTCTCTGTCTCATCTCGGTGCCTCTTTCTCTCTCAGAGCCAACTCCATTTCGTCCGCAGGCACTTTTGACTCCGAGGGGTTCTCTGACTACGACGAGAACTCTTCTGTTATTGATGACGAAGAAGATGAAGATGAAGACGACACTTCTGAGCTTGAACAAAACACCTCGGCTCTTCACCGTCACAACTCGTTGTTTTCAACCTCCAGACCTCTCGACAGAGTCAAGGATAAGTCCCGTGACGACGAATCTTCCTCTGGACGGTCGTCTCCTTCCTCTTCAACTCATCACGAGCGGCACAACTCCAACAAGCCCGCTTTCACATCCCAGGCTATTCCCAAGACCAAGGTCAACGATAACGACGACGATGAGGGCAACACAGTCATGTTTGAGCATGGAGACGACCCCGCGCATCCCAATGTCTTGTCTTTCAACGACGTGCCTGCCCGAGCTCAGCATATCATTTTGAACGACATGATGGCTACTCTGAGCAGCAAGGAGGACACTGTGGTCATTTTCTCGACTCTGCCTGCTCCCTCGATGGGCACTCACAGAAGCGAACGAGAGAGTCTGGACTTTGTCGACAGTCTGGAGCTGTGGTGTCAGGACCTTCCCCCAGTGCTGCTGTTGCATTGTCAGACCATGACTGTTACCACCGCTCTTTAAGCAGAAAGAGCGTGTATCTTGCAAGGATAGAACAGATAATAACGGTCTCAACCGCGATTACTACAGGTTACACACTTAGATTTAGCATGAATATATATTTATACATTACGGAATGAAGAGCGGGAGTAGTCTCGGATGACACTGTCGATTCGGGCGAGCAGAAACATACCATGTCGGTGTTGATTACATCGCGAAATCGACCCAGTCACGATCCAAAGAAACCTCTCTGATGCGGACGGGTTGTTTCAAGTGATGTTCGACTGTGGTTGACGAGGCTAGCAGTTACGAGCCTAGCAGTGAGCTGTTTTGAGGACCCCTTGGTCTAGTTGGAGATCATCTGGAGACCAATATAACACAAGGGTAGGTCGTGGTGGCTGCAGAACCTCAATGGCTCCAGTAATACTGTGCGTTCCATCGGGGTTTCCGAGAGCCGCGACCCCTAGATGGAACCTCGGGATGATTTCAACTGTTTTTGCTGCTCGGTCAAGAGCCCATAGCCTCTCAACGACAAACCCCCTAACACATCCGTGACGGTGTCTGGAAACTTCACCGGTTCGGGACAGCTTGGAGAGAGTTACCGGACGAAGACAAGACAGCGGTCAAGCGCATGGGCTTGTGGGTGACTACGCGTTTCCGAATATCCTTGGAGAGTCGTTTCGGCGTATTCCACCAGAGAAATGACAAATTGCACACTGTTCCCGAGACACACCCGAGACTGAATACGCCGAACTTCTGCATCCGCTCGTCCCCTCGACTCTCTCTTACAACGGTCTCTTCTGATGGTTGGGCCAATGTGGAACCGTTGTCAGGGTATGTTCGTGGTTCCTACATCTATCCATCTAGTCTCCGAAGAGCACCATCATAGCCATATCTGACCATGCAAAGGAACAGGGCGGTTGACCTCGTGGTATGGAACTCGTCCACTTTTCGTGTTTCCAACTCTCAGAAAAAGAAGGCCCAGCATCTACTGGTCTTGAGACTCTCATGATAGTCAATGAAAGCACTGTAAGTGGTTTCGAATAGAATGGCAAGCAGCAATAGATTTCTTGTAGTGTCGTAGCCCTAGCTCATATTTTATAGGTCTACAACACTTGCCGCTGTCGCACAAGTGCCATTAGTATACTCTACAATACTCAAAGCTCTTGTGCAGCTCGGCGACTGCGGTCTGCTCAGCTTGAAAGGCCTGTCTAGCTCCTCTATCACTGCGCTACAAACAAAACACACAGTCTATGATGGTGGGGATGTCGTCATCATCGTAATCGTCGGGACGCCGATAACCTTCCTGGCTCGGGTCCCATCCTATGCATTATATACAGTCACCTTGCGGTGTATCATTATCGTCGTCCTCGTCGTAAAAACCACCTCCCCAAATCAGTCTCTTAAGGACACACCTCCTGCTCTCGCCACTCATCCTCTCCCAGCCGGGTGAAGATGTTTCTGTAGCCGGCGCCGTCCACGGTGCAAAAGTCGACCCGGTTGGGACACAACAGCACCACGACGAAATTGCTGAGATCCTCGTGCTCGCCGTCTACTCCTCGGGCAAACTTGTCCAGCTGCTTCTTCTTGTCGTCGCTCATCAGCGACCGAGGCTGAGGCTTTCGGAACGACGACTTGGTGGTGGGGGACAACGAATCCCACACCCGGTGGTACTCCTTGTTCCACTCCTCGCTACTGGGTGATGAGTTTGTCGATGCTGCGCTGGTGGCGCCGGTCTCATCCGACGACGTGATGCTGTCTGTGTCGCTCATGTTACCCAGCCGCGACTTGACAGCCTCAAAGTCGTCGGGCTTGGGGGAGCCTGTGGGGGACAGGCCCTGGGGGGAGCTGTTGCCATAAATAGGGTAACTTCGATCATCCACGGTTCTGTACAGTTGGTCCTTGTTCTTGTTCTCGTACAGGACCTGGCCAATGGCGTCGTAGGTGGAGCCGGGGGCGTGGGCCATGGCGGGAGTCATGTCATCGGACAGCAGTTTAGCGAAGCCCTGGATTCGGAACTGCGCGTGGTGCGCCTCCGAGTAGAAGACCGCCTCGAAGGCGTCATTTTCGGCTAGCTGGCTCGTCTTGTCCATGCGCCGGTCTGTGGTGAACAGTAGCACTCCGGTGTTTCTGCTGTTAAAGAGCCATCCACGACACACGCAGGTTCGGGCTCTGGGGCGATTCTGCTGGTCGACTGTGGCGAGCGTGAAGAGCAGAGGTCCCTCGTGCTTCTTGAAGTTGAAGACGCGCTCGAATTCGGGCACCCAGGACGGTAGATTCGACATTATGTGTTTGTGTGCGGTGGAGAGCCAATGTGTGGTGTGCAGGAGATTGATCCGAAGAAACCAAAAATTATCCCAAACCGATCTTAACTCAAACTTTGCAGCACACGCACGTGGGCAGTTGGGTGTCAAGTGAGGCGGGTGCAGCTGTGCAACTAACGGGGGAGGGTACCGCAATCTGGTGCAATCGAGGCAATCGAGGGAAAAAGAGAATGTAAAAACAGAGTCAAAAAGATCTGGAAAAAAAGGGCGAACCCATCCACCTATATATATTGCCACCCGGAACTCTACCTCCTAGTCCGTGTCACACCACACAAAGAACAACAATTCTTGGTACCCCAGATAATTAAACGCTACCTACTTGTAGTAGACGATTGTTTGTTGGCGTGTGCCCATCACATCACCATGATGGTTTTTACCCGTGCAGAAACAGCCCTACCCGCGAGTAGGGCGCATAAAGTACACACCATTCGGACTGGCAAAATGCGCAAAAACAATGCAAAAACCGCAGATTTTTCTTCATTTTATGCGTTCTTGGCTGCGACCAAGACCTCTGGGGCGCCCTTTGCTCAACGGTCACTAGACTGGCTAATTTCAGATGTCTCAAATCAACCTACTGGCTGATACTGCACCTTATACTGGTAGCGAATAAGCCCATCAACTGCAATCTACATAGCAATACTGTACCCCGCACGTAGTCGTTGAGGGTGGAAAAGAGCCGTCGAGTGTGTCATGGACCGAGTGTAGATTTCGAGCGGTTCCATGCCGTTTTCCCATCGCCCTTTGCTACCCAATTCTGAACTCCATCGTACCACCACCTCCCATGACGTCAACTTAGACCCTCTACTTTTAGCAACGTCCTCATGTCATCTGGACATTGCGGGTGAACTGTGCGAGATTTTGAGATATAAATGAGGTCTGGTCTTTTAGGACGCACGGAGAGTCTCAAACGGAACTCCACATTTGTCAATTTACAGCCTCTGCCTCGAAAAGCGCTCTGTCCCCAGTTTTACCGTTTAGTTGATAAGTAGTTGAGCAAAACCGTCCGCTGGGGGTGCAAAAGTGATGTTCCCGTGATCGCAGAGAAACAAAAAGGGTATCAAAATGTAAATGTGAAGGGGAATATTTTGAAAATGACCACCTTCCGGTATTATCTTCGTCTGTATCTGCACATTTATCCCCTACTACCCAATGCCGTTTACTTAGACTACTTTGAAAATATGCTCGCATCTAACCTTGGTTTATTTTCATTTTGCGTTCCGATTTATTTCCGCAACCTAAAGTCTCTGATTAGCCGGATGTGGATGATAGGCAAGTGCTACAACAACCGATGTCAGGGAAACAAAGACGCTAGTATGGATGACTAAGCGCTGGGTTAGCTCTAACAGACAGCTCTTTTATGTTTTTTATGTTGTTTTTTCTTGCTTTTCATGTCTGTGTTTTTCATGTTATCTTATTTCCATGTTTATTTTTTTCATGTTTATCATTTCATGTTTATGTTTTTCATGTTTATGTTTTTTATTTTTATTTTTTATGTTTTTTATGTTTATGTTTTTTATGTTGTTTTGTTCTATTTCTTCTCTGTTTGTTATATGTTTTTCATGTCTTCTCTTTCTCTTTTTTTTGACGAGCAAGTATTGAGAACAGGAGATAAATGAGCACGCGACATGTGCCAATGACCGCAGTATCTGTATGATGACGTCTGTCGCGATCGAAAGTGGCAAGTGTATAATATAGGAGCTCTTGCCCCTCAATCTTCGTACTCTCATCACTCGTCTTGTCGCTCCGTCGTATCTACAATACCCATCAATACATGTACACTTCTCCTCCGGACAATGTCTAATTTTCACCTTAAATCGGGGACACGGAAGACCGAGAGAGTATAGCTCAGTTATACTACGCACGGCACGCCTGTTTAGACCGACTCAGCCGCACATTCCTGGCTCGGAGAGCGGAGAGCGGAGAGCGGAGAGCGGAGAGGGGCCTTGTTGGGGTCGCGGCAGTTGTTGCAGGGCAACCGGCAATGCACCACAGTTCCGATATTATCGGCACTTTATTATCACAGAGGGATATATTATCGCTTATCCTGAGGGGTAGAGCGGAGATGGATAGGGCGATTATTGAGGACAAATGGGACATGGAGATTACCCAGGGGGATGGAAACGATTGGGGATGTGGATTACTACTTTAGCGGGGACCGAATGGAGGTCATCTTCAATGTACTTAACGGCTGTACTCTAACTTTTTTCTGCATACTTGTGGAGAGTCCATCTTTCTCCAACTAACATAATGTTTTCACAAGTACATACTGTACAATACTGCGGCAATTGACATACTTTGAGTTCTTCCTTTGGTGCGATACACGGAGTGAGTTATCCAAATTGATCTCCGAACGAAAAAAAGGACCGGCCCTCTGAAGATGAGAGATGATTATGTTAGAGAACTATGCCAATGAGCGCCTTCTCACTCTACATCGTAGCTGTCAATATCAGAGGTGGGAATTCTGCTCATTCGCAGTCAGTCAGTCCTCTCACAGACCATCAGACCTTCGTCAGGCATCATTTACCGATCATATATACCTCTAAAACCTCTTCACTGCACAGATCGTCAACTGCTAACAATCAAACATCTATTCTCTATGAAATTTTATCTATTCGTCCTCATCGTCAGTATCGGCAGGCTTGGGGGTTCCCTTGGGAGAATTGAGCCACTCAATGTGTCGCAGCCGTCGTCGAGACTCCCGCTCCTTGAGCTGGTTTCGGTTGAGCTTCTTCTTCTTGACTCGGACCTTGATGTTCATGGGCGAGTCGTTCTCGGCCTCAGAAGCGGCAGTGGATGGAGCAGCAGAGGAGCCTCCTGAAGCTCCTCCGTCCTCGAATCGGTCATTGGAAACGGCAGTCTTGCCCATCTGGGTCAGCTCTCCGTTGTCAACGTGCCACTGCTCGGGGCACAAAGCTCCAACAAACTCCTCGTTATGCGAAATCATCACCACTCCTCCAGCCCACTCTCGAATGGCAATGGCGAGACCTCCAAGAGAGTCTCGATCGAGATAGTTGGTAGGCTCATCCAGCACCAACAGATGGGGGTTGTTCCACATGGCGCCAGCAATGACAACCTTGACTAGCTGACCTCCAGAAAGAGAGCCCAGAGTGTTGTGGTCGGCAATGTCACCATCCAGACCAACGTCCTCGAAATGCTTTCGAATGACGGGGGGAGAAAGCTCTCGGTATCCAAGACCCTCTCGAGAAGCCTCGTGATCGTCAAACTCCTGCACCAGCTTGGAGAAGCCCTGCTCAATGAGGAAGTCTCGGGTGGCCATGGAGTTGTACTTGGGATGCAGATGCTGCCACTTGATCTCGTATTGGAAGGTCTTCTTGAGCTTCTGTCGACCAATGATGGCCTCGACGATTCGCTCACCTCGTCCATCGGGATCAATGGGCTTGGCCATCTGGGCCTTTTCCTCATCAGACATAATTCGGGTCTGCTTGAGATGCACCTCTCGATCGTCTCCATTCTGGTATCGCCACTGCAAGTACTGGTTAGGGGTCTTCTCCTTGTGCTGCTCGACATGCTGCAGCGCGTGCTGGGCAATGTATCCGATTCGCAGATTGGGGTGCTTCTCGACCTTACCCTCGGTAGGCACCACCTCGCCGGTCAGCACCTTGATGAGGGTTGACTTTCCAGCTCCGTTGGGGCCCAGAACGGCGACTCGAGACGACATGGAAAGCGAACAAGAGGCGTTCTTGAGAGAGGGCTTGGGGGCATTGGGGTAGGTGAAGGACGCATCAACAACTCGGGCAATGGCTCGGGTGTTGGATCGAACACCAGACAGAATACCGGGAGGAGGGAAGGCCATCTTCAGGTTGGTGTCGGTCAGAGTGTAGTAAGACTTACCCTCGGGTCGGACCTTGACAAAGTCGGCCAGGTTACCCTTGTAGTAGACGAGCTTCTTATTTTCGTAGTGAGCAATGTCGGTGCAGACGGCATCCAGGAAACCAGAGTCATGTGACACGATCAGAGAGGTGATGTCGGTGTGGGCCACAAGGTAGTCCTGCAGCCACTTGACGTTTCCAACATCCAGGTGGTTAGTAGGCTCATCGAGCAGCAGAATGTCGGCCTTCATGAGCATGGCTCGTGCCAGCTCCAGCTTCATCTTCCATCCTCCAGACAGAGCGCCCACGTTCTGGGCTCGTCGCTCCTCGTTGAAGCCAACCTCCGCCAGAGCGTCAGCGATCTCGTCCTTCTTGACGTGGGTGAGATCAGGATCGGAGGCAATAAAAGAAACCAGATCCATATCTCCCTCGTCGCCCTGCAGCTTGTGCTCGACGAAACAGGTTCGCAGCTCTGACTTGTCGGGGAAACCCTCGAGCTTACCGTTGGCAATGGATCGCATGAGAGTGGACTTTCCGGCACCGTTTCGGCCACACAGACCGTATCGGTGACCCTTGAAGAGTCGCAGCTTGGTCTTGTTGAGCAGCATTCGTCCTCCGTAAGCCAGAGAAAAGTTGGCGTTTACAATCTCAATACCCTCGGCAGAAGTGTCCTCAGCAGGACCCTCCTGGAACAGCTCCTGGTATCGGTCAAAGATGTTCTCCTTGAGCTTGGCCTGGTCAAGAGTAGGCAGGTAGGCCTTGAAGTTGTCATCCAGACGGGCCCACTCTCGCACAGAAATGTTAGTGGCAATCAGAGTGGCGGCGTAAGTCTGCTCGATAGGAGGGATGGACTGGCCACCGCACTCAGTGATTCGCAGCTCCATCTCCTCGGTGGAAACAACCTTCTGGGCTCGGTTCTCCTCGTCCTTGGCGTCCTCAATAACCTTGAGGGCCTTACCGGCGAGCTCTCGCACCTCGGGAAGAGCGGCTCCCTCGTACACCTTCTTGACGGGGGGCAGAAGCTGGTCGATGAAGGGCTTGATTTCTCGAGGGTCGTGGACCAGTCGGGTCAAGTTCTCGACGACAATGACGGACTGTCGCAGTTGCTCCTGAGAGGAGGAGGTCTGGTTGAGAGATCGGGTCATGATGGGCACCAACAGAGACAGAGCGGGAGCGGTGACCTCGGCAACAAAGGTGACCATGGACAGAGCCTTGACACAAGAGGGCACCTTCTTGGGGTCGCCCAGAGTGTCGACAATGAGCTCGATTCGGGGAGAAATATCCTGGTTATCGAGGACAGCCACCAGCTGCATCAGGGTCTTCTTACCCTCCTGAGCAAGCTCGGGCTTGAAGTCGTGGAAACAGTTGGTCAGGGTGGGGACACCAGCCAAGAACTGGACCTCAATGACGTCGGCGGGGCACAACTCAATGATTCGCTGGACCAGCTTGAGAGCTCCGACCTTGGACTGCCACTTGGCTCCAGAGTCGAGGAAAGTGAAGAGCTTCTCGAGGAGAATGGAAGCTCGGCCCTCCTCGGGGATAGCGCCACATACGGCATCGATGGCAGCCTGGGCGGCTCGCTTGACCGAGTTCTCCTTGTCGGTGAGCAGATCAAGGGGCACGTTCAGGGCCTCAACAAGGTAACCCTCAATGGAGGTGTGGGGCTCGGATCCAAACTTCTTGGCCACGGCGGAGATGAGAGAAACGGCGCCCTCTCGAGAAAGAGCGTTCTTCTTGTGCTTGGCCAGAGCCGAAATGCTCTCCACCAACTTGAGGTCGGAGGCATCCTGGGAGGTGTTGATCAGATCAATGATGGAGTTGACGCCTTCCTTGACCTCGCCAATGGACTTGGCGTTCTTGATGGCCTCCACGTAGGGGACCACGGGAGAGTCAATCTCGTTGACCGCCCGCTCCAGAGACGCCATGGAGGTGGTGGAGGATGACGGAGTGAGGTTGGGGGTCTGCGACGGCGTGTAGTCGACCTTGCCGTACTGGTACTCGTTGGGCCGGTCACGGGGGTTGTCCTGCGAGGGCACAAACGCCTGCCCGGGCACAAACGCCTGTCCAGGGGTGAATTTGGGGGGCATGTTTGTAGTGATGAGAAAGCTGCGTTTTCACCGACACGGGAAATTTTATCATGAATTTTTTTTAACCTTTGACTGTAAATGTGTGTCAACCTTATACTGGTTGGGAGGATACACCAAGGAGGGAAATACAGTAAATCAAAGGGGGGAGGTTGGATATGTTCAAAATGATAGCGACGAGTAGGGTAAGAAGAGCACCCGCAGCCAACGATGCATTTCGGTACATGTCGGCCAACAATGAGCAACGATGGCACGTGCTTGCCCCCTCGCTTGTCGCTCCCTCCGCCATGCATCCACTGATAGGTCATCTACAGGACATCGCAGAAACCATGCGGCTTGGTCGCAGCCAACAGGCGACCTGGATTGCCACGCACATGGACAAGTGGCCAATGAGAAGAGACTGGACAGGGGTAGTTAGTCATCGGAGTCACGTGACTCCAAAGGCAGTCGTGGGGGGGGGGGGTTGGTACCGGGTCATGTGACTGCACAACTGTCCACCGGGTCTTTTTGGTGCTGTTATGTTTTTGGTATGTACTGTACTATACTCATACATTTTTCTTCGGTTGGCACGTGGAACATACGTTCAAAAAATATCCTGACGGTGGGACACGCTGGAGGAGCGGTTGGGGGGGCGATCGCGTTGAAAAATATATCTTTGCAATCGGCGTTCGCTTCTCTACATTTCTGTGCTCTTTGTTTTCTGGTCGGCTGTTGTCTTCGTCGGTTTCAGCCAACCCATTCACTCTTCAGTTCATATCATTTATCCCGCGCCAAATGAAAGCATAAGTAAATCATAGCCGAAAACGAGGTCTATTTAACAAGGCCCCTTGAAAAATTTAACAAAGTCTAATGAAAATTTTAACAAAGTCTAATGAAAAATTTAAAAGTCTATTGAAAAAATTTATAGAACTTGGTGGGAAATATTGACCTGAATGTTGTTCTGGAGGGAGCTTGGCGCGAGTACTGTATTGGCACCCAATGCAAATGGAGATCACGTGACTGTCTCAGACATTTGTACGTACTCTGAGAGACAGGGTCAAGTCGAGTCAAGTAAGTCAAGCAAGTCAAGTAAGTCAAGTAAGTCAAGTAAGTCAAGTAAGTCAAGTAAGTCAAGTAAGTCAAGTCAAGTGATGCAAATCGACCTCATCGGACATATCGCAAATCGGGAGCCAGAACTATCGTTGAAGTGTCTTTCGGGCTATTGCAACGAACGTTTCCGTTCGTATCTGCTTCTTAGGCAGGCTTTCTATATGGGTGGAAGCATCGTAGATGTTAGCCGGAACTCTAACTTGTACCTCGGGTGAAATGTGGGGAGGAACAGCAGTGTGTGCTCGTAATAGGCCTGATGGGTGGTGTTCGGCTTTTTGCCGGCATAAAGTCATTGGTCGGCTTTTTGTCAACGAGGGCCATACGGTCAACTAATGAGAGATTCAGTTTGACTCATGAGAACTGTACGAGTATGAGTATGAGTTAGCGGTACATGTTACTACTTGCAGTACCTTCGTCTATTACTGTCCAGCTTCGAACTTCAGACTGGATCTCTCACGTGTCGTAAGTGATTTCAGTGACCTCCATCTTCTCTCTTCATTTCGTTGGTCTCAAAATAGTCAGTCAACACATTGACCAGATTTCCAATCTACAGGACATTCCAATTGAACTCGACTTACGGTTTACCGATTTACTAATTATAAAACTTGACACAATATGGCTCAATCAAAGAGCTCAAGCTAAGAAAATGGCCGCTATGCAGACATTTAAAGACATCGCTCCTCGAGCTTCATGTCGTTGTTGGGCTTGAGTCCAATGAGAGCTCGCATGAGGTTCTCAAGAGCGGCTCGCTGCTTGTTAAGACCGTTGACGGCATCGAAGCCAGGTCGGGTCAGAGGAGCCTTGAGCCAGTAAGACAGGAAGGAAAGGACAGAGTGGAACTTCTGGAAGTCACCCTCCTCGCCCTTCTTCTTGTAGGAGACTCGGGACAGGAACTCAGCCATGATGACCAGATCGATGATCAGGGGGGTGGCGAGCAGAGAGTCCTCACAAACGTTGTGGATGGAGATGGTGTTGTGACCACCAAGCATGAGCTCGGAGTGGTACTCATCCATGGCAACCTTGGAATCTCCGACAGCTGGCACGTACTTGATGACAATGCAGTGGTCAACAGAGTTACCGTTCTTGTCGTTGTACAGCAGCTGGTTGGACTCGATCATGTCGTCAATGACAGAGGCCTTGGAGATCTCCTTGGATCGGAACTGCTGGGGAGCAGACAGGTTGAAACCGTCGTTGTTACCCAGATGGTTGTAAGAAGCGACGGAAAGAGGCTTGATACCGGCATCGACCAGGAACTGGGCAAGGACGGACTTGAGCTTGGTCTGGCCAGACTTGAAGTCATCACCTCCAATGTAGGCGCCCTCTCGCTCGGCAAGCTCGATGCAGCCGGGAACAAAGGTGTTCTGGGGGGAACCGTTAATGTAGGGGACGCCCTCGAGAATGGAGGCGACGGCAAACACGGTGGAGGGGGCAATCTCCTCGTGGGACTCCTTGATGGACTTGAGGAGGTTGTCGGCGGTGTCGTTGACACCGTCGATGAGGTTGGCGTATCGCTCAGTGTTGGCGGTCCAGAGAACAATCACCTTGTCGAGTCCGTTCTTCTCCTTGAACTCCCGGATATCCTTTCGGATGTGCTCGACGTGGGCCCACTTATCGGTGCCCTCGATGACGTTGTCAGCTCGCTCGCCCTGGTTGGCAGCAATGAAGTCGGGGTAGTAGACGGACTTCATGGGGGTGATGGGCTGCAGGTGCTTGGCCACCTGTCGCTGCAGGTCGTACTCCAGAACCTTGGCACGCTTCATGGCGTCGGACAGGTTGAGAGAGGAGATATCCCAGCCGCCAAGGACAAAGTCGTTGGGGTGCAGCATGGGGAGGACCTCAGAGAAAGGGGCATAGACGTCCTTACCGTCCTTGTCAACACCAAGCTTGATGGTGGAAGCCTGGGTGACGGAGCCAAAGTAGTTGGGCTCGATCTCGCCATTCTTGGTGTTGAACTTGATGTTGTGTCGGTTGGCGGCAACAGCGGCAGCAAGGGTGGTACCGTTGTTTCCTCCGAGACCGACAAGCATCAGACCGGTCTTGGGGACAGTCAGGTCGACCTTGAACTCGTAGTCAGTGGAAGTGGGGGTCACCTCGTACTTGCCATCGGCGGACTTAGACACGGTAGCGTTGTCGTAGGTGTAGGTGGAGTAGAGGTTTCCATCCTTGATCTGAGTTCGATCAGTGTTGACGTGAACGGAGGTGATTCCGGACTTGACGGCGCCGGGGTTGCCAGCAATGGTATCAGCAGAAGGGGACATTGTTGATGTTTAAAGAAGTTGAGTAGATTTCGTTGTTTTGCACGTAGTGGTTTTAGTACACTATTATTATCTCACCCGAACCGGAAGCAGGAGAAGAACGAGAAGACTGGAAGGGGTGGTGTGCGGAACCGAGGAGATTGGCAAACACTTTGGTAGTTGTAGGTCTGCTAAGGGAAGATCTCTTAACAGAAGGTTGACTGAAAATGTTTTGGTGGTGGGTCTACTGGGGGCCCCTACTGGAGTATATATACTCCGGAGTACTGATAGGGTTTAGGTTGGGGGATGGTGGTGCACTTGTACAATAAGACAAACGACTGTAAGGGGGGTTGGGGGTTGGTGGGAGGTTTCTGGGGTGGTTCAAACGGGGGGTTTGTGAGGCCCGGAGGGGCTAAAACCCGGGAAATATACGTATTTGGGCCGTCTGGTTGCGTTTCCGGGCTTCAAACGGCAAAATTCCCCCGAAAATCGCCCCCTTACCTCCCCCCAAATCATTGCTATAAACCCCTCCATCCCACCTCTTTATCCAACTTTATTCAAACAAGACCAACCAATTGCACTCGTGCATGCTCAGACCAGACGTGGCAGCCGATAACGTGAAAGATAGGTGCAAGCCGGGGCAAGAGGAAGGAGGTTGTCGGCGGCGTCTGCGTTCTATTGACCGACGTGTGTGTGTTGCGTCTGTCGTCTGTCGTCCGTCGCGTCTCCTTCTTCCCTCTTGTCGCAGTCTCCACTACTTTGTTGAAAGGGCCGTAAAATTTGCTTCTCTTTTGCGACACCGGGCCATCTCGAGAATATCGCTCAAAGAGGATGCATCTCAGCCTGTTGGGCTCAACGGCAGGGTAAGTTTACTCCATGGGAATGGGACGTGACAAACTTAGTCTGGGGAAGGGGTATTGTACGGTGTTGATTGTTCGGATCATCCAAGTATAGTACTTTTACGCTACTCATGTCTACAGTTCATGCTACAGACTAGAGCTCCTACAAGAAGTTACTCCCTTTCTCCTACAACTCCTGTTCGTACTCCAGTTAAACTAGTGTTTGGCATGAGACATGACTAACCTGGTGAGGGTTTGGTTTGGTTAAAGATTCTACAGTGTCTGTTGCCGTCTCGTTATTCGTCTGATTCTATCTCTCTTTTTTTTATCCTCCTATCCCCCTATCTCCTATCCTCCTATCCTCCTATCCTCCTATCTCCTATCCTCCTATCCTCCTATCCTCCTATCTCCTATCCTCTCCCTCTTCTCTCTCCTCCTATCCCACGTTACCCAGCCGGGGAATTACCGACTAAAGCCGCACGTCGTAGATGTGCAGGGACGCATGGGGGCTGAGTCGGTAGTCGGGTGTGAATCGCGCAATGGTTCGCCAGAGACCAAGGCGGTCGCGTACCAGTTCGGTGCGAGGAAGAGCTGGTACGATACTGTAGCTCGTCAGGATCTGTAGCTCAGGATCTGTAGCTCAGGATCTGTATCTCAGGATCTGTAGCTCAGGATCTGTAGCTCAGGATCTGTAACTCAGGATCTGTAGCTCACAGGCCTTTTTACAAATAGGTACATTATACCACCTTGTCTGTTCTGGTGTGTCAATGGTCAGTTGTACAGGCGTATCGTACAGGCGTATCGTACAGGCGTATCGTACAGGCGTATTGTACAGTTGTATCGTGCAATGCACGTCCATACTGGACTCAATGTGGCGCTTATGTCAGCGAGCGGAAATGCCAACATGCAAAAATTGTTTTGCAACCTCGGTTCATCCGGCGAGTCCTGTTTGGATCCGAGTATGTTTGCAGTCTACAAGGCACGTTTCAGAGGTGCAGTGCAAGTGTAAACTACAGCATCAAACGCGCAGTACATGCGATACAAGTGTCATTTTTGGACAACAGACAATAGAAGGTCGTGGAATGCCTTGTGGACGACAGACGATGGAAGGGTGTGGAATGTCTTGTGGACGACAGACAATGGAGGTCGTGGAATGTGTTCTTGCCGACCGTCTTGCGTCCTACGAGTTGGCTCTGACTGGGGCTCCTGTATCGTTGGTTCGGGGTGCTGCACCAATTCTCCTACTCTACTCCCTCCACGTGATAGCGTCGTATAATCGGTATCAGTGAAACAATCAGGGCCAGTGTTTAGAATTCGACTAGCGTGGCATCCAAGACAGTGGGGCGGCGGGGTTGGCTCGTCCAGCGAGGTTATCGCACTGTATTGGATGTAGACTTTGATATCGAACCGAATGTGCTACAGGTGGTGATGTGAGTGCCAACGAGGGGAGGCTAATGGATGTGGCGGAACGAGTATTTATAGTGAAATGTTGAAGTAGTGTGGATATACGTCAAAGAGTGGTGAACAGTGAGCGTCGGAGTGGTGAACAGTGAGCGTCGTAGTGGTGAACAGTGAGCGTCAGAGTGATGAACAGTGTCAAAGAGCGTCAGACCGTCAGACCGTCAGACCGTCAGACCGTCAAAGAACGATACAGATATCTATCGCTCGCGCAGACTTACCGTACTCGCTCCCTCACCTCTTGACCCTTCAACTCTGTGCTTGTTCACTTCAAACGCACTTTTCGGTTGGGCGATCATGTAACCATGACGCCAGACTCCGCACTCCAGACTCCAGGGCATAAGCAGCCAGTTATTGCTTCCACGCCGAGCCCAAATGTGCACAAAAGCCGTGTCCCAGCTCAAATACGCGGTCTAAACACACCTTCTCTCGACTTTGGGCCCAAAATCCTTCATATCGTGCGGAAAATGACTTGCAAGTGAATTGCAAACTGCAAAGAATTGGAAACAGAGTTGCAAAATGGGTTTGGTGAAAAAGTATGATAATCACCAAGGTTAGACTAAGAGTTGGAGCAACATTCCGGTGTGAAAACTAGCGGTGCAAAAAAAGAACAGGATCGGACTAAAAAAACCAACTCCAAGTTGCCCCAGCAACCTCCCCCCAGTCCCCCCTCCTTCCAGCTCCACTGTCACCCTAGCTCTCTCTCTCCACCACCCACTTATGGCGGAACTATCGCACCCCCTCACCCTCGTGCTTGTCCATGGTATGGCGGCTTTTGACTTGCGTTACCCGGCCGCCACACACACTCTCTTTCTCTCTCTCGCAGGTCCCTTCCTCTCTCCACGAAGCTCATTTACGGGGTACATATACTGTTCTCAGGCAATGCAATGTATGGAGATAATGGGGTGGTTGGCCGCGAGGGGAGGGGCGGGATGTGTGGGGATCACGTGACTCGCCCGGTGTGTCTGTGGGCTCTGCTATTCTGCTTCCTCTCTCTCTTTGTCTGTGTCTTCATAACCTGTATCTATAATATCGCTCCCTCTAGTGTCTCACTTCTCTTGCGCTATCTCTTCCTGTACCCACTTCTCTCCTCCTAACCTTGTTTGCAACCAACTCTCCTATCGCGACTCTGACAGACACGCTAGGTGATATCCAGACAAACGACACAGACGGTAGAGACAGATAATCCAGCGACACATCCGACACACACGACACACACGACACACACTACACACACGACACACACGCCACACACGTCCCACAACCGACATAGACACACACACGGCTTCAACTCCTCCATGTCACTGTCAATTCCCCTCCCCACATCGGGCCCGTCTCTACCCCCGTCGCCACCACAGAACATGTCCACGCTGGCAGCAGCGTGCAACGACGACTCGGGCAAGTCGCGAGCAGGCTCGCCGGCGTCCGTGTGCCCCAACTCGCCCCCGACCCCGCCGTTCAAGGAGGTCACCTGTCAGGGCGACATGGACCACATGGACGTGACCGAAGACCTGCTGACGGAAAGAGAAGCCCAGTCGCAAGACGCCCCGCCACACGATACCCAAACGGCGCCACCGACCCCGGCGGTCGCGGACGCGGTGCTTTCAACCTCCACCTCGGCCCTGCCGTCGCCCCCACTGCGAAAGTCGGCGCTGCTGGACTCGGCCAACTGGTCCATTCTGACCCACTCCCCCCCAGTCATTGGCATAGACACAAAAACACTCGTGGATGCCATTGACTTCCATTACTCCACACGACTCCCCCGGGTGGATAAAATGTTCCCCTGGCTCCACGGCCTGCACCCCAGCAACGTGAACCAGCGCACCTTCCTGCACCCCAACCGTCGCGTCAACAAGGAGTTCACCACCGAGTTCATCCCCAACAACTCGTCGTTCCCAGTGTCGCAGGCGCCGGGAGCCTCCACCCCGCTGCCCTCCCACAAGGACATCCCGTCCGAAGTGCGCGGACTCATCATCGTCAAGGCCAACAGACGGCAGGTCGCCGCAAACACCCCCGTGCAGTACAACGGGTTTGGCCACGCCATGAAGGGCGAAACCCTCAGAGAGGCCCGCCACTCGGGCTCCATCATCGGCACCATCTTCCTGGAGGACTTTTTGGAGGGCGACGCGGAAAAGGAAGACTTCCAGGACAAGTTCAAGTTTCTGGACGCGCCCGAGGGCATCTCGCTGCGAAAGTTCCAGATCCAGGTCGCCAAGTGGGCTGTCATCTCCGACATTGTGCTGTACGACTCGGCCGAGGGTCTCACCCCGCGGCTACTCAGGCTCGCCGAAATCGTGTCTGGCGCTCAGCGACGGTTTGCCGCTGAGAATGAAAAGCTCCACCAGGTCTACCGCACCTTTGTGTTCACGGACTCCATCACCCAGCTGGAGCAGGAGGCCCCCCACACTGTCACCATGTCGCACAATCTCTCCCCCGACGAGATTGACGAGCAACGGCTCAAGAACTGGGATGCCAACCTTCTATTCCATGAGCGGGTCGAGATCTCTATGATGTCTACCGCCACTCCTATCGCCTGCGACGTGTGGCTGGGAAACACAACCGACTTTGATGCGTACACAGCATCTCTGTCTGCAGCCAAGCAGGCCAAGCAGGTCAATAAGCATCACGGCGACATTGATGCGGCCGCAGTCAAGGCCCCCGCCAACTGGGTGACCATTATTGACTGCCAGGAAAATGCCCGACTAGTTCCCCTGGCTGTGTTAGACCAGTACATTCGGGAGGCTGAGGCATGCATTGTCGACCCCTCCCGACGACTCTCGCCTCTCCAGCTAGGCTTCCCCTCTTCGGGATCAATTCCCATCCAAGCCCTGACCCCCGAAAACGTCTATTCCATCATTAACGTGTGCAAACTCATCTATTTGCGATCTAAATGCACATATGGAGGCAAGCCTGCCGCATCTCTAGTCTTTTGCAATGATGGATATACTGAGACGTCGCTTCTGGCGCTCATTTTTCTCATGTACTCCACCGGATGCCGTGCCCCTCAAGCGTGGGTTGATTTGCATGTACAGTACAAGCGGCCGTTCTTCTGCTTCCCCATTGATGTGACTGTGGCGTCTGCTCTTCAGACTGCTTTGCACAAGTACTCGCCTGCTCTAAACGAGAAGCTCTCTTCTGGAGCAGAGTACACTGGCATGCCCCCCAACCTTATGTTCCTATCGGACGATGAGGATAACGGCTCTGTGCGACATGAAGACTCGTGGTTCAACCACTTTGACGGCTCCGTGCCCTCTCGAATCCTGCCGCATTTGTACCTCGGCTCCTTGGATCATGCTTCCAACCACGGTTTGATTCAGAAGCTTGGAATCAAGCGGATCCTGTCTGTTGGAGAGCCTGTGCCTTGGGCTATGGCCGAGGATGCTGATGAAGACGAGGAGATTGACCTGGAGGAGGAGGCTCGCAAGGTGGCCCATGATCCAGATCTTGTTAAGCTGGTGCGACAGACTCAGGAGCGTCGAGAGGCCCGAAAGCATCTCTCTCGCGTGCTGTACGTGTCCAACATCCAGGACGATGGCATTGACGAGATCACCGACTCGCTAGCGCAGTGCCTGGACTTTTTGGACGAGGGATACCGGCTGGGTGAAATGACGCTGGTGCATTGCCGAGTGGGAGTTTCTCGGTCGGCTACGGTTTGCATTGCGGAGGTCATGAAGCGGCTTGGCGTGGGGCTTCCGCGAGCGTACCTGTTTGTGCGTGTGCGGCGGCTCAACGTCATCATCCAGCCCAACCTGCGGCTCATGTACGAGCTTGTCAAGTGGGAGGAGCGTCATCGGGATCAAGGTGAGGGCTGGTTGCGAGAGGTTGACTGGCACATTCTCTGTCGTGAGATTGCCAACATGAACCGGGTTTATATTCCCGAGTAAGGACGGTCGAGGACGCGGATCGTCTCGAGTAATGGGTAGAAAAGAGAGACCCGGATTTGTTATGGGTTTTATTAGTTTGTTTTGAATTATTTATAGGGATTTGGCGTTAATACACAGAGAATAATGGTATAGATGGGCGTATTTTGTAGACACTCTTCCTAGTCAACTACTTTCCAACTAAACTCCAACCACATTAGATGACCATAGCTCACAGGACTGGGACGGATATAGTGCATGTGAGCCACACGATGGTCGTTCATGGACATTGTATGATTGTCAACCAACTCAGAAGTCTTCACACATGTGATGATCTCCGCTACCTTCAAATTTGCACTTTCAACAGAGGTGCTTCAGATTATCACCTCCCAAGAATATATACTTAGAATACCGTACAAGTGAGACATGAACATAACTCACACAGTCGAAACTTCAGCAGTTTTGTACCACAATGATAGCACCAACTCCAACTATACAATGGTGCAAATCTTTCGGCAGTATCTTGTCCAGAACCCCCACATTATACCCTGCTAAGTGTCATGTTCTTACACTGTACCCCCTTTGTTCAGTTAATGGACGTCTGTCCTCTTCTATGTATTATATCAGGTAAAGTACATACAAATACATGATTGTCTGGCACACAGATCTTGGTGGCAAGATCTCGGCGTGTCATATGCCTCATACTGTGGCGCGCTCGGCACCTGTCCTTCTCAGGAACCCCAACGAGCCTGTACAACAGAACGTTGCTCGCATCGTCCTATACGCATCCATTCTGTCCGCAGTTCTCTAGCCGACTTAGATAGCATTCCGCCTGGTCATGTTGTCAAACCGAGAGAAAGTGTATCCAATGAAGGGCAGATCACTGGATCGATCGCTTCGAGAGCTCTGCTGAGGGTACTCGGACACATCACCAAGCTCATCGGTGGGGAAGTAACTGGTGTCAGTGATACTGCTCAACTTGGGCACGAAAGGCGCGTTGAACTCCCGGATAGACGACCAGTCGACGCCTCGGAAAAAGGGATGCGATTTGATCTCGTTGGCGCCGCCGATTCGACCCAGACGGTTCTCGGACGAAGTCAACAGCCGCCTGATGAGATCCTCAGATTCAGGAGAAAGATGCACATCATCGGGGAATTGCAACGTCTCTCGCCAGTTGATGATTTTGTGGTAAGTCTCTCGGGGCTGCTCGGAGCAGAACGGAGGCCATCCAACCAGGCACTCAAACATGATGGCTCCCAGAGACCACCAATCGCACTCCTGGCCGTAGCCCTGATGCACAAAGATCTCCGGTGCAATGTAGTCTGGCGTTCCCACGGTGGAGTAAGCCATGAGACGTCGGTTCTTTCTCCACGTGGAAATCTGCTGTCGCATCGTCAGGTGGATGGAATCGTAAGTCGACTGTCGGTTCGTGTTTTGAGGGGGACCCATCTGTGTGGCTGGGTTGGAGGAAGTGCCGTCCTTGAGCTTCTTCCAATAGGCCGACGAGTGGGTCTTGTGGAAGCCTGTGGAGAGACCGAAATCGGACAGCTTGATGTGGCCCGTCTTGTCGATCAGAATGTTGTCGGGCTTAATGTCTCTGTGGATGAAGCCTAGCTTGTGGATCGCTTCGATGGCCAGCACGCACTCGGCAATGTAGAAACGGGTAATGTCTTCGCTGAAAACGTCGTACTTGATGAGCATGGTCATGAGATCGCCACCGGGAAGGAACTCCATGATCAGGTAGAGGTACAGGTCGTCCTGAAACGAAAAGTACAGCGAGACGATCCAGGGGGAGTCTGAGTCCGCCAGCACGTCTCGCTCGGCCTTGACGTGCGCCCATTGCTCCTTCATGTCCATTTCCTTCTTTAGCATGGTCTTCATGGCGTAGATTTTGCCATTGTCTCGCTTCTGAACCAGCCGCACTTCTCCGAACGCTCCCTTTCCAATCACCTTGACGGTGACAAAGTCTTCCAGCGCCATTCTTGTTCGTCGCATACGCAGATACGCCGTTTCTTTCTTGCCGTAGTTTGTGAGCACCCGGTTGCGTCGTTCTTCCGACGTGGCCTGCTCGACGGAGGCCTCGGCGGCGGATCTTCGCTGGTGGCGCTCGATAGCATGCTGCACAATGCCCTTGTAGTAGGTGCTGATGACCTGGGTGGTGTTGTGGGCTCGGTCTCGGGCCGTCTTGGACAGCAGATCCGGCCGGGGTGTGAAGTTGACGTAGTCACTAGGCTGCTGTTGAGCCACAGACTGTTGCTGTGGTTGTTGTTGCTGCTGTTGATGCTGTTGATGCTGTTGCTGTTGCTGTTGTTGTTGCTGTTGCTGTTGCTGTTGCTGTTGCTGTTGCTGTTGCTGTTGCTGTTGATGCTGTTGCTGCTGCTGTTGGTACTGGCTGTGCTGTTGCTGCTGGTACTGCTGCTGGCTGTTGTACTGTTGCTGGTTGAACTGCTGCTGCTGATCCAGAGACGTGTTGGACTGGTTGGAGTTCTGCTGATACAGCCCCGACGGAGGCGGCATGAGGTTGTGAGGCTGCTGCGACCCGTACATGGGCTGGCCCTGGCCAGGAACCCACTTGTCTGTCATCTTGCTTGCTTGTGTGGAGAGCGGTGTGGGTGTAGTTGTAGCTAGTGTGGTGTCTGTCTGGGTCCAACTATCCGAGTGTCTCTCTGTGTGTCTGTGTGTGTGTAAAAGGGGCTGGGTTAGGTGACGTGGAATTATGCAGGAGAAAAGGTTAACGTGTGTGAATGTAGAGGAACACCAGACGGGTGGAGAGGGGAGCTGAAGGGTGCGAATATATAGACGGTGACGGGTTTTGTGTCACACGCCACACGCAGGACTGTCTCTTTTTCTTTTTCTTTTTGCCCCCGAATTCGGACCACAACAACACGTATTATTGCAACATTAAAAGTCAGTTCGTGACAGACAGATGAGGCACACCAAAAATAATGTGAAATAGTTAATCGCAAAAGGGCGGTCTGATTGGAGGTGGATTTGGGTCGGGAACGCGACAAAAATAGTGATTTTTGTACACATGGGTGTCTCTTCCTGGTTGTATATTTTTTCTTCAATTTTCCCCAACCTTTTTCTCCACTTTTATCCGATTTTACACTGATTATTCCCCCCACCATACGTGAGCCTATTTGTGGGTAATTAATATTATTTTCGCTCTGTTTTAAAGAAAAAAAGCAACTTGAGGCCAAAAATACGGCTACAACTATCAGTTCAAAAATAGTACAAAATACAAAAATATTAAACCGGAAAAATCAACGCCCCCATTGGTCGATAACTATCCCTATCTGTGATCTCAACGACTTTCATTGTCAATATTTGCATCGGTTGATTTTGCAACCTGCCCCGGGTGTTTTTTAAATATTATTTTCCTATTTTGAATCTTTTTTTACTGTTTTTCTTTTTCCTTTTTCTTTTTTTAGTATTTTTCTTTTTTTTTCTGTTTTTCTTTTTACGTGACTTTTTTACGTAGCCTAATAGTGTTGATCTACGCGTACAGCAGAACGACATGCTCGGGATGAACATGAGACACAGACATGGTGGAGAAGATCTGAAACATCTAGGAAGATCAGAAAAGTGTGTGTATTACTATGGATTTATTTCCCATCCTCTAGGAGCAATATTCGCCAAGCTAGAGTGATTTACATCTCTGGTGACTACTCAAAGCGCGTAAAACCGCCCCGAGCGAAGAGAAAAATCACACAATAAGTCAACCAGACGTTCTGAATCGGAAGATGTAGATAATTTGATGTGACCAGATGGTTGGTAGTGTCACCGCTGTCCTCCTACGTTGCATGTTCGTTCTCCTTGATAATCACGGAGTAGACAAGACCTGGTAAGAGATATCTCAACTATTCTTATACCATTGTCATCGGACAGACCAGGGCTTTCCAATGGTACCATAGTTTCGCTCAAACATCCTCTCTTCGCGTCGTTCTGCTCGTAACCTCATGCGCTCTCCCCTGCTCCTACAATAGAACCCTCCCTCCCCCTCAACATGTCAATATCATAAATCATATTGTCCTGGCTCTTGTTCGACGCCTCCATAGCCCATGTCCTTCCCTATAAATACTAACTGGCCTTGTCAATCTCCTCGAGTCGAGCCAGAACGACCTTTTTGCTGGTTTCTTCGAGCTCGCCGGCCAGAAACACCTCGTCGAGGATCGCATACACCTTGTAGAAGTTGAAGACAAGATCCAGCTCGCAAACGTTGCCGAAAAACGTGTCCAGCACCTCCACAAACAGATGGATGGCCTCCAGGTAGAAGAGCTCATTGTCGGATTCGTCGACCACAATGCAAAAGAAAAGTCCCGCGTACCGGCGGTAGATGACCTTGTAGTTGCCCAGCTCCACAAAATTGCTCTGGTATCGCTGATCTCGGGCGGCCACCAGCCGATGCACCTCTCCCATCAATTTGATTTTTTCCGTGTCCTGGGTTAGTCCATGCGGACAAACGATATATGGCTGTGTTCGTCTGGATCTTGCCGTTCGAATGGTGGTGCTTCCATCTTGATCGCAGCACTCCTCGCCGAGTTGGTCAAGATGAAGAAACCTGGGAGCCCCATCATGTACTCACCGAATACGCATTGTACCACTTGGCAAGTCGCGTTTTGCCCTGTCGGTTCTGTACCAAAATGTACTGTAACACCATTATGACGGCTTTGTGTCGCGAAATGTCGTGTCACCGCTGGTCGAAAGAAATGTATGGCTTTCGTGACTTGCAGAGTGGTACAGCGGCGTCTGCATGAGGTAATTACAGGGGTGCTTAGTCAGCGGAGGGGTGGGACAGGCGTGTGAATGAGGCGGGTCGATGAGGTCACGTGACGGTGTCTCGGGAGGGTAAATTGGGTGGTGATTGTGTGTTTTGGTTGGTTATGGCATGTTTTGGTGTTAGTTGGTCGACTCTTGTAGCACTTGATATGGGTGTATATGATGGATTGGGGAAGCTGCTTGAAGTGGAATGCATTGACGAGGAAGAAGAATGCTGGAGCCCCAAACTGTCGAATCAGGAACCGATTCGGAGATTCAAAAGTCAACTATCAACCTTCTTCGGTCCTTCGACCTCTCCATCTTCAGCTATTGTGGTCTTTTTGGGTGCTACACTCAGTATATAAGCACTTGCATATCTAGAGTCAATAAGATGGGGGAATTCAGAAGGAGACAGGAAAGAGCTGTGGGGTGATTTTTTTTAATAGAGACTGATGGCTGTTATTGCAATTTGGGTCAATTTCGCCTTTTAGGGATCCGATGCGACGTTCCTAGGGCTGGATATGGACGATTTTGCCTATCAGAAAAGAGCAAATAAAACAAAATGAAATGAAATAAAATAAAATAAAATAAAATGAAATAAAATAACATAAAATAACATAAACCAAAAACTTCCCCCAAAACTTCCCCCAAAAAACCCCCAAAATGAAAAAACCGCATGGCTGCGGACAAAAAAGATACCACCACAGACGAAGGAAAACATACACGGCCAAAACGCCACCACGTTTATATTAGAATATGTTCGCTGCGAATTCAATGGCGTGGCTATTTTTCCAACCAGTGTGACTGGAGCCCGAGTTGGAGACCCGTTTCGTAGGGTTCAGGTCGTTCACACGCCCAACAGCTGAAGATACGGATACCTGGCGTTGTTTTAAGTGAAAAGCGACGATATTTCCATGGACTGGAGTTGTCCAAAGCGACAGCTTCATTTTGTATATCTACAAGTAGTCGATTTGGCCATTGTACTGTTCTCAAAGTGCGCTCAACAACCGCGGCTAGTGTCTGTCGGCAAAGTTGCACCCCTTAAAACGCTGGGAATTAATTGTGTTAAATCCAACTTTGTTTGGGGTTGGCTCGGGGATTTTCTGCGTTGTAATTGCCAGAAAATGGCGATAATTCCAGAGAATGGGAATGGGGGTTTTGGACAACGACAGCTGCGACAATCGTGTTGGAAGTGTCGAAAAACGTGCTGGAATCACTGAGAATATTAACTGTTAATTTTAGAGCCCCATGGAACCACAAGACGGGCACCACTGAGTCGATGGAGGGACGGAGAAAGAAATGAAAGAAAAAAAAAGAAAAAAAAAAAGAAAGAAAAAAGAATAAAAAAAAAGAAAGAAAAAAGAAAAAAAAAGAAAGAAAAAAGAAAGAAAAGAAAAGAACTAACCTTCCCGTAATAACTGTAGCCTTCCATTAACAGATGAACTCGCCTTAATTTCAAACCAGCGACAAGAACGACACACCTCATTCGAGCCGGTAGAACAACAGACGAGGCCGTTGGAGAATTTGTTGCTCCGGAGGAGCTGGCCAGGAACTGCTGAGGGGACTGGACGCCCGAGCCACCGACCAATGGTCAAGAACTGGATCCACAGTGGTGGAAGCCTGCCGCGTCCTACGTGTCCTACTTCTCTTCCCACAAGGACCGCCTCACTCTCGTCCGCGTACAGTAGAGCATCAACGAGTGGAGCTGACAGACTATATCTGAGCGTAAGCAACTGGTTCTTCCTGATCAGATTTTGGTTCTCCCCCCACTTGTGGTCATGCTGGTGCCCAACTGCGGAATGAGAGGAGCCCTAGAACTGCTTGAACGAACCCAGCTCCTAGAACCACTCTTCAGCACCTGAGGATAGATTCGACAGTCGCCGCCAACTCCGGACTAAGACAAATCATCTAATTCTCAGTCTGGAGTACATTTGTTGAGCCCACAGACAGGTCTTCTGTTCGAAGCCATGTGAGAGCGCTTGGCGAGACTGTGGACATCTGTCGACATTTAACCAACTGGAGAGAATACCTCTGGACCTGAATCCCAAAAACAGGATGTATGCCGACAGGGAATGTTCCAGCGCAGCTGGAGACAAGCTGTACTACTGGAGAACTCCGTCAACCAGGAATACCCATGTAGTACAAGCCAGTTGAAATGGAAACGGTTGAAGAACAGAATGACGTAGTGATAGACCAAAGGAGTTCCGTAAACGCCTTGACAAAGACACCAAGCTGTGCTGGAGAGTAAAAGCTGTTTTGGACAATAAAACAAACTGTCTACTCCATCGCATCTTGGCATAACGGTCTATGCTGGGAGCTCCAGCTGATATCCTGTCCACGCTCTACATTCAGCTATTCTTGAGCATGGCGTAGCGCTATATAGACGCTTGCAGAGTTCAGGAGCGTTCCATGCTCTTTGGTATCGATTCACTTCTCCAGCGCAGAAGCTGTTGATGGTCTGTAACTGCTACCAACCGCTACTGGGGTGAAGTGCAAGTCACAGTGGCATTTTCAGATGGTTCCAACGGGAGAAACTGAGGACTGTTTGCCAGTTACTACGGAGACTCCGTTCCGCTGACAAAAGCCACTACCAAATGCAATGAGGATGTGTTCTGGGAGAAATCACAGCTAATATCGCATCCGCAAGACTTGCTAGAGGTGGTTCCCCTCTCTTTTCGTCGGAGAGGTTCCAGAAGAGTCACCTACCGAACTTCTCCGTTAGCGATCAGAAAAGAGGCCTGAGTGCCAGGATCTCGTCGGATACCTTCCAGCGTCACCAATGGTGTTGGTCCCTGGAGTGTCAATGGTGTTGGTCCCTGGAGTGTCAATGGTGTTGGTCCCTGGAGTGTCAGTAGTAATAGCCAAGTCCAGATAGTAAGGAGATGTCTGTGAGAGCCGGAGATGGACAATAACATGTCAACTTCCCACCGACTTCCGATTCTGACCACCACCGATATCCTTGTCCAGAACCAGTGGCTCTCGAAAGACTCAAGTGCCATGAAAAAAAGATCCAGCAGCTAGATGTTGACCTCAAATCGACAAGTCTGTATCTGGGCTGGGCTGAATCTCTTAGAACCGGTTCATGGAATTACTTGAGAACTCCAACCAACGGATCAGAGTCTGAATACTGCCCAGAGAAGGCGAGGTGATTTTTCGGACGGTGGGACAGATATATTAGTGGTGTCATTCCTTACTTCATCCACAGGGGTGAGAAAAGTATTGAACTTGTGTATCTATATAGTAATTAATAAAAAGACATTTTATTATAATTTTATTATAATTTCATAACCATTTTACCATTTTAAACATAAAACAGTCAAAAAACATTATACTGTTAAAAAAACAAAAAATAAAAATAAAAATAAAAATAAAAATAAAAATAAAAAACGCCATTCTAACATCATACAGAGATAGTGGTACTGATAGTCATACCGATAATCATTCCAGTCGTACCAGTCGTACCGATACCGATAGTCATACTACAATTTAGTCGTACCAGTCGTACCAGTCGTACCAGTCGTACCAGAGCGGATTATACCGTCTCGTAATCGTAGTCATCGCTACAATCTGACAATACGCTCACCCTACAACGTCTAACACATGTGCAATATTTTAATTTTACAAGACCCAAGCAACGCTTAGAACTGGAGGGCCTGGCCCTTCTGCTTCTTGTCTCCACCAAGCTCGAAGTGCTTGCATCGCTTGAGAGCAAGCTGCATCTTGACCTTGCACTTGACACACTCGAGTCGCAGAACCACCTTCTTGGTGGTCTTGGCCTTCTTGTGGAAAATCTGCTTGGTCTGACCTCCGTAACCGGACTGCTTTCGGTCGTATCGTCGCTTACCCTGAGCGTACAGAGAAGCCTTACCGGCCTTGTACTGGGTCACCTTGTGCTGGGTGTGCTTTCGGCACTCCTTGCCCTTGCAGTAAGTGTTTCTAGTCTTGGGGATGTTGACTGGGTTAGTATGAGGTATGAGGGTACGTGTAGAGGAACTGTTGGTGACAGAGACTGTCGTGGATGAACTGTCGTGGATAACTTGTCAAGTTGCGGGCGACAGAGACCATGCCGTGGGTCACACTTGCCAAGTTGTAGGTCGCACTGCTCATGTCGTTGCCACCACATTATCGCATCAGATCAAATGTCCAAAATTGTCGCTGAAATGTCACTGAAATTTCGCTGGAAATATCGCTCGTTGCTCGAAATCCACCCAAGTCGCCTGTCGCCAGTTGTCCTTTTGTCGCCAAAAACCCGCCCTTCACTCCAATATCGTCACTCACCCATTGTATATTCTTGCCACCAAAGTGTTGTCGAGACGGTAAAAGTAAAAAGAGTCCTGCATGAGACCCATTGGTATGCTAGAGTTTGCCAGTGTGACGGGCGTCCGCGTTGGGACAAGTCACGTGAGGTAGGGTTAGCCCTAAAACATTAGGGACAAGTATGAATAGAGGAGAAATGAGATTGAAAAAAAGCTGGTTTGGTGGAAATAGGGAAATTTTGTGTATTAGTTTGAAGACATGATTGTTGCGACTATTGTGTATTTTTTAGTTATTTTTCGACTATTATTACATAATCGGGGGGGTTTAAAATTAATGGATTTTTGAATTTTTTACAAATGTTAGTAAAGAGTTTTGATTTTGATTTTGATTTTGATTTTGATTTATTTTGATTTTATTTTTAATTTATTTTCAATTTATTTTTAAAAAGACACACCCAATCGGAAGAAATAACATTACCCGAATTGCCAACATTACAGGCAATGATTCGATTACTCATACTCGTGGAGAGTCACATGACCTAAACGAAGACGTTAAGACTGACTGGCTAATTCTACTGCTTACATATGGCGGTACACTGTTTGACTACATCAGACAAGGACAACAGGGCTTGTCATTGGTACCAGAAGACATGTTTACAGACGGGAGAAGACAAGTATCACAGTAAAAGTTGTTGTTGTTATTGTTGAACTAATCAAAGAGTATATCGGCTGTCTTTATCCTGCTCCAGTCTTCAGCTCGAGTATCCAGCTCCTCTCCATATCCGATTTATAGAGTATGTACAGAAGATTGCAGTAGCACTTCTCAGCAAACGAGTCTGTCACCATCTTCAATAAGCACTGGTCTCCTTGGTGCTCGACCAATGGATTCAGAATTTTCTGCTGATTCTGATGATATCAATTATTCCCTCTGTATTTGATGATAGGATGTTTTTGATTGTCCAGTATTGGCCTCTGGGGCACATACTGCACTCCCCAGCCGGAGTGCTCCTCTGTTAGAAACTGTAGTCAACAGTTGATCAGACTACCGAGTTCTGTTTCTCAAAAGTCGACCATGAAGGGGGACTATCTGCGGGCGTGGTCCCTTCCAGCTCAGACGACGACAATACTGGAGTGAGAGAAGAACCTAGTGGTCACTTTCAGACGATTTCTCAGTTCTTCAGTCAAAGCGGACCCAGACAAAAGTTGACAAAGTCGGAGAGACAAGGAATTGGTGGTAGAAAGGATTTACAAAGTACAAAGTGGTTCTGACTTTCAAGCAAATCTGCCACGTTCAACACTCGGGGACAGCCCTCACAAGTATACTAATGATGAAGCAGTAAAACGAGATATACAAGCCGAATATCACCGCCTCAACGATTCCTTTGTCGAACTCCACGAGTCTCTAGCGTCAATACTGCGGATTCTGTCTCTACTTTCCTTGCTGCAACTTCGTGCAGCCCAAGGTCCATTCAATTAATCTGATTAATAAATACTCTCGTCTCTAATCCTCAATCTTGGTGACCTGCACTCCTTCGTCCGACTCCACCTCCTGTCCGTCTAGTCTCTCCAGATGAGAGAAGGTTCTGGTGACTCCATGGGCAGCCATCTGTTTATCTTCCGTTTGTCCCTGCCATCTTCGCAGCTTCCAGGTTTGTCCGGTACAGTCCCAGTACAGGCCTCGGAAGGTCTCGAAGATACCCTGTCGCGACTCCCAGAGCGGGTAAAGAACCACCAGGAAGGCGGAAAAGAAGATCCAGATGATGCCAACCACCACCCAGCCGGTGAAGAACTTTTTAGAGAAAACGTAGCCCACTCCGTACATGGGCATGGGCCACAGCACCAGTAGACAGAGGGCCATGATGGCGGTGATGATGCGGGCGATTTTGGCGTACTTGTCGAGCAGAGCCTTTTCTGCCGGATCCAGCTCTTCCAGGTGAACGGGGGGTTCAACTGCAGCTGGCAGAGGCTCATGGAGTCCGTATTCCGCCTCCATGGGGTCCTCGGGGGTGGTGGAGCCTCCGGTCTTGTTAGGGGAGTTTGCCCGTTTTTCGCGGATGGAGACGATCTCGTCGGAACCTCCCAGCTCTTCAACAATGGAGTCGACTTTCCAGAACTCGGAGTCGTCGGCGCGGGTGATTTGCTTGAACTTTTCAAAGTCGAACTTGTCCAGCCCAAAGATGAGGGTAAGCACGGGGATGGTCATGAGAGGCGACAGCAGAGCCACCACGTTTCCCGCGAGCATGGGCAGATCGGAGCCGGCGGTGTCCACGTTGATGACGCCCTTTTCGCACTTGGTGGTGACCAGCCAGGTGATAATGGCGAAGCAGAAGCCCAGAGGAGGGGATAGAACACCGGCCCAGAAGTTGAGACCGCCCCACATGAGGGTCAGAACTGCCGGAATGACTGCCGACGAGATGATGACGCCCATGAGCAGGTAGAGGAAGCCCATGGACACGCCAATGTAGTAGAGTCCAATGGCGAACCCGGCGATGGCGAATCCAAACGTGACGACCGCGGCGTGGGAGGTCATGATCAGGGTCTTTCCGGTCGCCTTGGGGTTGATGTAGCCCTTGTAGATGTCGTAGGTAAAGATGGAGGAGACCGCGATAAGTTCCGACGAAAAGGCCGATGTCACGGCCATGAACACCATGGTCAGGGCGCATCCGGCTCCTGCCTTTCCCAGCAGCGCGACCGCGGCGTTCGGCAGCGCCAGTCCGGCGCTCACGTCTTCGGCGGACATTCGGGCCGGGTAGCCGGGGAAGGACGGGGTGCCCTCCAGAGCCAGACAGGCCAGCCCCATGGTGGTGGCACAAAGCCAGGGAATGGCGAACCAGGCCAGACCGCCGAGCACGTAGCCGGGCAGCGCGGCGGCCGGAGAGGCGGCAATGGCCTTGTTCCAGTAGCCGTTATCGAGGAAAACGGTTCCAAAGTTGCCGACAATGTTGATGACGAAGAAAATGGCTCCATCGTGCGACTTCATGGTCAGATACGAGCCGTGTTCGTTGCCCTTGACCGGGAACTCCAGAGCCCGGGCAACCAGAAGATCGTAGACCTTACCGGGGGAGCCCAAAACGTCGTGGTTAGCGTAGGTGGTGAAGGCAAACACCAGAATGATCACCAGCAGGATGATGGTGTGCAGGTAGTCGGTGATGAAGGTGGCCTTGATACCTCCAAACAGGGTATAGAGAATGACACCCAGAGGAAGAAGAAGACAGGCGGCGACAACGTTCATGCCGGTGAGATCCTTGACCACCGCCGAGCCACCGGTCAACAGCATCAGAGTCACCAGAATGTTGGTGGCCAGACCAAAACACATGAAAACAATGTGTCCAGCTGGTCCAAACCGCATCTTGATGACTTCCAGATAGGTATGGGCTCCGGGTGCTCTTCGTTTGAGCTCAATGGCCAGAGTAGCGAACAAAAGGACCTGGACACAGGCGCCAGTGGAGTACCATAGGGGACCAGACACTCCGTTCTTGTATGCCTGGGAGGTGGACTGGAGCAAAGTAGCAGCCCAGGTCCATGAGGAAACCACCGAGGCGGCAATCAGACCGGTTTTGACCGATCGGGAGGCGGTGGAAAACTCCTCCGAAGACATGACTTCACGTTGGTAGCGTCGCATGGCCCAGGTGATGAAGATCATGATCATGGAGAAGCCAAGACCCACGCCAAGAACCACTCCATAGCCTGCTCCTTGAGATAGAGGTGCTTCAATCATATTGGTTTGATAGATGGAGAATACAGAGCTTCCATATCCATTCATATATATATACAATTGCCAAAGAACAACCCTGATAACTGATAAGCTCTGCAGGCCCGCGATGGGCCGTCATGGCAGACGCCGAACAAAGCATGATAGTGCAGAAACAGGAGATGATTGGAAAGTGTAATATATAATTTTAAAGAGATTTTTGACAGAAATTGAATGATCAAGTCTGATTCTTCATTGGTCCACTTCCTCAAGTACTATTAATGACCTCCACAACCACAAAAAACATCCCTACCAACCTATAGCGTACCAAGGACCTACTCTGACAAGAATGCCAAGTAAGATTAGAATCTAAATGTAACGGTAATCTTACTTGGCCTTGGTCATTTTCTCCCAAGACATTCCTTCATCTTACTACTCGTGCTTGTAGACTCAGTGAGACTGTTGTTTGATACAATCGGCCCAACTCAACGAATAACAACGGTATTGGAAATCAGACTTCACCAGTACATTTCTTTAGCGACAGAGATTCGTTCGATATAATGTTTCCCCTCAAAAGTCCCTCAAACAGCCCCAATATGGCTTATCTCTAAGCCGCACATTTGATAAGCGGCTGATAAGGTTGTTCCAATCACAGTGTCCGGATCGGATCCAGCGATCCACCACTGCAATCAGATACTGAACTCCAGCTCTCAGGCCAGGCGACCGGCCCGAGGAAAATAAGCTTGTTCTTATTTTCAAACAAGAAAAATGGGCCCAGGACGGCGGCGGAGAGTGGAGCTCTCTATCCATGCTAGATACCTTGATTGAGCTAGGAGATCTCGTCTGATTAGCCCGCCGGTTGGAAAATCAACTTATTGAATGACATTGTCGATGGCTACTGAAAACCACGGGGGTTTCCCCCTTTTTTCCCTTGATTTCCATCATCACAACAAATCACGTTCCGAACAGTTTAAGCTCATGCACACCTGCAGAGCTCGTATTGAGGAGCCCATTTATTGGCATGTTAGGGGGAGCTGTGGTGATGAAAAGAAGATGGATAGAGAGCCAGAGATGGTCTGATTCGAACCGTTTTCTTTTCGTCTCCACATCTCCTCCACAGTCCGTTCTAGAGGCACTCCCGCGCCACATACCCAACTCTAATCGCGCCAATCACGCACCTACCTGATTTCACATAAAGATAACGTCGGAGGAAGAAAATAGTCCACGGAAAGTCACGTGTTGCTTTTGACGAGACTCTCAGACGTTTGAAACAGTCGCTGCTGAAATGTCAGATACCGTATCTGGGTTTTGCCATCAGACTGTGGATCAATGGCAGCCAGCCAGGCTGTGGATCAGACTGTCAGCCAAGCCGTCAGATTGTGGATCAGGCTGTCAGCCAAGCTGTGGATCTGACCGTCAGCCAAGCCGTCAGACCGTAGCTTAGACTGTCAAACTGATATCTTGGCAGGGCCGGCTGTCTGGGCGTTTTTATTCGCTGATTAGTGACTAGCTGCATCAACAAAGATCATGTTGGTTTACTATTGGCCAACTGAAGGACAGAGCCATCGAGGAAGGGCAAATAGTTCAGATATCGGAAGGGTTGCTGATGTCGGAATGAAGCATTGCGGATATGGACGATAGTGACTACAGACTAGGAGCTGGTACGAGTACTTGTGTGGTTCCTAGGGAGGATGTGGTGATAAGACAAAGTAATTTCATTGCTCAAAAGACCCAAAAGAGTCCATTTGTCAGCTTTCTAGTCTCCATCTCTACCCCCCTCACTCTGGGGGTGAAGCGTGTCATTTGACCCTCTTTAGACATCCATATCGCGATCCTTCAGCGTCTGGTAGATCACTCCACGGTAGTTTGAAGTAAAAGCAACGACCGAGGGTTCCGCGGACTAACCAGATAGTGGTACGACAGTCTATTGAGTGGGTACGAGAGAGGGCATCTACTTTTAGGGCCAAATAAACCGGGGCTAGTTGAAGTATAGTGGAAGGCCTATCAACGTTTGAGATACCACTACAAGAGTCAGTTTAGGAGATAGAGCTGCAAAAGCTGGACTGTAGACTAAACCGACATTGATGAACAGAATGCGCTTTTCAGATTTTCTCTGTCTATTCTGGTTTGGAACTGAGTCGACACGGTTTCCAACGTGAACCGAGTCGGTCATGATAGACTAAGCGCAACCAATGATATATGACTAAGCGCAACCAATGATATATGACTAAACGCAACCAATGATATATGACTAAGCGCTACCAACCGAAGACTTGCTCAACTCCCCATTCCGCCCTCCATATCTCCTTTTGGTTTATGAAAAACTCTACTCCGAATAAAGTTAACTTTTCAGGGTATTTTTGCCACGCATTTATTTTTCATATCGGAATTAATGCATCACACCCTGCACAGCTGGACCTGATAAGCGGAGTGGCGGGATTGGCAGGCTGACAAATATGTCACATGCCAGAGGGATAATAGTCACATGACAAAGGGATAATAGACACGTGACGAAGGGAGAATGGTCACGTGATAGAAGAAAAATGGTCTCGTGAATCTGGACGAGGAGCCTGCTTCGGCTCTAAGTTTTCTGAACTGGTGTGTAAGATGTGCTGATGGTGTGGTTGGAACCTTTAGTTGACATTAGTTGAAGATCAATTCAGACTGAAGGTGTCATTTTGGGCTATAGGAGAGATTGAGATGACAAAAAATATATCAATTGGTAATCACAAATCGTGTGAAGATATTCATATAAAAAACACATATTCCAATCGTATTAATTTGCGATAAGTGGTTTTTGAGATGGTGGACGTTGTATGTATGTACATACATTAGTTCCAACGAGGGCTGGTGAAGAGTCACTGCACTATAGTATAGCTCTTAAAAGAGCTTTATATCAAAGAAAAAACAAATCGATTTATTTTTTCAACTTTTCAAAAAAAACCAGGAGCAATTAGAGACCCATTATTTCACATTTCAAAGCATATTTCATCTGTTTGTCGTCGAGTTCACTCCATCGTGTTACATTGGGTTAGGGTCGGGTTAGGGTCGGGTTAGGGTCGTGATAGTCGACAAAATACTCCTATCTGGTTGGTTTCAAGTAGTACTACGTTGAAATAACATCTCTGCACAGTGTAAAACTCCATTGCCTTCTTCTCATTCCGTTTGACTACTTGTAAGTAGTTGTAGCACATTTTAATGGTGTCAAGTAGAGATGACTACTTTTAGTTGGACATTAGTTGGAGTTGGGACAAGTGCTCTTCAGTATGTACTGACATACAGAATACCGTATTAAATACTCCTTTGAAATACCCGTTAGATGTCTCCCGATCCCACCTTTGGATCCTCTTTATTTCCCTCGGCCGTACCTTTGTTCTCACCTCTTTATCTCCCTCTCTATCTCTCAATCCCTCTCTATGACTCACTACGGCCAGGCTGACTAAGACTTTCAATTAAAATAAAAAAATCGTACATCAAACGAAACGCAACAAGGCAGACGAAAAAGACGAAAAAAGACGGAAAAAGAAGAGAAAAACCCGCTCCAGTCACATCTGCACCGGTCACGTGACCGTCACGACGGGACCCAACTCTAACGCCACTCTAACGCCAGCACATTCTTGGGTCTTTCTTGTTGCATGTGCCTAATTAGGATAGATCAGAGTGCCAGTGAAATTTTGGCCTGTTTGGAAGGGCCGAATGTAGATGAGAGAGAAAACACAAAAACCGGTGAAAAACCTGGGAAAAGTGGTGTAAAATGAACGTGTGAATCCGATTACGTCATCAGTCTCCCCCCCGCCATCTCCATATCTCCTCTATCCATTTGCTCACCTTGCCATCCAAGTGTTACCCTGCTGCATGTGCCCTCCCTTGATCCCAAATCTTCTTTACCTCCTCTGGGGCCCACATGAAACTACACCATTGTCTTCCTACCAGTCGACTTTTCCGCCACCGTTTCAGCACCATGCCCCTTAATCCCGAGACCTGGCCCGCGACCAAGGTCCGAAAGACCTTTCTGGACTACTTTGGCGAGAAGCGAGCGCATTCGTTTGTGCCGTCTTCGTCCGTCATTCCCTACGATGATCCCACCCTGTTGTTTGCCAACGCCGGTATGAACCAGTACAAGCCCATTTTCCTGGGCACGTGCGACCCGTCGTCGCCTCTGTCAAAATTGAACCGAGCCGCCAACTCGCAAAAGTGCATTCGAGCCGGAGGAAAGCACAACGATCTGGATGATGTGGGACGAGACTCGTACCACCACACCTTCTTCGAGATGCTGGGCAACTGGTCGTTTGGCGACTACTTCAAGGCCGAGGCGTGCGCTTGGGCCTGGGAGCTGCTGACCCAGGTCTACGGCCTGGACGCCGACAGACTCTACGTGTCCTACTTTGGCGGCGACGACAAGCTCGGTCTGCAGCCCGATCTTGAGGCCAAACAGATCTGGATGGATCTGGGAGTCGCCGAGGACCACATTCTGCCCGGAGACTCTGCTGATAACTTTTGGGAGATGGGAGATCAGGGCCCCTGTGGCCCCTGCTCCGAGATCCACTACGATCGAATCGGAGGTGGACGAAACGCCCGAGATCTCGTCAACATGGACGACCCCAACGTTTTGGAGATCTGGAACATTGTGTTCATCCAGTACAACCGAGAGGCCGACAAGTCGCTCAAGCCTCTGCCTGCCAAGCACATCGACACCGGAATGGGCTTCGAGCGACTCGTGTCTGTACTGCAGGACAAGAGCTCCAACTACGACACCGACGTGTTCACCCCCATCTTCGCCAAGATCCAGGAGCTGACCGGAGCCCGAGACTACGCTGGCAAGTTTGGCGCCGAGGACGCTGACGGTATTGATACTGCCTACCGAGTTGTTGCCGACCACGTTCGAACCCTGACTTTTGCTCTGGCCGACGGAGGAGTGCCCAACAACGACGGACGAGGTTACGTTCTGCGACGAATTCTGCGACGAGGTGCGCGATTCGTCCGAAAGAAGTTTGACGTGCCCATTGGTTCCTTCTTCTCCCAGCTGGCTCCCACTCTGATCGAGCAGGTCAACGAGATCTTCCCCGAGCTGAGCAAGCGAACGGAGGACATTTTCGAGATTCTCAACGACGAGGAGCAGTCCTTCTCTCGAACCCTCGACCGAGGAGAGAAGCTGTTTGAGCAATACGCTGCCGACGCCAAGGCCAACAGCAAGACTGTTCTCGCCGGTAAGGACGTCTGGAGACTTTACGACACCTACGGCTTCCCCGTAGACCTCACCCGAATCATGGCCGAGGAGGCTGGACTCGACATTGACGAGGCTGCCTTCGACAAGGCCAAGCAGGAGTCCCTGGAGGCCTCCAAGGGCGGCAAGAAGACCGCTGGAGGCGTTCAGCTTGTCAAGCTTGACGTTCACGCTCTTGCCGAGCTGGAGAAGAACGACGCTGTCCCCAAGACCGACGACCAGGCAAAGTTCACGGAGTCCAACCTCTCGGACGCCAAGGTTGTCGCCATCTACAACGGCACCGGCTTTGTGGACTCTGTCGACGAGTCTGCCGGCCAGGTCGGTCTGCTGCTCGACAAGACATGCATGTACGCCGAGTCTGGAGGCCAGGAGTACGACACTGGTAAGATTGTCATTGACGGCCAGACCGAGTTTGACGTCAACAACGTCCAGGTGTACGCTGGCTACGTTCTGCACACTGGAAACTTCAACTATGGTTCTCTCAAGATTGGCGACGTTGTCAACGTTGGCTTTGATACTGCCCGACGAACTCCCCTCAAGAACAACCACACTGGTACCCACGTTCTGAACTACGCTCTCAAGGAGACTCTTGGAGACACAATTGACCAGAAGGGATCTCTTGTTGCTTCCGAGAAGCTGCGATTCGACTTCTCGCACAAGGCTGGTCTCACCCCCGCCGAGGTGGCCAAGGTTGAGGATATTTCCAACGCCTACATCACCAAGAACCTCGCCGTGTACGCCAAGTCCGTCGATCTCACTACAGCCAAGAAGATCAACGGTGTGCGAGCCGTCTTCGGCGAGACCTACCCCGATCCCGTCCGAGTGGTGTCTGTCGGTGTCCCCGTTGAGGACCTGATTGCCAATCCCGACGACGCCAAGTGGGCCGAGTACTCGGTCGAGTTCTGCGGAGGAACCCACGTTGGTAAAACCGGCGAGATCAAGCACCTCGTCATCATTGAGGAGTCTGGTATCGCCAAGGGTATCCGACGAATTGTCGCTGTGACCGGCAAGGAGGCTGCTGATGTGCAGAAGCTTGCTGCCGAGTTTGACGAGCGACTCGACAAGCTGGCTGCCCAGCCTCTTGGTGCTGACAAGGAGCAGGCCGCCAAGGCCATTGGTGTCGAGCTCAAGAAGCTGTCTGTGTCCACCACCTCCAAGCTGGCTCTGCAGGAAAAGTTCAACAAGATCCAGAAGACCATCACCGACGGAATCAAGGCCAAGCTCAAGGCTGAGTCCAAGGCCTCCACTGATCTGGTTTCCTCGTACTTTGAGAAGAACCCCGAGGCCACCTACCTGGTTGCCCATGTTCCCGACATTTCCGCCAACTCCAAGGCTCTGTCTGAGACCATCAACCACGTCAAGTCCAAGCTGCCTGGCAAGTCTGTCTACCTGTTTGCTGGCTCCCCCGCCGAGGGCAAGGTTGCCCACGCTTGTTTCATCGATGAGTCTGTGTCCAACAAGGGTCTGACTGCCCAGCAGATGGGCGCCATTGCCGCCGGTCTTGTAGGTGGCCGATCTGGAGGAAAGGGTCCTACCATCCAGGGCTCCGGAGACAATGCCGACAAGATTGCCGACGCCGTGTCCGAGCTGGAGAAGGAGATTACCAAGTTGGGTTTGTAAAAAGGAGCAGAGTTCCATGTTATTGAATGAATGAAGGAGGATTATTACTCCATTAGATGATAGAGATGAGCGACACTTTGTGGTGGAAATAGTTCTAAAACTGTAGATTTTTGTTTTCCAATAGTCGTCATTCCATCAGATCATGTCTTCATTATATCTCGTTATGTCATTTATCTAAATGAATGGTGGTTGGTCTATAGCTGACTCAAAACACATCCCTAGCCGCCTCCCTAACTCCAAACGACGACGTGCCATTGGAGCTGTTCTTACTCACTGTAGGTCTTTCGGCCAGCTCCTTCTCAATTTCATCAGCCAGGGCGGCATCCTCCTCCGCAATATCCTGGATGAAGACGTAATTCTGGCCACGCGAATAGTACTTCAAAGTCACGTCTCTGGTATTGTTGGTCATGGAAAAGTCCCTGAGCACCGACGAGTCGACCAGCACGTACTTAGTGCTAGTTCCAGGACACTCATAATTGGCATTGAGACAAATCTTCTCCATGACAGCATGCAGACCCCGAGCTCCCAGACCTTCGGAAAGCGCAGTCTTAGCGATGATGCGTAAAGCAGGCTTGGTGAAGACAATACGGGTGCCAAATGACTTGAACTTGACTCGGAACTGCTCCACAAGAGCGTTCTTGGGCTCAATCAGAATTCGCAATAGATCCTCCTCGGTCAGATGATTCAATTTGACAATCGTTGGAGCCCGTCCAAGCAACTCGGGAATGAGACCATACTTTTTCAAGTCTTCAGAAGTGATCAAATCCAGAGCATTGGCGGTTTCGCCGTTAGCAAGAGTCACCAGCTTGTCCTGACTGTCCTTTTGCTTGCCCTCATCCTCACCAGTCTGCCTGACATGGGCACCAAAGCCGATATCGGAAGAAGTATTGCATCTAGCTGACACCACGTCACTCAAACCAACAAAGGCACCCATGAGAATAAACAGAATGTTCTGCGTGTTGATTGTGACGCTCTCCTTGGGCATGGCCGAACCTCCTCCCGGAAGACCAGCGGTGGTTTGGGCTCTTCCTGGGGTTCCAGAAATCTGTACAAGAGTGCCTTCCAGCATTTTCAACAGCGATTGCTGTACTCCTTCGCCAGAGACATCTCTTCCAGATCCTTCCCGTTTGGCCAGTTTATCGATCTCGTCCAGAACGATGATACCATGCTCACACCTCTCTACATCGCCTCCACAGACCTGGTACAGCTGCTGAACACACGATTGAACGTCGTCCCCCACGTATCCGGCTTGGGTGAGCGCAGTGCAGTCTGAAATGGAAATTGGCAACGACAAAAAACTTGCCAGAGTCTTTGCCATCATTGTCTTGCCTGATCCAGAAGGACCTACCACCAGCAAGTTGGCCTTGTCCGGAATCACCTGACTTTCTGTCTCCTCATCGTACTCCTCCTTGAGCACGTTGATGTAGTCTGTCGACTGTGGTTCGTCGGTGTTTTCCCAGCGGTCCGAGATTTTGCCCTTGGCGGCGTTGATGCGTTTCATGTAGTCGCTCCATTGTCGTTCGTCAATCAGGAGGCCGCTTCGGAGGTAGTGGTTATAGATCGCCACCGCAAACACCTTCTTGGACCGGTCCTGGCCCACTATGAACTGGTTGAGCTTGGCCAGCAGCTTCCGGGGCGTCATATCCGGCGCCACCGCACGTCGAGGAGGCTCTCCTCCAGGAGGCCCCGTCGACTGTGTTTCTTCATTGAGAGCCGCTGTGGGCACGGTGCGCTGTTTACGTGCCTCGGCGAGTGTCGGGTCAGTGTTCTTGGGCTCCGTGTCGCTCTTGACCGTCCGCTTCCGCCGTTTCTTGGGCTCCTCCACATCTTCATAGGGCCCCTTGGTGGTGGTGTATGACTGTGGCTGTAGAGTGTGGAAGGACACGCAGTGTTGTTTCTGTGTCACCACGACACGTGTCAGTAGTCGGAGGCTCATGCTCGGTGGTTTCTGGGTGGTGATAGCGTCTCTATATGACTCTGGTTACCCCACAGAATCTGCATATGACTATTACGATACTCTCATATCCGATGTTAGATGAGGTAAGATGGGGTTAGGGTTGAGTTCCTTGATTGGAAGTAAATGCAGGTGGGAAATATATTTTCGTGCAGCGACCAGAACAACTATCAGCTACAAGTATACGACTCTTTCAAATGGCTCGAGCAAAAGCCGTGGATTTTTTCAGCACGAAAAACAACTCCAGCGACAGCGAGGAGGAGGAGGACAAGCCGGCGGTCGACCCGCGGTTTGTGCTGGCCGACTCTGATAGCGAGGGAGAAGAGGAACAGGAGGATGGAGACGAGGATGAAGAAGAGAAGGGCCGAACCTCCAAGAAGAAGACCAAAGACTTTTTTGAGCTAGCTGGAAAGACTGACGACGGCGACGATGAGGAAGAGGACGAAGAAGATGAAGAGGAGGAGGAGGAGGAGAAAGAGAAGAAGCCCGTCAAGACTAGTTCTACCAAGGCCAAGACCAAGCCTATGACCAAGGAGGAGATTGAGAAACACAACAAGAAGATCGCCAAGACCGGTGTCGTCTACTTCTCGCGAATTCCGCCGCTCATGGACCCCGGCAAGCTGCGAATGCTGCTCCAGCGGTTCGGAATCGTCGACAGAATCTACCTGGTTCCCGAGGACCCCAAAGCGCAGGCGGTACGAATCAGACATGGTGGAAACAGAGCTCTGGCATACACTGAGGGCTGGGCTGAGTTCACTAAGAAGCGGTACGCCAAGACGTGTGCCAGCACGCTCAACGGCAACACGATTGGAGGAAAGAAGGGCTCGCAGCATTACGACGATATCATGAACGCCAAATACCTTCCCAAGTTCAAGTGGAGCGATCTTTCTGAGCAGCTGGCCCAGGAGACTCACAACCGACAGGCCCGTCTGCGAACCGAAATCTCCCAGGCCACCCGAGAGAACCAGACCTATATCCAGTCGCTGGAGAAGTCCAAGGCTGCCGAGCGACGACGACAGAGACAGGAGGAAGAGGGCGGCGAGACGGAGGAAAAGCCGGCAAAGAAGGTGCATCGAGACTTTTACCAGGGCAAGACCCACAGTGCGAGAGCAAAGGAGGGCAAGAAGGAGTTGGATGGAAGCGTGGGAAGCATTTTGGGCAGTGTCATGTAATAGAACTTATTCAAATGTCGAATGGGAAACACATGAAAGGGGAGCACGGATATTGGGCAAGATTATGTGTCACACTCGCCTTTTCGTTTTGGTAATGAGACCCTTCCTTCTACCAACACTCGATCATATCCCTCATATGAGTCCGAGTACGCTGCATGACACTGGATACTGAGGGACACCTATTGCCAACATCTACGCCCAGCTGAATAGGTAGTAGATATTTGTATACATATATAATGATATGGTTGTTTTCTGTACCGTCGAATCTGCAGTAATATCCCAACTAAAATTCAGAATTTACTTGGATCCCATAAGTATTGAGGGTGGCACAATACACTCCCTATCTCTCTCAATAATAGTCAGAGGATGAGAAAATCCAAATTGTGGCATTATATAATCAGTGCAAGTACAATAGATACAAAAAAATCAGTATATATATTCATGCTTACCACTTTTTGAGGACCTATACTAACGAGGTCAGAATGTTAAATCTTTTTGAAGAAGCCGCACACGATCAATTGTCGAGCCTCTGAAGGCTCCATCACCACGCAAGAACCATCAAAGGAACAATGGTGGAGAATGACGCTACTTTTTTTGACATGATTTGATAGCTCTCGACGAGACAAATACAATGGGCAACTCTGTATCTTCGCTGCTGTGTTCTTCTTTGTTTTAGGCGCCGAAAACGATCACCGAAATCGCTTGCCGATTCCTTTTACATACGGTACCGGTTCATCTACAATATGTCGTCAATTCTACTAAAGAAATGTCAACTCAATCATAAATAATGACATTAGCTATCGGGCTCTATCGTTGCCCAACATTAGTTGTTGGTGGTGTTTGGCGTCTCCGTCCGCGCGCTTAGGCGTCAGACTGGTAGACCCAGTCGTTGAGACCGTACTTGTTTCGAGCAATTTCAATGGCCAGGAACTGCATTCGAGGCACAAACATGGTGTTGGTCTCAGTGTAGCCCTTGGAAGCATCAACTCGCAGAATGGTGCCAAAGTTGTAGTCGGCAATGATGTTCTCGTACGTGTTCATGAATTCTCTCCACTTGGGCTTGTTGGTGGGCGACTTCATGTCGTTCTCGTCCAGCACTCGCACCTTCTCGTGATCCAGGTACTCGGGGAACACTGTGATGAGATGGGTCATGATCTGGTCGTCGATCTTGGTGAGCTTGAGCTCCGAGCCCTTGACGGCGTGGAGCAGCTTCCAGTACGTCTCCAGGTGGTGCACCGCCTTGACGGCAAACTGCTTTTCGATGTCCTCGAGGTTCTCGGCCTCTTCGGGGTTGAAGTTGTTGACTGACATGTTGTGTGTGTTGTTGTGTGTAGATGAATAAAATGCAATTAGTACTTTTTTTTTTTGGACCAAGCGATTTCAACTTCTTTATATTTTTTTCTGCCTTTGGACAGAGTAAGGTTCAGGCGAGACTGAAAGACAATCGAGAGTGTTCTGGAGAAGCCTAGAATGGGACGTGGACGACTCTCGAAGACCGCGGAAAACCATGGAAGCATTCCTCGACATCAACTTGGTCACGTGAACCAACCCCACCCCTCCTCTCCGTTCTGCTCCCCTGAATAGACCCCTCCTCCCGGCTCCCTCAATGTCTGGAAAGTCCCAGAACTTTTTCTTCCCTATCGCAACTCTAACAGGGGCGAGATTTGTGTAGGCGGAATAGAGGAGTTTACCGTGATTCTGTGGTCAATTGTAGCATATAAGTATGTACAAATGTGTTCCCCTTGATAAGGCGGTTCAAAATACGTTTTCAGATTTCAAATACGCCCATTATTGACCGAGATATACTGCCATTCTCACTCAACGCCGCCGCCTGACACACAGTGAAACTTAAGAGAGGAGCTTACGGGTCTGTCAAGGCATCATCGAGCGGAGAAGAGGATCCGAATAGACCTCTCTCGTCTACTGCCACGGAGGGTTTGGGCTTGCTTAGTAATAATTCGGAAGGATCAGTTTCTACCGGAATCGCTCGTCAGGTGGGGGGTGGGGGGGGGTTGCTTAGTAAGCATTCTGGCGGTGGAGATACAGCTACAAGTATCTGTAAGGTGATTCTGTTCAAACGATACCAAGCGCAACCAAACGATGAACGATTCCATATAACGTCAGTGTTTGGTTGTATTTGGTGGCACTTTTGGTGTGGTTCTGATGGTCTTTTATATATATACCTCCAATTGAGTTCTGACGTCATAGTGGGGAGAGCAAGTGACTGAAAAATGCAGACTGATATTGCTGAATAATTTTTCTTGTGAAATTTGTGACTAATCAGAAACTTGGATCAGTTCAAGAAAAATGAGCGATTTGGCCACAGGCTTTCTCGCTAGATTCTGTCTTTGGTCGTAGCTGGTACCACGAGCATTTCTTCACTGGAGTATTGCACTCTCCGTCCCACCAACAGCCAATCAAAGAGAGGGCGAGGCAGCCGCAGTATCGTGTTACGCTTGTGAGCAGATGGTTAGTAATACATGAGTGGGCAGGACATGGTGCTCGGCACGGTGGTAATGCAAGAGCGCAAATGACCGCCGCGCGCAGACTGTGCGCAGACCGCTGGCGCTAATATCGACTCAACTTTTTATTAGTCACGGTTCATGTCTCCGTCGACCAACCACCCCACTCCCAACCCCGCGCTATATTAGACAAAGCAGAGTAGGCGCGACTCAGTCTAACATATCATGCTTCGAGCGACCCAGATTCTGCACCAAACAAGCCGAATAATGCCAATTCCGTCCTCCACACGCCTGCTACAAACGTCGGCCGCGCTCATCATCGGCGACGAGGTGCTGAATGGAAAAATCTCAGACACAAACTCCAAGTTTTTTGCCCGCTACTGCTTCGCTCTGGGCCTGGATCTACAGAAAGTGGAGGTGGTTCCCGACGATGAAAAGGACATTGTGGAGTCGATCCAGCGACTGGCTTCGCGTTACGACTTCATTGTCACCTCCGGCGGCATCGGACCAACCCACGATGACATCACTTACGAGGCTATCGCCAAGGCCTTCGATATGGGGGTCGAACAGCACCCTGCAACGGTGGACCGAATGACTCGTCTGAGTAGACGAAAGATCGACTTCTCAGACACGGAAGCACGAACGGCTCAGCTGAGAATGGCCTCTTTCCCTGTCCCTCGTCCCCAGGGAGCTACCACAGCTCTCCCCGAGCTCCCCAACACGGTGGACATCACCTACGTTGCCGAGGACCTGTGGGTGCCCATTGTAACGGTGGCTGGCAAGGTAAACATTCTCCCTGGTGTGCCCAGTCTCTTCACCCGGCTGCTGGAGGGAATCAAGCCCGATCTGGAGAAGAAGGTGGACACGGCCCGACAGCAGATCCGTTTCTTTGTCATGACCGATCTGCCCGAGAGTGTCATGGCCCCTTACTTGCGACGTCTGCAAGAAAAGGTCAATGAGAAGGACATCAAGATCGGCTCGTACCCGCACATGGAGCTCAAGAAAAACACCGTGTCTATCATTGGCCGAAAGGGAGACGTGGAGTACCTCAAGGAGATTGTCAAGGACGTGGAGAAGAATCTCAAAGGAGAAGAGATTTCGGCGGAGAAGGAGGAGGGCAACAGTCATGGGCCGTAGATAACTCGGAAACCTACAAAGCGAGTTGTTGGGCTGTCGTCTGAACAGATGGTGAGCGAAGCGGGCTATTTTCTTCATCGTTCGTTACCAATCCCCTTATTTATGGACTCTCTAAACGTCTAAAGAGATACTTGATATACGAATTACGAGTACACATCGATATGTTACAAGAACAAGTACTGTACTCGAGATGCGCTGATACAATTAGGACGGTATGTACGTCCTCGCCAATGAATGCTCAGATTAAAACAGTATGTGGAATGTAACCGCAAGCAGGGCCTAATATTAAATCCACGGCGGCTAGTCTAGTGATGCTACAATTCAATGAGAGGGGCAGACTCCTCCTTCGGCTGGGCGGGAGCACTGGGCGCACTAGGACCTCCAGGGGCACTAGGGGCACTGGGAGAAGATGCATAGTCGTATTCGGGGGCACCGGAGTACTGGTAACTGGGTGCGTTGTAGACGTTTTGTGCTGGTGGACCCCCATATTGAGGAGCAGAGGGTGCCGACCCAGTGTAGTGGTTTGTGAGATGGCCAGTGGGTTGGTTAGAGAGATATGGCGCCTGTCCAGTGACCTGGCCGGTCAGATAGGGAGCTTGTCCGGTGTGCTGGTAACCCATATGGGGTTGCCCAGTAATCTGGCCAGTCAGATGAGGGGCCAAGTGAGGCGGCTGTCCCGTCATCTGGTGGGATAAGTGAGGTTGTGGTGCGTATCCTCCCGACTGTCTATTAGTGTAAGCCTGGTTGAGCTTCTCCTCCAACAGCGCGTCGTAATACCGAATCACGGTGGTCATTTTAGCATGCATATCCACCAACGAGTCGTACTTGGAGATGGTTTCGCCCATGGTTCGGGCAAGCTTGGGTCGCAGGTTGCCGACGGTGTCATACAACTCCTGGATCTTGGGTTCCCGCAGAATCGTTCCCTGGGGTTCTCCCTTGAGGCGTTCAACAAGCAGAGACAGCAGATTGATGTTAGACTCTTCTGTGGCTGTTAGATCTGTGAGGGAAGGAGCCATGACTGTAGTGGAAGCTGAAGACAAGCCACCGGCAGATGCAGAGGTCTGTCCAGTCTGTCGCTCGTTTTCCATGTCTCTAAGGGAAGCTGCAATGGCAGCCTTCATGTCTTCATCATCGTCGTTGGAGGTTGCTGCTGCAGGAGGAGGGGGTTTGTAGGACTCCTGTTCCTGTAGTGACAGTCTGATGGCCTTTTGAATGTCGTCTTCGTCGTCGTTGGGTGCTGAGTTTGCTGGGGGGGCAGAACTGGGGGCTGTGGTAGTGGCTCCTGGAACAGGCTTGTGGATAGGAGCGTCTGATTTGCCTTTCTTGAGGTTTTTGAAGCAGCCATTGCAGACTCGGACGGGCACGTTGATGCCGAAATGGGGCAGAGTGATGTAGTTTTGGCAACAGGCTTGGGTGAAGACGCCTCCACAGTTTCTGCAGTGGTGTTTTCTGTTGAGGAACGAAAATGCCACGCCACTCTCCATGCAGACGTCACTGTCTATCCACTCGGGCGGTGCTTTTGTGTCGATGAAGGTGGAGGTGACTGCGGCGTTATCGTGGGAGGCTGAGGGGAAGGATACTCCCTCGGATTTAAGCTGTGTCACTGCGTTTTCCACCTGTTGCAGCTGCAGTTGGCCCGCAAACGCCACCGCCCACTGCTGGAGCAGCTGGAGCACCCGTTGTCGCACCTCGGGGTTTGCGTCGTCGTTTCGAGCAATCGCCATCAGGGGGTCGACAAACTCGCGGGAGGCGATTTCGACGAGGAAATGCGAGCCGCCGTTCTTGATGCACACGTCCGTGAGCTGCAGCGCCGCCAGCTGGACGTTGGGGTTGCGGTTGAGCAGCCGTCGCTTGAGCGACCGCATGGCGTCCTTTGCAGGCACGGTTTTGGACCGAATCAGGTCGCAGATTTCCAGATTGAGCGCAAGATCGGACTCGCCCGACGGCAGTGACTCTGACGTGGCCTTTTCGACCTGCTCGTCAATAGAAGGCGTGGAGCTCCACCAAGACATGTTCTTTGTTGCGGATGGGGGGAGGGGGGTGGTGTGCGGTGGTCAGAGAGAGTAGCGAGGTTTCCAGTGGCGATATTCAATTGGGAGGTTAGGCAGAGTCTAAATACCCGATTGCATCCCAGTGCATTAATTAATGTGCCATGATGTGGTCGAGGGGCGAGGCAGGGACTCTGGTGGGTTAGGTGAGCAGAACAGGAGGAGATCCTCGTGGGCACTTTGCACCGGTCCTTTATGTGTGTATGTGTATATACGTGCTTTGTCAGCGTCGGGACTCTTGACTAAGCTGGTTCCAACCCTTGATTAGGTTACCATGATCAAGGTTGAAAGATCTAAGATTGGAGATGGATGAGAACGAGTATGAGGACGAGTATGAGGACGAGTATGAGGACGAGTACAAGTAGGAGAGACAGATGGAGGGCGGATCTGACGGGAGAAACTGATTGTCACGCCTGAAATCACTTGGTTTTCGTCATTTCGAACTGTCCGAGCCCCGATCTAGTGGTGGCAGACCCTTTCATGCCCTGTCTGACATGCTGAGTCGGGTCTGTCGGTCATACGAGACAGTACAGTTGTCTACGTCAGTACGAGTACAAACGAGTGCTGATCGTGAATTGATGTAGTTTCTTCGTGCAATTAATGCAATTATTGTAGTTGCCTCGAGTACTGGTACTGTATTACTGTGTATGTACTGTTGTTGGGGACGTGGTAGCTTGGACAAGCATGCTTCTTCTCAGATCTGACAGTATAGTAACTGGATTGAGATTGATTGGCTATTTTTCTCAAGTGTCGACATTCTGAACATTGATAAGAAGTCGCTGTTCCATTCCATTCACCATAAAACTGCCATTGAGCTGCCGAGACATGTGAATACCTCATAACCACCGCCCTTCTACCGCCCTAGTATCGTACATACTCGTACACGGTACAAGGCTGTGGTAAGACTCGTGAACTCATATCACTGGTACACACTCCTCGGCTGCTTGAGGGTCAATGGTGTTTCATTTAGTCGGCCTGATGATCTCGACATGGACAATCCGTACATCGCTTGTTCTCTTTCAATTCAGTCTCCCCATTCCCACGGGCTAACTTCATGCAAACTCCAGTTAGTTGAACCCTCCAAGTAATAACCCAATACTAGACGACTTTCTTGATATAACCAAGTAATAACCCATCGTTAGACGGCTTTCTTGGTAGAACCAAGTGTTGACTCCACCCCTAGACTTTCTTGGCAGGCAAATGTCAAATAGCCGCTCTCCCGGAAAGTAAATCCCACACAAAACAACCGCTCAGGCGGTTTGAACGGTCGGCTCCTTCGCCACACTTGTTCGTCTACGCCACCCGACACTCCATCCATCGCCCCACCCAAAAATTAGATTCGAGGCCACCTCCCATCTGCATCACCATCGCCACTACCATACATACATCTCCACACCCCGGTTATCTTATCAACGACTTGCGACACTAACAACTACAACCAAGATGGCAACAGCATCCGTTCAGGTGAGCAGTATCTGAGGCGCACGTGACCACCCACCGCGTAAGCAGCTGACTAACACAGACCCGACTCAAGGTGCAATTGAAAATGGCGGTGAACCGTCTGCGACTAGTGCAACAGAAGGAGACGGCACTAGCTAAAGCCCAACGACGAGAAATGGCAGGGTTATTGGAAGCAGGCAAGGAGGCCAGTGCCCGGATCCGCGTGGAAAACATCATTCGAAACGACATCAGCGTCGAGCTGCTGGAGATTCTCGAATTGTACTGTGAACTGCTGCTGGCTCGAATCGGACTGCTGGACGCCAAGGAATGCGATCCTGGCCTGGAGGAGGCCGTGTGCACCGTCATCTATGCGGCTCCCCGTACGGAAATCAAAGAATTGCATACTATCAGAGACATTTTCGTCACCAAGTTTGGCCGCGACTTTGCGAAGGAGGCCCTGGAGAACCCCGACGTGAAAATCCCCGAAAAGGTCATGACCAAGCTGAGCGTACAGCCCCCCAGCGCCGAGCTCATCACCCTGTATCTCAGAGAGATAGCCCGCGCCTACAATGCTCCATTCAGTGAACTGTACACCAAGGAGGAGCTTGAGGAGATGGAACGACAGGAGAATGGTGGGGATGACGACGACGATGATGACGAACCCTCCAGCGGACTCAAGGAAAAGCTCCCTGAGGAACCTCTGCCCGCAACATCAGGTAATGAGGCTGTTCGTCGTTTGTCCGAGTCCCTGGAGCCTCCCAAGTCGCCCATCGCCATCTCGCCTCCTGCCCCCAGATCATCTAACCCCAAGCCCGAGCTCAAGCTGCCGTTTCAGAAGGACTCTCCCACCCGACCGCGTCCCAGACCCGCTGTTAAGAAGGATGATGAGTTTGACGCTCTTCAGAAGAGACTGGACGCCCTGAGAACGAAATAGTTGTACGATGGAAAGTGCGTTCGCATGATACATTGTGCATTGGTAATGAAATGTTATGGATTACGAATGTCTAGCTGTAGTAAACCGCTACGGTTATAAGCTGGACAAGGCTGAGGGCTCGGTTATTAGCCCTCTCATCTCGAAACCACCTATTCACTATAAACACTACCAATATATATAATGCCGCTGCTGGAAGGAGTCCGGCACGTCTAAACGCACTGGAAACCAAAGCCACAAACAGAGCCAATCGCTACGTAGACAAGACCCGCCACTCCAGTGCCCAACAGAGCGCCCATTTTGACGTTCTTCCACCACAAGTTTCTCTTGGCCTGGGTGCTTCGTTTGCGGAACGCCACGGCGTTGTTAGTCATTTCGTCGGTTCGGTTCACCAGCAACGATATTCGTTCTCCTCGCTCCAGAATCTGCTCCACGTTCTCCACCATGATATCTCTGACCTTGTTGATCTCCGACTGGGCCACCTTGGCCACGTCTTCGTATTTGCCCGAGTTGACAAGCGTCACCATTTCGCCCTCGAACTTGTTGAGGCTATCCTTGGAGGCGCTTCCGATTGTCTGCAAGCTGTACTGCTGGTTGAACTTCTTCTCCAGCTCCAGCAGACACAGGAAGGGGGCCTTTCGGCCGCACGACTCCTTGGTGATGAGGATAAACGTCACGCCCTCGGGCGTATCGGAAGTCGCCTGTGTGGTTATGTAGTGGATCGACAGATCCTGGTACATTAGAGAGGCCTTCTTGGACTCTCCAGGGGAGATTTTCGCCAGCACCAGCTGCACCACCTCCTTGGGATCTCGTTTGGCAAAGTCATGCTGGCACAGAATGGTGTCACCGTGCGCGATGGCGGCGTAGATTGCTGTGTTAGAACCGCCGTTGGTCTTGCGGGGCCTGAGTTTCCTGCTCGTACTCACCGTCGTCTTTCAGTTCCGACATGTTGGTGGGTGATGGAGAGCAAAAAATAAGCTTGCTGTGCAGCGACCTGACCTGTAACGGCGCATCTTTGACGGGTCGAATCTGAGATAGCAAGAATAGGAGGTGGCCAAGAGCCGTGAAATCTCGCAAGCCCGGAACCCCGCAGTAATCGGACTGTCGCGATAACAGACCTTGTCGGACCAGCTATTCTTGCTGCTAATACATACTCTTCCACAGCCCCATCTCAAAGAGCATACATGGTGTCAGATCTGGCAGCTGTAACCTAATGGTATGTACGGGTCGAGGAGAACTATCTGACGAGGTGTAGACGTACAGTAACTCTGACGAGGATGTACATGTACAGTAACTGTTGGTACGAGAACCGATATAGTAATAACTGTTGGGCCCGATGCAGTGGTGATGTTTGCTTGAGGGGTCCAGGTGTTATTTCCTGATTGGTTCTGTAGCAGCTGTGCCCTATCGAAGGGCAGTTTTATTAGTCACTCGGACGGGTCCCAGTGTATTGGTGGTGGTGAGACTTTTCCGATTGAACAGTATTGAGAGCAGAGACGAGAGTGGTTGGAAGTTGACGGCTAGCTGAGTACTTGTAGCTGAGTACTTGTAGCTGAGTACTTGGAGCTGAGTACTTGATATGAATACGGCAAACAGCGTCTGCAGATATAGCAACCCCCGAATGACACTCACCTAGTCACTTGAACCTGTACATTCCTTCCAGTAATGTACTCTCTCTAGCTTGTCCGTGGAAATCTCATCAAGGCGTGTACCTACAACCCGGGGACTCAGGTCCCTGGCCAAAGTCTACCGTACCTGTCGTACATAGCGTGTACTGTACTTGTAGTGCACTGTACAGACTACACTTTCGACATCTGTATATCTGTACAACTAACGGTACAGTCTTTCTGGGTCCTGGCTTCCTAGTCTGCTCCGCTCTCCACTCTTCTTCATTCGGCTTGTCAAGGATGTTTCACAACGCACATTGAACGCGTACAGTGAGTTGATCCACATCCAAAAACACCATCCAAAAGTCGTCACTCAACAAGTACTATAAGACCGGCGGCATTCGCGCTCTACTCGTACTGTATGCACTCGTATTCGCTCTCCATCCCCACCAATCACGTGATACCCCGCTGTCGCAATCTCCTGCCAAAATGCAACCTCTGCAGATGTGCATGCATGGGCGTTAATACAGTACTAGTAACCTGTAGTTAGACTTCCCAATGTAGTATTGCAAGGAGTTGAGAAGTAGGTACGAAAAGCGGTTCAAAACAGTGCCCGGCAATAAGTGGAGTCTTCAATGAGACGACGGTGATATGTGGAGGAAATATGGCGATTTTGGGGGGGTTTCCCCCTTTCCCCTGCTTCTTCTGGGGATCTCAGCCCTTTTGCTACCTTCTTTATCGGAACCATGTTTCCGACGGAACTCAGAGCTAGTCTTCGGGAGAAAAGATAGGGTCTGTGGGTTATTCAGAGCGTGTATAGGAAATCTGACTTGACAGTTTTGCTTGAAATTCCGTTTCGAGTTGATTGGACGTTTCAAATCTCTGATCCGTCGAAAACTGAACGTCACAATGTCGTCTCTTTTCACCCGCCAAGATGCATCTCCAAACCCAAAAATGAATCATTTGAAGGGAATATAAAAAAGAAACCCTTGTAGATCTTCACCAACATACTCTCGACCAAACACATCCATGGAAACCATCTCGCACGTTACGCGTGTGCTTTCTAAGCAATTTGACGCCGCTTCTTCGACTCCCGAAATCAATTCGTCGACTATCGAGCTTGGGCCCACGGAAGCACATGTGCTTCAGCGCCATGAGGTAGCGGAACTCGTGCCTGATTCCTCCTCCGACTACCAGGACGAAGACAAGGGTCTGGAGTTCCCCGAAGGTGGCTGGATGGCGTGGCGGGTGACCCTGGGCTCGTTTTTTGGGCTGTTTGTGGTTCTGGGAGTCATCAACGCCGTCGGAGCCATCCAGGCGTACGTGGAGGAGAACCAGCTGGCCCAGCTGCCGTCTTCAACCGTGGCGTGGATCTTTTCCATCAACACCTTCATGACTTACTTTTTCTCCATCCAGTGCGGCCAGCTGTTTGACATGTACGGCCCCTACCCCTTGTTGGCAGTTGGCTCTTTTCTGATTGTCCTCGGTTTCATGTTGACTTCGCTATGCCAACAGTTCTGGCAATTTGTCGTCTGCTTCGGTATTGTCTGCGGCCTGGGCTCCTCCATATGCCTTACTCCTGCCGTGGCTATCATTGGAGACTGGTTCAAAGCCAAACGAGGAACTGCCACGGGAGCTGCCACTATCGGAGGCTCACTGGGCGGTGCAGTCATCCCCATTATGCTCAGATCCATGTACTCGTCAGTGGGCTACGCCTGGGCCGTTCGAACTCTCGGATTCCTGTCTCTGGGATGCATGGCCATCTGTATCTGGTTAGTCAAGCCGCGGTTTGAGCGTGCCCATGAAAAGAACGGACGAACCTTCTGGCAACTCTACGTCACCGACGTTCTGGACTTCCGATGTCTCAAGGACAAACGGTTTGCAGCTCTCTGCTTCGCCGCCACCTTCTCCGAAATCGCCCTCCTCATCTCCCTCACCTTCTTCACCTCCTTCTGTCTCAAGAGCGGCATGAGCCAGAACTACTCGTACATTCTACTGACCATCATGAACGCTGTGGGAATGGTGGGTCGATACCTGCCTGCGTGGATCTCCGACCGACTTGGACGATTCAACACCATGATCATCATGACCCTGGGCGCCTCCCTGGCCATGTGGATCATGTGGCTGCCTTTCGGAACACATAGAGGAGCTCTCACGGCCTTTGCAGTCGTCTATGGTTTCTTCACCGGCTCCATTCTTTCCCTGATCCCGGTCTGCTGTGGCCAGATCAGCAAAACCTCCGAGTACGGCCGACGATACGGGGTCATGAACTTCTTCATCGCGTTTGGAGCTCTGGGAGGTGTCCCCATCTCTGGAGCTCTCATTTTCGACACAAACTACGACTACCTCATCATCTTCAACGCCATTCTCTCCACCATCGGCTGTTTGGGATGGATCCTCGCTCGAACCGCCTGCGTCAAGTTCAAGATTTGCAAGGTATAGACGGGAGCTAAAGTATTTATTTAATCAATTGTTAAGAATCATTCCACTGTACCAATCCGGTCCAGTATTGTTCAGCACAGTATCATGAATCACAATATCATGAATGCTCTTCTACTCTACGTACAATACAACCTCTCTACAGTCTCGGGATACTTTCATAATTCATCAGACGTACTACGATTCTACTCGTTTCTAGGCATAATTTTCATACGTAATTGTCATATGCGTCGTTTACTTGGACTCAGCAGCAAGCTTCTCGGCCTTGGCGACAACCTCCTCGATACCGCCGACCATGTAGAAAGCGGCCTCAGGGAGAGCATCGTGCTTACCGTCAAGAATCTCCTTGAAAGATCGGACAGTGTCCTTAAGAGAGACAAGTCGTCCCTCAATACCGGTGAAAACCTCGGCGACGGTGAAGGGCTGAGACAGGAATCGCTGGATCTTTCGAGCTCGCTCGACGGTCAGCTTGTCCTGCTCGGAAAGCTCATCCATACCAAGAATGGCAATGATATCCTGGAGAGACTTGTAAGCCTGGAGGGTCTGCTGGACGTTGGAAGCAACGTCGTAGTGCTCCTGGCCGACAACATCGATATCCAGAAGTCGAGACTTGGAATCAAGAGGGTCGACAGCGGGGTAGATACCCAGCTCGGAAATACCTCGGGACAGGACGGTGGTGGCGTCAAGATGGGCGAAGGTGGTGGCGGGAGCAGGATCAGTCAGATCATCGGCGGGCACGTAGACGGCCTGGACGGAAGTGACGGAACCCTTCTGGGTGGTGGTAATTCGCTCCTGGAGGGCACCCATATCGGTGGCCAGAGTGGGCTGGTAACCGACAGCGGAGGGAATTCGACCAAGCAGAGCGGACACCTCGGAACCGGCCTGGGTGAATCGGAAAATGTTGTCAACGAAGAGCAACACATCCTGACCCTCCTCGTCTCGGAAGTACTCGGCAATGGTCAGACCAGTAAGGGCGACTCGGGCTCGGGCTCCGGGAGGCTCGTTCATCTGACCGAAGACGAGGGTGACCTTGGACTCACCCTCGAGGTTGATGACACCAGTCTCCTTCATCTCTCGGTAAAGATCGTTACCCTCTCGGGTTCGCTCACCGACACCGCAGAAAACGGAGAAACCACCATGGGCCTTAGCAATGTTGTTAATCAGCTCCTGGATGAAAACGGTCTTACCGACACCGGCACCACCGAAGAGACCAATCTTACCACCTCGAGCGTAAGGGGCGAGGAGGTCGACGACCTTAATACCGGTCTCAAGAACCTCAGCAGTGGTAGACTGCTCAGCGAAGGTAGGGGGGTCGGCGTGGATGGGGAGGAACTTAGTAGCCTCGATAGGTCCTCGCTCGTCAATGGGCTCACCACAAACGTTGATGATTCGACCAAGGGTACCTCGGCCGACGGGGATAGTGATGGGAGCACCAGTGTCAGCGACAGAGGTGCCTCGGACAAGACCCTCAGTACCGTCCATGGCAATGGTTCGGACGGTGTTCTCACCGAGATGCTGGGCAACCTCGAGGACGAGCTTGTTACCCTCACCACGATCAATGGTCAGAGCGTTAAGAATAGCGGGGAGGTTATCCTGCTCGAACTGGACATCCTGTTGTTAGTATTCTGGTTGGTTTGAAGTAGCAGCAAGAAATCGGGCAATCGCATTGTTGAGGTGGACCCAGAATAACTCGATCTCCTGCTCCTGTTTCATGTTTTGTTTGTTGCATCTGCGCCCTGGGTTCTGAGTGTTTGTGTCCTCGTCCATTATCGAGAGAGAAACTGGCGTAACACACAGTTCATGTCGTGATATCTGTGTAATGTCGCAATTAATTTCTTCATCAACACGTGGAAGTCGGACACGTCATCATCTCCATGCAGCAGCATCATCAACATCGATCTCAATCGGTTGTACTTACGACAACGGCACCAATAACGGTTCTGGGGTTAGTAACTAGTTTGTGTATCCTTTTGTTTGTGTGCGTGTGTGTGTGTGTGGTTAGGTGTGAGCTGTGCTGCGCTGTCATTGGTCGGTTGTTCCCAACTCTAGAGCTTATTAGCCCCCGAGCGAAAAAAGTGCCAGCTGTACGCAAGAGGTACAGCAACCCCAACGTAGCCAACAGAAGGGGTGGTTTCGGTCGCAGAGCGAATCCGCAAACACACGCCGGCGTAATCGCCCTCGCTGAATGTATTTCCGAGCTCGTTGGAGCCATTGTCGCTGCACAAGCGTCTCAATTCTTGTGCCTCAACAGGGGCACAACCGGTGTCGTCGACACTGCTCAATCGACCCATCACCACATTAATGTCGCAAACAATCCATCTCGCATTGCAATCCACCATTGCCCATCGCATTGCCCGTGTAACATACCTGATCTTACCAGAGCCGACGCCGGCGGAAGAGGCCATACCTCGGAAGGGGGCGTTGAAGACTCGGTTGTTGGCCTGAGCCACCTTGAAGGCCGAACGAGAAAGTCGGGGGATCAATCTAGGAAGGACCATTGTGTTCAATCGTGCCTGTTAAAAAGAGGAGCTTCTCTGTGTGTGTAACAGTGTGTTCTCTGGCTAGAGGCTAACGAGGAGAAAAAGAGAGGAAGCGACACGAGATGAAAAGGTTGTAGCAAAATGGAGCTGGGAGCAAACGCAGCCAATCAGCGGGCGAGTTGGGACTTTGCCAGCGTATTTTGGGGCACTGCACATATCTGAGAATGCATGTAAACAAGGAACCTTTTGCAACCTTGGGAGCTATCTCGGGGTTGGAGACAGTTGCAATCGCGCCGTTGCCGGCCAAAATTGTTGTTTTTCGGCACCTAGAAATACTCTATGGTGCGCTCCGAGCTCGGCTGATATTTCAGCTTCTCCATTGAGTGTCTACAACGTCCACAATGACCCGAATCCCCCAATGCGCCATTTCAAATTGCTCTTTACGCCCGAAACCCAAATTTCGCCAGACTCTGCAGTGCACGGTATTTTCGTGGCCAGTTGAGGGTCCATTTTATGGCGGGCTGTTTTTGTGCACGTTCCCGACACGCAATTGGTTCGGAGAAGGTGGATTCAGAGCCACAACAGCGCGCAGATTGCAAATATATCTCTTCTTTGTCAATTCGCCCCTAGCAACCCCCAAATATACCGCTCCCTAACTGTCCCGACCGAGCCCGGATGTGCATACACTTTCTCACCCGGGGCCTTTTAGCCGTGAGTGGTCAGTTTCTGGGGTAGGGAGCAAGAGGTTTGGGGCACGTGGAATTGCCGCGACGAGAATTTCCCCGGCCGTTTACACCGTCCATAATGCTGCCGGCCACGTTTCTCGCTGTGTTTATATAGCTGGATTCCGAGTTATGATTTTTTTTGCGAATTTCTGCGAATTTCTCCCAAATATTTTCCATTTTTCCACTTTTCCACTTTTCCACTTTTATGCCCATTTTGAGACCACGTAGCATCTCGGACTTAAATGCCACAGTGACGTAAGACCGTAGATGGAGAGCCGGTGGTACAGCCAATTCTTGTTGCGGCGGGGCAAAATGAACATGGTCACGTGATCTAAAGAGTCGGGGCATCACATTTCCACTGATAAAACTCGTTTTTTCTCAGCACAATGTCCTCAAAAATGGCCTCTGTTCCCGACACCTTCCCGACACCACACTATCTCTTGGATCGGTGATGATGTGCTTGCATTAAGGTTCCTGAGGGTCAATGTTGCAGTGGTTCAAACAGAGCAGTTTGCGGGTCGATTTGACCGAGTTTTTGAATCCGAGGAGGAACAATCAATTGCTACAATTTGCCCAAATCTCCACTCTCTAGCGTCTTCCAAACCCCTTTATATATGCCCGCTACTCCGCTGTCCCCTCACAACTCTAAACAGTGACACGTCGACTCGACGGCGGTGACGAACTGTAAATGGATCGTGACCACCGTGAAGTAGATCACACCCACAAACCACACCAAAAACAATGCCTCTCGGAAAAGTCAAGTCGGTGGTTTCTGGAGACACCATCATTCTCCAGTCTCCCAGCGGAGCTGAACGACAGCTTTCGCTCGCCCATATCCAGGCCCCCAGACTCTCTTCTAACGATCCCTATGGTTACGAGGCTCGAGAAGCTCTGCGGCTTTTGCTGGTAGGCAAGCAGGTGAAGTTCGAGGTGCTATACAACATCAATGGACGAGAGTACGGAGACGTGTCGGCACCCATTTTCGACTCGCTGGTGGAACGAACTCTTAAGCAGGGCTTTGCCAAGATCAGAGAAGGAGCTCTGGAACGGCTAGATGAGGACCAGGAGGACTACGTCGAGAAGCTCCAGGCTGCCCAGAAGGAGGCCGAGACGGCGCAGATGGGAGTTTGGGGCGCAGATGTCAAGGCCCCCACGGTCTACCAGACTGTGACTGCGTTTGAGGACGCTGGAAACGCTCCTCTGCAGAACGGCAAGGACGTCTCCAAGACCTACAATGCCATTGTGGAGAAGGTGATTTCCGGAAACAGAGCCATTGTGCGAGTCATTGTCGCTCCCGGAGTGCATCTCAACATCCCCGTCAACCTCGCTGGTATCTCTACCCCCAGATCGGGCTCCACAACCACCACTGCCGAGCCGTTTGGAGACGCTGCTCGTGACTTCGTGGCTCTCAGGTTGCTGCAGCGAAGCGTGCAGCTGGCTTTTGCCTCGTTCAACCCCCAGGAAGTGCCCCTGGTGACCGTGGTTCATCCTGCCGGAGACATTGCTGAGCATTTGCTCAACAGCGGTCTGGCCAACGTCAACGACCACCATGTCATCCACATTGGAGCCGAGAGAGCCGGAAAGCTGCGGCAGCTGGAGAATTCCGCTAGGCAACAGGGTCTGAACCTGTGGAAGGGTCTCCCTGCCGCAGCCACTGCTGCTACTTCTGCTGGAGGTCTCAGTCCAGGCAAGACCATCTCTGGAACCATCACAAAGGTCATTTCAGCCGACACCCTGGACATTGACGACGTTACTGTCCAGCTGTCGTCTGTTCGAGCCCCCCGAAAGAACGATCAGCCTCTATGGGCCGCTGCTGCCAAGGAATACGTCCGAAAGAACTACATTGGAAAGTCCTGTGAGGTGACTGTCGATGCCATTCGAGCCAAGACCGACCAGTTCGAGGAACGACCTCTCGTCACCGTGATTGTGGACGGAAAGAACATTGGATCCGAGATCATCGCCAACGGCTACGCTACTGCCATTCGACATGGTAAGAACGTCTCTGATCGATCCCCTCACTGGGATACTCTTGTTGAGAAGGAGCAGGAGGCTCAGACCGCCAAGAAGGGTCTCCACGGCACCAAGGAGCCCGCGCCTGACCGAACTGTGAACGCCTCCGAGAACCTGACCAAGGCCAAGTCCCACCTGTCTACTCTCCAGCGTCGAGGCCGAATCCCAGGTGTGGTTGACTTTGTGTCTTCTGCCTCTCGATTCCGAATCATCAGCGACCGAGAGAACATTAACCTGACTCTGGTTCTTGCTGGAATCAACTCGCCCAAGACTTCTGAGCCCTTTGGAGAGGAAGCCCGAGACCTGGCCGCCAAGAAGTTCCAGCAGAGAGACGTCGAGTTCACTGTTCAGGGCACAGACCGCCTGGGTAACTTCATCGGTCACTTGTACCTGCCCAACGAGTCCAAGCCCTTTTCTATCGAGCTTCTAGAGGCTGGTTTCGCTTCTTCTTTCATCCAGGCTGCTGAGTCTTTTGCCCACGAGCTTGAAGACGCCGAGCAGGAGGCCAAGAAGGCCCGAAAGGGTATCTGGAAGGACTTCAAGGAGGATGTTGAGGATCTCGCCACCACCACTGGTGCTCTCAATGTCAACGAGCCCGCTGCTCCCGTTGTCCCCGACTACATTGACGTGACTATCACCAACATCAACCCCGACGGATCCATTGCATTCATTTCCGGCGGCGTTGGAGCTACTCTGACCAAGCTGGAGCAGGATATTACCTCGTTCAACCTCGCTGCTGCCAACACCACCCAGTTTTCGTTTGCTTCTGGCCATCCCAAGAAGAACGACTACGTCGCTGTGAGATCACCCAAGAACACCTACGTTCGAGCTCAGATTCTGAACGTTGACAAAGCCACTGGCAAGTTTGCCATTCTTCTTATCGACTCTGGTAAGGCCGTTACCGTGTCCCAAGCGCAGCTGCGACCCCTGCAGGCCCAGTTTGGTGTTGCCAAGGTCCCCGGTGCTGCCAAGACCACCAACCTGGCATTCATCCAGGCTCCTCCTGCCGGCGGAAACAGTTACCTGGAGGACTACGTTGACCTTCTCAAGAAGGAGATTGAGGGTTCTCAGCTGGTCGCAGCTGTTGTCTCTCCTGGCAACGTTGTACTCTTCACCATTGACTCCAAGGGCCCCGAGGACTCTGTCAACTCGTTCGTTGTTGAGGACGCGTACGCTTTCATCAAGCCCAAGCTGACCCAGGCCGAGCTCAACCCCACTTGGACCGCTACCGTTACCAAGCTCAAGGAGCTGGAGAAGGCTGCCAAGAACGACCGGGTTGGAATCTGGGAGTTCGGAGATGCTGTCTACGACGATGAGCAGTAGGTATGTGGAGTGGATAATCTGGCTATACCCCGCGGAGCTGTCGCTCTGTCTCTGTAATGTATAAGTACAAAATGTATTGTTTATTTAATGTCACCCATGCATGGTGCGAGTGCTGTGTATAGCTGGTGTATTTACTTTGTAAGTAGTTGATAAACCTTCGATTGTTGACCTTGTGCTGGTGTGTATCCTATCACTTCAGACGTACTAACCACGCTATAACTCCTAATCTTTGGCAGTCTGGTGTCTGTCATGGTCGATATCTCTCTCAAAGGTGTTTTATTGTGATTTCTTGGTCTTGTTGGACTTCCAGATGTCTTTACTCTGCCGCAGATGTGACGCCTAGGTCACATGTATTAGCTCTAGAATAATCTATATATAATGACGCAATGCGTGAGAAAAATGTGGCCGACGAGAACCTCGAGAAAAATATGAATAAAATAGTAAAAAAAAGAAAACTAATGGGAGAGAGGTATTAGTTCTTGCGTCTTGTAGTTTATCTACTTTTGGATCTATACAGGCAGGAGTAGCCACCAATAATACGGATCTTACACAGCGTATTTAGCAGTTATAGATACAAAACAGGTGGGGCATATCGAATGATTTACCCAGGTCCCAAACAGAAACAGCAGAAACAAACATGGAAACTAGCACACACGAAACGTCTACTGACTGGTCCTACCCTGTGCTATTCTCACACCTCTCTCAGCCCTTCTATGACGTCTTCGTCGGTGTCCTCGAGGTACTGCATTGAAATCGTCATAGGTGCTCGATCATTTGACGGACGAACCTGGAAACCCTTGTATATCTGAAACCCGGAGTTTTTTTCAATACCAATGGCATACATCCACCCTTCGACTACTCTACTCTCCACAATGGCATATTCCTTTTTTTCCACACACCTGGCCAATCATGTGTCTCCCTCAGATAAAGATATTTCAGTTGCAAACTTTATCAGGAATCGTTTGACCCGTGCATAGCAACATATCACGTTCAAGACCACTGAGAAGAACACAAATACCCCCCTGCCGAAGCAACACAGAGACGCGTTCTAGACCTAGCTGCTCTCAACATCGACCCCGCTCAGACCCGAGAACCCCCCCAAGCCAAGCTATGCTGCCACCTGAACTCTTCTCGGAAGTATGTCTGCATCTCAACATCAAAGACATCTACAACTTGAGTCACGTGAACAGGGAGCTCAATGGACTGGTATCAGATGACTTGTTCAGGACTAAGCTTCTAAAACACTGCCCGTTCTACGATCTGAGCAACTCTCCGCATTCAACATGGAAGGAGTGTGCGTCGACGTATATTTCGAGAGAAGGAGCGATTTGCAAGGAGGTATCAGAGACCAAGGACTACGTGGTTCACACAGACAACCACATTTTGTCTGGATTTGTCTCTCTATCCAACACTTGCAACGATTCCATCCTTTCTTTGGGTCAGAGTATCAGTCTGGATGGATCAAAAGTTACGTTTGACCAACTTGCAACAACTGTGGACGTTGCTACAGGTGAGACTGTTGATCAATCAGCAACGGAAGGCCCCAGCTTCAAGGATGGAACATATACGGGCTTCCATGGCATATCAATGCGCATTTCAACAAGCATTCACGCTCATATGACGGCCGTGGAGTCACCGGAAGTCCTTGCTGTCCTCACAGGCTGGGGGTTCAACTACCAAAGACTCATGGTAAAGTATCGGTCTTCCGAAGGTCTTGACCCGGACTATGTGGGAGAGCATATTAACCAATTGGACAGAGTATTTGTCAGTGCAGGTCACGTGTTCTTGAAATCTGTCAGCAATTGGACCTATTTACTACAAGGCGACACGTTCATTCCAGTTGTCTTCCAGCCTCAAACAACTCGGGAGTACCCCTTTTTGCTCTGCTACAATGGCCTGTTGATGCATTTTAGTGGCACTACAGTGGAGGTGTTCCATGTTGATCTGGAGAACAAGGAGTTGAGAGGCGGTAAGGGCGTCTCGTTCACTCATAGTAGCTCCGGGTTCTCCGGAAACCTCTACAAGCTCATCCAGGTTGCCGACAATCCTCGATATGCGATAGAGTATAACATCAACAGGACAATCTGTGGGGTGTGGGACTTCAAACAGATGAAGTACATGCGACGGCAGTACAATGACAACAGGAAGGCGTTGCAGCTAGTAGGAGTGGAAGATGGAAAGGTGGAGTGGCAGCTGTACACGAGAGAGTACATGGAGGTGCTTCTAGGTAGACGATTAGAGTGGGGGGAAGAGGTTGTTCACGAATATGGAGATTTATAAGTGGACTACGTTTTTTACATGCAGTATCTTGGTCTACCAGTGCTTCTCAGTACACACTTGTACAATTACATCTGTTAGTTAAATAAAAAGTCTACTTTTCAGGGGTAGTTCTGAGAAAGTGGGTGGGACAATGATAGCCCTCGTTGCTGACAAAGTAGTTTTGATGGTAGTCTTCGGCGTCCCAGAAGTTCTCAATGGGCTGGATGACCGTCGCAATGGGTTTAGCGAACCACTGGTCTTCCAGTTTCTTCTTGACAGCCAACGCACGTGCTTGCTGGTCTTCATTGTGTGTGAAAAGACCTGATAGATACTGGGTACCAATGTTCTTGGGTCCCTGGCCATCAGTCTGTGTGGGATCATGGATCTTGAAGAAGAAATCGGCCAACTCTTCATACGAGACTTGAGCCGAATCAAACGTGACTTGAAGGGACTCGAAATGGCCCGTGGAGCCAGCACACACGCTCTTGTAGTCTGGGTTGTCAATAGAACCTCCAGAGTACCCCACCTTGCAGTCCACCAGGCCCTTATCGGTGTAATGCTTTCGGTACATGTGTTCGATTCCCCAGAAGCATCCTCCTGCCACTGTGATGACGTCGAGCTTGGAGGGCCCAAACTTGATGGTGGGCGAGATTCCGGGTTCCTGGGACGCGGTCATGGTGATAACGATCTTGGATCACTTTTTTTTTAGCGGGTCAATCTTCTTTTATACCCGTTATGACTCTAATCTGACTCGGGGCAGATTGACTTTTTCATGCGTCTTATCTATCGTCATGTCACGTGCGGGACGGAGAAGAAGGTGGTAGAGCCCTTGTACTATGAGATTTCGAGTGGGAAACACATATCACTTGACCGACGATTATAGATACAAGTCTAGATGTCTTCAACTCCCTCTCAGCACCTATTCTACTCCTTCTCTGTACTCCTATTTTAGCCGAGATTTTCATCCATATGAAAGTTAATGGGAAAATATGGAGAAAAGTTGCAAACCGTTGAGGGGCTGATTGGTAGGAAATTTGGGGTTCTACTACCACTTGAGCAATAAATAATGTTCTTTTTTATTCTAGAGATTGGAGCCCGAGTGTCTGAATTTTTATATTTTAATTCCTTATTCATTTTTTTTTTTCTAATGATTCATTACAGCTATATACCTAGTAAGCCGGGTTATTGGCGTTCAATAAATCATACACTTCTGAATCATTGCGGTGTGCGCTGCGAGGCGCATGTCAGTTGGTTTGTCGACACTTCGTCTCGTTCTTGTCCTTGTCGTAGTCGCGCATTTTTTTTATTCGCATTTTTTTTATTCCAGATTCATGGCATTTTTTTCCGTCTCCACGCTGAAATTCAACAGGGAGATTTTCTGAACAAAAATTCGGTCCCTTGGCCCAGTTGGTTAAGGCGTCGTGCTAATAAGGAATAGCAACTTTGCAACGCGAAGATCAGCAGTTCGATCCTGCTAGGGACCATCTCTTTTTGCTCTCGTGCCTACCGAAGGCGAGTTGTGTCGTTTCTTGGTCATATTTTTGCTTCCCCACCCGTCATATGCCTTGGGGATGCAGTGTTAGCGCGATTTGAACTTTGTCATTGACATAGACAGAGAGAAGTGAGTGAGTCGGACTTGTAAGGAAAGAACAGAATGGAGCTTCAGGCAGCAACTGTGCTTGAAGATCTTCTGATCTTGACATGTCGACGTGATACCCTGTGGTGAGTTCAGCTCAGACACGCCAGGCTAGCTTACCCAATGAGAGCGACTGGTGATCAAGAACACCTCATAGTGCGACGGAACAGTCCATTTTGTGAAAGGCTGAGATTCTCAATCCTTCTTTGCTAACAAAGTGCTACCAAACGAAATCGGTCTGCAAATCCTGCAAGATTGCGATCTCGAATCATGTCTGGCACTAGGCGAGTCCTTGCCCAACATACACGCTCTGCTGAGATCGATGGATGCCACCCTGGTGCGTGAAAAGGTTGTCGCACGGGTTCCATGGATGGAACTTGACTTATCCGATAACCGGTTCAGCACCTGGATGGCTTGTGCTCGAGTCATACGGGCGAGAAATAGGGCTACTCAGAAACCCGGTTCGGTGTGGACCTCAGGATCAGATTTCCGCACACTCTTTCCCATGTGCAAACCAAAGGAAGTGTTCATCGATCCTGTCAATGTTGAAGGAGCTCTTCCACAGTCGTACACACCTGTATTCAACGACTCTGTCTTCCGTGGTATTGGAACGGACTCAGACTTTTCGCTCAAGGGCGAAGAGATTCATCTCGAGAATGGCAGATGGAACATCAAGACACTGGAGGTAGCATTTGGTAATCAACACACACATGTCAAGAATATCAATGAAACTGGACGGGCTATTGTCAACCCTGAAGATGGATACGAGGTCATGACCTCAAATGAAACGGTGATCCATTTAAGATGCAACACGGGGGTTCTTCCTACTGATATCATTGCTCACAGACCTACGATAACCGAAACATACACCTCCAGGTCAGACCTCTATCAAGTGGCCATCAGATTGCCCTCATTTGATAACTTCTGTGTTCCATTCGTTCACCTGCTTCCTAATAAGTCTACCAAAGCTCTTGTAGGAGTTCATGTCAAATCTGGCAATTCCGAGTCACTTTACAAGGAGGAGAAGACGTGGGTGTATCTCATTGACACCTTGGATTTCACCAAAGTGACGTTGATAACCGTGCTTCCAGCACGACCCATACAATGGAGTGAACTTCTACGTGAGAATTGGCTTGATGAAGTGAATAGAATGGCTCCTAATCGCGACTTTGACGTTACCTACTACCAAGGTCTTTTGTATATTTACTGCAATGGCCGTATTGTGCCATTATGGACCGATTGTGGCATTGAAGATGACGACAATATCACTCCATTTGCGTCTCCACAGAACCATATGGCTGGCTACCATCGCACCCGACTGAGGACGTGGTTCAACACCGGCAAGCCGGTTATTTGTACCGTCTCAGGGTACTTGCCTGATCCTCCAAACGATAGTAGACTTGTTAGAGAGGGAAAATACATCACACTGAGTGGAACGGAAGGGAGATTGGTGGGCGACCTGAAGACTGATACTTCATATATCGCTAGAGATAGATTGAAGATGGGTTCCTTCTTGTTTCCAGGTGTTGAAAATGGACAACCAATGTTTTACCGATGGAAAAGAAGCACCCTATTATCTGTCCTGGGACTGTTACGAGGCTCTGAACAAGACGGTATAACAGAGAAGGTCAAACAGCTATTCAATGCCGATGCACCGTCTAGCTGGAACGAAGAAAGCTGCTCAGATAGAGAAGCCAGACTAGGAGTGTATCGCAATTGGGCAGCCATAGCCCGTTCGGGATTCAAGTTTAGTATGAGAGACATTTCCTTCATGGCTCCAAACTTATGCCTGAAGAGAATGGATCATCATGAGCAATAATAGAGCCATATATAAAAGTTTTGTAGATATAGTCTTAAGGCAATCAATTTCTTCTTTCCTTTCCTTTTCCTTTTTTTTTATTTAATTTTGGTTCTCTTATACCTTTTTCTCGAATGAATAAGCCCAAATGACCCCGGAGCAACAAGCCTGGCTAGCTCAATCGGTAGAGCGTGAGACTCTTATCTCGAAAGTCATCTCAAGGCTGTGGGTTCAAGCCCCACGTCGGGCTTACATAAAGGCTGCTGAGGGGCTGTCTTTCCTTTTTTCTCCCTTCCACTCCTTCTATCATGATGTCATGTCTCCTACCTGCTTGACATGATGTTCCGGAAAACTGCAATCTATATATCTCTCTCAAGTCTATAAGAGAAGTCCGGCAGAGGTCTATTCAAGTTCAGCACGTTTACATCTTTACACATTCAATTATCTCTTTTCCCACGCCAAGGGCTCTTCTATCATGTGTCTGAAGCCCTGTGAGCAGCGACGGTGAGATGATCTAGGGGCCTCCTGTGAGTACAAGTAGAAAAAACCAATTCCATGTTGGCAATTGACAGTGACTTCCACAATATATCACGATTCGCAGCTACGATTACAGCAGTCTTCTCTATCTCCGTACTCGTACAGGACAAGACCTGTGGATCATGCACCCTCCAGCTCATATCATCATAATAAATCATGATTCATTATCCTCCAATGCGTATCACAAGACATTTTTAGATAAGTCTTAATCTCTTCTCTTCTGATGCTCCAGAACGGCAGGTCGGAAGGCGATCCACAAGCTGACAGAGACAACAACGGCCATCAAAGTCATGACTTCCAGTACCCAGATGATGACCTGGGTCTCGGTGAAGGGCTTTTGGGCGTGCAGGATCGATGAGGCGTCCATTTGAAATGATTGGTGGGTGGGAAAAGAGTCCAAAAACGTGGGTCGCAAAGTTGGGTCGGGTTTCGGACTATATATCTCTCGCTAAATGGAACTTTTAGTGCAGCCCAAATACATGGACAAGGCACTAAGACGCATTCTCACCTTAAATATCAACAACGTGCCGGAGATATGATCTGGACGGCTGGATATTGTCCAATTTGCAAGTATGAAAGGCGGAAAACAATCCAAAAACCTCCAGAAACACTATCATCCACTCCAATTCTTCCCTGCTCATCCACAACTCCCTCCAGAGTACACCCCTCCAACTCCATTTAGGTTGCCCAAAAGGCGGGGTTTGGGCACCCACTAACTTTGGCCCATCTGTTTGCTGGTAAAGCGCGCATCTTTTTCCGGCCTTTGTGTGGAAAAAGTGAAAAGATGATCATGTGACCAAGTAAGGGGTGTTTTGTCACGTGACCATATCCGTGTCTCTGAGAGAGTTTTCACCGACGACCCTAAGATACTTCGCCTGTTTCCGGATCGACAGGTTAACGCCGCCATTCGATCACGATAGCAACTTATTGGCAAGGGAGAGTAGTCTCATATGGTTGCGGATTGTATACGGATTGGACTGCACCATACATTGATCTTTCTTTCTTTCTTTAATATACAAATAAAATATCTTATGCTATACAAGTGCGGTACAAGTAAAGTACCAACTTTTGGTCTCTGCTTCTATGAATAGTATGAGGTAGCAACAGTTTCGCACCTTATACCGCCTTTCCCCCGTTGCTTAATCCCGCCCACTGAACATATCCTTCTTCTCCTTTCCAGTGATCTTCTTTCGTCGTCGCTCGATGGCTCGATCGATATCCTTCTTCTTCATAGTCTTGAACTGTTCCGTCAGCACCAGCTTTCGCTGGTCGCTTCGCTTCAGATAGTAAGGGTTCTTTCCATCCTTGGCCTGCTCTCTCTGCTGCTGTCTGTGCTCGTTCAGCACCTTCTTTCGGAAGTCTCGCTTCTCCAGAGTCTTGAGTTTCGACTGCAGCGACTGGATCTGTGTCTGGATCTGGGATCGAATGTACGATTCCTCCGTTTTCTTCAGCTTGGCCTGCAGCTCCGCAATCTCCTCTCGTCGGTACTCATCCAAAAATGCATAGTCCTCTCGAACACGGTCCTCATTAGCCTTTCCATAGGTGGCATCAAAACGGATATCTCTGTAGAGCTTGGAGTCACGTGAAGCAGAGTCAGCTCCGGATTTCGTCATGGTCAGACCAGGGATAGGTCGGATCACACTCACTCGCTTCTTACTGGAAGCTTCACTGGGAGCATGCTTGAGTCTCTTCTTGGGTCCTCCATCTTCCTTGTTGTTGCCCTTGCCCTTGTTATTGCCCTTGTAAGAGCTTCTCTCGTACCCTCCGGAGTTTTCTTCGGGTCCCGAGTCGCTGTCACTGTCGCTGTCGTCTTCGTTCTCCTTATCGAGATTCTTTTGCGCGTTGCGAATGGCTCCGAACGATAACGAGCTCATTTCTTCGGGCCCAGAGTCCTTCTCCAGACCGGCAAATGTGTTGTAATCGTCCGAATCACTGTCGTCAGCTCGCTTTCGAACCAGATTTCTGTTTGAGTCTCGCTTCATAGTGTTGTGGTGATATCGAAAGAATATTTCACAGCTGAAGCGATATGCAGATATTTTTTTAAGGTTCCATAATGGAACATCAGCTGGCTGCTAGACAGGCTCTATACAGGCTCGTGCGGTAGGTGACGTCAAAGGGAAAAAGCGAATATACGAAGGATACTGACAGAAATGTGTCTATATCAACAAATACAAAAATCGGCTACGTTTTCACCAAATTTGTGCTACTCTTCTGGGGAGTGTCTAATGACGGACTTTGAACTTTAATTAAGTGGTGCGACTGAGCCTGACTGAGTGAGCATTGGCTGGGGGGAGTCTGTAATGGTGTTAGGTGAGAGCATTGAGAGGAGTCGTATTCAAGCTGGAGAACAAGTAGGATCTGAGAGAGTGGTAAAAATGGTAAGAACTTGGCTTGAAACCCTTCTTTCGAGACTGGTAAAGAAACCCCAATTAGTTTACTTGGAATAGTTGAACAATGGGTGATATAGACGGGCGAGTCTGGTGTTGGATGCCTCGTCTTCCCCGTTCATCGAGGTTTGAACCCTGTCAGATCGGACTGAAATGTGAACTGTCTGGACCACCAGTTGTGGAAGTCTGAGTTCTCTTGTTCCTCATGTACAGTATAACCCGTGTTGTTGCATTCGATACAGAGATTCTCTTAACTGATGTTATACTTAATCAAATATTGAGGGAAAATAAAATAAAAATAATATATATAAAAATAAAAAAACCCAACACAAAACAGCAACAACTAGAGGAAGTACACTACAAGTCATTGAGAATAAACGCTAGGGTAATACTACTGCACCTGTTCTGAATAGCTGTTTCCACAGCATTCGATGTCCTATTTCGACAGTTCGCTAACCGCTTACATTGTAGTTCAAAGACAACAAGTCCGCCCTAAACTATGTACAACGATACATCCAGCAGACGTGGATCTTGTTTCATGTGCTTTTGCGAAATTCGAAACTGTTTTGGCAGACCATAAAAGCGAACCTGTTCCCCGTTGAATACGCACTGTTAGACGTTGGTCAGGGTTTTAGTTGCTTTTTTCTCTTCCATAGCCATGATTTATGCCGTTGTTATCGCCGGATATAGGGTGTGATATTAGGGTGCCAGTGTCTGACAGTGTGCCGGATATAAACGACTGTTCTGTGCCCAAACAGCACTGTTTTCGTCCGAATCAAGCCATTTTTCTGATTTTCGATAAACAGCTGGTATTTCGGCTCTATGGCCTGTTCCCATAGTCCCCTTGTATATAGTACCAACACCCATTTACCACTTGTATATTGTACCAACACCCATTTATAGACCCCCCAGATATATCCATTGCAAGAAACTCTAAAAAACGCATGTAGAGCAGAGCAGAGTGGTGGTAGAGAGACGCTTGGGAAACAAGAGTTGTTAAAGATTGGTCCGTCGGGTCAATTTGTCCCTGAAAAACACATCTTTTCTGGACCTGCGACGTCCATTTACCACATTATACGTTTCCATTGGCACTGCCTACTTGTAGCAGTCGCTTGGCGCGAACTCTATAGTGGAGAGAGCATGTACCGGGGTACGAGTACGAGCGCATTCGTGGCCACACCTGGCCAAACATCACCACATATGCAACTAACCGACGACCATAAGAAAGACCTGGAAAAGCTGGGCGAGGAATTGAAGGGCAAGGAGGAGCACACGGTGGCTGGGGAGGATGAGGAAGATGTCAACCATGGCGCCGACGATTCCGAAGACGCCGAAGACGAAGACGCCGAAGACGAGAACGACTACACCGAACTGGATGTGGACATTGTGTGCCAATTCATCAAGGACGCCGCCAGAGAGGCCGAGAAGACGGGCGACTACATTTCCTACGCAACCGTCATCGACATCCACTGCTCGGATCCATCCAGATACAAGCACGTAGACAGGGTCAAGATCCTCACGTCTCTTCTGGAGGTGCTGCGGACCAACCCCAAGATTTGCGAGGAAATTGGCTGGGATCTTCCAGCGCTTTTGCTGCCCTACTTCAATGTCGAGGACTTTGATTTCAACGACGGTCTCGAGGGTCACCCGACCTTCTACCCTCTGATTATGCTGTTCTCGACCCTGGCAGAGTACGGCAACCCCAAGGAGCTGTTTCTCAAGACCGTCGAGACGCTCAGTACACTGACCTGTGACCGCGCACCCGAAAATGACAAACTCAAGTTCAAACAGGCCGAATCTCTACGGAAATTCGAGGTCTGCAAGTTCCACGTTCTCGAGGAACTCATGAGCTCGTGCATGAAGAAAATCAAGACCCAGTACCCCTCCCGGTTCTTGGCTTCCGCTGCTTCCGCCATTCTCATGTTCTCCGCTCGAAATGCGGCACTTTTCAGACACTTCCCTCTCATTGTCGGCATTCTGGCTAGAAGAGTCTACGTATTTATTCGAGACTGGGGGATGGACGGAGACGAACCCATGGACATGTCGCCTGACGAACAAGCCAAGAGCGCCAAGATTCTACAGTCCCTGTCCACGTACTTTTTTTACTCGTGGTTCCACCGGGTGGCTGTCCGATGGAGTAGCAATCTCTTCCGAGAGATCAAACACTCAATCCACGAGTTGCCCAGAGCCGAAAGAGCCAAGTACGACAACCCGAAATCAAATGGATCGGCCGTTTACACCATTTACAACCGATGGGGCACTCTGGCGCTATCTCTGGATCTTGATCCCAGTCAATATTTCCTTCCTCTGATCCAGGAGATCCAGGAGGACGTCCAGGAGGCCACCAAGGGAGGGTTGGACGATACTCTTGCGGGATTCAGCAAGAGTTCACTTTCAGACGCCTCCCCCATCGCATTTGTTGACTACAGCATGTACGATGACGCCTCTGAGATTCCTCTGTCTCAGGAGGGTCTGCTTATGCTTGCTACCCAGTACATGATGGAGAACCGCGACCACAGTCTCAATATTTCTCTAGATCAGCTGGTTTCTCTGACACTATATCTTGTGCACAGATCCTCCCCTAAGGAACCTCTTCCTTTTGCCATTACAGACTTGCTCCTGTTCTGGGGATGGTGGACTCTCAAAGACATGGAGCGTCCCGAGGTGCGACAACTTGATGAAGCATTTTACGTCAAGTATCTGCAGTTCCTGGTGTTTATTTCGGCATCTTCTCCCTTGCCCGAAATCAGAAACATTGCCTACACACTCTGTGGGCGGCTGTTGTACCTGCAGCACGAGTCTGTCTCGTTCGCCTTCATCGCAGACACTATTGCGGATTGTCCGTTTGAGAATGCCCAGGTAGCCATGGTAGGTATTCTCAAGCGTCTGATGATCCCTGACGAGATCTCCGACCAGCTCTCAAAACTCAGAATTCCCGATGTGCCGACCCGAGAGGGAGTCGAACACCAGAAGGCCTCCCAGACCACCATCCCGACAACTCCCGAGCATGTGGATACTATCAAGAGTCTTTGTAACGCTGCATTGGAACAGGAGAACACGCACCTGGTGATCACCTGGCTCAACTTCCTGTCCACAGTGAAGCTGGACTGCGGTTTCGCGGGTGACTATGCTGAGCGGGTGGAGAAGGTGATTGACGAGGTGGAGGATGAGAACGACCGGACTCTGATTAGACTGGCTCTGGACGTGTTGGCAAAGACCGTCTAGAGCGCTCCGGTCTGCTAAAGTCAGGGGTGGAAGCAAAAGACATTAGTGATGTAAGTAGTATTGAATTGTATAGTGAGTTCGAGTAAGGAGTACAGGTTGGATGTAATGTATCTACGAGTACTGTACACTATATGATGTGATGATCTCAGTAATAAAAGTAAGAGTACTCGTGCCGCGCCGATACAACTTGTACATACAGGTAGTCTATGCTGGAGCCTCTTGATTGTCGAGAAACAGAATCATGAGAGAGTATAATGAGAATAGATGGAATTCTTTTCTAACAAGCAGTTTAAATAGCGTTGAATTGACCGCGCAGTCCTTTTACGGTCTGTCTATACCGAGAATTATTCAACAGTTTTTTTTATTCTTTTTTTTATTCTAATGATTCACTGTCTGACTAAGCAGAACCACTCGTCCGTTGTCAACCTTTGTTCGAAAGTTACAAGGCAGCGGCATGGCGCAGTGGAAGCGCGCAGGGCTCATAACCCTGATGTCCCTGGATCGAAACCAGGTGCCGCTATTTGTTCTTTCCTTTTTTCCAGAATTTTTGCCCTGTATGTGAGAGAGTCCTGTCTGAGTTAAGTTGTGACTCATGCAGGTGGCAAAGGGCTGTTCAGAGATGGGCTGAGGTCAAAGGGTGGTCTAATTGGGAAAAAACATGTTCGAAAACGAGCCATTTATTTTCAAAAACTACTTTAATAGAAATATCAACGCCCTCATTCGACTTGGAGCTCTCAAATGTCACCTCTACGGCTTCTGAAAGCTCCAGGTGGTGTTATTAAGCGAAACCTTATATATTTAGTGCACCGTTCTTGCAAGTGTAAAAATACCAGTCGAGGAGTTGAAAAATGATAATTTGGGAAACATTTTATTTTCAAAGACATTTTTAGAGAAGGGGAACAAGAGAATGTTATAGATTTCCTACAGACCTACTGTGGCATGTTTGAAGTCCAGGTACTTGTAGGACATGTGGGTGCTGCGCCCGTGTTCCTTTTTTTTTTCCCTTTTTTTTTCTTTCTTTCTTTTCTTTCTTCTTTTCTTTCTTCTTTTCTTCTTCTTTTCTATTTTTTAATTATAATAAAATAATTTTGTAGTTAGTCACTGTCTGAGTAAGAACATACCAGAACATGCGCTATCAAGCAACAATGGAGCCATTACACACATTCAAATGGGCGCAATGGTACTGATGGCTATGTTCATCGCAGTAAATATTTCCCTGGCTACCAAACATTGTGACCAAGGGGTGTATTTTGACTCCTTCAGGTTTCTCTTCCTAAGTAAAATGCCAAGTAGAAGTATGTCCAGTAGTACTGTATACCAGCAAGACCCTCTCTCCCATTCCGAGACTCCAACGTAAGTATTGTGTGGCAAAGCACAGTAAACAGATAAATATAAGTACAGTACTTCTCTATTGTGTGACCAAAACCGAAAATTTTGACCTCTCTATCTCTCTATCCCTCTCTCCTCTACAACCTACCCTTCTATCACCGAACTACTCATAATCTATGGCGGAACAGGTCCAAAAACTCAACTTCCAGACAGTTTCTACGTTAGTCACCTGAGAGGCCTGTTCAACCCGCCCCTCTCCACCCCCAATATTCTATGTCATTGCTCAATACTCCGTCTCGTTTGCCACCTACCGCCTAAGGAGTGGCAATCTCCATCTTGTGCTTCAACTGTAATAAAGATCATGCAGCATCCCAAACTCTGTCTTTTGACCTCTCTTGGCCTTCACCAGAGCACTACAACCCTCAACTGATTCTTTTCGATAGAAAAAACAACTAATTGCCATATTCCACTTCCAAAATGGTGTCTAGTGAGTATTTCTGTTCCACTACCGCCCCACATGTGCTAACCCAGTGCTCCGCAAATACCTGCTGGAGTGTCCACGCAAGTTTGGAAACAAATATGACAACAAGGTGCGAAGCGATCTGAGACGGGCGCTGTTCCTGGCGGCCAGTGACGATGGCAAATACTTCAACCTGTTCTTCCCAGACCGCCCCGAGGCCAAGGACGACCAGGAAAGTGAGTCTGAAGACGAAGAGGAGTACATTATGGCCGACAACCGAGATGATCCTGCTCACCCTGGCAGACCCTGTGTAAGACGATTTTCCAAGGGCGAACCCACCTACCGATGTCTGACCTGTGGGCTTGACGAAACCTGTGTTCTGTGTTCCTACTGCTTCAACCCTGAAGATCATCAGGACCACCAGGTCACTGTCAGCATCTCTCCCACCTCTAACGGTGGTGTTTGTGACTGTGGCGACCCCGAAGCCTGGGTGAAGCAGTTCTCCTGCAAGTATCACGAGATTGACAACTTCACAGCCTCGGACCTGCCTCAAGACCTCTACGACGCTCTTTTGGAGACCGTGGAGACCGCTATGGACTACCTGATTGACGTGCTCAGTCACTCGGACGTGGCCATCTACAAGTTCACCGAGGCAGAGCAGGTGCTGGCCAACTTTGTCAACTCGCAGCTCTCTCCCAGCGTCTATGGTGCTCGTGATGACCATGACGACAGCAGATTCACCCTGAGCATGTGGAACGACCAGCGGTACAGTTTCACCCATGCCGAGATTCTCATCAAAAAGGCGACCGGCAAGAACGACAACTTTTGCAAAATGGTGTCCCAACACATTGACAGCCACGGAAGAGCTACAGTTCGTGTGTCCTCTTCTCTTGGAGACTTGATGGACGCCAAACGACAAATGGCTCACACCATGCTCATCCCTACAAGTACGGCGGGCATGAACGAAATGGCCACTTCGGTGCGATCGTCCAGAGACTCGTTCCGAGAAGAAATGTGCGACACCATCATTCACTGGCTAGATGACATCTCCAAGTGCCCCATCCAGGGCAACTACTTTGCCATTCGAGATATCGTGTGCAAAGCATTCTGTCGGCCATGGAGAGTAGGCTCTGCCAAGTTCCTGGGTGAGGTGCCCTTCAACTTGGACGCGGACGTCGCACACTACAAGGACCGAATGGAGAAACGGGCTGCTCTTACCCCCGAGGGTGATATTCCCGAGTACGAGGACTACCAGGAGAACATGGCCGAATTTGATGTGCCTGAGCAGGAAACCAACCCAATTGGAAATGCTGGAAACGGTATCGGACGAGATCCTGACACTCCGCTGACTACCGGTAACCCTGATTACTGGGTTCGGGGTAGAACAAACCCCGATTGGTCTGCTCCCGAGGTTCTGGAGCTCCTGGGTTGCCCCATGAGCAAGCGAGCACGTGTCTGCTACTTGCTCTTCTTTGACATTCGACTTTGGAAATCGATTCGAAATGTCCTCCAAAACCTGTACATTTCTGTCATGGTCGCACACCCCGGCTTCAAGTCTATTCTTGGAATCTACTATGCCGAGATCTACCGACAGATAGTTGAGATGCACATTCTGCTGGACCGAGAACATGAGGTGTCTGTCATCACGCATCTCTCTACACAGCTTCTGACAGCGCCCTCGATTGCGACTCAGATCTCCAAGTACAAATATCTGACAGATTACATGGGTGCCTTGTTCCTCTTTTTCACTAGAGGAGCATTTGGCCCTGCTGATGCTGTCAATGTGGGCTACCACAAGGTTGAAATGCTTGTTCTTCGTGCCCAGCATACGCGCTTCAGACGCATCTTCCATGACATGAACTACATCCTCAACCGCACCACCGAGAAGGAGAACACCTGTGGTGCTCCCGATCGAATTCGACAAGTTTCTGACCTCTTTCTGCTTTTCCAGGGTGCTCAGACCATGAAGCGGCAAGTCGGCACCCATATCGAGTTTGAAATCGACACCTGGGTTTATTTCTTCTACCCCACTGCCTGTCTGCTACAACTTGGTCAAATGATTGCCAGTGGATCTCGAAGCTGCCGACTGGAGGACAACGAGGCTGCTATTCGAATTGTCAGCAATGCCCTCACCCTGTGGGGTTCTGGTCGGCTCAACTACCGAAGCATGAGCAACGAGGCCAACGTGCCTGAGTTCGTGTCTGTCAACTGGGGAATGGAGCAGTACCTGACTCTCAAGTTTGACGTTGCGTCTCAGGACGTGTCTCTGTACCATCCTCTTCACGCCTTCTGTTCTTGGCTAATTGAGTGCGGTCAGGTGATGCAGAGTCGACGCCTGCGGGAGATCCTCACCGATGTGCAGCTTGCCGATGGTCCCAACCCCATGGATCAGGCCGTTCATCCTCGATCCTTGGCCCTCTCGGTGCTGTTTGAATATCCAATTCGAGTGCTGGTTCTGTTATCACAGATCAAGGTTGGCCTGTGGGTCCGAAATGGTGTCAATGTGGTCTCTCAGCTAACCCACTACCGAGACCAGAGTCTCCGAGACACTGCCTTTGCTCGAGACCTGTTCATGGTTCAGACTGCCCTTGCAGTTCACGACCCTGCTCTCGTCTTTGTTTCCATTGTGCACCGGTTTGGATTGTCCCAGCTGTCTACTCCTGACACCAAGCATCCCGTTTACGAGGACAAGGAGAAGTACATGATTGAGGAGCTCCTTCACACCCTTTTGGTGCTTGTGCTTGAGCGAACTCATCTGTACGGCTACGATGAGAAGGAAACCAAACGGGCTCATATTCTCAAGCAGATTGTGCACTCTCTCTGCTTCCGACCAAACTCTTTCACGGAGATCTGCAAACAGATTTCGGAAGATCTAACCTCCGAGGAGCTGTTTGAGACCATTCTTCTGGACGTTGCAGAAATCCAGCAGCCCACAGGCAACTCTGAGTCTCGAAAATACAAGCTCAAGGACGAGTACTTTGACATGGTTGACCCCTACTTTGCCCACTTCTCGTCTAACCAGCGAAACGACTGTTTGCGAGTTTTGCAGACTCGTCTTGCCAAGAAGCAAGGCTGCAGTGAGTCTGAAGTTGTGGTCATGCCTCCCATGGACCCTCCTCTTGAGGGAGTATTCAAGAACATTGGAGCCTTCACCAAGACCCGGCCATTTGCTTACTTCTGCAAGTCTGTGCTTGAGTTCCTGGTGGGTCAGCCTGATGGCGACATTACTGGTCTCTTGCTGCATCTCATTCTTGTTGCTGTGACCGACAAGTCTCAAGTTGATATTGATCCCCAGGAGTTTGCCACCACCGCTTCTGGTCCCCTCCCTGACTACAGACTGGGTGCTAATGAGCTGGGATCTATGCTCGTTGAACCCCTGTGCAAGCTTTATGAGCAGGAGCATCCCAAGAACGGTGCTGTGATCCGTTATCTTGTGGACAAGCTTGCTGGTGATGATATTGCTCTTCGAGAGCTTTCCGACAAGCTTGCCTCTTCTGTGGCTAGCACCGCTGTGTCTGGATCGTCCGGAGCTATGTCCCCGACCTCGACCAAGCGAGAGCAGGCCAAGCAGCGACAGGCTCGTATCATGGAGGAGTTCAAGCAGCAGCAGCAGGCGTTTGAGCAGAACCATGCCGACAACTCCGGTGAGGATGAGGACATGGAGGGCGGAGAGTCCAACGAGGACGTGTGTATTCTCTGCATGCAGTCCAAGAGCAATGCTCCTGGCGCTGTTTTCGGAGTCTCTGGCCTCTTTACCTCCTCCAACGTCTACCGGCGCTTCCCTGCCGACCACAGCGATCTTGTTGAGGAGTGTCTCAACTGGAACGGTAACCTGGACCAATCTCGGTCTGATGTGATGATGCAGCTCAAGTTCACATGTGATCCTGAGTGGCAGAAGCTCCAGGACGAACGTGTGGCTCGAAACCGAATCGGACCGGGTTTCCCCAACGAGAACCACGGCACTGTTGCCACCTCATGTGGTCACGGCATGCACCACGAGTGCTACTTGGAACTGAGAAAGACCATTCTCAAGCAGACTCAAGTGACTCGAAACAAGGCCGAGAACCCCGAAGCCGGCGAATTCCTGTGTCCTCTATGCAAGTCTTTCAACGACGTGTTCTTACCTGTGTTCCACTCGTCCAACGAGCGAAACTGGGATACTGTTCTGAGTTCGCCCAGTGAAGCTGGAGGCAGCGGCAGTCTGGCCGGCGAGAACAAGATTTTCCTAGACTATCTTGATGGACGTTTTGAGGTACGTGAGCCTCTTACTGCAAGTGTCATCCTGGGTAACCAGCTTGCGGACGCCACTCAGGCCGGTGACGAGGGTGAAGATCACGACGACTTTTGGCTGGACCAGCTCATTGTGCAGTGGGAAAACCGATTCGAACCTGGTCTTGCGGCGATCATGACACGAATTGAAAACCCTGCTGATCTCATCAAGATTCTGTCCAACACTGTTCAGCAGCTGGAGATTTCGCTCCGAGGAGTTGCTACGCAGCCCACCGGTCTCTTCTTCGAGCAGCTGTCGTCTAACAACGTGGCTACCCTGCGAAACATGTGTGAGATTGTGTTTGTGGCTCTCACACAGATTCGAACTGCTCAGAACCACACTCTGTCTCGCCAGTTCATGACCGTCAACCAGTCTGCTGGAATCGAGCGGCTGGCTGTTTTCCTGTGTTATGACCGGTTCGTCGGCTTGCAGTTCAACCATATGCTACGATACTTTGTTTCCCAGAAGCTGGCTCTCAACCTGGATTACTTCATAAAGACCTGGGCAAAGGGCGAGCTGGACTGGACTCGAGGACCCGTGTTTGAGCACATGCCTAGGTTCTTTGGTCACGAGCAGGGAATTGAAGCTGTCAAGGCTATTGCTGAGCGGCTGCTGCAGCACCAGGAGGGCGTTCCTGAGGTTACGGAGGCCGTTGCTGCTACAGTCTACACTCTAGCTGTCAAGGCTACGACTGTTTGTCTTCGAGAGGCATGTCTGCTTGTCTACGGACTCTATGCCTCCGGTGAGACTCCTGAAATATCTGAGGACGATGACATTGATGATTGTGAAAACGACTGGTATGAGGCTCAGAAGCTTACCCGCTTCCTCAAGATTCCCCATCTCGATGACATTCTTCAGGGCGTGTTGGGCACTTCTGAAGTGTTTAGCATTGAGGCCCGTGCCTTCAACACCATCAATGCGGCATCCAAGCCCATTGTGCCCTTCTATTTTGCTCCCCAGAGGCTTTTGCATCTCCCCGAACGACTAGACGATCTTTACACTCCTGGATATCATGCTTCTCCCTCTGTGAAGCAGCAGAGCAAGAGCATGTCAACAGATCCGGCCGTGTGTCTCTTCTGTGGAGAGTCTGTGAACACCCAGTACAATGACCCCTGGGATGCAGACAAGAGTGGTGAGTGCAACAAGCATATGCGAAAGCACCACAGAGACAAATGCATCTTCTTGCTACCTAAGAAGACCTCTATTCTGCTACTTTCCAAGGACCAGGGATCGTTCCACCCTGCCCCTTACTTTGACCTGCATGGAGAGCGAGACGAGGTAATGAAGCGAGGACGTCCTCAGTTCCTCAACGAGGGTAGATACGAAAAGTTCATGCGAGAAATGTGGTTGCAGCCGGGTATTCCCAACTACATTGCACGACAGCTTGACTCTTCCCATGACCCCGGAGGATGGGAGACTCTTTAAATAACTGAATGAATACAATAGAATGTGGAGATAAGGGAGTGTGTTGAGTGTAGAATTTCGATGTTGAAAAAAAGTAAGTGAAATGGCTTCGTTCTGACTAGCGTATTTTTTACAGAATGAGGATATATGATGTATGGAGAAGTATCAGGGTGGTGTATGACAGCATAACAGTGTGTTTCTGACTTCTCTGGATGTCAAAGAATCATCACGATGCCCTGAAATTACTTGTATTTGGATATATCTCTGTATCATACATTCCAGACCAGTAAATGTGTATCGTTGATTACAATGAGAAAGAAAAAAAATTCAAACGACGGGAGAGTATCGATAGAACAATGGGGAGTTCAAAAACGTGAATATCAGACAGTCTTTTTTATTACTAGCTTCTCTTCCCTTACAATATCCCTGTTCATTCACTATCTCTGGCTCAGGTACTTAGAGAGCACCGCATGTGCGCGAGAAGAAAACGAACTTCCACCAGGAAACAACAATGTGGAAGAGGAGAGTACAGTATGTACCGTACAGTACATTATCGCATTGTACTATTGAGCATGTTACACAAAATCCAGGCAGGTTGGTTCATGGGTGCAGTTCTGTTGGAGTGCCGTATGATCATAACTGCACCCACCCGCAATCGAGATATAGTGATATCGAGGTCACCAAAAAACATTCCGGAGGCATGAATAGATGCTGAGAATAGCAAAAAGGATAGGGCCCAACCGGGAATTGAACCCGGGACCTCTCGCAAATTGCCCAGGATCACCCTAAGCGAGAATTATACCACTAAACCATCGGGCCACTGGATGAGAGCTCGGGGTGGTGATGTGCTACATAAGGACAGAATTAGAAGAGAAAAATTGGAAAAATGTTGGTGAAAGACTTTAAAAGGGAGTTTAGAGGGTCAGAAAAGATCTATTTATGTCATTATAAGGCCCAATAATCAATTGGTACACTCTCACGATCACAAAGACGGATAGATTACCTGGATCATCTCCTAGAGCTTCCAGAATGCCATAGAAGAAGGAAAGGAGATTGTTCATCCCCTGGGAGGAGTTTTTGTGTCAAATTATTGTTGGGTAGTGTTTGACACCATAAATAATACTCTACGATAGGTGGGCCATGCTTCGACTGGGCGATAGTGCGGTCGGCTGGCGTTTGATTTGTGAGTATGCTGCGCCGCACAACTTTTCCATTGAAGACTGGTTCCTCGTAAAGAACTATTCTTCATGGAAAACATTTGATAGCTTTTCAATTGGTCTAGCGCACTCTCCAAACATGATCGCAAGTACATAGTTGAACCAGAACAGTTCAAAAATCCACTTCAAGAGAACCTGGGCTAATGTTGAGGAACTGTCACGAGCGACTCTGACGTCTCAGAATGAGTGATACTCTTATATATGAGTATATATGAACAAACATGTCTGGAATGGTCACATTTGGAGCGAAAACTGGACCTGGCACATCATCAAAACCCGAAAGAGTGATCAATAACGATTCCTAGGAAGGGTATTTCACAGATAGCTTGCCCCCATTTGCCACCTGTGTTGTCGTCCATCAAATCGCACAATTCCATGAGCAGGTTTTACTCACACCCATGGAGACCAGCAGCTTCCCCACTACTCGCACGCACTTGCTTCAAAAGTGGTTAAATTTGTCTACACACCTGTTCAAACACTAGTTCATGCTCAAACTTATCTATGGGTCCTCCACCTGTGGACTATTGTCTCGTTTACAACCCATGATCAAACCATCCAGTGTTACTCTATCTATATACTTACAAAAAATACCAACCTGCTCCGCCAGCTGCAATCATGGAGACGCCAAACCACCACAGCGAGTTGTAGTCCACCACGGAGTGCTTCTTGATGCCGGTCACCTTTCGGTTGTCAATGCTTCGTCGGATCTTTGCTCGTGTGCTGCCAGTGTTTTCCGGTTGCGACGCCTCCTGGGTGGGGTTGAGTGTGACCGTGGGCAGCATCATGGCCGGTCGGTAGGCCAAATACATGGGGGGCATGGGGGCTCCGTTGAACTGGAACAGGTCCAGTCGGTATCGTCCGTGGTAGGGGTCGACGTAGACGGAGAATCGCTTGAACTTTTCCGTCTGGTTGTATCGCGAGTACACGGCGTTTTCCTCCTGCTTGCAGGGATCTGACAGCAGCTGTCGGCCATCGACCATGTAAGGCTCCAGGGTCAGAGTTCCGTTGTCGCTGATGTTGTAGGTACCATGCTGGAAGATGAGCACACCAGTGGGACACTTGGGGTCTTTGGGGTTGGCGGAGACCTGGTAGATGGCCTCCTCGAAGAAACCGTCCTTGGTGAAGGAGTACGAGATGCCTGGAAGAGTGGGTTCCAGCAGCAGCTCATCTATAGGGTCGTAAAAGTCGGGGCCTGTGATGACTGCGCCAGATTTGGACGACCAGGTGCCTTCCAGGTCGTCTACGGAGCTGGAGTCCGACTGTGTGTGGCCCACCGTCGCCAGTAGCGCCGAGGTGACGAATGCTGAGATTGTGGACAGTTTCATTGTGAGCTGTGTGATGAGGTTTTTGACGGGTTGCTTGCACCGGTGCGTTTGCTTTTGGGGAGTCGTCGGCGGGTAAGCGAGTGTGTGTGAGAGTGTGTGTGTGTGTGTCACGTGCTTGCGTGTCTGTCGACCGGGTTCTTTTCTTGTTGCTGGACACGAACCGCTTCTGTTATGATACGATACGTTGTCTGAGATATGTAGGGGCTATTTTTACTCTCGCCCTTGGTTTTAGTTTTGGCTGGGCACCTAACCCTGAAGGCGGTGCCAGCAAACGCGTTTTTTTGGTACACACCAGCTGCGAGCCGAAAAAGTGAAAGGGAAAAAGCGAAACCTTGGCTGAGATGAAATGTCCATGAAACGACTTTACAGAGCCACCAGACGTCAAGCAAGTCCACAACGGCGAGTTGCCACGTCAAGCGCCGGTGTTCGGACAGGCGGATGATCACGTGACGACAAGTGGCCTTGGTCTGGACTATTTTTATGCTACTCCTTCGTACATAGACAGAGGTAGCTACTGTACATTCTGAGTCTGACTTGGTGAGACACCCATGTATGAATGAAGGGGTGACTGTGTACCGTGGAAGGAGTGGTTAAAATGAGTAAAAGAAGTCGATTGAAGGTGTTTTATCTGTAAATACAGGATTGTAGAATGTAGCTACTATGCTGTATGTAGCTGTTCCTTGTACTTGCACGGATACTCTTACTCGTACTGTACGTAGCTGGGTCCTGTTGTAGACTTCTATTTATGGCATTACTGTAGCCAACAGGTCCTGTTTCCGGCAGAGTTTAGGTTGCTGTATATGGCCTGCGCCATTAGTTGCTACACCGTCAAGGGATGATGTTTGTGAGTTGAGAGGGGGATGTGGGGAGCTTTGGGACAGAAGACGTACAAGGGACAGTTGGGGGCCAGAAGTGCTGTCTCTCTTGAATTTTGGGGATGTTATCACGGAGTATATTGGGAAAATGCATTTTAGTTGAGAGAGTGTGATCTTTACTTGGACTGTAGCTGATTTGTCAAGTAAATCAAGTTGGGGTGATTGTTGTACAAGTATAACACGTATAGGGCATCTTGTGGGATAGATCTACGTCTGTGATACTCGGTTCGGGTGTAATTGGGCCAGTATGGAGGCCAGTATGGAAGGGTTAGAGTCCTTTTGATCCAGACGACCTACAAATGTAGGTTCCGTCGATCTCCTTGATAGTATATGTATCTCGTTCAATCCCCATTACAGGCTTACATAAAGACGATAGACGCTGTCACGTGTTACTGGTCAAGACCAACGTCAAGAGAGAGAAATGGACAATAACAGATTCCCACTCAAGTACCTGTAGTGGTCCCTCGTCTGAGTACTATCGACAATTCTGCCCAGATCTCCGCATAAAGCTCCACCACGCAAGGCAAAACTGTGTATCGCATGTAGGTATTCGTGCCGGTACTCGTATCATACTGGCTGATCAGACAGACGAGCCGTGTCTCGTGTATCATTGACCCAATATCTCGTTACGTGCACCGAGATAAAAGATCATCATACCACTGTGCGCGACAGAAGCCGTTCTGGGCCCCAGCTGTAGCATCGTGAGAAGCCACTGTCACACTGAGGAATACGGAAGCCTCCTCCTCTACCTCGTCCACGTGACAAAAGGATCAGATAACAGATGCTGGGACCAGACAAAGCGCGCCAAGCCCAAAAGTGAAGGATCAGATAAAGTGCCAAGCTCAGGGGAATGTTGATTAGGATCTGATAACTCTGGCTCGGAGAGCAAGGAGGTGAGACAGGGGTGAAATAATATACCAGCAGAAGGACAAGGCAACACTAAAAAGACGACATGGAGAAGATCGTCGGCTTCCAATGAGTCTAACCCCGGTATAAATCGGTCTACTTGTAGCAGCATGGAGACAATGACGAAACCAGGTCAATGAATCAATTGGACACAATGAGGAGTGGTCCTCTTAATCCGAAAAGTCAACGGGGCACCGCACTGTCTGTAACCAGCCCCGTGCACTTTCTCGCACACATGCTCAGCTCATCGCATTGCCCCATTGTCATGTGGCGAAAATTCAGTCTCTTTGCCGCTTTGGGTTAAAGTGCAACGCGTCCAAACATGGAATGGTGTGACGTGGGGGTGGAGGGGCCGCAACAAACGTGGATAGATTGTACGCAATATGTCTAGTAGGAAACTGCTAGGGTGGAACAAAAAGATCACATGACAAACTCCGTTCTATCTCACTCCTTTGAGCCGAGCCTGTAATGCTTTCAATACCCGATCGCGTCCCCGATCATTCTCACGCCGTTAGCCTCGCGTTGCGTTAGCGCACCTTCGGCTTGTTCATCCGCATGCCGTAAACGTCACCTTGTTAGTCAGAAACAAGTCAGAAGAGAGTTGCGAGGAATGTGTACAGTGTGAGGTTTGGTGGATCAGTGGACCACACTTGACCGTTCATCATAATGAGGACTGGTCGTTGTGCCTGTAGTTCGTAGATGATGCAAAGCTGACATTGCGTCACCTAATTATACAGTCCAATTTGGGCCCCGAGACAACGTGGCATCGAACAACACATCCATCTTGAGTCCGATCAGCCCCTACATCTGATAACGCTACAGGCTTCATCCTGAAACGTTGCTCCTGTTGCGCAATGGCCATGGATCGGCCTTATTTGCTTGTATGTTCTTGTCCTGTTGCCTGGGGTCGACGCGTGCCGGGTTTTCATGCACATTAATTAGACGCAATCAACACGTAAGGGGACCACAACAAGTCAGAAGGTCCGCTCTTCAACTCCACCAATACTGACACTACGGAAAAGCGGAAACTCGCAATGAGCTGGTCATGTTGAGGTGAACCACCTGATACAGCTAGCTTCACACCCAGGCCTCTCCTCCATCCACCACCCATTGTTGTGGTTGACTGTACATCATGCACGTTAATTAGTCAATTTGCGTGCATGGTCGTGTGTTTTGAAAGGCACCGCGTGCATGCTTTGGGTAGGGGGGCGGGTGGCGGCTTGAGCAGGTCGTTTTGGACGGTGCCTTGAGGCTGGGACAACGGAAGGAAATATGACTAAGCAAACATTACACTCAGCTTGGACCCCACGTGACCAGAATCTCTCTCAGCCCCGCACTAGTTTACGCCCCCCCCCTCCAACACGTTTGACGCGTTTAGGTTTTGTATGCAATGGCTCTTTGGCTGGTTGTAGGATGCATGAGAGCTGCATCCAAACAAAAAAGTTGCGTGCATATTGCTGGCTGTGCGAATTTCTCTGTCCAGCACGCGCAACCGTGTTTTAATTTATCCACCTTAAATACCTGTGCGTGGGCCCTGCTTTTTTTGCACATACCACCTCCTCTACCGACACACCACACAAAAACACACAATGGCCACTCAGACACCCTCCAAGAAGGTCGCCGAGGACCTCAACGACCTCGTGCTCAAGACCCCCAACAAGAAGCTGTTCAAGGACTCTGTTGCCGACTCCAAGGAGGACGATCTCGAGTCCTCCCCTGCCGTCCAGGTCGAGGAGAAGAAGGAGTTTGTCAAGGCCAACATCATCGAGGGCGACCACAAGAGCGTTCGACGACGACTGCGAGAGTCTGAGAAGGACGAGCCTCTGCTCAAGGAGAACCATCGACGGTTTGTGCTCTTCCCCATCCAGTACCACGAAATCTGGCAGATGTACAAGAAGGCCGAGGCCTCTTTCTGGACAGCTGAGGAGATTGATCTTGGAAAGGACATGGGTGACTGGGAGAACAGACTCAACAACGATGAGCGGTTCTTCATCTCCCACGTTCTCGCATTCTTTGCTGCCTCCGACGGTATCGTTAACGAGAACCTGGTTGAGCGATTCTCCGGCGAGGTGCAGGCCCCCGAGGCCAAGTGCTTCTACGGCTTCCAGATCATGATGGAGAACATCCACTCCGAGACCTACTCGCTGCTGATCGACACATACATCAAGGACCCCAAAGAGCGAACCTACCTGTTCAACGCCATCGAGACCATCCCCTGCATCAAGAAAAAGGCCGACTGGGCCCTCAAGTGGATCTCCGACGAAGAGTCCACCTTTGGAGAGCGACTCATTGCCTTTGCCGCCGTCGAGGGCATCTTCTTCTCCGGCTCTTTCGCCTCCATCTTCTGGCTCAAGAAGCGAGGTCTCATGCCTGGCCTCACCTTCTCCAACGAGCTCATCTCCCGAGACGAGGGTCTGCACACTGACTTTGCCTGCCTGCTTTTCTCGCACCTTGAGAACCGACCCTCAAAGAAGATTGTTGAGGACGTCATTGTCGAGGCTGTTGGCATCGAGCAGGAGTTCCTTACTGACGCTCTGCCCTGTGGTCTGCTTGGTATGAACGCCAAGCTGATGTGCCAGTACATCGAGTTTGTCGCTGACCGTCTGCTAGTTGCTCTCGGTAACTCCAAGGTGTATAACTCCACCAACCCCTTCGACTTCATGGAGAACATCTCTCTGGCCGGCAAGACCAACTTTTTCGAGAAGCGAGTGTCCGACTACCAGAAGGCCGGTGTCATGGCCAACTCCAACCAAGAGGAGAAGTCCAACTCCAACGGCTTCAGTCTCGACGAGGACTTCTAAGGAGCAAGGAGCAAAAAGCGGGCTTCTGCCTGTTCTGATTAACGATTATTTATGTATATTGCAATGAAACTAATGATGATATAAAAGTGTGTATAAACGGTTCGGAGCAAATAATGTGAGACGGCAGAGATGGTTACACATTGCTGGATCGACTGAAACGTGTCTTCTACAGTCGATACTTATACAGTCAAATAATACATTGTTTTGTCATACAGCACAGTTATACAGATTGTGTAATCGTCCAGGCAATATTAAATATATAGAAAATGGTTTTAGATGCATCAGAAAAACAACTTGGGTTAGTAGGATTCAGAATGCTTGAAAGAATTCAAACAATAGAAGTCAGATTTTTACTATCTAGATTCCATATTTTTTTCCTCAAGGTGTTAGGTTGTCCCTATGTTTTGTCATCATTATAGTGTCAATAATGATTTGTTGCTTCACTCACTTTTTTGTTGTCGATGTGCAAAAAAAATCTGGTGGGAGGGGTTCGTCTTATATAGGCTAGGGTGACGACCGGGTAACTAGGGTTGGCGCAGTGCTGAAAAATGTTGTGTGTGATACAACCACACATGCACTGTATTTCCAACAGGGGTGCAAAAAGGAAATGCTCCCCCACAGGGGCTCGAACCCTGGACATTTCGGTTGCAATGCTCCTAGTATAACTAAAAGCCGAACGCTCTACCAACTGAGCTATAGGGGACCGACAGTTCCAAGGACGAAAATCTGGGCTCCATATTGTGACAAACGACATTTTGCAGCCGCGAAAATTTCGCATTTGCAGAGTCTAGAGACAGTTACGGGTGCTAATAGAGTAGCGTTGTTTACTTTTCATCAGTCTCAGATTACAAGGACCATGTCCAACTGGGGCGATTACTATAGCGACGTGGTGCTGGCCTGGAAACACTCTACGATCCCTATAGGCCATTTAATTTTACATAGATTGCATTTGAAAAGAATAAATATACCTGGATCAACCGGTTTAGAGCCGTTTGAGGCCGGTTTTCCGTTTTGGTTTCTTGGCTGGTTTTGGTGCAAGCTGAATTTCGAGTTGCGATGCAGAAATGGAGCCGTCCATGGGTGTCTGCACATCTTCATCAGGCGAAGATGAGTGTTGGGTTCTTTTTGTGCTGGATACTGCCGATGCTGGAGGCTCAGTTTGTTCTTCCTTGACGTAGTCGCTTCTGTTGAGAGCATGGACATTAGTCATGAGACGAGCTGTTCGAGAGAAGGCAGCGTAGTCCTCTAGAAGCAGCTTTCCGGCCTCTTCGTTGAGCGCCGACTCAGGGTTGGGGTGTACTAGGAGACATCTGATGGTGACGAGGATGTCGCACAGAGAAGTTGTCGGGGTCCAGTCTCGTTTGAGTGTGTCGACGCAGACCTCGCCGGTGGAGGGCTGGACATTTGGATGAAAGATTCGAGTTTTGAAGAAAGCCTTTGGAGCAGACTGGGGGTAATCTGAGGGTACCTTGATGACCATCTGCCACGCTCCTCCATAGTAGGGTGTTGCTTCTGGGCCCAGAATGACGATAGCAACGTTCTGAAGCGACCCGTCATAATCTCTGGGCACGCAGATATCTGCTGGCGTTTTTGAAAACAGTTCCTTGACGTCCTTTTTGATTTTCATGGTGGTTGTGAAGGAACAGTTTCAGCTTGGATCCATGTTTTGATTTCATATGCATGTCCATGCAGTCTGTGCGCTTACTGTAGTGGGGTTCTGAGGTGTGCCCTGAAAAGAGTCACGAGTCTGACAAATGACCGAGTAGTATATAGTATATAAGAATCACCAAGTAAATAACCCATTTCCTTGATACGAACAGTACTTGCAATCATCAACCATTTCACTCATGCTTCTCGAAGATCTAACCGAGCTTGGCACCCTCTCACCAACTGTCTTTTCCTAGAGGCCCCTGTGGCTAGCCCTTGGTGACTCCAGAGGAAATAATGCCCAGCTTATACCCCAGGTTTGTCCATCTCCTCGCCAAGAGCTTCTTCCTTCATGAGAGGAGCGAGACATTCCCAATCTTGACCGGACATTGCGCCAGCCTTGAAGGAGCACCTTCAGGGAGTTCAGCCGCGTGGAACATGTCGTCCATTTTGATCACAGGAACAGTTCCGATGGTCTGGATTCCGGGGTAGTAGATGGTTGAGATTGGCATCTAACCTTTGGAGACACACAAACCAGCATTCTCAGCTCACGTCGGCTCCAATTTCCTAACACGAGGAGCTGGATCGTCAGGTCAGTCGACCCTGGCGCTAACACCGCCATAAAACGAGCGAGAAGCATGGTCACCGCACCTACAAATAGCTGTCTCCCATTAATACCACCAACATCCAACATCACCAGCCAGCGCAGTCAACAGCAGCCATCGCATCAGGTGAACATTTATTTACACACTCTGGAATACACAAGCCATCAACAGGCAACACATGGCACGGCACTCACGTTAGTTATACAAACAGTCGTCCTTCTAATCTACAAGTACTGTTCTGGTAGGATACATCAGACATAATCGCACAGCTTGGTGCTTCACATACACCTACAACGTTGACACTCATGCTGGACACTCGTGTCTCGAAATTAAGAAGCTATATTTTGTTAAATGGTATGGTATCTATTCAAATGACACTTAGTCAAACTTGCAAGTGGTGTCGAACTTGGGCTTGAGGTTGGAGTCGTAAACACCCCAGTACTTCTCAACGCCGGAGACCTCCTCACCGTTGTCACCCTTAGTGTCGGGCTTCCAGGTCTCGTCGAAAGCCTCGAAAACCAGAGTGTTGATACCCCAGGCTCGGATGGCACAGATACCCTCCTGCCAGAACTGAGCAGCCTGCTTCACGCCAGGCTGAGAGTCGCCGAAAGCACCGCCATCGGTGGGCCATCCGGTCTCACCAACCCAGAAGTCAATGTCGGTGGTACCCTTGGTGGTCTGGATGGTCTGGAGAGCCTGCATGATGTCATCGAAGAAGGAGTAAGAGGCGTTAGCCATGGTCTGTCCCTGCCAGTAGGAGAAGGCGTTGGCGAAGACAACGTCGGCGGCCTTGACGGCGGGGCTGGAGTAGCCATCGACAATCACGTTCCAGGAGTCGACGGTACCGACGGGGACGTCAAAGGTCTGGCCGTTCTTGTCCTTGATGCCCTTGAGCTGGTTCTTGATGTCGTTGATCTTGTCGGCCAGCTGCTGGGGAGTCATGTCCTTTCGGTACAGAGCCTCGGAGCCCACGGTGATGTAGGGCACGGTGGACTTGGAGAGCCAGGGCAGGTAGCTCTTGAGAGCAAACTGCTCGGAGGCAAAGTGGTTGTCGTCGTTGGGCCACACACCAATCATGAGCTTGAAGTTAGCGGCCTCAGCAACAGGGCCGAGCTCTCGCAGGGCGTCGCAATCGCCGGCGGCGTAGATTCGGATGGTGTCGGTGAGACCCTTGAGAGCCTCAAGATCGGCCTTGTAGTCGCCGGCGTTCTTGCACTCTCCGTCGGACTCTCGCTTGACTCCGAGGTCGACTCCGAGGCCTCCGAGGGCCATGGCGGACGAGGCCAGCGCGGCGGTAACGGCAGCAAATGTGAACTTCATAATAAATAACGAGTGTGGTGGTGTTGTGTGAGGAGGAAGAGAGAAGAGAGGTCGGAATGCACAAGGTTGGGATTTTGTAAGGTGTCAAAACAAGTGTGAGGTAATTCTTAAAATAGATGGATTAGGGTTAAGAGGTGAGTTTGGACACCTTGAAAGGGGTTAGGGGGAATCCTTGGGGGGCCACAAAATGCGTTGGATCCCTGCTAATCACGTGGTTTCAAACACACAGCTGCTTACAGCCAATGGTGACCCTTTTATCACGTCTATGGGTATGCCAGTACCCCTACGTGTATGGTATCTATCGCCAACGTGGGGTGGCATGTCTCCTGGAAACCTCGCCAACCTTATTTGCGTGTTGTTTAGAGCAACCACCAAAACAGGTGGGAGACGAGGCATCCAAACATGTTTGGAATGTTGCCTTGACGGGTGGACTTGAGACGAGTATGTGGAGAGCAGGGAAAGGGGTTTTAGACGAGTGGACCATCAATCGTCTGCAATCAATTACCCTAATCTCCAATCTTACCTAACCCACGCGTAGTGGCTGGTGGTCTAGCGTGTTTTAATGTGGAGCTGTTTTTACTCTACGCCTCATCATGGCAACTAAACCATCTGCACCGCCTCAGCACAAGTCTTGAAGTAATGGAGATGCTGGTCAGGGGTAGGATGGGGCGACAGGGCTAGGGCTAACTATGTGAATGTACTACAAATACGAGCTCCCGCCCTAACAGAATGCTCTTTTGGTAAACTACTCTGGCACACTTGCACCCACCTGCCCACCTGGAATATATTCTCGCACCCGCCTGAAAGTCACGTGACGTCAAGGAGCCCAAGGTTCCCCTTTAGGTTGTGTGTGTCTGGATTCGGCAATAGGGTTCCGTTGGGACATGTGGTTAGGGCGGAGGACGGCTAGGAAGTGTAGAGAATACGACCGGCGGTCGAGGATGATGAGAAAATAGGGGAAGTAGATTCGAGCGGTATTACGAGGACGGCAGATATTGTACGAATGTATTATACTTGTACTTGTAATATATACCAAACTAGTTAGATACTGGGGTTGGGGGAAGGCTTGGAGGAGTTATTGTTGGTACATTACTGTGCCACTTTTTAGTGAATGTGCCTGGGCTAATTAAAGGCAAGTACAGTACGTACTGGTGATTTGGGGCCTTCTTAATAGAAGTAAAATATGGGCAAAAATGTCGAAAAAACCCCGTTAAACGAGTCACAATGGGTTCCAGCTACATTACGGGACTCTCAAGAGAACGTCCCACGCACTCACTCTTTTCTCACACCTCTTCTCACCCTCCTCGACATGTCTACACGAGGCGCTTGGTCACATGCAGAAAATAAAAGTTAGAGCGAAATTAGTGTCCCCCGACCGAGGTGAAATATCGGTGGTAGTTGGGTGATTGGGGGTGAATTTAAGACAGAAAAATTAACGAAATCAACGCTTCGGTGAGGTTTGAATCCATCACACTATCATTGTAATCGCCTCCAACCTATTTATGCCCTTCTTTCCGCGTGCTGCTTCCTTGCCCCACAACTAGAGCACATGCAAACCAACTATGATAAGGCTTACGCTACATAAACTCACATAATCGCCTCTACTGGAGCTACTCAACCACATTCACTTCTTCCCAGACTTTGAACGACGCAGAAACCACCCTCGACCAGACGATGGAAATCTCAATAGCCATTCCAGCCGGAGCCAAGTACCGCATTTTACGCGACCCGCACTGTTTACCCCGGGTGCCGCGAAGCATCGCCAACGAGGTGGCCCAAGAAAAGCAGATACAACGACGCAGACGGTTGAGTGAAGATAGTAAGTCACACAAACAGAGAGCGACAGCAGAGATACACCTTACACAGTACTAGCCACGTACCATGTCCTGTGACATTTAGTTAACCCAGTCCTAAACAGCAGAAGAGACAAGATCCACTTTGACCGAAGTCTACGAATTCCCGAGTGGAAGGAGTACAGATCTTCGGCCCACGATACCCCGGCCCAAACTCCGCCGCGACGCGGCTCCGACTCGGCCATTTCAGACTTTTCGCCACCTTCTCACGACGACATCCGCAAGGTGTTGCTGGGCAGTCCCAATCAACCCCAGACCAGCAACATGTTCTTCCCCTCCATCATGCAGGAGCGAGAACCGAGCTTCCAGGACAAGGTGCGGTTTCGAAACCGGTTCTGGAAGCAACCTGCACCCGGGAGCCGAACACGTGACTTTTACACCAACAGAAACGGACAGAAATGGCAGGGCCACCCGGGCTGGCACCGGCTACTGAGACGCCAGTATGCGTTTTGGGGTCTGGACCGGTGCTGGCGAGAAGAACGCAGCCAGTTTCTGCAGGACAAGCGGCGAGAAACCGCCTTCAACAAGCAGCAGAAACATCGTAGAACAACAATTTAACAGCCTACTGTAGTTGCGCTACTTCGCGACCATGAGGCACTTCGCCAACTAACCCAGGAAATCTTCAATCGGATAGATTGAGAGAGCGTAAATATGAAATCTTCATTCATAGATTGAGAGACCGTACAATGAACATAACCACTGGACGTAATCTGATATGTACCATTGCACAGTATATTTCAAGGTACCACTGCAGACACTTATGCTGCAGACTTAATAAAACATCAACATTGATTATAGAATAAAGCAATAAATATGGGGAGTAGCACGAACATACTCGTCAAGACAGCCTATGCCTCATAGTGGAACAGAGTGGTGTCATTGTCGTCTCGTCGAAGATACTCTCGTTCCAACAGAGACTCAATACAATGCTTGATGGTGGGAATAGGAGGCTTGAACCGCGAGGCCAACTGCTTGGTCACCTCTCCGACCAGGTTGTTGTGGTTGAGGGTCTTTCGCGACTTCATGACTCGCACAATGGCAGCGTCAATCTCGTTTTGGCGCGACTTGTCAATCTGCACCATAGTGGCGTCTCGTTCGACATCGGTCTCGGCGCGAGTAGCATTGATGGCCAGCACTCGAATCTTGGTCATGGGCGCCTCAAAGTTTTCGTTGAAGAAGAACTCGTCCGTCTCATTGACATCCTTGGACATGGGCACCTTTTTAAGAAGGCGGGTCTTGGGTGCCACAGACACGGACTGAAGATGTCGCTTGAGATCAGGAATAGGAATGCCGGTCTCCATTTGGATTCGATGGAACGAAATGCTTTGGTCGCCCACGTCCTGGAACAGCATCAAAATGGGCATGACTGGATTGGGTACGTTGACGTCGTGGAACTTCTTCTTAAACTTGATTCGAATGTCGGCGTTTCCAAGATTGGGCACCCACTCCAGCTTTCGGCCACTGTGAGCCTTGCTGTAGTACTGCTCAAACTGCTCCTTGGCGTTCTCGGCATCAGCACAGTGAATCAGAGTGTAATTTGCTCCCTGAGCAATGGAAGTGGGCCAGTAAGTACCAGAGAGAAGAGCCACAGTGAGCTCGACCTTCTTTGCTGAGGAGGGCTCAGAATCGGCGGTAATGGACGCCCGACTCTTCCGGAAGAACTCCATCTCGTCAGCAGAGGTGGCAATGTCCTTGAACATACCCTCAAACTTGGAAGTAAAGGCGCCTCCAGCAGCCATCTTGAATCGCGAAATGAGTTGTCGCTCCGCATCGTCAGAAAGCGACTTGGAGTTGAGCAGACGTTTCCCCAAATGAGCCTTGTAGTAGTTTTCGAATCGGTCCTTGTCCGTAATGAAGTTGAAACAGGCGACCGTGGAGTCCAGGATGGCGGCCACCTCCTCGTCAGATTTGCCCTTTAGCGCCTTCTTCATCAGATTATCAATGTAGAGCGACAGGTACTCTGCCACTCGGGCATGCTTGTTGACAAACTCGACGAATGCCTCGTCGATGCTCTTGACCACCTCCACATCGTTGTCAAAGCACTTGGCGGTGATCTCGGCAAACTCGTCTCGCATGGTAAGTACGTCCGTCACCCACTTGTGTGCCAGAGCGGTCTGCTGGGCACTGGGCTTCTTCTCCTTTCGAGCTGCCTCAACAGCAGAGTTAGAAGCGGAGTTGAGATTCTGGCCCTCGGAAACGATCTGCTCCTTCAGCAGATGGTGCAGAAGCGACCGCTGGGGGAAACCCTTGGAAATGAGCCGGTAGAGCGTTTTGAGCTCGTCGAACTTTTTCGCCTGGTACCATTTTCGAATCTCAGAGCCTGGAAGCGCCATGACCTCAGGTAGCTTTGTAGAGACCAGCTTGACGGTCAGATCACTCACAAGAGGAGAATACGCCTGACTCTCCAGAGCGTAGTACTTGGACCGTTTCTCCTCGTCCTCCAGCCAGCCAGACACCTTTGTAACGTACACAACAGGGTCCTTGTTGCCATCCAGCAGATCCCGGGCTGCCTGCGAGTAGAAATTCGTAGTGGCAGCCACCAGCTGGTCCGAGAAGCAGTGCACCAGCACACTCTCCTTGTTGCTCTTGCTCTGGGGCAACAGGTCTAGCATCGACAGAACATTTTTGATGACAATCCTGTCCACCATCTCGCCCTCTCGTTCTCGCTGAATCTCGTTGATCAGCACCTTGTACAGGTACTCAGCAAACGGCCCAGTGCCCACCACATGGTCTCGGAACAAATGCAGCCCCAAATCAGCCAACTTAGGCGGCGAAGAGGTGTTGTCCAGACAGTAGACCCGGTCCAGATACATCATCACATCACCAATCATCTTGGTGCACGTCTGGTGGTCGCTCCACTGCTTGTTGAGGCCCTCCAGAAACTTGGGAGCCAGAGACAGATCGTCTCGAGCCACCACGACATACGGATCGAAGCCGGCCTGCACCTTGTCCAAGTGGGCGGAAATGTGGCATTTGACCGCGTCGTATAACTGCGCGCTCATCTTGCTGATCACCAACTGATAGGACGTTCGATAAAGCAGCTCAAACGACAGTGGCGAAGATTCATGGTCCTGGATTTTGGTCATGGCGGAGGCCAGAATCTCCCAGGACTTGTCAAACGACACCGACGACGACGTTTTGGCCCGCGGGGCCTTGATCTTGCCCCTCTGAGTCGTCATTTTCATTTTGCAGAAGCAGATGGGGATACTGTGGTGCCTGGTTTGGGTTTTTGGAAGGTTGGTGTAAATCACTGATATGTGATATGCGGAGCATCTCTCGGTGCACACAGTTTTTAGGTTGGATACTATAGACGGAGACGGAGACTACAACCACAATGCACTTAAACATGCTCCATTTAGCAGAAACACCAACCTTGAGCCGTTTTTTTTGGGGCTGGACCAAAACATAGAGCAGCTTGTGCAGCACAATAAACGACCCACACAGCGTCCGCCACTGGTCAAAGTACAATTATATTACCGATTGAATAGACTATTACTTTTAAGAGGTGTGCGTGCGTGCGTGTGTGTGTGTGTGTGTGTGTGTGCCAGCAAGATCTTTGAGAAGTCTCAATCAAGCTGCGAAAGATGATGCGAGATGAATAAACACAATGCAGAGCAAACAATGCAAACAACGGCGATACCAAGTGCATCGCCAGAAAAGATGGAAGGAATGGAAGAATCAAAGTGTATAAAGAGATAGCTACCCCGAAGGTGGCGCGCGTGGCTGACGTCATTCCATACCGTATGTACTACTTTAGTCATTGTATGGTCTGCGCGGGGTAAGAAGCACAAAGAAAAACAGTGGAGTCTTCAAGATCGCCGTCGTCGCCCCATGCCTCGGGACTTATTGTTGTTGCGACCAGGAGAGTCCTTACCGTTGTGGTGGCCAGAGGAGTGGCCGCCCTTGCTGAGAAGTTCACGCTGCTCTCGTTCCTTGGGCGGAGCGTGTCCTTCACGCTGGTCACCGGGGATTGCGACCTGGTGAGCCACTCGCCACCGCTCGTACCGCTCGGCGAGATCAGGCTCCAAAATGTTAACTCCGTTAAGCTGGCTACCCACTGTTAGCCAGCCGGGCCGGAGATTGTTCTCACGCCCAAACAGTTCCAGCTTTCGGCAAGACTTGCCCACCATTCGCTCGACAATGTCGTAGAGCTCGTCAGGCTTCTGGCTCTTGTCTCGAGCGTTGGAGACGACTGTGTCCACGTCAAGACCCCGGGTCAGCCACTCGGGGTTGCCCTTGACGCCGATCAGGACGTGCTCCTTGGAGTGGTTGAGCCAGTGTCCGGTCCGGCCAGTACAGATGGTTCGTCCAAGCTGGTTGGTCTTGCACCAGACAATCTCCTGGACGTCGGTGTAGCCCCACTTAGCGAGGCACTTGCGACCAACCTCGGAGGTTCGGCCCGTGACCCACAGCAGAAACACGCCCTCCTTCTGTAGGCAGCCCATGTCGAGAGCCTGTAGGTCACTGTCATTGATAATGAGCTTCTGCGAGTTCATGTGAATGTCCCAGGGAGGGTCTGCAATGATGGCTGCGAAGTCGCCGAAAACGGGAAGCCCAATCTCCTTGAGGTTGCAGGTGATCCACTGCGGAGGTAGTACGACAGAGAGCATGGGGTCCGTGGAGTAAAAGTAGGACCGCGGCTGCTCCACGGGGGCACTGTTGTGGTTCTTGGCCCGGTTTTGTCGCTGGGGAGAGCTGGAGTAGTCAGGCATCTTGACCTGGTAGTGGAGAAACCGGCAACTTTTGGACTTGTAGCACTTGTCCAGATATGAGCAGTCCTCCAGGGGCCGCTCGGTGTGTGCCATGATCTGAGGCACGAATCGGACCTTATTGAGGCAGTCGGAGCTGCACTCGTCAAGAGAAGCATGAGGGCAGAGCTCAATGTGGGTCTTCATGGGCGAGAGCTGAGCCTTGGCTAGAGACAGGAGGAATACGGCTGAGGGCTCGTTGACGAGCTGCTTGATTTCGTTCTCAAACGTGAACATGGTGCTGGAGGCCAAAGGTTCGTCCAGCAGCTCGGCAAGGTGGGATCTGGAGACCTTGGCGTTCCAGGTGGGCGAGCTTACCATGGTAGTACAGCTAGAGGCCGAGCCGGTGAGAGAAGAAGACCCAACGCTGGAGAAGCTGGTGTGGGTCTTGAGAGTGAAAATAGGTGAATGATCAAAAACGTCTGGGCTCAGAGCAATCTTCTCGAGGTCGAGAGGAGCAGTAGGGGTCCGGGTAGGGGCCAGGCCGGCAGGAGCAGCGTCCACGGGGGTCACTGGCTTGACAGCAGGCATAGTGAGCCGCTGGAGAAAGCCGGAGAGAACCGGAACAGAAAGATGGTCAATGATAGTCTGGTTCTCCTGGGTGGAGCGAGCCAGGTGGAGGCCAATGGGGATGAGGGAGGCGAGATGACGGAGACTGTCGACGAACTCGGCCAGGGTGGGAAGGTCGTCGTGAATGTCCTGGAGCGCGACCGGATCCACTGCGGAGGCAAGAAGAAGGCGGAGCTTGAAGGATCTCAGCGGAAGCATACACACCACATTGTCTGGGCACTGGGCCAGCAGCACAAGCGTGGGTAGGAACTGCATCTGGAGTCGTGGGATGAGGTGGGTGTGGGATTATGTGTCTGTGTCTGTGGCAGAGATGTGACTGACCAAGACTGAGTCACAATGTGTGATAGAAGCACCGTAACGCTGTTTCTGTGGGCCACTAGGTCGATGTAGTGGGCGTGAGAAGAAAGGATGTGTGTCTGTGCTAGTCTGAGTAAGAATGCTGAGAAACAAGTCTGTGTGTGTTTGTGTCTGTATCTGAGTCTGTGTCTGCAATATCGGCTATACAGACAGGTCAAGAAGAGGCCAAGTGTGCGTGTGTGCGTGTGTGTGTGAATCCAGAGCTGACTAGATAAAGGAGAAGGAACCGGAAGAAGGGGGTTTATATGTGAAGACACACAGTCATTCCCTCTATTATACGCGGCGAGTGGGTGGAGAGGTCAACTCTATCTTGTCACTCTGTTTGAGTGGTGGAGTGCACTTTCAGGGCTCTTGATCTAGAGGGCGCTCGCGTAGAATCATAACATGATGGGTATCATTGGAAAGCCATTCTCGACAGGTCGTCACACATGGTAGGAATGACCGCATCGACAGCCATAAAACGTCGCATTTTGGAGATATCCAGTTCGCCGACCATCTCTTTTCACCTTGCCTTTGCATATCCCGATTCAGTCTCCCCAGTTCCAATATCTCAAGGCTGTGCGTTTTTCCTCTTTATTGAACGTTTTTCCTCTTTGCTGAATGCCCAATGTGGCACAACTGGACTAGCCCTAGTCACATTGTCAATTGGGGAACAAGCCGAAATTCTCATTGCCCCACCTTTCTCTCAACCGCTTTTGGTATCACGAAATTTCATAGTCCTTGGGCTACGCGGTTCCTTCTATCCATCACCACTGATGAACTGTGAAGCGAGTCCCGACGACCCAGACCACTCCCATATTGACCTCCAAACTCAATCTCCAGAACCGCGTGCGTACATCCAACTGGGGTAACAGGCGGCGCTATTGATGGGTCAGCCACTGAACGATGGGTTAAATGTACCGGTACAGGTTAGGGCATTGGAATGTATGCGGTGGTTCAAGGCGATTCGAACTGTCTAGAATATGGCCTTCGAACAGCTGGTAATACACTTGTAGTCGTGCTTGTATTACTACCTACGCCATCAGATTTCGCACCGCCCCCAAATACGGAAGCTTCGGGTTAGGGTTATTTTACGCGGTTGCCAGGACAACGGCACACAACAACGCGTGAAGGCTATTTTGTAAATATACAGAATATACAGAAACCTCTTTACACTTTTCGATCCGTCAACACGACTAACTAAACATTCAGATAAACGAAAATGGCAAGACCAGCTCGACGACGGTCTTCCGGACGGTTTCTCCAACAGGGCGAATCCGAGCCTTCTCTGCAAAAACTGGTCCATATGAACGACGACGCTGCCGAGAAGCAGAAGCGACGACAGTCCAAGCGTCTCAGTATTCTTCCTGGAGCTGTTTCGCTCGGTTCTCCTGGCGCCAATGCTGGTGAGGACGTTGACGAGGGCCTTAGAGATCATCTGAACAATGCTGCTCCCCAAGTTCCCATCATGGCCAACTTTGAGGAGTGGATGAAGATGGTGAACGACAACAAGATCAATGCGCAGAATTCGTGGAATTTCGCGCTCATTGACTACTTTCATGACATGTCGCTGCTTAAGGAGGGCGACGGAATCAACTTCCAACGTGCTTCCGTCACTCTGGACGGTTGTATGAAGATTTACTCGTCTCGTATTGACTCCGCAGCCACCGAGACTGGTCGATTGTTGACTGGACTGGCTACTAAGCAAGGACGAGAGGATATCGGTAATGAAGACGACGAGGAGGAAGGGCAGGAGGGTGAGGAAGGGGAGGGAGGAGAGAAGAAGAAAAAAACCGTTCGTCCTCGAGGAGTTACTCTGGCTAAGAGCTTTGAGGAGAATGCTGCTAAGAAGCTTGAGCTCGAACTCTCTATCGATCCTCTTTTCAAGAAGATGTGTGCCGATTTCGATGAGGGAGGCGCCAAGGGCATGCTGATGAACTCTCTGGGCATCGACAAGAATGGTCGCGTGGTTTTCGATGGAGATTTCGACCAGGAGATTAGTAAGGGAGATTTTGCCGACCTTAGCGAAGACGAAGACATGGAGGATGATAGTGCCGACAGCTTTTCTCTGCAGCAGCTGGGGGCGAAGTTTTTCCCCGACCTGTCTATTCTGGCAACAAAGTCCGTCTGTCCTTCTGCAGCTATGATCGAGGCTGCTCTCAAGGACCCTAGTAATCTTCCCGAGGGTCTGCAAGTCGACAATCTCGATGACCGACCTTCCATGCCAGAGCTCGACTACGGAGGAGACGAAGACATTCTGGACGATGCCGCTCTTGGAGATATTGGTTTTGACGACCTTGGAGCAGGAGGCGATGACGATGGACCTGGAGGTCCCGTGGAGGATTTCGAGTTTGGATACAACCCCATGAACGAGCAGTATGCCGAGATTGCTCAGGATGTGGCTATTCCAGGCGGGGTGGGTCCCTCTGACCCTCGATACAAGCCCACCATTAACGAGGCTGATCTTCTGGCGTACTTTGATCACACCTTGAAGAAGAACTGGGCCGGCCCTGAGCACTGGAAGGTCCAAAAGCTGCGGGGAGATATTCAGAAGAAGGCCATTGAAAGCAGAGATAATGTTGGAGAAGATGGAGAGGAAGGAGAAGAAGGCGAGAAGGCTGACAAGACAAAGAAGAAGGCCGCTCCTGTCGAAGTTGACTTCATTTCCGAAGATAACGATATTGACGAGGCTGTGCTGTTTGGTCGACCAGCACACATGTCTACTCTGTCGCTCACCAAGGCCCAGCAGCGATCTGATACCAACAACCTGCTCCCTAACGACGAGCACTTCTCCACCGACAATCTTGTCAAGCTGTTCATCAAGCCCGGCAAGCGAATCACCGGTCTACTGTTCAAGCATCGAGTCACTCTCCAGAGCGAAAAGGACGCCGACCAACATTTCTGGGCTCAGCATTTCAACGAGGAGCTGGCAGAATACGGTGTTCAGGGCCCTGAACCTGAACCTGTTGATATACCTGGCCAGAACGACGATGGAGATGATTTCGGCGGCTATGACGACTTTGACGACTATGGAGGAGCTACAGATATGGGTGGGCCTCACAATGCGTCGTTCCTGGGCCTGCCCAAGGCTCATCCAGAGTACGTTTCGTACGCCAAGGTGGCCAAGCGAGTGGATGTTCGTAAATTGAAGGACAACCTTTGGAGAGTCATGGATTATGAAAAGGTGGACGAGTTGGTGGACAATGGCGACATGGTTGAGGATGCAGCAAAGGTGGAGGAGAAGAGATTCACCCAGCTCGTGGAGCAGGTGGGAGCCGAGTACCCCCGACAACAGAAGCAGGAGATCTCCACCTCGTTTGTGTTCATCTGTCTGTTGCATCTGGCTAACGAGAAGGGTCTCAGTATCGACCAGCAGGATGATTTGGCCGACTTGGCCATCAGCAAGGATATGAATGTTCGCCTGGATCAGCTGGGAGCATAATGGGACTGAGACAGCAGTTGTGTAATTTATTGATCGTATATAATAATGAGTGTACAATATGATGAGTGATGAGAGCGTTTGTAGAGTGAAGGGCGGTAAACCGTTTTGGCAAGGGGTTGGGTGATCTTGGAGTTTTGTCTGTAAGTTCCATATGATGCCATGAAAAGCAAAAACACATCTATATAATATCCTCGAGTGACCTATTTCATCGTGTAAACCACATCTTCTACCTAATTATCAATAATATACATTTTCCCCGATTTTATTTGATTTTTTTTGTGAGCGTATCCAAATGTCGGGATGTTTTATTCTATTTAATATTCTATTTTAGATTCTATTTTTAGTTCTGGTCACGTGATCAAAATTTTCGAGTGTGATGGGAACGATTTCTAAAATTTCAACAAAATGCCTGGCTAGCTCAATCGGTAGAGCGTGAGACTCTTATTCCAAGGTCATCTCAAGGCTGTGGGTTCAAGCCCCACGTCGGGCTCTCTTTTTTGGGTGGTATTTGCGTGTACAAGTACAAGTAGTAGGCTACCACCGTGAGTTGCGTCTAATTTTTTTTTCGCGCGGCCGAACTTTAAATGGATCACACGAAAGATCGATTCAGGGGTTGACATAAATAAGTCTACCGCAAGTACCCACATGGAAGGGGTTCATGCCCGGCGATAAATGGAAGGTGGGGAAGCTGTTTTTGGAGGCGGGAAGGCGGCTTTATATAAGAAATGAAGGAGGGTCAAAAAACGAGCTTTTGCACGTGCTCAAAGGTCGTCGTTGTTCATGCGATTTAGTCCTAAGTGGCATGGCAGTCCCCCTGTACCTGTACCAAGTAATTCACCAGGGCACATTAATAGAACCAGCACGCACTAGAGCACATACGGACTAGTGCCTTGCTTAGACGTGTTTGTACGTGTTGGGTGGGTGAGTGAGGGAGACATTATTCGTGGGCACCGCTGCACTTTTCGGCATATACAGTCCAGAAAAAGACCGTGTGTACTCCATACAGCACACACATAAATATGTATAGTGTACACCATTGAAATCGTACATAGGACCCTTACACTGTCCATCATCCCACGGTGGTCTGGCGTGGCCCGTGTGTGAAGGGTTGCTTCAGGAGAGAATGGTGGTGTTACATCAAACCGGAATAATATTGAGCCTCAAAAATACAGCTATCTAAAAGCCACGTGTCCACAAGGTGTGATTTGCCCCTGAGTATTGAACCGGCTTGTCCCCGCCTCTATGGTGCTGTACTTGTCGTGCCTCTCTCTATGCACACGCCTCGCTGTCCACGCAATATAGCTTATGACGTATGTACGAGTAGCTACTGTACTGTAAGTTAAGCGGTGGAGTCTATCTCATAACACGACCACCAGTTTTCACATCAACATGACTGTGGGGAACGGCAAGACGGTAGACGGGAGCAGCGCCGCGGCCAACGAGTTTGGCGAGGTTCGAACGCCGGATTTGGACATCATTTCTCTCAGCGACCTGTCAGACGACCGGGTCCAGGCTCTAAAGGACGAAATCGCCCGACGCAGCATGTCTCTCCAGGCTCTTGAATCGCTGGCCCAAGAGCTACCAACCAAGAGAGACGCCACCGACACAGAAGACAGCATGTTGCATACGGACATAGTCAGCTTGGGGCTGTCTGAGAACGGGGGATCTGCCTCCATCAGCCCCAGCTCCACCACCACCACCACCACCACTCTGGATCCCAAGGTACGGGACAGCCATCACAAGCGAGACAGCAACGCGTCCAAGTCGTCACGAGATTCCATGTACGACCACACCTACATCAACCAGTTCATCCAGAAGGGTCTTTCCGACTCTGTGGGCTCCAACACCTCCAAGGTGATTGCGGGGCTGCAAAACACAATTGACACGCTAAGGCGGGAGCTCAAGGACCAGAACGCAAAGTACATTGAGGCCAAAAAGGGCCGCGATGCGCTGTCCAAGCGGTGTGACAACCAGAACCAGTCGATGGAGTCACTCAAGCACCAGAACGAGATGCTCAACACCATGATCGAACGCAAAGAGCGCCAGATCCACGACGTGGAACACAAGATGGCAGTGCAAAAGTCACGTGCCCAGACACTCGAAAAGGAGCACGCCGACAATGAGGCCCGCATGATCGATATGGAGGAGCGCACCGCAGCGGCCGAAGACAAGTACCATCATCTACAGGCGTCTGCGGACGCTTCTGCGGACGGCTTACGACGAAAGGAGGAGTATCTGCGGGCGGAGTTCAAGACGCTACAAGATTCGATCATGGCGGTCAGCAACGCACAGGCAGAGAAGCTCCAAAAGGAGGAGGAATGGAGACAGGAGATCATCAACAAACTGACCCGGGAGGAGGAGCTGCGCAACCAGATACGCAAACACCAGCTGGACTTTGAGAAGCTGGCTGCCCAGCGAGAAGCAAAGATACAGACCATGCTGGTAGAGTTCAAAAAGGGAATACAGGGTCACGGGTCCACTGTGGACGACACAGTACTGAAACTGGAACAGCTGTCCAAAGAAACTACAGACGCATTGGAGGTGTTGAAAAAGAGCCAGAGAGAGCTGGTGAAAGAAAATGAAGAGTTGAGAGCGAGAGAGAGTGCACCATCGAGCAGTTCAGCTGTGGAGGACTAAGAGGGCGACCTAGAAGCTGGGCCACGGATATCAGAGCTCTAGTGCATGCACCCGAGGGCAGGACTGCTCAGGTATCGCAATGTTTGCCACTAAATGGATACCTGACAAGCGCTACAGTTCAAGTGGTCTGATTTTCGACAGCAGGTCCACGTCGATTCATGGCGAAACTACACTGGGATAGTTGATTGGGTTTGATCCGTGCTCTAAAGCACATATATAGCTATAGGTATATGGATATAGAAGGTACCATTTCTAAATTTAATGTCGTATGTACTTGGACCGTCCTTCGCCTAGCGTTTTCTCGTTGCCTTGCTGAATCGTGTACAGTTCGATCTTTCCATCCTTTCCTCCTACTGCAATCCATCTTGTAGTTAGAGCTTTAGCCAGTCTGGGATTCGCAGTGTCACTTGTTGTAGGCGTGGAAAAGGCCACGCATCCCACCCCCTCTCGTTCGTGGAACACACTGACCTTGGATATATCGTCGTAAGTAAAGAGTCGTACTTTTCCGTCCCAACCTGCTGTCATGATCAGGTCTCCGTCCGAATCGAGTTGGAGAGAAGACAGACCTGAATGCCGCACATTGACGGCATCCAATGGTTTTGATTCCGGTTTCTCTTCCTCCTTCACTTCAATACCTTCTTCCAGTTCGAGACCAGGAACGTCGAACCCTCGTACCACATTTTTGGGAGGTTCAAGCTCAGGCGAGTCCTCCACTTCGACAATCTTGGGCGACGGGGGTCTCTCAGAGTTCTTTGCCGGTTCAGGCTCCTCCATCTCTTCTTCAGGAACTACCTGGTCTTTGATAGGGTGCTTGACTATAAGAGAATCCGCTGAAGAAGACACAAACTCCTTCTTGGTAGGATGAGCTCTGACCGACAAGACCGGTTGCACGTGACTGACCACGTAGTAGTTGAGCACTGGCGTGTATCTGTTTCTGTCGGAGATGTCAAATACAGCCACAGCTCCTCCTTCGTATCCCACTATAAGTTTCTTGTTCATGATATTCAGGTCCATCACAATGCCCGTCTTAATTCCGTTCAGACGAGGGTAAATGTCGTTCCAAACAACTCGAAATGCGCCATCAGTCCACTCCAACAACTCGACTTTGTCTGAGCTGTCCAGATCCGGTTTGGCCAGCAATCCATTGACCCATGCCACTTGGCAGAAGTTGAGAGAATTGACAGTCAGTGAATAAGTCAGCCAGGGTTTTGGGTAGTCGGTAGGGTCATCGGCGACCAGTGAACTCGGCGGCTTTACACTGAGACCACTCTTACCCTGTGCATCCAACTCCAATCGCCAAACATACAACTTGTCGTCCCGTCCCTGAGTCAACAGGTGTGTCTCATCCATCCAAACTAGAGATAAGATGGCCTCATGGTGAGCTTTCCAGATGGCCAGCGGACGACGAGTCACTAAAGACCACCAGAAAACCCATCCACTTTCGTCTCCTGAAACAAGAAAGGCGTTATAAAATCGTAAGCTCGTGACTGGATGGGTATGGCCTCTTAACAGAGCTACCGGGACCGGCGCTCCTGATAAATCCATGAGATGGGTGGTAGTAGGTATCACGTGATTATCTCGATAAGCGATAATCGGCGGAGTCGAAGTGCTCAAACTGGTTCTCGCAGTTGTGGCTACGACCAAGAGGTGAAGTCCCAAATAAACAATGGAGAATCTACCACCAAATTATGCGAATACGCTCGTACAGTACGATGTTGGAAGGAGTCTTTGGCCCAGGGTTGGGGGAAGTTTTTGGAGATATGGTCGGAACCAGAGGATTAAGGAGAAGTCTGAAATAATACAAAACTCCCAATTATTTGTCAACTCCATTTAATTGATGATAATATCGAAATGTCAAGGCGGACATTGGAAACTTAATGGCATTGTAGGTTCAATTGATCTCGACACTTTGGACTCTTCAAAGAGGGGTGTATTATGGGTTGTTCTGGCTAATTTCAGGGAAATCATCTGATGATGCCCGTAGTTTGACATCTTTTGAGTATCCCCTTCCAATTATGACCATTTGTCCTTCTATGGGCTTCTCAATTGCATGCTGTCGCGTAAGGCTATATGGTTCCAGAGGCCGAATGGACGTTGCTATTGTCTTGATAAGGAAGATGTTGTGCGAGAGGTGCATGTGGAATTGACTGAAGGAGGACAAACAATGAACAATCTGAAATTAGTAGGGGCCGTAAAAGTATTGACATGACTAATCACCTACCACAACACTGACAATCAACCACTCTGTGGTCTGGTCTGCACTATGACGAAATGCACTGTATGCACGCATTAATTGTAATCGTAATCAAAAACAGGAAGTGGCTGGTGCAAATCACAGCAAGACGATATTGGCTGTTGTAGTGAAGTGAGCAGGCAATGGCTCTAACTGGGTAATAATACCACATAGTAGCCGACAATTGTGCTCTCTCCCCTTCTTTTATCGTCCCTAATCGCTCCCAACAGACATCCCAATCTCTCGTCCACAATACATTTGTTGTGCATGGGCTTTTTAATTTTCTTTTGCAACTCAAGTTTCTATTGCCTCTCTCCTTTCACCAGCCAACCACATTAGTACCCACGACCCCGGCCGTTTGGTAGCTCGCAACATTGTCTCTTTCGCATCACCTCCTCTGGTCTTGCCTCTCCCAGCTTCCCCTCATCGTTTTTTAGCGGCTCTTTCTCACAAGAAGGCGTGATTATCGCACCTACTCGTACTGGGAGCTCAACAGCGCTAGACTAACCTCAACAAAGCACACCAACCCCGGCGACACTCACACCCGCAACCACCCTCCATCAGCACCCCCACACAGACCCGCACATCATGCTAGCTCGTCGCCTAGGAGTGTTTTCCACCACCTTGTCCACTAGCGTGTCGAGAGCCGCCTGTGGATTGCGCAAACCCAATTCGAATTGGGACATATATAGACGGGCCGTGTCCCCCAAATTGCTCTCCACACCAACCCAGAGAATGCCTTTGGTGAGTATGACCGACGGGGCAGCTAGAAGTGCTGCATTTGGGAGGAGACGAAGAAGCGGAAACAAAGGGCTTCTGATACCCATTGAGCAGGTGGCCAATGCTACACGACTCTCGTGATGCTATAACTACCCCGCACATTGGTTGTGAGAAGCAACATGGACAGAACTTGTGATACTGGGGCGCAATGGATACCGAGAATTGGGGGTACGGAGGAGCGCAGCAACTGGAATGGAGCTCAAACAGCCCAATCCCCTCCACTTTCTGCGTGCTACTCTGGTACCACCCGCTACCCTTGCAGTAGCACGGAAGCACACAGTAGCTCGATATTACTGAACCCCCACTCCTCCAGCAGCAAAAATGCCCCCACTCACAGGTTTTTCCAGTAGCACTCCCGCCTACCCCCACTTTTCTAGACCATGGCAATTGCTGCTAAAGAGGTCTGCCCACTAAACACCTTTTGCGCCCTCCTCCACAACGCCACTCAATTGAGTTTGCTGTCAATGCCAAATCACCACCAGCCCACAACTAACACAGATTACTATTTCCGCCGCCCTGACCGAGGGATTCAAGAAGCACGAGGTCGTCCCCGACGTCATCGACGAGTTTGACCCCAACACTCTCCTCGAGATCACCTACGGAGGTGAGAACGTGGTTGCCGTCGGAAACACCCTGGCCGTCGCTGACACCCAGCACAAGCCCTCCATCCACGCCTCCTTCCCCAAGGACACCGAGGGAACCTACACTCTGGTTCTGACCGACCCCGATGCTCCCTCTCGAACCGACAACAAGTGGTCCGAGTACTGCCACTACATTGTGACTGGTCTCAAGCCCGGCGTTGTTGCCGAGGCCGAGGGTGCTGCTGTCGAGCTCGATCTGTCCAAGGGCAAGGAGCTCATTCCCTACATGGGCCCTGGACCCCCACCAAAGACCGGCAAGCACCGATACGTCTTTGTGCTTTACAAGGAGGGGGCCAAGTCTCCCGAGGCTCCTGCTGACCGACCCACCTGGGGCACCAACGTCCCTGGCTCTGGAACCCGGGAGTGGGCCAAGAAGAACGATCTGACCCTGGTCACCTCCAACTTCTTCTTTGCTCAGAACACTGAGCAGTAAGCATGTGATGTCAAATCTATGTGCAACTCATGCACGATCGTTCGCCAGTACGAATGAGCCCATTGCATGTTTATCTATGAATATATCTTTTAATGTCTAAGGCTATGTAGTCGCACCGACACAATTCGTGCTGGAAAACCACTTGCCATCTATGTAGCACTTGTATGTAGTATCAAACCTTAAGGTAATTAAACTTACACTTATCACTGCAATATCCTGTTGTCCGCAACACACTGTCATGACACGATATCGGGTCGGTGAAAGGAGCCAAATTTTTGTCACGTATTTCACAAGGAGGGAAAATACCCCCTCTTTTCGATTTTCCGCTTGCTCACAACTCTCACTCCACTCTAAGTTTCATGACGTCATGCCATGCCAAGGTGATAGATTCCAGCGATCCAAAAAACTAAAAATCTCGGGAGATAGTTTCAAGGGAAGCAAACGGCTTGCTTAATCGGTTATCGATATTTGCTCTTGATTGCATTATCTGTTTGTGTTGAAGAGATTGGAGTGCGGCTCATTTTCGGTTATCGATTTGTTACTCCTCGTATGGCTGTCTCAAAGTCGTTTGTTATTCTATCAATCTATTAATGTGATGCTAAATTCGATACGATGCTAATGGATGGACAAGTTGGTGTTGCACGTTATTGTGTTGCGCAATGTGATGGTTCTGGCAAAACTGTGCTCTAATGTCGCATTCCAATCTTGTAGAACTTGAGCTGCTCAAGAACAATGTAGGTGAGAATAGTCTGGGGTCCGAGTCGGACAAAGGAAGGAAGCCAGCCTCGGAACATGAACAGAGGACCCTCCTGTTTCAGAGCGTTGAAGAAAATGGTAAAGGCCGAGTCCTTGGAATGATGGGCATGGGCGTTCATGATTCGGGTCTTGACAACATCGACGGGAGAACAGACAGTGGTGGCCATGAGACCCGCCAGCAGAGAGGCGGAGAAGTGGGTGGCCTTCTTATCGGGGTTCATTCCAAGATGGTTGACCAGCAGAGCCTTGAATGAGTCGTAAGAGACCATCTGCGACGAAGTCATGAGAACTCCTCGGGTACAGTTGGGACCGAGACCTCGGAACATGGCCCGAACTCCCTCTTCTTTGTACATTCGGATCAGACCGTCAAAGGCGTGTTTGTAGTTTCTGCGTTGGTCCTTGGGCAAGGACTGGTCGTTTTGCATTCGGATGTTGATGATGTCGGCAGGGTTTCCCACGATACCACCGCTGATTCCGGCAATGATGGAGATGGGAAGCAACACGTACATGGGAGGGTTCTGGTCTCGCTTGTTGGGGTTGTAGTAGTATGGAGCAATGGACTCCTTGAGGTACTCGTACATGCCGAACCGCATGGTGGAGTAGGTGGAGAGACGCAGCATGGAGGCTGAGAGGCCGGAGTAGACACCAGTGATACCCTCGTGCTTGACCACGTTCACCAGTGTGCCAAAGAGTCCCTGACCACGTGTCTTGGCCGTCTGAAGACGCACTTTGGCGAGATCAAGAGGATGGGTGAAGACACCAGCCACCACCGACGCAAATCCTCCGTACCAGAAAGGGTAGTGGATTTTGGCCGACGGAGGTACGGCAGACAGAGGAATCTCGGCGGGTTTTGTCTTGCTCTCCATGGGTAAGTGTTTTTGTAAAGATGACATGGTTTGCGATGTGTGTGTTTATAGGGTGTGTGAGTTGGGTTGTGCCTGGGAAACTTCAGTGAGCTGAACAAGTGTAAGTATCGCGATTTCGAGGCGTGTGCGTGTGCGTGTGCGTGTGTGTGTGTGTGTGTGTGTGTGTGTGTGTGTGTGTGTGTGTGTACTTGTGTATGTCTGTGTCTGGCTCGTCGTGTAGGTTGCTTGTATCGTCGTTATTACTAACACTGAACGCCCACTCAATGCTGACAATACCCTTATGTACCTAAAAAAATATTCAGATTTTTTCCCTTTTGCCCTTTTGCCCTTTAGTCATTCCCTTGTTGTGAGAACCTTAAGGACAAAACAAGAAATGTGAGTGATATTACTAGCGTGTTTTAGGGGATAATAATGGCGTGTGTAATGTTATCGGGTCACGTGATCACAAGTCATTATGTCCGCTGGCCAACAGGTTTATCCTGCTGGCGGCTCGTTCGCCTCAACCACTGCCTCCATCTCTCTAAATGGTCCATTTTTCAGTTTTTATCAACAACTCAAAAATGACAGCCGCGACAAACATCGGAGCAATCGGCGCCATCGGAATATAACGGTATCTACCCGGAGAGTAGAAAAATACAGCACGTAATAAAAAGGTGAGACACACAAGATAGGAATGGATGCAGACACGTGCAATGGGACCGGGTTCTCACGTGATACAATCCACAGTTTCTACTGGTGATGTACCCGATACCGGGACTCGTACTTGCGCTGTGGTGACACACACGCATGATCTTGAGTCACCCTTTTAGACGACCGTTGACAACCTTAGATTGAGACATGTGTTTATCAAGCGACGGATAATATTACCGTGGTGGTGGGGCTGAGCCTAGACAGTGTAGATGAACCTGACTCATTGCAACGCTCAAACGTGGGGTATTGGGCTCGACCCCACATAAAAGTACATTGAGAGCAAGAGCCTGCAGACTGCAGTGGTCTTGCATGGAGAATGGTTGTCGGGTGCAATGATCCGTGATTATGTCAGCAGGAGAGTGAAGTATGGCTGCAGTACAGTATGTACTTGTATGATAGCTATGAGTCACGTGAGGAACGGGAGGGGTTAGTAGTATAGTAATAACATATAACAGCTTTAGTCACCCATTTTCATTGTGGAAACGAAGTACTTGTTGTATTGAACTGCAAAAGGACTGTCCTTATTTATATAGTGGATTGCAACTCAGCCACAAGTAGATGAAGTACATACAGTCCTTCATACCTAGAATATAAGTACATACTTTATGATAATCGGCTTCAATGCTACAGTAATGTTATTATACAACCATTACTCATCCAGATGGCCCCAATTGTCGAGTGTTTCGATGGTAGTTACCGCGTGTAGATGACCTATCTACCCTAAGCGAGACTTCATTGAAATTTGGGGACATAGTGGCCCAGTATAAGCGAGCAAAACAGTTGTTTACAAGACCAAGTCGGTATACTGAAATAAAACCACCACTACCATCAACTCATTCACCTATACAAGAAGCCAATCAACTACTGCCGATGCACTTGTCACGAGATGTTGGAGTCACTATCTCTCTACAGTAGCCAGGCCGATGCCAGCAATAGAGCTCGATGTGAGTGAAAAACAGTCGTAGTTGCCGCTCTAATACGAAATTAATACAGACAAGAAGAGTCATGAACGAGGTTGTTTTTGTCAACGACCAAAGAAGTCTCGTTTGTGAACAAATGGACTGCCGATAGTTGTACGAGTGTTTCCCCACGCCAACATATTTCAGTCTGCATCTGACCGGGAGACATATTAACTACCTGCGATAACGACTACTGCTGTGTGTAGACGGCTTTTGATGAGAAGTTCACAGTGACACAACCGAGGTCAATCAGTCTCCAGGTACAAGAGCCTTCCCCCGTTCGGCCATACACCAAAGACTTCTGTCGTTATAATACATCGTGGGTGAACCTCTCTCTACCCCCTTCTCATCGTAACACATCGTTAATAATCATTCAATATATAGTCATTAGAGATCTACAGTGTAATTCCATAGACCGTTGTTGTAGTCGTTGTCTTGACGCTGGCGAACTACGTCCGCTCACTAATAGGTACCCTACTCTTGCTGAAACATACCCATCTGCTCCTGAAGAGGATGAGTGGGAATCACACCGGGAACTCCGCCCTCCATCTGATGTCCCTCCTCCAGGGACTCCTGCAGGTACTCCTCCTCTTCGTCGCCCATGTACATGGCAGCAGCAGCAGCAGCGGCAGCAGCGGCCGACTGGGTCTGACGACTTCGTGCGCCGGGGGGCAAGGTGGCCTCTTCGCGAGGAACAATGTCAATGAGAAAATCAAACATGTCCGATCGCTGTAGCGCCGAGGCAATGTCGGACCGCTGCAAGGTTCGCCGTTTGTGTTCTTCAGCGTGAATCCAGGCCCGCATCGACAGCTCGGTGATGAAGATGTCGCATCCCTTGGCAAACAGAATGGGTGCCTCGGCAGAAATCATCTTCACGTCCTCATCGGCCTTCATCACCTTCTTGATACGCGCCAGAGGAAGCTGATGCACCTTGAACTCGTGCTCATCATGCTCAATACTGCTGATAATCTCCTGCCAGTATGCCAGCATGATGCTTCGGTAGTGGCCCGATAGGCCCTGCGCCACATTGTTGAAGGTGCCCGTCATTTGGTCAAGCCCGTTATCGGCTGCTCCTCCATGCTCTCCGTGAGGATCATGTTCATGGTCACCCTCCTGGCCTTGCTCGTACTCCATCATCCGGTCATACTCAAGGTCGCCCTCTCGCTCTTCAATGTATCCCTCGGTGTTTTCCATGGCTGTCCTGGTGGTATTATGGTGAAGATGTTGTTATGTTCAGTTGGTGATGACTGTCGGTCTAGTCTCATGCATGTCTGAAGTTTCGTCGAGATTTAAAAAGGCTCTAGAATACGCTGTTTCAGAGCTATGAGAAGACGACCAAGCTCATTGGAATGAGAAAATTGATGGCAATATACTGGGCGCATTTTCACACCCCCAACACCTCCCCAACACGAACCACATACATTGCCCAATTCACGTGGGCGTCCATTTCTGCACTAAATAAAGTTGATTTTTTGAAAGCAGTCTCGAACAGTTTTAGAACGACTTGATACACGATATAAACAGTCATCACGCAAGTGGCAAACATCACACACTCGCAAATAACCAATGTTGTGTTCAAATCACCCATATCTCTCTACATTCCACCGACATCACAACCCTAACCCTGTACCACATTGAGAAAAATATACAAAAGTTTAATGTTATTCCCAATTAGGATGCCGAAAAGGGTGATTAGTAAGCGAGGTCTTGGGCATAGATATATTTGTCGTCATGGAGGTTTGGGGGTCATTTTAGTTCAATGTACCAGCTTCATTTATGTGTAAAATGAATTACTAAATCTGATATATGTGTCTATGAAGCCCTATCAACAGATAATCGATACAGTATTCTCGTGTTGAGGTTTGGAGGAAGATTGTAATACTTCCCCATTTTGATTCCAAAAGAGAATGCTCACGGGGAAGATACCACAAGTATTCATGTCTGTCATGACTCCATCAAATGATTCTATGTCTGTCTATAAATAGTCCTTTCCCTTTCTTCACCACCTCTTATCAACCACCTTGGTGACGCAATCAAACAGGTCCAGAGGGGGCAAGCCTCCGTTCGTCTGATACTCATCCTCATATCCGTCATCGTAGTCATCGTCATCATAGTAATAGTCTTCTTCATAGCGCATGCTTTTCTGGATCTTCTTCTGAGCAGCTCGTTCAGCCCGCTTGACCTTTTCACGCGCTTCGCGTCTCCGAGAAATGGCGTCTGTGAAAGCAACCAGAACCTCCGGTGTAACAATGTCCGTCTTTTCCCAGTCAATCTCTACCAGTGAAATCGTCGAGTCTGTCGACAAATGCTCATATTCCGCGTCTCTTTTCATCTCCCTCGTCACCTTCGCCTGAGTAACTGCCTCCACAGGAACATTGATCAGTGCTGGACTCTTGTCGAGACTCCCAAAGGCAGTCTGCATGATTTTCGAATCGAGTTTCGACAAGTAGACATCCTCCCCTGCCGTCCCTTGGTAGTAGTGTCGCAAACGAACTGGTCGTTTCATGTGGTTCGGAATATGAGACACAGTAGGAAACTGGGCCTTCAATGCAGATCTCTTTTTCGGGGACACGTAGAAGTCGCCCTTGGGTGTATGTGCAAATACATCATCCCCAGGATCCTTTTCCTTGTCCAGGTCCTCTTCTATCGATTCTCCTCCTCCTAATGCTTCGCTTTCCTTGATCTTGTTCTCCACCAACTTAACCACTTGAGACACATGCTCTCCTGAGAACGTCTCATCGTTGTGGTCAAGAATGGTCTCTTGCTCAATCGCATGCTTCAACGAGCTATAGTAGCCAATTAAAGCATCTCTATCTCCTAACAAGTACCTCGAACTCTCGAAGCCCTTTTGTGTATGGTACGGGATGGTATCCGAGCTCGACGACGCCTCACAGCTACAATCTCGAACAACAGCACAGTTTCCAGATATTCGCACCTTCATTTGCATTTCCAAGTGGCCTTTGTCAGTTCCGCTCGGTCGCTGTTCGTCCCATAGAACGAACTTTCCCCGGGAAACGTCGTAGTCTTTGTAGACACATGAAGGACACGTCACTTCGTTCTGAGACGAGATTTTGTGCTGTGAACGACTCTCGCTCTGCTGCGATAGTCGACACAAACAGGAAATGCAGAAAACATGCCCACATTCCAGCATGTAGGGTCCCACTGGCTCTGGGTGTAGGCAAATCGGACATGGCGATTTCTGAGATGGGTGTAGACGCATCAAGAGCACCTGCTTTGTCGTTGGAACGGCTTCCGGATCATCGGTGATGCCTCTGTAGTCGCCTGAGGGGTCTAAAATGTATCTCTTCATTCTGATGGTTCTTTGGAGTGGCGTTCATGTTGGATCGAAACTCCACCCATTTGATATTGTTCAACGCATGGTTTATGCATGGGGAAGAATTTGATGGCGTCTTAGTAAGCCGATGGGAGAGTGAATGAGCGATATTTATACCTGAATCGACAGATAGATGTATCCTTCTCAAACATTTTTATGTGGTTGTTTTTGTCTCATACCCACTCTATATTTTACATGAATTATTAACGAGTTGTTCTGCCTTGTGACAAAATATCCAGTAGACATGCAGGTGACATGCACGAAAAGCCTACTGGAAAAAAATATCTACAGAATGTTGGAACCGTTATCACAACCATACAGACACAAAATGGCTCGAAAAAACCCCGTGCGAGGTAGCAAACAGAATCTGGCTCCTCAAGTCGTTGAGGACACCAACGACAAAGATATCGACATTCAGAACCACCAGGAAGCACAGGAGGCCAAGGAGCTGGTCGACCTCGAAGAGGGACAAGACATGTCTGCTACCGAGGAGTCTGATGAGACTGATGTTGACGATAAGGAGGATGCCAAGCTGGGTGACGCTAGCGTTGACGAGAAGGAGGACGACAAAGAGGAGGATGAACAGGAGAGTTCTGGGGAGTCTGAGGAGTCAGAAGATGATGACGACTCTTCCTCTGAATCAGAAGGTGACGAGCTCAACTTTGACGATATTTCATCTCTTCTGGACGCTAGCAGCAAGTTTCAGGCCGAGTCTGAGCCAGTCAAGTCGCTCGACGAAATCACAGAACGCTACGCTCGTTTGCCCAAGATTGACGGAGGTGTTGGTTATGGCACCGAAAGTCTAACCGAGAAGGGACTCATGAAGGACAACCATTACGACTACACCAAGGAAGACAACAAGAACAAGTTTGCGTTCCGGGTGATTCAGGACCCCCACCAGGTCAAACTGGACAAGAAGAAGGCTCGAGACAACACGGCTGGAGACAAGTGGTTTGGAATGAAGGCTCCTGATATGACCCCCGAGCTCAAGATGGACATGGAGTTGCTCAAGATGCGAAACGTGCTGGATCCCAAGCGGTTCTACAAAAAGTCCGATTCCAAGAAGGACCCCAAGTTCTTCGAGATGGGAACTATTGTCGAGGGCAACACCGAGTTCTTCTCTGCTCGACTTACCAAGAAGGAGCGAAAGCAGACCTTTGCACAGGAGCTGCTTGGTGACGACGATTCGCAGAAGTACTTCAAGCGAAAGTATGCCGAGATTGGCGACTCCAAGGAGGTTGGACGAAAGAAACACTTCCAGAACCTCAAGGATCTGCGAAAGAAGCGTCGTTAGTTATTTATTTGCATGTGTACGTATAATACAATTGTTAGACTGTTGTCTAGTCAGAAAGGCCTGTCATGTTTAAAACAAAAACAGAAACAACAAAACAAAACCAGAAGAGATATGTCGTATATAGAGGCCTCTGCTTTACACTACCTTCAATAATGTACACATGTATTCCTACAGCCACAGAGGTATCACCTGTTCTCGACGTAGTGCTCGAGCTCGGAGAAGAGACGGTCTCTCTCGACTCCATCTTCATCCTCACTCCATTCATCTTCCTCGGGAATCGACTTTTGTTTATCCCAGGGCTTTCTTTGGTCCTCATCGTCACTTGGGCCGTAATCTCCAGCAAAGTAGTCGTCGTCGTTGGCGTTTCTGGTAGCGAATCTGTCGTCAAAGAACTCGTTACCGAACCGAGGAACGCCTGATTCTTCACTGTCGATAGAAGATACCTCATCGTCGTCTGGGTAGTCGTTTCTGTAGAAATCCTCAGCTGTGTTAGAGTGAACTGCTCACAATCAAAAAATCAGTGTTTTTGTATGTATACTCACCATTGGAATCTTCGTCGTCGGTGACTCCTGCAGCATCACTATCGTCGTCATCGTCGTTGAAGAGTAGCTGCTCATCGGCGTCCAGAACACTATATTAATATCAATCAAGGTAATTATTGCATTCATAATCATCATTCATTAGTCATCATAGCATATCACAAATTTACTCACATGAAACCAATGCGTTGGCCCTCGTAACTTGTGGTGGCAGCGTTTCGGTGCCGGTAATAAATATCATAGACGTAGTCTTCCACCTCGGCATCCGGGTCCAGCGAATCAGCCAGTGGACCCTTCATGTTGGATGCCTCTTCGGAAGTCATTTCGGTATCTTCATCAACTGCTGGAGGCAAGTCCTCTGGTGTGATCACAGTTTTGCCAGCTGAGCTGCTGTTGCTACTTGGCTCCATCTGTAGGTAGTTCTGAACCATGTCTGTGAGGGCAGCTGAGACTCCAGCATCACTGCTTTGGCGCCGCTTCTGCTTCTTGGCTCGAGGAAGACGGAATATCCGTCTGCTATCAGGGTCATTTTCGTCAACCGTTACACTCTGGCGTCGCTTTTGTGTGCCTGCTCCAGCCTGTTCCTGTCGCATATGCTCCTCCAGCAGCACGGTATCATTTTTGGCCGGTTGTGTTTCCTCAGTTCCTGAATATGTGAAGACTGTGTTAGATCTCGGTGTGTCGTATCCTTGTAACGTATGGTACACGTATCAATGTTGTATATCCCATTGTGATCCATGGTATCATGCTTCCTTGTATCGCATAACGATCCATCGATCGATATATAATGTGATTCCAGTGTAGAATGTTGCTCTCTTGGTTTCTTCACAGTAACCTGGGACAACCATCGCCGCGGTAACCTGCGGCTAAACTCACCATAGGGTGTCTTGTTGTTCTTCTTGAGACTGTCGACGACTGCTGTTAGTGTGGTTCTGATGCTGTAGAAATCGCTTGCTACTCACGCAACGCCTGCAAGGGATCCTGGCCTCGCTTTCGCTTCACTCGGAGCGTGGTGGGCGGAGTTCGAATGCCATCAATCATTTTTCTCTCTCTTTCAACTGCTGTCCAATATCCGTTTCCGTAACAACAGATTGATGGGGAGCCTTAAATAGAGTAGGGTGTGTATGAGGTGACGGGTGTGATGTGGTGAAGACACAGAAAGTATCGGGTCAATATATATATGCATGCATGTTTACCTTTTCCCTTTTCCTCTTCTCTCTTCCCCACCACACAAACACCTTACCAAGAAAACATCCAGTGCTGCCTTCAGCCTGAGAAAAAACTACAGACCCACCACATTTCGAAACCCACAGCTACCCGGAATTCGCTGATCCTTGCTGATATCTATCTGCTGGCCAGACTAAGAAACATCACAAGTTTCTCCCATACCGCATCTCTCTCTGTGTAAGTACACCCATAAACGTACCTTGCATTTGACTTTGCACACGACATGACAGGCGTGGTCGGCCACATGGAACACGAGATACTAACCCAGCTGCGCTGAAGTGGCAAACGCTTTAGCCTACAGAACCGACAGCTCTACCCACAGCCTCCAAAATGCCCATCTCTCGAATCAGCGGATTCATCAGCTCCACCATGGACAGCCTGGATGGTCTTCGGCCCAGCCGAATGCTAATGTCCCCGGCCAGCTCCATGAAGCTTGAACACGACAGAGACACGGTAGTGGTAACCGGCGGGGCAAGCGGCCTTGGCCACGAGATTGTCAAGCTGCTGGCCAAGAAGGGCACCAAGCATATCTTCGTCCTGGACATTGTCGAGCCCATCCCCTCGGAGCGTGTGGACAACGTCACCTACTACCACTGCGACGTCGGCAGCGAGGAGTCCGTGAACAAGATTGCTGCCCGGATCACCAAGGAGGTTGGCCACGCTACTGTGCTGATCAACAACGCCGGTGTGACTGTCGGAAAGACTGTTGGGGACTTGACTATGGAGGAGATCAACCGAACTCTGCGTGTCAACCTGGTGTCTGCATTCATCACCACCAAGGCCTTCCTGCCTGGCATGCTCGAGCTCCAGCGAGGCTACATTGTGACTGTGTCTAGCGTTCTAGGCCACATGTCGCCCGCCAAGCTGAGTGTCTACGGAGCATCCAAGGCTGGTCTGATTGCATTCCACGAGTCGCTCACCTATGAGCTGGGCCCTCCTTCGCAGACCACTCGAGGTGTCAAAACAATGCTTGTTACCCCCGGACAGATGGCTACTCCTCTGTTTGATGGGGTGCAGACTCCGAACGAGTGGCTCGCTCCGGTGCTGAAGCCTGCGGACGTGGCTGCCAAGATTGTCTCGTCGATGGAGAAGGGGTCTATCGAGACCATTTCGTCGCCTCTCTACACCAACTTCCTTCCCGTGTTTCGGTCTCTGCCGTGGCGGCCCGTCGAGGTTGCTCGGCGATTCTCCGGCATGGACCGTGGGATGGATACTTTTCGAGGCCGTCTTTAGATAGACTCTCGTAGCCTCGGCTTGTGGATTTTAAACGACGTTGGGACTTTTCTGTGTGTGGCACTTGGGGGGTGGGATGGTGGCTGGCCTCTCGGCTGGCGTTATTTATAGATTGACTTGTGTCAGGTTAATTGAAAGTGACTAGAGTGACTACAAGTACTGTACCTGTAGAGCATCGAGGCTGAAATTTCGGGAAGTCAAGCGACACCGTATCGAGTTACGGTCTTGACGTGTTGTGGGAGGTATCTCCAGACGTCCGGTAGAGCTGGAGTTGCTTGTATTCCGAATACCGATCTTGGTTTGACATTTGACAGGTGCTACTTGTAGTTTAGTGTCTGTTGCACGCCTGCCATGTGCCAGAACCTATGTTTGACAAGTGGCGAGGGTAACGTTATGTCGATGGGTTCAGAGAGTGAGTGGGGTACTGTTTGAGAGGGATCTGTGCTAGTGAACCATTGAGCCATGTATGTACTGTAGCAGTACTTTGAGTACTGGTACATAGTCTTGTACTGTCTCAAAAAGTGTTTCTCCTTCTAGCGATGGAGCTACTTGTACCGGTGTCTGTATATTATCTTGCATCCGCGCTATGTTATTAGGGGCGTGTATAATAAAGTGTACTTAGTTGAGTCACCTCTGGAGTCACTTGTTAGGGGTCATTGTATTGTGCCAATTTTGGCGTTCCAGAGAAATATCTGGGTATATTATTTGGGTATATCTTTCTGAAGGTGTTTGTTTAGTTGGTAAAATATTGACCGTACGGTCGGCAAGCGACTTGGAACGTTGCACTACTGTACATACCTAACTTGTTTTGTTCAGGTTCTCTTGATGCGGACAAGTGGTTTCAAGACTGTGAGTTGATGGGGTATCTGGGTGTTTGTTGTTTTGGTTTGTGCTTTTTTTGACAGGCTGGGCTGGAAAGATACCATTGGGGGTGCGGTACAGTCAGATGTGGAGCAGCTAGGACAGTACATATTGGTCTAAATAGACAGGTTGTCTCCGTGCGCGGCTTGATCTTTGCGGAAGTGGAGTTCGCTACAGAGATGAGCAATGGCGATCCTATCGTGGCCATGCACCGCCTTTCCTTCTAGGCGCCATCTTGCAGTGCACGGGGTGTTAATTGGGCCGTTCCGCTAGCCTGATGTAACACTGCTAAAGACAGCTGACCTAGTCGGTGCGGGTACTCGTACAGGTGTGCAACGGTCTGCAAACAGAGTCTATGGAGCAACTGGGTGAGACACGAACAAAACCAACCTTAGTAGATGGAAGATCCATATCTCCCCAACCACATATGATTATAGGTTGATCTTCCGTTACAATCTCGGAAGCCGCCGAAGATTCTGTCTACTCGCGCCGGACTTTAATGACATGCTGTGCTCTCTCCATCCACAGTAGTGTGACAGACCCTTTGGGTGACAGGATAATATAATGGAAGTTACGTGCCTGGTTTAGCTGATGTAGTAGTGTTGTCATTAGTTAGGTTGCCGAGAGACGCTACTTGGGCACAAGCAAGAGTAGCGGGAAAGTGTCCACAGATGATTAATCTTTATTATGTCAAATCTGAGTACAACTGGCGTGTATTCCGGACGGCGGATGGTCTCTACGTCCTGACTGTGGGACATCTTGTCCAGCATGTTCGCTTACCAATTTGACTTTAATATCTGGAATTCTAATTGGAAGACTCACGGAGAGAGCATTGCCAATCGTCGATGGCCAAGGAAGAGCAGTGCATGGCGTGGGGGAGAAGCAAGCCAGAGCGTAGTTTGAAGCAGACTCCCGACCCAGTCGGCAGACATTAAAAAGCAAAGCTAGACCCCTGGAATCACATTCAGGAAAGTGCTATTGAGACAATACAGGAGAGTTTTCAACAACTAACCAACCTGGTCAATAGTGTCCGGTTATTATGGCCTATAGAAACACGTCTATAGACCTCCGGGTGGAGACCTTCGTTTCCAGGCCGTTATCAGCAGATAGCGCGAGCCATTTGAATCAGATGTATGGGCTATAGCTGTACCACCACCCCATTAACCATCAACACCGGAAAACCAACCAAATGAACCATAAACAATTGCTTCCAATCGACAAATCAAGTAGGAGCGACCTCAATTGACCGTGTTACAATGTGACAACCTCAAAGCAGACGAGCAATTAGTTGTCAGAGAGCAATGCCAGACTCTGGTGTCATTGAAAAGACTGGGATGTGGACTAGATTCTACAGTATGTACTGGTACAGTACTTGGACAAGTATATTTTGCCCATAACAGCTGTACGTCATATTATAGACAAGTTCGTTATTGCTACACACGCTATTGTTCTCACGGAGTGGAGAACGGATATCTCTACGATTCGGTTTAGTAACCGTCTTATGATATATATGTTTTTATGATACATATCGCCATAACTCCTGGCTCCACTGCATCCCGGATGACGGAAGATACTCACTAATCCGAGCCTACGCTTGGATTGCTATAGAAACTGCAACTGCTGTATTATCTCCAAAACTACTTCTACAAGTAGGGTGATAAGATTCACCCTAATGTAGACCACCACGGATACTGCAGGCAATGGCCGAGAGGACACGGCATCGTATCTGGACCAGGTTTTCCATGATGAATCACAAACATCGGTTAACCCCCGCCACCCCTCCCCCAGCTGTTCCAAGCCTGATTCTAGAATCCTGCAAAACTACCTCAAGTCTCTCTCGCTTAGGTCGGAGGATATACTGTAAAAGTGAGTTTTGGCTTTCATTAAATTCCCAACTGTATGGATATAATCATAAACCTAATAATGCAGTGTGAGTGAAGTCAACGATAGAGCTGAGATACTCATGGCCGGAGATTCCTCACCAAGAAAGCCAGTCGAGTCTGCTAAATCTAAACCGCCGGCGCTCGGTAGGTAACTTTTCTCAGAAGGGCCGGAGTCTCCTGAGGACCTATTCCCAGATCATTGCTTTGACTGGCCACGCAAATCTCTACTAGGGTCGCTTCCATCAATACATGCCATTTATGAAGTGTGCGAGTATACGCCGCGGCCGACAGTCTATGTTAGCTATCTACAAAATGTTTATTGTGCCCACAACAAACAAGTGAAAAGATATCTTTCCAGTCACACGTCGCCAGAAAAGATGCACGACGAGGAACACTGTGTCCAGGTAAGAGACGTTCCTAATGGCAACAGGAAAAATATAAAGAAGCCATTGTGACCAGGGGGGTAATATGAACAAGTATCACAAGCTTGAGAGAAGCACATGTGAAGTGAAAGTGCCGAGCGAGCAACATACAAGTACAGTACTCGTACATGTGAAAAGAGATGCAAGAGAAAACGGGTTAAGAATCCGAGAATAAAAAGAGATTGATAAAACGGGTAATATGAATAACTTATGCTGACCATTGGGAGTAACGGTCATGGTACCTGCGCGTGGGCTTCTCGAGTAGAGAAAGTATTGGTGTAATTGCGGAGGATTGCGGGCGAGGGGGGAAGGGGGGAGAGGTGGAGGGAGTATGCTTCAAGAGAGGTAACCAATGTCATGGTGGGAGTGTGACGACATCAATTTAGTCATGCAAAGGTGTTCCTGGAGGAGATGCCACCTCAGTAGTGTCAGAAGAGGTCTTGAGACGACTGGTGATTGTGTTGATTCGGTTTGCGAGAAACGAGTTGTCGATATTGAGGTTTGCGTTACTGTGATTGCCACCAGCCGCGGCAGCGGCAGCTTCCTGCTCTTGCTGCTGCTGTTCCATTCGATCTCGCTTCGCCCGTTCCTGTTGCTGCCTGTTATGCATCATGGTCTGGACTCGTCGGTTCTCCAGGACCACTTGAATCTGGCCCAATTCATTAAGCATGTTCTGTTGCAGAGCCTTGAGGTGTGGTGGCAGCGGTCGTCGTCGTCGTCGGAACTGGTGTCCCTCAGAAAAATGGTTCTGCTGAGCTCCTCCTTCCGAGAGGCGGTCGCCGTCAGTCTCGTCAGATGTCGTGGACGCAGTAGTTGTTCCTGTGCCGGTGCTGCTGAAGAAGTTTGTGTCGATTTCGTGGTCCTTGCGGGTTGCGCTGGAAATGTCCGCCTTTTCGGCCGTATCAGTCACGTCTACGATACGAGCCGCTTGCACATGAGAGGTGTATTCCGGAATGACAAAATTGACTCTGTTGTTGCCCCGTTCACGTCGTCGCTGGGAACCAAAGTCACTCTGTTCGGACTCGGCTTCCTCAACTGCACTTGAGTCTTCAACGGACTCGGATATCGACTCCGCGAGCTCCGAGGTCGAAATACCAGAGGCAGAGACGCCCGTCGTGTATGCCGGGGTGGCGAATCCCTCCACGTCTGTGTTTGTTGGTGGTGGCTGTGCGGTTGTGTTTGTGTTTGTGGTTGTGGTTGTGGTTGTGGTTGTGATTGTGGGTGTGGTTGTGGTAGTGGTAGTGGTAGGGGGAGGTGCTGATGGAGGCACTGTGGTGGCTGTAATGTCAGGAGAGGCTGTCGCAGAAACGCCTGTGATGCTGCTAGTGCTGCCTGTGTGTCTGCGTGTGGCGATGGACCGTGTCTTGTTGGTGGACTGGGTGTCACTGGTCTTGTCGGTGGTTGGCAGTTGTGGGGTCGGATGTACTTCAGAGGTTGCGGGCACGTCCGCCTTGTTGAGGACGCCCTCTGGTTTCGTCTCGGAGTCAACCATGGCACCTTTCGATAGTCAGTCGGAGTGCGAGTCGTGTGTACTTGTGCTGGTACTTGTGCTGGTACTTGTAGTAGTTTCGTGTGTGTCGGTGTTGCAGACAGTCTTATGAGGGTCGCAGAGAAGGTTGTTCTTGTACTTGTTGCAATCAGTTTTGTCGTTCTTACCACCGTGTATGTTCCCTGTCCCCGAGCAGCTCAAGTCCATTTCGTTCGTTGGTCAAGAGGATGAGTTTTAATGTGCAACCGAAACACCCAAGCCGACCGTAACGGGAAATGATTATGTGACCGGTGCAAGCATGCGATCAATGAGGTTTGGCGAAAAAAGCAAACACTAACCTAATAGCCACAGAGTTTCTCTGGCTCAGCACCAACAGGTATAGTCTACCGGTACGGATACGACAGAAGGTGGTGCAAAACAAAAAGTTGACGCTGAGTTGGATGGGAACAAGGGTTCTGCGAAAATGAAAAGTTTAGATGCAGAAAATGAAAAGTCACCCTAACTCTATATTGATGATACATCCACGATGTACGGTGCAGACAAATACACCCAGAGTAGTTACTTGTAGCGGAGTCTTGGTTGGTGGAGCTCCAAGGGCACAGTCACCATTAGTAAGGGGTAAGTGTCTCGTTCCAACCCCCAAAAGCTCCGCCTCGCAATCCGCCTCGCCATCCGCCTCGTTCACAACGCTGCCTGTAACGGTGGTAGCGCGAAATCTGAGACTACAGAGGCTCTCAAGCGGTGGGGGAGGGTGGGGGCGATGGGGAGATTGGAAGAAAGAAAGTCTACATGGGAATAATAGTGGTGTAGGTACGGTACCAGTACGAGTACGAGTACGGTACGAGTGCTGGTATGCACAGCTGATGAAAGACATTGATTTCTTAATGATGTTTCTGATTCAGTTGGCCGTGAGGAGACGACGTATTGGACGTGCGCTATCTGTCTTATCCACTACGCAGTGTACGGTACGGACCCTCTGTTTGGCAGGACGCCTTGTGTCGAGGTTTCTCTTGTTCTCTGTGAAATTTAGTCTGGGCCTTGACGTCCTTCCAGTACGACTGCTGGCTGGTGGTATCGTATCTATGGGAGCTACGTAGTATCGTACTTGGACCTGTGCTCGTACGAGTAGATTCCGGTTTTGCTCCACGAGTTTTAAAGCCACTATGAACAAACTCGCTTAAGGGGATATGTCGGGGATACTGTTTATCCGTCTTCGTCGGCTACGGTGGCTTTTGTGTTTCCATTCTTTTCTCTCGGTTTTTCTTTTCATCTACCGTTCCTTTCTTTCTTGAGACGCGACGTAAAATAGTGGTTCCATTGTGTGCCGCCTAAATGATGAGAGTTATGCAGCGAAATACGGAATCTGAGGTTGGCGACGGTGCGGCATGTGCAATTATACGTTTGGATGCAACTTGCCATCGGGCAACTTTGCTTGGCGAGGAGCAAGAGCAGCACCAAAGCATTTCGTCTGCTGAGACGAAGACGAGGGCCGGCCAGCCGTGCATGCGGTACGGCGCGCGTTATCGACGATTAGCTACCGAAAATTAAGCACTTTGGGGCGTTTTTTTAGTCTGGATTTCCAAACACTTTTCTGGTGGGTTCAAAGATCGGGGTTTAAGAAAAGTTGCGCCTGCCCTGGATCGTGCAAGTCTGGCTCTTGACTTTACAGGAGGTCGGAGGTTTGACGAGGCGGAGGTTCTGTGGCTTTTGTTAGCGCTTTTGATTAAGGGTTTGGACGGGAGAAGGTCTGTCTCCACACACGACGCGTCCAAGTACCGGTACGAACTCGAGCCGCCTACAGGTAGTATATTCTATAAAACAAATCTTCCACGGTTTGTCTTTGGAGCTTTGACAAAGCTGGTTGTGTTCGTTTGTTTGCTACCAGAGGGACGGGAGATGCGCCGTTGTTGGGTGTGGTGAGCCAAGTCTGAAGTATGCATCTCGTCGGCCCGGTTTCTTGTGATTTGGCGGAGTATGTATAGTAGCTTCTGATTAATAGCTGACTTAACTGCGCATAAAACGAGGCTCAAGCTCGCTAAACGCGTCAGAGTGCCTCTTTTATACGTGTCAGTCATAAACAGCTATTTATAGGTGTGGAGATATACAAGTTCAGCGGCAAGACTCCCCTCCCGTCACGATACACCCGACCCGCTACGTACAGTACGAGACTTGTACATCATGTGTGCCGGCTCAATCTCCCCAAAATTCAACAATTCTGAAGTCTAACGTTTTTGACCCACCCACATCTTACAGGAGCTCTGGTCGGCTTTTGGTTTTTTAGGCTCGTGAGCTCCAGCGAGAAGGGCATGAACGCCTTTTTTCGGTCTCTCGGGTTTGCGGTTTAAGCGCCTCGTGGCCCGTTCAGCGCTAAATCCGCTTCCCGCCCCCGGAAATTTGCCTTCAACGGACTCTCCTTTTTTTGGTATTTGTTTTTTAGCCCTCTTGCTGTTGCAATCTCCAGCTCTAAATATAAGACAAGAACTGCGCGCATACAAGTGTCGAGGATTGTATTGGAATTACAGTGTCGTACAAGTACAAGTAGCGTGCACTGATGCACACAGAATAAAACATACATCCCATTCAGGTGCCTGTCCAGACATTAGCACCCTTTGAACCCGCCATTCGCCACTACTGTAGACCAATCCTAATCGGATCGCCAAATTACACTCGGAAAATCTTGTTGGAAAGTGCCATGGGCTGAGAGAAATGTCTGCAGGCGTGCATTTGGTCACTATTTTTCTCGCGCCTACTGACTTCCTTTTTTTTTGCCCTTCTCGACTTGCTACAAGTCGTCCAATATGCTTTTCCCAGTCTTACTCGGACTTGGCCGTCGCACATGACACACGCACTGGGTCCGACAGCAACATCGTTATACGTGCGCTTCTATACGTGTTCGGGCCTTCTCGTGGCCGACTCAGTTAACGACACATCGTCTGGTCTTTAACGAGAGGGAATACTCTAGGGAATACTATAGAGGATACTCTAGGGGATACTCATGTTCGCTACGATACTATTGTTCACACAAGGGATTTGTAAAAGGGACTAAACAGGGAATGGCTGGACGGATCCGCCAATGGGTGGGGAATCAGAAGGGAACAATCACAGTGTGTGCAGACACTGCGGAATAAGAACCGTCCGAGTATGATACAACTACAGTACGACTACAACAACAGTACAACAACAGTACAACAACAGTACAAGAGCACGCGTACTCGTATCGTACCGCACTCTTCATACTCTTACCATACCCGCATCGTTCCCGCCTCGTCCAGACCAAAACCCGAAGGAGCCAGCCGTATCTCATCATGGTGATGCATGAAGAGGCCTTGTGGCTCCCCCACGTATGCAACCGAGCAGACACATTCAAAGACAGAACAAGACATCGTCCGGCTCACCGAGCCACATGGTCGTGGAAGGAGGTTGAGTTTTCAGCCCTCGGGCGCCACTCAAACCCCCCGGCTCAAAGGGTCTTTCACAAGCTCCGAGCGCCGGTTTATCCTAGCACTTTACCCTCAAGCTTTTTTTATTTTTATTACTTGAACTACAGTCCGCACCAGAACCAGTGAGCAGTATCGTACCGGTACTGTACGTAGGTTTCCCACACACGACAGTTAGGTCCCGCCGTATTCAAGCCCGTATTTTCCGACTTTGAAGGCAACCCTTGAACCCAAACCGAAAAGAGCTCAGTGAAGATGGGGATACAGGCTACTGGAAGCTACATGGACGCTAGTTGGCACGTTTCCTTAGCACGGTCGCGGCCGTGGTGCAGGTGAGAGTTCACGAGAGGTGAGAGGAGGGGTTTCCAACGAATGGAATCACATGACGTGTCATTGGCTGTCCCCGTCTGCCACGCTCTTTGCTACAAGTCTGCATTCCCTCTGCTACGTTTCTCTCTCCAACAGAGTTCGCGACCCACCGTATAGGCGCGCGACTGGGGGCCAAATCTTGTGCGAGGGTTTCACATGTTTCAACGGCAGTCGCATTCGCTTAGTCATGCCGCGTCGACATCTCCACCACTTCCCAGACGTCGGTTGGGCCACTGGAATGCAGCTCTCAGGCGTAGAACGTGGGTGTCAGAAGAAGGAAGCAAAAAAAGAAGCGTTTGCAGTTTCTAGAAGAGCAGCGGGAAAAAAAGTAAAAAACGCCCCAATAAAGTCCCCGGCTAACCATGCCGAGACCACCATGGCAGTTCAAGCCTGAGGCAAGGGGAGCCGTTGGAAGCGGCCGGATAATATCCACACCCAAAAACAGTGCGACCCTTTCTTTTACCTCGGAGTTTAGCCTCGCGGGCCAGTCTCCAAGCTCTCTCTCGTGCGGTAACTTCCATACAAGCACAGCACTATTTTGAGGCCTGAGACCGGAGATCATAGCAATGAGGTTTTGTCGGCACAAAGGGAACGTTCCCCAGCCGTAAAGAGTAATTTCTGGTGGAAGCCCAAATTCAAAAAGCGCTGCAAACCGTCTTGTTGAAGTAATACCACCACGTGACTTCAGCGAAAAAAAATAATGGGGGACAAAAACGCCCCATTCGACAGTCATTGGCTTAGCCCCAAAACGGTCGTCACATGCCATCAACCAGAGTTTCAACCGTCACGTCGTTAGTCAACTAAAGCATAACTATAATCTATGTCGTGTTCCTGAACCCCAAAAAGCTCCCTCTTACAGTAGTTGGCAAAAAACATAAACCGTATTTCCTCTCCCCCACAACATCTCATAACACACAAAAAGAAAACACCACGAGTAAGCCCCCTCCCTTAGTAAGCCCCAGCGCCCTTCACCATAGCCATGTCCACCAACTGGCCCTGGGCTCCCCGGAACCGCTCCAACACCAACCCCACACCCGACAATTGGAGCCACAAAAAGAGCCCCTTCCAACTGAACCACAGAATGGACCCCAACCAACACAACGACCTCCTGTACGGAGATGATGCGCCACCCTTGGCCAATCCAATCCCCTCATGGCTGCTGGACGACTCCGATTACAAGGATCTCAAGCCCACCCCCGTCATGAACAACATGGCCGCAACCACCATGCAGTTCCCTGCATTTGCACCTCGAGTCAATCATCACCAACCTTCGATTTATAACTACCAGGAACCACCACGACCACGAAACCTGCCCTTGCCCGTGCCCACACGCAACTTCCAGCCCTCCCACCTGGGCACCCAGTCCATCTCGCAGGAGCTGGAGGAGGCCCGTCGTCGGCTGCAACAGTTGCAAGGGCTGGAAGCGCAAAGCAAAGAAAACGCACCGCAAACCCAATCCATCTACGAACCCGAAGTGTTCACCGCTGATGCACAATGGGATGCGCCCATCCAGCACTCATCCTTCAGTGCTCCACTGTCAACCCCTTTCTGGGACCGTCTTGCAGCTGCATCCACAGAAGATACCACCACCAATAACGTGAGAGATACAGATACCCACTTTTTGATTGTCTTGAATAACAATAACGCTTTGTAGCCATTAACTAACACAGAAGTTCCGACCTCGACTCAACTCGGTCAACTACCGGGTCCTTCTTGAGAAGAACCTAGAATGTGACTGGTTCCTCATTGTCGAGAGAATCGTGTCTGAGAACGACCAACAAGCCTCCATCTTTCTGCAGCAGAAGCTAAAGGGAGGAAGCGAAGACATCCGCGAGTCCATCATTGACTCAGTCACTAAATTATGCATTCCCCTTGTCACCAACCGCTTTGGAAACTTCCTTGTCCAGCGAAGCATCGAATATGCTAGCTCCCATAAGCGTGCGCTGTTGGTGAAGCAGATGGTGGGTCACATGAGCGATCTTTCGGTAGATATTTTTGGGTGCCATGTGGTCCAGAAGGCACTCGACTTCACCGACGACGAGGAGCTGAAGCGCCAGCTGGTGGACGACCTGCTGGAGTCGGTGAGTGATACCATCAATCACAAGTACGCTTGCCATGTGTGGCAGCGGGTGTTCGAGCTGGACAAAGGCATGCGGTCTCCACACTTCATGCAGAGTGTGATTGAGTCGCTGCGAGGCCGATGGCTTGACATTTCGTCGAGCGAGTCCGGCAGCCTTGTGATCCAGACCATGGTGCAAAACTGCACATATGAGGAGCTGGCTCTCAACGACGCCCTGGACGAGATCTCCTCGGCTGTTAAGGCCCTGGCAGTTTCTCGCTGGGGAAGTTGGGTCGTGCGCCAGCTATGCAGCATGAACGGCCCCGGTGGGGATGCCATCCGCAGCCTTGTGTACGAAGAGCTTTCCCATGACCTTTCTACCTACGGACTGGACTATTCGGCATGTAGGGTGTTGGAAACCATTGTGCAGAAGGATGATGGCAAGGACGGCAATGGAGCTCTACGGAAGCGCTATGTGGAATGGCTGGCGAAGGGGTCTCGACCGCCCCTCGTTAGCTTGGCACGTGATTCCAACGGCCATGTCATTGTTGTTGCTCTGTTGCAGGCCGGGGTCAAGGAGCCGTTGGAGACCATCATTCGCAAGAACTACGTGACTCTGCGCAGCTCCAAGTTTGGTACCAAGATCTGTCGGATGATTTAGACGTCAGCTAGCATATATAATGAATGAGAGTAGTTACAAGAAGGATGGCTGGGGATCTTTGTCTTGTCTCTTTCATAGCCATGCATTATGAATTAGATTTGCTAACCTACCGTGCTTGTACCTTTGCTTGCGTGCGTGTGTACGCACCTGCTGTCGGCAAGGTCGTGGTTGCACATCTATACGGTGTGGTGTTTCATTGACCATGTAGCTTTTAATGTTTGGAGCTTGGAGAAGGGCGCAGCGTGGTTTTGTGGATTAGAACTTGTTGAATGCATGATCGCTAGAGCCCTCTCAGCTGCTATTGATTCCAGAACTCTCCTGTTATGATTTATTGCTTTTCGTGTAAGATTTTTTAGCGAGGACGTGTCTGAGGGAATCGTCTATTTCGGGGATAAGTTGTTTTAGCTAGTATGGGAGTTTACTATTGAGGATAAGCTGTTGTTAGCACTTATAATTTGAACTCTTGGTATTGCCTCTCACTTTGTGGTCCACTTCGCATCTTGATTGGATCGACAAGGGGTTGTGGACAACTATGAGGCTTGTTTTTATCTCTGAATGTCTGCAAAAGTCATTTTTGAGGTTTGCAGGTGCGAGATTGCAATTGTGGGAGCCTTCGGAAGCTGATTTTTTCGGACTCCTCTTCGGGTTCCTGCCCATTCGTGCTGAATTGGGATCCGTGTATATCGTAATTGTGCGTGTAGAGTGGGTGTGATGAGATGGTATATGTGGTATCGGGGTCGGGTTGGACTAAGGAGTTAATAAATCGATAACTGAGGGATATATATACGTAATAATCGACTCCTGTCGCCTATGGCTCGCTATTGTGGTTATATGGTGTCTTGTTTCGTGTTATGAGATCATATTTTTAACTGACCATTCCGCTGCATTTGGCTCTCGCTAACTTTTTGATCCCACCCAGTAACATTGAAGAGTCTATCGTTCAGCACAGGCTCTACACAGCTCTAACTTCCGTTGTCTTCTCTCTCCTCGTAATCGCGTATTGATGTGCACTTGCTCTTGTTGTTTGCATGGTGGTCGCAGCCTTAGCTTTTCAAACCCTCCGATACAGTCAGTATTTGTCTCAAGAGCGAGAGACTGTTAACAAGAGTGAACCGCCTAGTATAAGGAATGTGGGGCCATATTATTTATGTGAAAATAGATAACGTTGCAGATTTTGCAGTCTGAATACGTTGACTCTTCAATTTTCCTTTAGAACATCGAACATTATTTTCCCTGTCTACGAAGCTAGAAGAACCAGGGGTCACAAGAGGAGTTGATACCATGGAGCTAGCTGAGTGGCGCTATTATTCTATCCAGTCTGTGTGCATTTCCAATGGCTACTTACCAGATCTCGCAAGTGACCGAGAGTGGAGGTATCAAAGATATAGCCAGGAACCTGAGACTGGGGTGGACCATCTCATGACAGTTAAGATCAGTAGGGCACAGTATGTCACCTCTGTGCTTCTTTATGGGTAGCACAAGTCTTTCAAGCACCCTAAAGTGTTTCTTTCCCGGGCACTATGGCCACTCCCGAGGCAGGAACAAGGGAAAGGCTTGTTCTTTGAGAAAATCCGTTTCGTGATCCTGTCCAAAGGACCTTGCAATATCTTCATAAATTGCCGCATGTTCGTGTTCCCTTGCTTCTCTATTTAAGAAGGGGGGTTTTGGGTCAGACGCGAGGTGTCTAGATACTAGTGATACCGTCTACGCAGAATTGCGAGGAAAAAGTTTGCATAGTAATGGTCACACAAGATACTTGAGAAAAGATATGAGATTGGGCTCGTTTATCGGCCGTAGCCACTCCATGTTTCAATCTATACCGCTGGCGTCGCATACTTTGTATGCACGTGTCTGGTCTGTGTGTATATTGAAGTCTGGGTGTTTGATGCATTCATTGAGGAGAATCCCAGACTAACGAATAAATCCCAATGGCTAGTTCGATATCTATATCTTATTGACACCTGCTTCATTTTTGTCAACTGCTGGTGTCTACCAAGTCTGCCGTCTTCAAGATTTCTTCAAACTAAAACTCGCCCAGTCATCACCAGCATAACCTCAGCCGAAACAGACCAAAATAGTCCGAGTTTAGCCCCTGCAGGATTTTACACTTGAGCTTCTGGATAAGCGGATCTTGCTGGTCCTAAACAAATCTCTTAGCTTCATCTTTGTTTTTGGCACCGCAAGTTGGGGTGGTTACCTTCGGGGGTGCATGTCTGCGGCTTGTCTCTCCCTCGTATCTTTTAAAATTAATAGAATAATCGAGATTCCATAAATGAAAAGGTCAGCCGCACAATCCAACGTGGTAAATAATGCAATGGCTCTCTAAGCTGTCCTTACAATATCCTTTACCATGTAGCAGGTGATCCAGACGCCCATTCCAAACACCAACATTAGTGCAATTTCACGATCGAGGAACCTGCTGTATCATCAGAGAAGCGTTTTGCTAGCTGAGACTCTACAGTGTCCGTTCAGTGACTCAGCATCATCAATTGTCCTCCCCGAACATCTCTAAGCTGACCTATTTACTTGTAGGGGGGGGGGGGGGGGGGGCCACGAGTTAATCTTCAGATCAAGACCGTCTGAGCGAGAGTACACATGATAAACAGTTGTGTGGTAACATTCAAGTACTACAACTTGAAATACTGAAATGCCGTAGATAGTATATTTAGTAGTAGTTAGTTCATGGCTCAACACCAGTCACCGATACTGTATTCAAGTTCTTCACACTGTATCAACCAAGCACAACCACAGCAGGAGACTATAAAACGTAGATGTGCGGAGATGCATCGACTCTTTCAGACCCTGCGGTTGGTATTGAGACTTGTGGAGGACTATTGAATCATTCTAGTGGGTTCTCAAACACTGCACCTTCTATATTACAAGTACCATCTGAACTTCAACTGCTTGTGCGAAACCATACATGTACATCAAAATCATAATCCATTTATACTACCTAAGTCCGCTAAAGTCCGTTGAGAGCATTGATACTCGTCACATAATCCATGGCGTAACCGAGCTACTCGGTAAGAACGCCAGTACAGAGAGTAACCTCCACTCCGTCCTTCTTGTCCTTTCCAAGAGGAACCTCGACGGTTCGGGTGTCGTACTCAATGTTGGGGTTGCCCTTGCCGGGGTATTCCTTCTTCTTCTCGGCAGGAGTCAGACGCACATACTTGGCGTATTCAGGTGCTCCAGGCCAGTAGATGTTGTCAGCTGTGATGACAGTTCCGTACTGGACCAGGCCAAGCTCCTCAGCCTTCTGCAGGTCAGGAACGTAGAGGTCCTTCCAGTGGTCAATGAAGAAGAAGTCAATCTTGGCGTGGTTGTACTCCTCCTTGAGTCGCTCAAGGCCCTCCGCAGCAGGTCCGACGAGAACAGTGACAATGTCACCGAGGCCAGCGAGAGTGGTGAATCGGGAGGTCACCTTAGCGAAGAAGGGGCTCACCTCCAGAGAGTAGTAGTGCACCTGGTAGCCGGGGTGGGTCTGCTTCAGCTTGTGGGCAAAGGCAATAGCCGAGTATCCGCAGAAACCACCGAGCTCGGCAAAGGTATAGGGCTTGTTCTGGGCGATTTCCTCCTCGACGACTTTTCGCTTTTCGGGGCCGACGGTCATCAGAGCGTACTTGCCGTCCTTTTTGTGCTGCTCCTCCTCAAACTTGTCAATTGCATCGAGAAGAGCCTCGGGGTCCTTCTTGAACTTGGCCAGCTCCTCGGCGGGCAGGCCGTTGATGTGGTCGTAAAGAAGTTGGACGGGCTTCTCCCAGTCGTATTCCTTGTATGTAGTAGACATGTTTGTGGTTTGTGGTTTGTGGTTTGCGGTGGGCAAGTTGTGTTAGAGTCAAGTGTGTGGCGAGAAAGTCTCAGTGTCGGAGGCCACGTCTTATATAGGAACACTGTACGGTGTCAACTTTATGGTCCTGCGGCTCTGACAAAGGGACACACTGCACGGCACTATCAGATCCTGCATGAACATCAAGTGGGGTCAGGTCAGAAGGGGCAATTAAAAGGGGGCACAAGGACGAAATCTGCCACTTTTTGTATCTCTGGGTACACAATTGGGTGTGTATAGACCGCTTATTCGCCTCTTGTTGCAATATTCTTGCCAAAATCTCCCATATCGGCTTATGAGGCAATTGAGGCTATCGTTGTGTCTGGTGCGATGGAGGCCTGCAATAAGCTCCGATTGCATGAAGCCACTGCAGACTGGACGCTCGCAAGTGTCCGATAAATCCGTAATATCCGCATGTTTCTGAGGTGGCAATGCAGGCGGAGAAAGGGGCTTGAAACGGTCTCATGTTGGTCTCTACGCCGTATGGTCCGTTCCAACATTTTTTCGGAGCTTTTCAATCTTGTGTTTGGCGGCTCTAGACTGACAAGTAGCCCCCAGAAGCTGCTCCAGGCCCAATGGTTCCAACTAACCGCGCACTATCAAACTAAAAAGCACAATGGTCGACGAACAACAATGAAACTTGACGGCTGACAGGGAGGCCCCGACGGGGTGACTAAATCTAGGTCAGATTCGGGGGCGTGCTGCTCTCAAAGTCGGTTTTACTACACCGAGAGGCGCAGTGGAGCTGGAGGCCGCTTTCGCTCCAATGTCCCAGGCCCTTGAGCACGTTTCCCCAACAAAAGCAATTATCAATTAACACACTACATTGATCCATGGAGAGTCTCTTCTCTCCGCTCCAAGAACCTACCGTCGTACACTGCCAGTAAATTAATAGCCGCCCAAACGGCGGATCCGTGCAACAAGAAAGTCAATCTGCAGCGATCGACATATATCCGTGATAGACATTTCTGCGGAGAAGCTGAATCGATACGTGACTTGAACGTGACCGAGCACTAGTCTGAACATGACCCAGAGACGGTCATGCGTGTGACAGCCAGAGAAACGTGGCCATACAAAAGCGCTATTACTGTTCCGAACAAAACCCTCCACCACGCATGCTCCTCAGCCAACAAAGAATGCGCTTTTATTGAACTATTACTGCTGGACCCGTGGCCGTGGGACAGTACACAGCACTTGTAGTAACGGCGGTAATTTCCTTACAGTTTGCAGTATAACTATAGTACATACCCTGGAGATGTCCGAAAACGTCTCAGACTGTGCCAAACCCCATAAAAGTTCACAGCCAAGGGTGGGCGGCGTCTACAGCACCAAATGCCGATGGTCCATCGAACTAAATACGATACTTGGAGACCATCAAGCCGTGTATGTAAAATACAGGTACAAGTAACTCGGTTTATCGCTCATTAAACACTTGTCGTTCTTGTTGATTTATGATCACTTTGTTTATCTCATATCCCTATATGAACTGTACAAGTACCGACTCATATTGTATGTACGGTTACATAGCGCTACAAGCTGGGTTCTCTCTTGGATCTTCTACAAAGCGGGCCACTATTGTATCCCTCATGTCGAATACACCTCAAGATAAACTGACCTTAGACTCTCGCTTACAGTCACCAGCCACCTACTGTATCTCTCAGCTGTAGTTTTGAGCTTACTTCATCTCCCGGTATCTCAATCGTATCTTTAATGCTATCAAAGAAACGCATACCTGACTGTACAACTTTACACATTACTCGTATCCTCTGAGTACCCAATAAATATGTTAATGCTATGCTATCTATGTACAAGTTCAAGCCTCTAGACATGGTTCAGGAGGTTCCGAGATGTAAATCGGTCTTTCTTGCCGTTCTTCTTCAAGTCTTTGCTCCGAAATGATTGCAGAATGTTGTTGCTGGAGAGCTTGGAAAGAACTAGGTCGGGGTGAGGATCCACTAGCTGCCTCTGGAGAATAGTGTTGATCGCAGATGCTCGCTCGGGATGTTGATCTCGCATTTCAATAGCGTACTCAAAGAACGACTCCAGGCAGAACTGTCGCTTGGCGCCCTCGCCCATGAAAATCTTGACTGCGGCAGTGGTGTGTTTAATGTCAAAGTCTTGCTGCATCTGGAAGAACATGGCGAGAGTGGATTGCGGCAGAGCTCGCTTGTCGGCGCCTCCGGAAGTGAACAGAAAAGAGTCGATGATCTGCTCAGAGATGGGGTTCTTGTCCTTGACGGCCTGGATCCATAGAGTCACAGCTAGTTGAACACCTCGCTCATGTGACGTTGCCATGGGCGATGCGAGCTTGTCGGCGACTATAGAGTGAATTTCGTCGGGAGTGAGACACGTGATGACGGCCTTGGCCCACAGGTTGGCCACGGCAGGGTAGTACCGGGGCAGCTGCATGAGCGACGGAATCCACGAAAGCGAGACCTTGGATTCGACGAGGTTCTGTGCCTGTTCGTGTTTGCCGTGGTCCAGCAGCCACTTCCACGACAACACGTCGTAGCCCACTCCCACAACGTTGTGACGAGCTGGGCCGTAGTTCTTGACCAGCGCTCCAATGGGCTCGATTCTGTGCACTGCGGGGTTGCTGAGGGCCGCGTTGATTACCTTGAGACTGAGCTTGGGGATCTCTTCAAGAGTCACAAACACTTGGGTTTCAGAAGTAGCAGATCGAAGCAGCTGCGCGACATCAGAGTGCGACATGGAGGACACATGCTGAGGGTGTTTGAGACCGTTGGGTGCCTCTCCGAATGACGAGTCCAGTTTAAGGTGCTTCTCTCTGCCCTTCATGTAGTTATCGAATGTGCCTTCCATGGATTCCACCAGGATCTGAGATGTCTCTTCCGGGCTCAGTTCCGGTCGTCTGTCGAAGAGTTTGGCCACAGACGCGGCCATAGACTTGGCCGAGTTGAATGTCGAGTATCTGCGGATTTGTAGCATGGTGTGGATGTGGTGTTGTGTACTACAAGTAGTAGTTGGAATAATGTTGTGTGCAGTGGTGGGATGAGATTTGTAAAATAGGCTTCTGATTACAGTCACAAGTACAGGCATTGGCCGATATTAGAGTTGAAATGTGGCTGAGGGTGGCAAAGGAAAAAATTGGGATATTTCGGGAAAAATCGAAAAAAATTGGGAAAAATTGTGTATTTTTCTTCAAGAGATTTAAAACTGTTTTAAATATCATTTGTTAAAACCATCAGCAACATTTGTCCATATTTCGAGATAAGAAAAACAATTGATGAGTTAAGCAAGTACAGGTAAGTATTCGGTTGAGCTTATACTCATATTGTTGAACATTTGAAAGACTCCGAGTACAGTACATACGATACTTGTACTTGTAAAGTACATACTCTAGAATGGTGTCTTTACCTCCCGCCATTGTTGGTACACCACCAAGAGATCCGTCAAGATACTGTTCTCAGTCTCCAGCTGGATCAACCGGAGATCATGTCTACAGTACAGTACAGTAGTTGTGATACTACCCACTTCTTTTCTCGTACTCACCTTTCATCTCTGGGTCCTACAGTAGGCTCACTCCAGAGCTCTGTAACGTGACTTGATGTTGTTTCCAGATGCTACTGCATTCTGAATCACAGTGGAAGAAAGGAGCCACTCGCAGGTTCAGAATCCACTCGCAGATTCAGCAGCCGCAGATTCAGAAGCCGCAGATTTCACTTGCCCCCGTCGCTTAACCCTGCCTGCTGTGAAATCCACACGTTATCGGAACGGCAAGGGCGCTTTTTTTCGTGCGGCGTCAAATTTCAGCCACACTTGGAAAATGGTGTCAGAAGATGAGATGGCAACAGACAAGTGGGAAGTGGCTGTATTCGGTAGTAAATAAGTGATAAGAAAATCGATAGTATAATACAGTAAAAACGGAGACTATCAGAAGAAACACAGGTCTTTATTTCTTCTTTTGTGCCACAGAGAACGGAAAATTACGGATTTTCTCCATGCGCCGGACCTCACCATATTACTTAGCAGTTGAACAACGTGTAGTTACAGTACATGAGAGAAGCAGTGGATAAGATGAATCTGATGAGTATTCCAGGAGCGGTAGAAGACCATTTGAAAAGACCATTTGAAAAGACGATATAGGATCTAAGATATGGTGCTTTATCGGACGTTTTAGACTCCAAAAACGTACCAAACCCCACCCTTCATACTCCTCCACCTATCACTGTCCCACCTAACCTAGATCATGCCCTTGCTATTTCAGCTGGGCTTGCAGTTCATGCATCTTCTAAAAGTTTCGGACTAAACACATGTTCACTTCCTCAACAATGTCTCGACAATTCACTGTGAGTGCTAAGAGGTCAATGAGGGATGAAGCGGAGCTACGGAGACCATACGACGTGATTGCTCTCGTCAGGACGACTCTGTGATGCTGGTAGGGTGGACTTTAGGTGTTTGAGTGGAGAGTGGTTGTGTTTCCGAGATTAAGTCCGCCTTTTTATCATGGTGTCACAGTTCTACTGGGAGCGGCTTATGGACATTCCGGGATGGTATCTTGTGTGGTATTGACAGGAATCTCTACCGCATTTCTCTCTACTTTTGGTGGGTACACGATTACCCCTGTTTGCTGACTGTACCAGGAAAAGAGAAAGACTAGCCGCCCTGCGGTGTGTTTTTTGTCTTCAGTCATCACTGTCGTAGTACAGATGTCTTCGTGGCTCTACAATGAAGCTATTTTTTGGGCTGCCTTGTTGCTATTCCTGAGATATTGATCTAGAGCTATCTCTTTAGTTGACATCGCCAACCTATACACTTGTCTATTACCACCTTCTTTATTAACCAAGCGACTGATTCGATTTCTGGGAACCGACTCCAAGGTCTACTTTGGAGACGCCATTCTGCCCTCCGGTGTCAAGGATGCCCGACTTGCCACTGAGGCCTACCTCATTGGCGGTGACATCTTCGGCTCCTACACCGTCACCGATACCAAGGTTGGCATTTCCAAGCTGCTTTCTCCTCTTAACGATGCTCACACCCGAACCGTTCGATTTGTTGGTATGAACTACGGTAAGCACGCCGATGAGCTTGGTCTTCCTCGACCCCAGTACCCTGTTCTCTTCTTTAAGCCCGTCACTGCTCTTAACGGACCTACTGAGGACGTTATTGTTCCTCGAATCGCCCAGGCCACTGATGCCACTGACTACGAGTGTGAGCTTGTTGTTGTCATTGGTAAGCGATGCCGAGACGTCAACAAGAAGGAGGCTCTCGACTACGTTCTCGGATACTCTTGCGGTAACGATCTGTCCCAGCGAACCTGGCAGACTGAGCGAGGAGGAGGACAATTCTCTCTCGGAAAGATGTACGACGGATGGGCTCCGTTTGGCCCTGCCATTGTGTCGCCCAAGCTCGCTGGCAATCCCGACAACCTCAAGCTGTCCACCAAGGTTAACGGCGAGATTGTCCAGGACGCTGACACCACTGATATGATCCACAAGGTTGCTGATGTTGTTTCCTTCTACTCCCAGGGCTCCACCCTCATGCCCGGAGACCTGATCTTCACCGGCACTCCCTTTGGTGTTGCTGCTGGCCGAAACCCCCACAACTGGCTCAAGGACGGAGATGTGGTTGAGATTGAGGTCGAGAACCTTGGAACTCTCAAGAACAAGATTGTTTTCGAGAAGGGCGAGAAGCCCAAGCTTTAGACTAGTAACAAGTAGCAAATAGACATTGATGATTAATGAGTGACTGATAATCCACCGAGATAGGTGCACTCTTTACTTTTGCCATAGCCGGTCCTAATTCAGCGGGGGGTGCCTAATAGAGTTAACCGAACGTTTAGAAAGGAACTTATAGGTGCAAGTTAGACAGGCCGTAATAATATCGGTGGAACACTTCCACTGGTGATATGGGTTATTTTGTACCTTTAGAATTGATTCTGGGCACCCGTTTCTCATTCAGAGAGCTCTACCATGAGCAGGAGTGTCTCTCAGACGCCCTGCTCCCGAACAACCGAGAGGTTAAAGAGCATTTAGCTTATCCTTCTCCGTTGTTTAGCCGATAGTTCGAGGTTTGTTCAAAACTCGCTCTTTTTTGTGAATTTTGAAAGTTTTTAGCAGTTGGTCTAGTTGATTCAGGCTTCAACAACTGGATCAGAGCTTCTAACTCCTTTCTAGAGGCAATATGACGCGTACCAGGCTTCGGCCGACCCCCATGTAGCTTTCATATAACCAACGTAAATCAAAGTCTAACCAAATCAGGTATTATAAGTCATGGCAGTAGGAGGAGAGTGTGGTCTGTAAATACGAGTGTATGACCCAGTTGCAACCGTTTTATCGACTCCTCTTCCCCAGCAAGTTGCCCATAACTCGGTGTTATGAAGTTGACATGATGATACATTGATTAAGTTGGTGATGCGCCCTGCATAAGTTTCACCGCTCGCAGCTTGTGCCCAACGTAGCAGCCACGGTACTATCGAGCCCGTTGATCGCTTCACCACTCACACTCGCTACGCACCCCTCGCACATACACAAGATGAACTCGCAACAAGTATATCAGACGCCATGGAAACACGAGGATAAACGGCGGCTGAGGGTAGATCATATGACCGCCGCGACTATGAGAAGTGCAGCTGCTACACTGCTACTGGTGCCCTTGAACACGACCGAACTGGCAGGGCCTGCTCGCGGTCAGCACGTTAAAATGGATGCCTTGGACGCACTGTGTCTACAGTCATTCATCGACGTGATCGGAGAGGTTTTGGCAGGACTCACAGAGTACCCCATGACGACAGAGGTACTCCCCCAGATAGCAGTGGAGTGCACGTGTATCATGCACGCGGCAGTGGCCATTGGCAGCATTGTTCTGGCCAAGAGAGGGACAATAACCGAAGAGCAGGCCCTGAGGTTGCACGGAAGAGCCACCATGTCTCTTCTACAGGCGCTGACAGCTGTTCCCAAGGACGACGAGGCGTGTTTGTGTGCCTCTGTGCTGCTCAATATCTACGATCTGTCGTCAGATGGTGCCCAGGATACTTATATTCATCTCACTGGATCGAGGGCTCTCATGGCTGATCTGGATTACACACACGACTCGAACGGCATGCCTACAAAGCTGACACCATTAGCACGTATGTGTGTTTGGGCCAACATATTCAACGATACCCTGGTGGCCATCAGACACTCGCTTCCCGTGTTCTGGGACCCAGACGAGTGGTTTGACCTTCTAGGATTGTCATATTGCTCTCCTGAAACAGCGTCTCCTACATGGTGGTTTCGACGCATCCACTATCTGTTGGCCAAGCTACACACCTTCTCTTGTGTTCCAAGGGTGCTGACCGAGCAGGAGACGGTTGAGAACGAGCTCCACAAGTCGTTTCAGGCCCTCTGTGAAGACGCAGACGTGTGGTTCGGCTCAGTACCGGAACCAATGCGACCCACTACCGTCATGGAGACTGAAAGCCCGCTCTTTCCGTGCATATACATTGTCGAGCGAAAAGGAATCACCGCCATGTGCATGTACCACTCATTCATGCTCATTGCCTCGAGGTGTGATCCCAGTGTGCCCCTTTCGCAGATGTACATGCGGCAGCCCACAACCGTTCATCACGCCTCGCGCATCTTTGGTATCGTAAAGACCAATATTTGCGAATGGCTGGCTTCAGGGGCCATGTTTGCCCTACGAATAGCTCTTGAATCGCTTGTAGAGCCCGCGCATCGAAGCGAGGCTCTTGAATTTGTCAAGGGCATGGCTGCCACCTATCATTTGAATATCAGTTCACATATCGACGCAGTCAGAAGCCACTGGCAGGAATGGGATAATTCTTCCTCTAACGGGTATCACCAATAACTTCCCTCTGTTTATATTACTGTACTAATACTAATGTAGCAACACTTGTACTCATGAGTAGATTGCTCCAATACTACAATACCTAGACCGTCTCTTATACACTGTATTACTGTATTGATCAATAAATAATGGGCCACTAGCCGCAGCTTACAAGGCTGTTCCTCGCTCAAAGTTGTCTCTGATCTCCTTGGTGTACTTGTCGTACTGTCGGTTGAGCTTCTCGTTGAACTGCTTGTTCTTGTCGGAGATGTACGTTGCATGCTGATCGTCGGCTCCTGCCTGCTTCCGTCGCTTCATTCGCTGCTTGTCGCCCTTGGTGAGTCCGTTCACGAGTCGATCCAGAGCCTCAGGTGTGGGTTTATGGTTGAAAGACGGCGTATGATGTAAGCCAGTCTCCTTTTCCTTCTCGTATGTCTCCAGATCGGGCTTAAAACTGGCCAGATCTTTCTCGTATGCTCTCTGCGCGGTCGAAGACATGTCGTGGACACCACTTTGGCTTTCACGTTCTCGCTTGCGCTCCTTCTTCTCCTTCCATTCCTCCGTCTCCTTGACTGTCCAGTCCCATGCTCGTTTTCTATCAAAGTCCTCTCCACGCTCCTCGGCCTGCAGTTTTTCCAGCTCAAACTCAGCCTCCTGCTGTTTCCGCTCCAGTAGCGCATCCGCCCGCTTGTTCACCTTGAGGTCCTTGTCCTCTTCGAAAAGTGCTTTTCTGTTGGACGTCGATGAATCGTTCATTTTCTGTCTGATGGCACTGAGCCGTGCCAGACGGGCGGCCTTGGCGTCCTCCGCCGATGGCTTGGCTTCAGCCGCCTTCTTTTCCTTCTTGTTTTCCGCCTTTTTCGCCATGATGATGATGTGATGCGAAGGTGATTGAATCTAAATAAAAAATAACGGTGATTATGCACGGCGGATGTGATGCGGTGGTGTGAAGGGAGGCGAGACGAGCGTATTTCAGAGGCTCTGGGAAGCTGAAACTTGACAACTTCCATATTCTAGACCCTGAGGAACTACCTTTTTTCTACTCGGCAAGTTTGATATTTCACAACTTATTGGGTCTGTTAATGAAGGTCTTATTCCAGCGCCACCTTCAACTAAAAATGAAACAGAAGTATATAACTCAAGTGGCACGTTTAGTTAATTCTTCCTCAACTTGAGCTTGAGATCATAACCTGTGCGTATAGAGTCCATCAAAGCAATGCTTCAGAGAAGTCAGAAGAGAAAAACGTGTCATATTTGAAGTGTTAACCTCAAGTACTACATTACCACATTCCTCTTTATTCTCTTCAATATATTACTGCAAGTGCTCGTACAAGTATCGACTTAGGACTCCCCACCGATTTTCTCGAATGCACCTTCATGCACAACTTTCAAATATAGTGCGTGAAACTCAACGCGCAGACCAACCATCTACAATCTCAACCATGGCTTCAATCGACAGTGTGTTTGAAAACGCTGGTTTCGACGGCGCTAAGCGACGCAAGACGGATGACGACGCACAGCCCGAGGAGGAGGCATCATTGCCAAAGTCGCCCCAAATTGAAGATGAACACATTGAGGAACGATTTGCAATCCAGAAGTTGGTAGACGAACACAAAGATGGCCCCCAGGAGGCTGACTGGCTGAAGGGTCTTGTTCTTGACCTCGAACGTGCTATTACTTCAAACACGGAGAAACGAGAATTGTTTGCTAATGAACCTCTGAAGTTCATGGACTCTGAAGTGGAGCTTGAGAAGGCCATTCGAGCTCTCAGTGTGCTTACTACCACAGATGATGACGACTTTATAACTGTCTACAAACGATTTGTGTCCGACTTTGAATGTCATGTGTCTTTGATGCAGCTTCTGGACCATCCCAACCTCGACATTGCACTCATCACCTGTGAGATCTTCCACGAGCTCATCACTCGCACCAACGATTTCGCTGATCCCGATGCCCTCACTAGGTCTCTATGGTCTAACGACGACTTCATCGATTACATCATGGAACTGACCGACAAAATCGTCAGGATTGATCCTACACAGATCCAGTATATTCTCGACATGGGAGACGTTATGTTTGTTGAGGACGATATCACCCCACAGCTACGAACGCACATCTTCCCCAAGTTTCTGGATCTTCTCGCCGACAAGAAATCACCCCTACTTTTGCATGATAGATCAACCATGGCTGATTACTGTCTTACTTGGCTCACCAAGTACGAGTATCGAACCGGAGTGTCTGCTGAACGAGTGGAAGCACTTATCAAATACCTGATGGCCTACGTTGATAAAGATCCCACCAAGGGGGACGAGGAGGAACTGGCTGGATCGATAGCTGGTATCCTCGCATATATTCTCACCAGTCCTTCCGGACGAGCAGCTTTCGCTGAAGTTGAGGGTGTGGATGCCATGGTGAGGCTCATGGGAGGAGAGGGCAAGTGGATCAAGAAGCATGCTGCTCGTATTATCAAGGCTGCTCTGAACTCTTATGATTCCACGGAGTTGGCTACAGTGTTTGTGCAAGCCAAGGGTTTGGGTGTTTTGTTCAAGGCTCTCAAGGCAGGCAAGAACAAGCATTACAAGACCTATAGTGAATATGGGGAGTTTCTGTGGGCCATATATGCTTCTCTGCTGCGTCTTTTGCCTTCGGATTCGCCTGAACGAGTCAGAGTGATAGCCAAGATGGACAAGGCTAAGTTGGATGAGCTTAAGGAGCTCAGAGATGACACACAACAGGCTGTAGATACCATGATTCCCGCACTGGAGAGTGCATTGGCCAATGAGGAGGACACTGAGGAGATCGTGACTGACATGGAGATGCTAGGAAGCAGGCTGGTGGTGGTTCTGGACACGATATTTGCATGGATGAAAGTAGAGGGTCAGGATATTGAGGTGGACAAAGAGGTGCTCAAGCAGGAGAGAGATAACAAGGCTCGGTACCTTGGCTGGGATGATGATAGCAATGAGTATCAGGAGATGATGAAGAACAACAAGGATATAGTTGGCATGTTGGATTATTTGCTTGAGAGCAAGTGAGTGAGTTTAACACACAGTCATAGCATGTACAACTTGGAAATATAGATTAACACGCGTATACTACAAGTATGTACAGTAGTCTTGCCATTGGGGCTGTACTTGTTATCTATTTGTGGTCATAGATTGACTTCTTAGATTGACTTCCGATGTTAGATTGACTTCTGATTCGAGACATGTGGAGGAACTTGGGTGATTTGAGGAACTTGGGTGCTTTCAGTACATGGCCATTACAACACATTTGTTCTATTGCACCTATCTCTTCGTTTCATACTCAATTGCCACTATAATGGCATAGTCCAGCAATTGCTCTCATATTGCCCTCCATGCACGCTCCATGTGTACATACTACACTCCATTTCAGATCATTGTTTACTATATACATTTAGACCTCTCGGGCACGGTTGTACTTGGCGCAGTCACGCAGCCATCGTCGGTAGTCCTTGAGAGAGCCGATCTTCTCGCCGTAGTAGTCGGGCACGGGGTTGGAGACGGACTGGTATCGAGGGTTCACTCGGTTTTTCTGGATGTGCGACAGGAAGTCGGTCTCCTTCATGAGGAAGGCGGGCCACTGCTTGGAGTTGGTGGCCTTGAAGATGAGCTGGCCGATGGTGGGGCCCAGGAGAGAGCCCATAAATCCAGCTGCCACCACACCCAATCCAGCCGCGGTGAAGGCATCCAGACCGAAGAAGACGTCCTGCTGCTCGAGATCCAGCTCGGCCTCGGAAATGAAACCCCATGCAAGAACAGAGGTGGCCACACCGGTGAAAATGGAGGCCACAAAGTTGATCTGTCGTCTTCGGGTTCGCAGAAGCAGGAATCGCTCCCAAGTGAGGGGAACGGGGGCGGTTCCGGCGAATCGCTTGGTCATCTGACCAACTGAGGGTCGCACGAGGGTAGGTCGGGCAAGTGCAACCCGGCTTCTCAGCATCTGAAGGGACATTGTGTGTATGTGTTGTGTAGTAGAGTGGAGTTCTTTTAATACCATGGTTCCACTAACATTGGGTCATTTGCTGTACATGTACTCCGGGTAACCCAGTGCAGGTGGGAGGTACTGGTAAATCTTATTTGAAAAGATTCGATATTTGCATGGGGCGAAATTGATACTGGGTAAAATCAAAGCACACAACTAACGGAATGGTGAGTAGAGACGACATCCAGACGCTGTACAGCTCCATCTAACACAGAACGAGGGAAACACACAGTTCCTATACAAGGCCAAGGCCACCAAGAAGGACAAGGCTGCTGCCAAGCGAGAACGACACCACACAAAGCTGTCCAAGCGAGGAGGCATCAGCAAGGCTGATTTGAAACGAAAGAAGCCCATTCATGATCGACCGTTCGACTACGGAAACCCTCTGAAAAACGAGGCTGCCATGCGACCTGTTTCCCAGGGGGTGACTTCGGTGAACAAGGGCACTCCTTTGCCACCTGCTGACATTGATGCCATCATGGCTGATGGTGCCACGGCTAAGGAAATCAAGCGACAACAGAGACAGGAAGCTCGACGTCAGCGAATTCGAGAGACCGAGACGCTTGCAGCCAACCTCGACGATCTTCTGGACCCTCTCAAGGCCGAGAACGGAGGCCGAACACGAGAAAAGCTGGATCATACCCCTAATCCCCGGAATGCTCGAGGTAACGAGGCCATCATCAAGGCCGAGACCAAGCGGTTCAACAAGATCCTCAACTCCAAGGAGTATCAGGCCAGTCCGTTTGCGTCGCTTCAGGCGTTCCTGAAGACCCAGATTCCCCAGAACGAGCCTGCTCAGCCCAAGGACAAGAAGATGCACATGTAACAGACCAGTGCGGTATGTTGAAAAGACAATGGAAGGGATGTGAACATAAAAGGAGGTACAAGTATAGTTATTGCATTATAATCTTTATGGACCGTGTGGACAAGTGGACAAGTGGACAAGTGGACAAGACGGAGGCGTGATGTTTTTTCTATAGTTCATGGATAGGAGGCCAAGTTGATGCCTCGTACGAAGGCTATCCTGTAGTCTGATGGGTATGACTATAAGGTCAGATGCACCAATACGAGTTAAGATACGAGGCAATGTGTGCAATCTTGCATACAGTGGGGGAGTGTACATACAGTGGGGGTATTTGTTGTTCAATATTCCCAATTTGCTTTCAATTAAACGCTCAACTGTCGCACTATGGAGTTGTGTGCATACTGTATACTTGTCACTGACACTGAAATCCATTCGGTGTGGGCTCTAGACAGCTACTGTAGCTGCAGTACAGATACTGTACTTTTACTTGTACAGCAGAGACACAAGTCTTTCAAACAAGGACCACCCTAAATCGCCACTACAGTAAGGCGAACGACTCTTCAAAAAGATAGATTGCTATCTTATCGAGCCATATTGCAGTTCTTTCCAGCCGTGTGATCGCAGTCACCGTTGGTTTTCATATCAAGTAATATAATAATCCTCCCCAATATGCCATTTCCCTCCTAAACATACCCGTATTGTGGGGCCATGTGCTCCTTTACCGTACATATAGTATGAGTGCGGGGCGAGCGGCTGTTGATGCCCCACTCAACCGGCCTAAGGGAGCATTGAGTATTTGGGACTCAACAGATATGAGGGGATATTGGGGATAGCAATGTTTCATGTGGATGGGGCATGCAATTGCTTCTGTGGATGTGTGTGGTATGTCTGAATGGTGGGCTTGCTGGGCTGAGTAGTTGACATGTCTAAGAAACAGCCATGTTAGTTATCATTCCTAAGTAAAATGAAATAAGGTGTACAGCATCACATAACAAGAAGAACATAACCTGAAATTTCGTGATATCACGATACATCTACATCCGCTACGCTCGCAGACTTTTCCTTCTTTTTCATATGCAATAAAATACAGTCTATCTATCTAGTTGGCGTGGTAAAGAATCTCGGGGAGATCATCAATCTTGAGCTCACCGTGGATAATGCCCCAGGTGGACTCGAACAGAGGGAAGTCCTTCTGCATGTTCTTGTTCTTGAGCAGCTCGTGGACCTCGTTGCATGTGATGACGCCCTGGGCGGACTGGCCGTTGAGAAGCTCCTTCTCCACGTCCTGGATGGTCTTGCCGGAGCCGCTCTCCTTTCCGAATGCTCGGCCGACCTTGAAGTTTCGGCCTCCAGCGCACGAGGTGATGAGATCGGCCACACCGGCAGACTCGACTGTAAGAGTGTTAATATCAGTTTCGGGGAAGAATCGCTTGGAGAAGTTGATCATCTCAAGCATGCCTCGTCGCATAATTGCGGCCTTGGCGTTGTCTCCCCAGTTCTTGCCCTCGACGAAACCGGCGCAAAGGGCAACAACGTTCTTAAGGGCACCTCCGATGGAGACACCGGCGACGTCCTGAACGCATCGCACATGGAAGTAGGGTCGGTGGAACAGAGCCTTGAGCACATCGTTGGTCACATCACCCTCGCCAAAGAAGTCCTTGGGTCGGTTGTAAGCAACGGTAGTCTCGGAGTACTTCTCCAGAGCGATCTCGGTGGCGAGGTTAGCCCCGGACAGAACACCGCAGTGGAGACCGGTCTCGTTCTCGATAACGTCGGAGAGCAGGTAAACACCCTGGGGGGTGACATCTAGACCCTTGAGGCAGGAGATGGCTCTAGCCTTGGGGTTGACGTGGCCCTTGAGCTGCTTGCAGACACCAGCCAGGAACTGATGGGGCAGGTTGAAGACGATGATGTTGGCACCCTCGACGGCCTTGAGCAGATCCGGCTCGGCGATCAGGTTGTGAGGAAGTTTGATTTTAGGGAGGTATCGCACGTTCTCGTGCTCAGCGTTGAAAATGTCGGTCAGGTTCTTGCCGTTGACCTTCTCTTCTCGAACCCAGACTCGAACCTCGGGCTCAAAGAGCTCGGGGTGAGCAGTGCAGTTCTCGGCGACAATCTTGGCGACGGTGGTTCCCCTGATGTTAGTATGGTAAGCGGAGGTGAGTGGCCAAAGGTCACAAACGGGGCAACGCCGAATGCGCTGAATGACTGACAGATGACATATAACGGCATTCACAGCAGACTGGGCTCAAGGTGGAGGAGGGGCTTGAAGAGAAGGCAAATAGAGTACTTCTTGAGACTCTTAGAATTGCTCTCACACTTTTAAATGCTTCCAGAAGACCTCGCATTGCCACTGTCGCCACTCCACTAAACTCCCCATCGAACACTTCATTAAACTCGTAGAGTTAAGCAGTGCAGAGGAGGTGCGTGTCGTGTCAGTGTAGCCGTGTGCAACTGTATAACTTCTTCTGTCGTCTTCTGTTGCTGTCTTCTCATCCAGTTCTGTGAATTGCCCATTTCACCATGATCTGTATGTGTTCCTGTTGGGGGTGACCCAAAGGAAGCCGTATCTGCGGTCTGTGGTGTTTCTCTGTTCCATGTGTTGTGTCGTGCTTGTTTGTTTGTCTAGTTGCTCTCGTTTCAGCATCCATGTCGCGGTTGTCGATGGGTTATATTATATAACCCCCGTTTGAATCCCTTGAAAACTCCTGTCTTTTTTTACTCACCAGTTACCAGAACCAACAACGGCGACCTTGAAAGGAGCCTTGCCGGCGGTGTTGGCTGCGCTGAGAGGCGCGGAGGCGGTCAGCAGTCGAAGCTGTTGTGTGAGACGGTTGACGGCGGACATGTGTTTAAAACGCAGGGACGATCGAAGTAGAGCGCTCATGTTATGGGGATGCGATCTCTTATATCTTGGTTGAGTAATTTTCAGAGGCGCCCGCCAGAGAATAGGGTTTAGCCCAGCGTCTGAAAGCGTGTTCGGAAAAACACTTCGTTGGGCCGAGTTGGGGTGGGGGAGGGGAGGTGGAGATGAGCCAGAAGACGGTGTTCTGTTGCCACTGCCGTCGATGCTGGTCTACCGTCTCTTCACCAGACCCAATATCGCCCTACAACGTCTTCACAACTCCACCAACACGACGAATATCATACAAGCTAATGGTGAATAAGGTGCTGGAGCCGAGGACTTTAGCGGAGGTAGAGTGGGGTGCAGGAGAGTGGCAATATGAGAGCGTAAGATGAAGAGCGGCAATGCGATTTTTGGAAGCAACTTTTTTTCGCGTCATCCATCATCTTGGTTCTGTGGTTCTTCCTTGTTTCCCTATAAAAGCCCCCATAGCTCGCCACCAGCTGCTCTCCCATGTTATATTGCTACTGTCTCAATAAACTCCACCGTCCCCAACGTTGGGATGAACCTTTAACTCTTGGTTGCATCTACCAGTGTGAATATGGAAGACGCATGTGAAGGTAAGCGAGGAGAAGAAACAACTATTGACGACTTTTACTAAGGAGGAGAGCAGCCGGCGGCACAGCTGACAGGAGGGGTATATGGGTGCAGAAAGATGTGCCTGGTCCAATTGAACCAGCTACAGGTGCAGCAATAGCGTCCCCCAATCTGCCTCATAGACTACTCTCCCTACCTCGGCTCGGTATCTGTATACCCACGGGTAGACACACACTTCTTACCTCTGGATGTGCAGATGGCGTATCAGAGTCCAGAGAGACGGAGATAAGGACGCAGCGGTGTCGGCCTAACGAGCGCCAGAGAGAGGCAGAGAGAAAGGCGCATAGGAAGCTTGGGGTGCACGAGTGCGGCTGTCCCGCCAAAGCTGCAAATCTCGGAAATCAAAAAACTGCAAAACGCGAATTCCACAACTTTGAGTACATATTGTACCTCGTACATTGTATAATGGAAGTTTATGGAAGGTATATGTTATGGACAGTGTGTGTGGTGTGGAGGCTACACGGACTCTTCACGTTGAGTTGTTGAGTGGCGTCTGGGTGTCACATTGTCTGGGTTACATTGGAGGCGAATGTGTTTGAAACCACTGTCTGGTCACGGTTTCCTCCTTCATCACGCGCACTTTCACATTGGCCGATCGTCCCGAAGAGCCCGTTTCATTATCGTGACTTGTTCGCTTTTTCGCCAGTCGCTGTCTGTTTTTGCATCAGCGTGAAAAAACCAGAAAAGACACGAAAACAAGCTTCCAACCTAAAGCCAGCCCAGACGTCATAGCTCGAAGCTTGGACCTGCTGTCAGAGTGCCAAAAGTGTGAGCTTCGCCATGTGCAACTGCTACAGCAACCACCAATGTAGCGTTGCTGCGCACCGTGCTTTTTGTCAAAATGTGGCCTCAATACTGTATGGACACTGTTTATTTGCCGCCTTTAACCTACAGCATCCATGGGCTTCCCAGTGTACTTGCTGGTATCGGTGTTGGCTAGCGCAACGCTCATTACTTTGTATCAGCATAGTTTTTCCGAACCGAGGCCCAACGGTCCACTCCAAAAAAAAATGTCACGCTAATAACACCACACACCCGTGACGCACACTTGTCATTCCCCTGAGTCCCAATTCGCCCCCTATTTCCTTTCCGCGCGCGCACGCTTTATTACTGCATAAAGTGTGGGGACCCCAGGCAACTTCGGGCTATCTCGGGTCGATCGGGGTGTGTCGGGACCGAGGTTGTGTGGGTCATTCGTGAGCCAACTATATAGTGAAGAATTTACTTGCGATTTATTGAGCACCAGTGTCACGAATGTCAGATACCTGTACATACTGTACAAGTACAATATACAACACACAAGTTTTGTCTCACTTGCTCATCTCCAATCCAAAGTGTACTGTTTCACCGTCTGAATCACTCGCCATTTCGGTTTAATTCCATCACACCAAAGATCGTCGTGTCAAACTCAATCATGTCTTTCGACATGGGCGCTCCGATTAGCCAGTGTAAAATGTGGAGTAAGCAGACATGTACAAGGTCCGATTAGTCCGTGCATGAAGAATGAAGATTTTTGAAAGGGGAGAAGCGAGTGTAAGAACAGCGGTGTACTTGTACCATATCTATATTGTACGGACGTCGTCGGATCGTCTTTTCTTTATCAACCGCCAGCAACTCTCTGAACAAATCCCATAACTAACCCCAACGAAAAAAAACATATCTTAACAAAACTGCGTAATGGGCATCACTGTGCAACATTCGGGAAAACTTCGAGTTATCCAAGAGACTCAGTATGTACGGTTCAGTACAAGTACGAGTAGTGGTAATGATCCGAGATTTCAGTGCTTGTACACACACTCAGAATGACTCTAAAGGAGTCCATTTACTCTCGTTACTATGACTACAGTGTTCTCGTACTTGCACGGACGTTGTATTCGGATTACTGTACCCTTAAAAGACAGCAATCATGGACGAGGAAGCCCATGACATAACCATCCCACGCCATGTGAGAAGAGCCTTTCGTAGTAACAGCCTGAAGAACGAAATTCGAGTCGAAAAACTGGCTATTCCCGTCACGTTCTTCTCTCAAGACCCAGCTTACGGTAAGGATCATGGGTGTTTTCCCTGTCTAACCGTAGATCTCTTCTATCAGGTCTGCGACGACCATAACTAACGCGACCATACGTTACTAATACAATACAAGTAATCAACAGTTTCGTAACCACTTGCACAGCTGTCACATGACCCCCACATCTGTCACATGACCCCCATAACTGTGACGTGACTCCCTCATATGTCACATGACTCCCTCTCTAGCACATGACTCCCTCCCTAACACATTCAAGGTTCAGATAAGGCACGATTAGCAGCCGCTGTCAAAAAAGCAAGATGGACTAAGCGGCTGCGGGTGATGAGGGACTCGCTGATTGACTGACCGATCTGTGGTCTTGAACACGGACTAATCAAGCCACAGTCGAGATGTTGTTACCCGGCATCGTGCTGTAGGCAAAAGGAACTCTTGGAAGTGGCTTATGAGGAGGCAGATGTCTATATACAAATACTTGTCGCCTTCAGCATCCAATGTTCAGGTTGACACTCGGTTATGATACATTGTGGAGTGTCTTCTATACGAAACAAACAGGAGAATGTCCTGCAGTCGATGCGGATGAAGTATGTCGTCCTTGTACAGTGTCCCGAGCACATTCATGCTTGTAAGCCACAGCGTAAGGAAATCCACACCAATACCAGTAGGTCAAACACGTGTTGACGGCGGTTCGAATCACTCACCTCCCCGTCGGATTCCGCCCTTTCCGCCCTGGATCCAACTGCCTTTATAAGACAGTTTCTATTGTGGATAAGCAGGATGTCTCACCATTTTGGGACCCACTTTGAGCTTCCATACAGGACAAGGAATGTGTGTGTACAGCACGCACTTACAAAAGGTGTGTCCTGAGAGTCATCGATATCAACGAAATATCAACGAAATATGTATATATGAGGTTATTATGCTCGAGTATATGTACTAGGAGTGTTTTTGTACTTTTCGCAACCCGATCTACGCTCTTCCTGGACCTGTCCCTGGTATCTAGCACCGTTCTCGTCTAGTTCCAGCAGACATCAAATTACTGCAAGTACCATTTTGAACATAGGCAGCAAATGTAAGTGGTTCTTGGCATGGAACAATCGCCGGCAGAAGCTGGCATTACTGGGCCATTACCGACCCTATTAAAACCAATCTACCCCATATATACCCCATTCGCGGACTCCGAACCACGGACTCCGATAGACTTGCGCTAGCCCGCATTGACATGCTTGTTTGGGACTCTCGGAGATGGTGGATAAGACTCACGTATACTCCGAGATGAAAGTTTGAGGTGCGGGACAAAAAGTGAAATTTGAGATCTCCAAAATAACAACCACAGATGTCAGTCAAATGAGGACCGATTTGATTGAAAAAACAGTTGGTCCAATCTCATCGGCATCCCCTAAATCCACCTCGAACCCCACCTCGAGACCCCGTCACACGAGCTAAACAAGTGCAATCAAATACATGAAGTCTGCATGTTGAAAGTTTATCAGAGGAGCCAGAGCCAACCAAGCTACCATTCTCAAACAAGCGCTCGAAAAAAAACCCATCGCTTATAAACACCGTGACCGCCCTCTCGTGCCACTTAACCATGACGGTCGACTCTACCTGCGCCTCATCCTCGACCTCCATGTCCGAAGAAACGCCTCTGTTGGCCAACGAGTCTGGAGCGCCTCTCCAGGACGACGGAGAACCAAAATGGACATCAGCCCAGCTCAAGCAGATGTACAAGCGGTCGGCCATTCTGCCGGCACTTTACATCGGCGCCTTTCTGTGCTCTATCGACGGTACCATCGTGGCTAGCACTCTGAACCGAGTGGGAGCTGATCTGAACGAATCTGACAACGTTGCATGGGTAGCCACAGCCTACCTGCTCACCAACTGCGCATTCCAGCCGCTGTACGGCAAGCTAAGTGACGTGTTTGGACGTAAGACAATGCTGTTGTTCGCCTCCTTCTTCTTTGGACTCGGAAACCTCATCTGCGGATACGCACCCGACTTCAACTGGCTCATTGTTGGCCGAGCTATCACTGGCGTGGGAGGAGGAGGACTCGCAGCCATGTCTTCAATCATCGTTTCGGATATCGTGACTATCGAGGAACGAGGCATCTTCCAGGGATACGCCAATATCAACTTTGGACTGGGCGCTATGCTGTGAGCTCCTGTAGGAGGACTTATTGCTGACCACTTGGGCTGGAGATACATGTTTTCATTGCAGGTTCCTTTTGTGGTTCTTTCTTCCTTCTTAGTGTTCCGGTACGTTAACATCAAACCAAAGAAACTAAAGGTTTCTAACGCATCTACTCTGGAACGAATTGATGTCTTTGGATCCATCTCTATCGTCTGTTTCCTGACCCTCCTGTTGCTGGTCATCAACATGCAGACCGACACTCGAACACTCTCCAACAGTGGAACTCTCCAGATGATGTCTCTGGCCAGTGCCATTTTCCTGGCCGTGTTTTTGTACGTCGAGATCAAGATTGCACCTGAACCTATCATGACCAAGGCTGTGTTTGGACACCTGAAGCCCACTTTGCTGACTACATCAGTCTTTTTCACAACCATCACTCAGTTCTCAGTTATCTACTACACTCCTGTCTTTCTCCAGGTTGTATTTCTGGAGAGTGCTGCCCAAGCAGGTGTACGACTCATTCCTCTATCCATTGGAGTATCCTCTGGATCCGTTATCACAGGCCAGCTTCTCAAGAAGAACACCAAGGAACGATATCCTCGAGTCTTTCTTGCCGGTCTGACTACTGTGGGAATCTCCTGTTTCGTTCTATCCCGGCTGATCAACTCTTCAACTCCCCACGAGGCTACTCCCTTGGCCAATGTGCTCAAGAGCCACGGAATTTCCCTGGAGCTCGTCATGGCCGTTAATCTTGCCTTCCAGGGTCTTGCTCAGGGCCTAATTCTCGTGTCAACACTCATCGGACTGTGTTGCCAAACAGGAGCTGCTGACTCAGCCTCTTCCATTGGAGTCATCTACCTCTTCAGATCACTTGGATCGGTGCTTGGAGTCAACGGAGTTGCACACATTCTGCAATCGCGTCTCCGTTCTGAGCTTCCAGGAATCATTTCCGACCCCGAGCTGCAACTCAAGGTCCGAAAGAACGTTGAATTTATTAACCACCTAGCTCCCGAGATTCAGATTGATATCCGAAACGTCTACAAGCACGCTCTTGCCTACGTGTTTTCGTCGTGTTCGTTTATCGCCTTTATTGCATTCTCCATGGGTTTCATCGTCTGGTGGCATTCCAGAAGAACTGAGAACTAGACAGCACCGGTGCGGTATCTGTCACAACAAAAAGAACCATATAGATGTTCTAAATAGCTAACATGACTTAAAATTATGTCTCCAACTGTAGCCCAGAGACGTGAATTAACAAGATGGGAGTTGAGTTGCACTTTTCATGAATTTAGTTAGGATTACTGAGGTAAGGCAGCTTATAGTTGTGGAGTTTGTTTAGAAAACAATACGCAAAAACATCCCATCAATACTCGGTAATGACGGTCAGACTTGAAATAAAACCCGAAGAATCAATTAATTACCACCAGGTAAGACACCCATTAAGCCCCCAAATTCTCAACTCCCCATTTACAGCTTCTTCGTGACTGCCCAAATAACCAATTGCATCCATCAACAGGCAATATTAGAGCACAAAGTTACAGGTTGCAGATGACCATCCATTTCACCACCATGCTACGACAAATAGGACGTCACAGCGTTGGTCTGAGACGGTACACGACCGCCGGAACACGTGACTCACATGTGCTCACTGGCTCTGTCTACGGCACCACCGAAATCGATCTGTTCAACCGTCCCACCAGTACGGAAAATGACGTGAAACTGGAACCGTCTGAAACCGCCAAAGTAGATGGAAAAGTGTCCATGGAGCCCCGAATCCCCAACAAGCTCATCAGTCAGGTGCGTGGTCTATTTCCCGATCGGGACTCTCTCCATGCCCGAGTTTCTCTGGCTGATTCCGTCGGTAGAACCAGAATCGGTATTGTGCCTCTGGGTCCCCAAGATATGACTGTCAAGAAGCGCAAGGACGCTAACATTCTCAATGCTCTACTGGCAGACCCACTGGCATCCGACCAAAGGTGGTACGACGCTTTTCTGGCTAGAATTGCGTCCAAGGATATCGTTCTGAGTCCTGGCAAATACACCGGCCACGGCACACAAAACTCGCGATGGGACATGAGCTTGCCCTCGCCATTCCTAAAGGAGGTAGATGTGGACATTATGGAGGCCACTTCATTCGCGGATTCTCTCGATAACATTCGAGATTGCCATTGGATCATCTATGTCGGAGAAGGAGAGGGTCTCAAGGCATGGCCCTCCGTGAACCTGCGAGACCTGGCTGAGGACGACTTCGTGGCTATTGTCAGTGCCACACTTACAGTCAACTCCGAAGAGGCCTTTGAGGCCGTTTCTCTGCTCAGAAAGTCTCCTTCCAACTCCCCCAAGTACCTCAAGCTGTGGCAGAAGTCCAATTTTGAGCAATTATCTCGAGCAATGAAGCGAATGTCCGCCAACCACGACCGTGCTCTTCGATACAGCATTTACCAGACCTGCCGGGATTTGTGTGCCTCTGACGTGTCCAAGGAGTCTCTTATGAAGGGCGAGGCGGACACTATCAAGACTCTGCGGTCAGAATGGTCCCGAAACGCCCACCGGGAACTCCAGACGGTGCTAAAACAACAGCTGCTCAAGTGGCGACAATCGGAACTGCCCTGGTACAAGCTGTACTGGCGAATTGACGACGTTGATGGAATCACCCGAGATTCTCTCGAATACGCATTCTTGCCTGCTTCAAGACAATCCATGTGCTACCTGCTTGGCCGAATCGACGGCTTTGCCTGCACCACTCCTAACTCTCCCGAGCCTCTCACCGACGGCATCTACGGACTTTCTCCCGTCGAACATTGGGACAGCCCCTCAGACGACGTGATTGGCCAGACGCTGGAGGAGTTGGATGACACTCTGGTGTCTGAGCTGCACTCGAGAGCTTACCACGAGTTCCTGAAGGTTGTACTCGGCATCCAGCTTCCTACAGTCATCATTCCTGCTCTTGGAGTATACCTCTACGACCTTTCTCTTTACAACATGGGCTCTATCGCAGCCTTTGGTATTGTCTGGGGATGTTTCAAGCTGCAAAAGACCTGGGACGCTCTCTGCAGCGACTTCTCTGTTGCAGTTTTTGAGAAGGCCAGAGCCAGCATCAACTCTTGTGAACAGCTCATCTGGAGCAGATGGGAGGGTAAGGCTATCGAGGAGAAGGAGAGAGTGGACGACCGAAAGAAGTTGGTTGCGGAGATGGAGGAGTCGATCACACAGAACAAATAGACGATGTGAGCGAACCTGTTATTGTCTGTGGTCAGCGATGGATTATGATGAACCACGAAACTACTACGGTACGAATGTATGTATAGAATAATCATCTGAAATTACCTACAGTTCAGAGTATCGTCGTACTGTCACTTGTACTGTAGCTACGCTATAGAATCTGAATAACTATTACTGACTTTAGAATAGATCAAATCGCGGCTGTACATCCGTTACTACGCTCCTGCCATTTATTGCTGTATCCTACTATTCATTTCCATTTATTCATTCCATACCTATCAGAGTATGCTAACTGCTCTCATCCATTCTGTCGGGGTTCTTCTTGAGAATGACAACGCCCTCCAGAGACGAGGCCAGAGGAATGTACTCGTCGTCCTCCAGCTCGGCTCGCTCGCCATGACTCAGCAACACGGGAGTGCTATGAGTGACCCAGCCGGTGATGGTCTTGGGCTTTCCGGCCTGACCGACTGTATCCACAGCCTGTCCGACTCGCACGGGCACCTTGATAGGCTCCAGCTTCTCGTCCAGAGTGATGAGCATGCGGGGACGAATGGCGTTAGTGAGCCAGAAGAGCATCCAGTGGTTGTCGGCTAGGATGAACGACTTGGGGTCGATCATGGTCACCAGAAGGGTAACCAGCGATGCCAGAGACACCTTGGACAGAATCTGTCGATCGGTATGGAAAGGAGACACAGTAAGAGTACCCTTACCCAGATAGAGCAGACCCTGGGCGATTCGGACGGTGAAAAGTCCGTCGGGATCCTTAGAGTAGTAGGAGGCGAGCTGTCGGAGCAGCTGGGCCAGACGGGCGTTGTTAGTTCCCGCTCCCACCAGACCCATGGAGAAGATGGAATTCAGAGCAACCTCCATATCGGCGTCATGTGAGTATCGCGACAAGGTGTCAAACACACGCATCTGTGCGTTGGAAGCAGACACCAGACCCATGGCAAGAGGAACAGCTCGCTTCACCTGGGCATCGCCGTAGTGCATGAGATGACCAAAGTGTCGGAGAACCATCTCCTGGCCAATTTCCTCACCCATTGCAACAATGGCCAGACCAAGAACAGAGTATGCCTGGTGAGAAGAGGCCTCTTCCGAGTCCACCTCCTGTGTAGCATCAGCAGCAGCCTCTCCTTCGGCGGCGACGGCTTCGGCGGTAGCGTCAATGGCGTCAGCAGCATCCGCAGCACCCTCAGCACCCTCAGCGGTAGCAACAGCACCCTCAGCACCCTCACCTTCACCATCGCCTTCTCCGTCAGCCTCTCCCTCAGTAACATTCTCTCCAACACAGTCATGCAGCAACTTCTGGATCTGCAGAACGTTACCAGTACCGGCGTAGGCACACACAGTGATGAGAGTCTCGCAGATTCGGCCCAGAGGATGGTCAATGGCTCGAACAGTCTCAACTGCCTCCTCAATCTCCTCGTACTTGCCAATAAACAAAAGAGCAAGACCCAGAGCCATGAATCGGGCCCACTTGTCAGACAGCTGGATGGCATCTCGCTCAAGCAGAGATCCCAACAGAGCAGAAACGACGTCTCCGTTAGCAGAGCCGACGAAGATGTGTCCCAGAGCAAGAGCAGCCATGGCAGAGGTCTTCATGGAGGTGTCAGTGTCCTGAACCAAAGGCAGGAGCATATCCAGAAGATCTGTCCGTCGAGATCCGGCGTATGCAACACCCAGACCCATCACAGCAGAAAGCTGGTTCAAGTTGTATGCGTTGCCGTTGTTGTTCTCAGCTGAGGGCTCCTCGGTGATGTGGTCGGCAAGAAGAGCGACAGCAGCGTCTGTCTCGTCGTAGACACCAGCAGTGACAATACCCATACCCAGAAGAGCTCCAGCCTTGATCTGGGGCTCGGAAGAGTAGGCGTACTTGTCGAGTTGCTGCAGACCTCGACTGAGATCCCACTGGAACAGAGATCCCAGAGAGGCTGTGGTGGAGTACATTCCAGCGAGCTTGGTCTTGTAGATCCAGGCACCAGATGCTCCTCCAGCAGTAGCGTCTCCATCATCCTCAGCACCTCCATTGGTCAGCAGACGGTCTGCCGAGTAAGCACAATTGACAAAGGCATTGACGAACGACGCAGCCAGGTTCTGCTTGGCAGAGTCAAAGGCCCCCGACATGATGATGTCTCTTGAGTTCTCCAGGTGGCTCTTGTAGATGTCTTCTGGAACCTTTGGCTCCAGCAGGTTGAGCTCCTTAGTGAGGTATCGGAAGTGGTCAGCCAGCAGGGCGTTGGACATGCACTCCTGTACGCCCTCGTCAGCCACATCAAAGTAGCACTTTTGTCGAGCTAGAATGAACGCCAGCTGCTTCTGCAGCAAATCGTCGCCACTGGCAGCATCCATAACCGATTTAATGAGCTCCATGTCATCCAGACGGATCGCCAGGGCCAGAGCCTGGGTCAGCTGGCGGTGGGCCAGGTAGATAGCATAAGCGGTGTGTAGGAAGGCCACGTCATCTGGGGGTGCCAGCAGGGGCACACAGGCGACCATGTAATGGCAAACACGGGCGTATGTGGTTTCGTCAACGAATTTAGGTAGATGCTCGACGGCCTCAATCTCCAGCAACAAGTCCACGGCGTCGGCTTCGGCGTTGTGTTTGAGGAAAAAGGGTACCAGCTTGATGCCCAGGTTTCGTACGTCGGTGAGCGATCCAACACCAGAATTGGGGGTGTCCAGAGTTACGCCCTCCTTGGCATCGTCGCTGGTCTCAACCTGCTGCAATTGATACTCCTGGCCGATTTCCAGAGCAAGGTGGCGAACATACTCGTGTCCCCAAGATCCCAGATCGTCGGTGGTCGACTTGAGTCGGAATTTGAGTGCATCTCGCTTGCCGTCGCCGGAGTAGGTCATTGCGAGGACGGAAAGCACGTCTGCGAGCTGCTGCTTGTGTTTGGCATCGGTCCAGGTGTCGTAGAGCTCAGCAAGCTGGGGGTAGTGGGGCCGCAGAAACTTGAGAGGCTTGGGCACAGCGGTCATGGACGAGGTCGAGGTTCGAATGAAGTTTTTGAGAGCCTCGAGCGAGGGCTCGTACAGAGACTCGTCCTTCTCGGTCAGACGCTCAACCAGCATCTCCAGCTCCGACTTGAGCTTCTCGTCCTCCTCAGACAGCTCCTCTTCATCCTTTCGGGCTGGTTTTTTGTTCTTGTCGTTGGGGGCGGTCTTGTCGACGGTCTTCTCAGCCGACTTGTCGCTCGGCTTATTAGTCACGTCCTTGGCAGCCATGATTGAGATCGATGTCGGGTGGTAAAGAGATCAGTGGCAATTCCAATGACGTCTACTTGTATGTGGATGTGGTTGTGAGAAGCCTAAAGAAGGTTATTGGGAGGTGGCGCGAGTTCGATTTGCAGGTGGGTACGAGTGGATGGGACGTGAGCGGCGGTGGTGTAGTTGAATGGGTTGGTAGAATGAGATTAAACTGATTTGACTGATTTGACTGGATCGAGATACTTATATTCTTGTAATCTTAAGACAACTTGTCGACTTGTGCCTCAAAGCACCCCTGCTGGGGATTCTGTTGGGATCATGATTACATAAGCTAACTGGTGTGGTTATCCTGATGTGTTTGATTTGGATCGGTGAATACTGTACATGTTGCCGTTCTTTGCATCATATCCAACCAGATTACATGACCAGAGAAACCGAAAGCATCGCAAAAGCGTATAAACTGCGCCCAAAGCTCATACCAATTCGATTGCTAAAATGAGAGCGCACAATTGAAGAGCTTTGAAGGTGTGGAGGTGTTTTGGAATAGACAGCTACCAGAACATCGTGTACTGTAACACTTGATACAGTGGCTGTGTATCTGACCCCATACATGGCCACTTTAGCTCACAAGTGTCAGCCAGTGGCTATCACTACTTTGCCGCACCTTCTAAAACCTCATTAACAAATCCAACTCTTGTCTGCCCACCTGCTGGTCTACCGCAGACTTGGTTAACATAATCAAGGGTCTCTACTGATTAAGTGCATATGAATCCTGCATGCTTACGGAGATTAACATAACTCCGAAAGCTGATTTTGGGGCGAGAAGGGGTCCATTTTTTATTTTGAAACCGTCAAATGAATATTTCAGGCAAGAAAATCCCATCTACATAGTCCAGTTTCTCAATCATCTCCTCAACACTAAGATATACTCCCTCCACCCCCACATGATTGTCTGAGTTTATTCGCCCCACATACATGGCATATAGAATATGGCGTGAGCTCTTCTTTTCCAGTACATCTCACCACTCGTCACCCATGCTCCAGGAACCAATCAATCTGCCCAAGTGGCTCGAGGAGAACCAGCACCTGCTGAAGCCTCCGGTTAACAACTTTTGTATCCAGCGAGGAGGCTACACTGTTATGGTGAGTGATTTATGACATGAGTCAATGATCCAGCTGGGGAAGATGATTCACAACTATTGTGATTTGCCATTGCCCAATCAACTAACACAGATCGTTGGAGGACCTAATGCTCGAACTGACTACCACATCAACCAGACCCCTGAATGGTTCCACCAGAAGAAGGGCCACATGACTCTCAAGGTGGTGGACGATGGAGAGTTCAGAGATATCACTATCAACGAGGGCGATATCTTCCTGCTCCCCGCCAACGTGCCCCACAACCCCGTTCGATATGCCGACACCATTGGTGTTGTGGTTGAACAGGACCGTCCCGAGGGCATGAAGGACGCTCTGCGATGGTACTGTCCTAACGAAAAGTGCCGAGAGATTGTGTTTGAGAACTCGTTCCAGCTCGTCGATCTCGGCACCCAGATTAAGGAGGCCATTCTTGATTTTGACGGTGACATTGAAAAGCGAACATGCAAGGCTTGCGGTACTGTCGCTACTTCCAGACCGTAGACAGCTGGTAATCAACGGCACTGCCAAAGGCACCAAGTATCCTGTTAGTCAGTCACGCGAGGTAAGCTACGTGAACTGACAGCATATCCACACACCAGGGGAAGCCGGGCATGGGTGATGAGTCCGAGTGTGTGGGGTATTTATTCAATACACAGTGCTCATATCACGTGAGGTACTAGTTTGATATGTATGCCTAGTACATACTGTAGCACAACACCAGTCATGAACTGGAGAGCCTCTGCTTTCCACTATGTATACCATCTTTATAACATTTCTGCCGTCCTGGTACAAGCAGTATGTACAGTAGATACAGTACAAACATCAGAATATCTTGACAGTAACCGCTAGATAAGTGAAGATCATACACTCCCATCATACATGTCTTGTCAGCTTACAGAATATTCTTGCGTTATAATTTCATTATATTCGTTAATAATCCTCCGTCTAACTAAACTCGTCGTTAAAAGCACGCTGGATCCAAGTGTAGAGACGGTCGTAGACCATGGCCTGGGCGTTGTGGAAATAAATGCTATGATCCGAGTCGGGGTAAATGTGCATATCGTAGTTCTCGATTCCAGCGAGATCCAGGTTGTCAATCAGAGACAGAGTGTTCTGCATGTGCACATTGTCGTCTCCAGAACCATGCATGACCAGGAACCGCTCGTTGGCCCCCAGAGCAGTCATATTATGCACAGCTGTCTGTTCGTAGCCCTTCTTGTTGTGCTGAGGAGTATGCATGTATCGCTCAGTATAAACTGAGTCGTAGAACCGCCAGTCGGTCACGGGAGCAACAGCCATTCCAAATCGGAAAGTCTCGCCTGCATCAGCCTCCAAAGTCTTAAGAGTGCAGTAGCCTCCGTAGGACCAGCCCCAAATAGCCATGTGGTTGGCGTCAACATAGTCTTTCTGGGCCCAGAGCTTAGCAGCAGCAATCTGGTCAGCGGCCTCTCGCCGTCCAATGTCGTCTCGAACCACAGACAGGAACTCACGGCCCATGTAACCGGTTCCTCGGCCGTCAACAGTGACCACAACGTAATCCAGAGAAGCAGCGACGCTCTTCTGGAAGTCAATGTTGAACGTCTTGGTGACCATCTGGGAACCGGGGCCGCCGTAAACAAAGAACAGAACGGGGTAGACCTTCTTCTCGTCAAAGTTGGGAGGTCGGATCTCCACAGAGTTAGCCAGAATGGGCTTCTCTTCGGTACCGACGTTGATCTGAGCAAAGTGAGAGGTTGGGAGAGCGTAAGAGTCGAGGGTGGTCTGTAGGAACTCGTTCTTGACAACCTTGGGGGCGTCAAGAGGAGAAGCGGAATGCAGATCAATAATCTTCTGATAGGGGACTTCAGGGCCGTTGTAGCTCAGAAGAGCAAACCGAGCGTCCTCAGAGAAAGAGACTCCGTAGTAAGCATCCTCAGTGGTGTTAGTGACAGGTTTGAGATCGCTACCGTCAATCTTGACAGAGTAGAGGTGTCGTTCAGTAGGGTCCTTCTGAGTAGACAGGAAATAAACAGTACCAGTAGACGCATCGTAAGAAGAAGGAGCATTGACGACTTCCCAGTCACCAGAAGTGAGCATGGTCCTGGGCTTAGGCTCACCGAAAACAAAGTAAGCAAGGTGGTTTCGACCCTCAGAAATTACTGTATCAATGTATCCTTCCTCCAAGAGGCCGAGAGACTCGTTCTGGGGAATGATTTTGGACGATCGAACAGTCTCGACCCATCCTCCATCCAGCTCCTTGACATTGTTCTCTCGCAGAATCTTGGCAGCGTAACCCTTGGAAGAGTCCACATGTACAATCTTGAGAACGTCGGCTTCTCGGTCAGAGGCTCGAATAAGAGCAACACCAGTCTGGGACCAAGTCACGTCAGAAATGATATCGTCTTGAGCCAGAGGCTCGTTGATGAAAGTGGTGGCATCCTCCTCAACGTTGTAGAAAGCCATCTGGACGTCAGGGTTGGGAGATCCGGGCTTGGGATACTTGATAGATCGGTACTCGGGGTAAGCCTGGGGCTTGGGGTCCTGAACGTAGTAAGGGATGGTGAACTCCTGAACCTTGGTATCGTCAGAACGAAGGAAAGCAAGATGCTGGCCATCAGGAGACCACCAGAGAGCATTGTCACCTGAAAGAACCTCTTCTTCGTACACCCAATCAGGTCTACCGTTGAAGATCTGTTCAGATCCATCGTCGGTCACCTGGACGGTCTCGTACTTGTCAACATGAGTCACATAGACGTTATTCTCGTACACTAAAGCAATGGCCTTTCCGTTAGGAGCCCAGGAAGCGACTGCAATTCGAGCCTTATCGTCTCCCTTGAGAAGAGGCTTGACTTCCTTGCTCTCAACGTCGAGAATCCAGTAGTTTCCAAACGACGAATGTCGGTAGTTCTTCTTTCGCTCGGTCACAAACAATGCCTTTTTGAGATCAGGTCTCAGCCACAGCTCGTCGATACGCAGGTTGTGTTCTCCATAGTGGACAGAGGTGTCTGTGATTTCGATTTCCTTGTCGTCCTCACCATAGGTCTTCACGACGTACTTTCTGTCACGCACGAGGTATGCTCCCTCGAGGTCAGCGGCCTGAATCCACTGCACAGACTTGGACTCGGGTCGGAAAGTGCCTGTTCGGACAGATTGGGGAGTCACCACTAGCTTGAAGTTGCTGCCGGCGTAGTTTGCGTTGTCGCCTCCGTCACCGGGAATGATAGTCTTTGGTTTCGAGCCCTGAACGACAGTCTGAACGTCTTTGGACGCCTCAGGCTGGGTCAGAGACTGGACAAACAGGGCGAGAACAAACAGACCCCAGACAGTAATAGCAGTCATACCGGCGAGCATGAACCATTTCTTGAACTTTTTGCTCTTCTGTGACACTCGGGGGTTGATGTGAGCGCCACTTTCCAGGTCTCTTTCGCTGGCAGGGTCGCGTCTCAGAAGGCTCGAGGCAGCTGAGTCTTCATACTGCTTGGCGGTGTTAATTCTATCCAGTTTTTCAAACAGCGACGACGTCGACGACCGCGGCGAGTCGTCCGACGCGTTACCACCGTTAGAATGGTCCATTTCAATGTCTTGCATGCTGTGTGGTGGTGGAGATAGAGCCGTTCGGTAGACACCCATTATGGTTTGGAGGTGTGTTGTGGAGGTGTAGAATGAAAGATTGTCAAGAGCAGGCTGATAGAGCCGTGTCGGAAGTAATGGTGAAAAAGTTGAGAGGAAAACGAAAGAGGGTGCTCCAAAAGTAATTGTATCCCAATGACATCTGTGCCGATATTAATGCACTAAATATCTCCTCCACTTTTCCGCCCTCCTATGCGGTTCTAAGACGTCCCAAACAGGCAGTATCTGATAACAAGTACAAGTACATACGTAGCGCCTTTTCATCGCGTGCTTCATGCAGGTAGACTGACAGATGTGGCAACAGCGGGGGTGGATGTGCGCGAGAGATGAAGATGATGGAATCATTAACGAATGGATGGACGTGAATACTGAGAAACAGAAGATTAATGACGGAATCAAATCGCTCGATCTGCTTCTAACAGTTCAAACATTTTCTTTGATCAAATCTCATGGCTTCAGCTCCATCTCAGATCGTACTGTGTATAATTAACGTACTTTGTATGAGATTCAGCATGGTGGTGAAAAAAGACAGAAAAAACAAAAAAGACGGCTTGATAGACATGGAGTATTCGCACTTACTGTAGAACAGGTCCACACGGCCTTGAAGTACAAGTACAATATATACCGAGAAAACAGTCACTGAAAGAGGAAGCAGAAGATTGAACTGACACCAGAGTATGTAGGTCACTATTGTGCTGACCGGGTACCACCACTATTATTAATATACATGATGTACTGTACATACAGTACTTGTAAAGGGACGGCCACAACCAGCCCCCTCTTGGAGCCTCTCCTTGGTCAACACAGTATGTCTTCTTAACCTCTGCGATATCCGCTCTCCAGCAGTGCAATAGATCAGTGACCCCTTTCGAACACCGCATTTCGTACTCTCTCATCAGCACTCGTAGCTGTTTAATATTAACACATAAAGACCGTCTGTGCGAGAAACAAGGCATCCCATCTTCCAATCTACCTCCCCCATGTCGTCTCATCATGCCATTATATTACACTCTATAAGTATCATATCCTGCCTGCCCCTACCATTAAAATATCCAAACGTCTTTTCACCAAAATCAACTTCTCCATCCATCCAAGCCGTACTCCAGCTCGAGCTCCAGGTCGCCATCTCCCTGGCGTCCGGACTCCTGGGGCTTTGGTGGCGGGTCCTGGTACTTGAAGTCCTCCTCGGGGATACCCAGAGAGTCCTTTCGCTGAATGACGGGTGGCTGGCCCATGTCCGAGGTCTGTGAGCCGACTCCAAAGCCGGCGTACTCGTAAAAGTGGGGGTTAGCAGACTGGTCCGAGTCCGAGAAGCCCGACAGGGTGGATGGAGAGTCCTGCTGTTGAGGGTGATGTTGCTGCTGCTGGTGTTGCTGTCTCTCAGCTTCCTGCTGGTGTTGCTTCTGACGTTCAGCCTCCTTCTGTTGTCTCTCCACCTCCTGCTTCTCCTCCTCTCTCCGCTGCTCCTCGATCTGCTCGTCTCTGATTCGTGTCTGCTCATCGACAGGCTTTCGAACCATGGCCCGGAAGTCCACAACCTCGTCCAGAATCATCTGCTTCATTGCCTCCATGTCATTGACCTCCTCGAACGAGAAGTCGAACGGAGTGGGACACACAGGCTCATCTCGGGGATCGTGCCAGATCTTCAGGTAGGGGTGCTCAAGAGCCTCCTCAACCGTCACTCGCTCCGCAGGATCGAAGGCAAGCATTTTCTCCAGCAGATCCAGAGCCTCGGGGTTGGCGGTGGGGAATAGCGTGGAAAAGGGAATCTTGGGCATGAAGGGAAGACCCCGAACGTACTCCTGGGCTCTGGGACTGCCGATTCGCTTGAGAGTCTCCTCCGAGGGCGTTCCGAGGTAGTGCAGAATTTGATTGAGCTGGTCGACGTAGTTCTTGCCCTTGAACAGCGGCTTTCCTCCCAGAAGCTCGGCCAGAATGCAGCCCACGGACCAGATGTCAATGGCCTTTGTGTAAGACTGGAAAGAGAGCATGATCTCCGGGGCTCTGTACCACCGGGTGGCGACGTATTCTGTCAGGAAACCGGCATTCTTTTCGTCGTCGGAAGAGAATCCACGCGCAAGTCCGAAATCGCAAATCTTGAGCTCACAGTCGGCGTTAACCAGCAAATTGCCGGGTTTAAGATCCCGATGGAGAACATCGGCGGAATGAATGTACTTGACACCGGCGAGAATCTGGTAAACAAACGACTGGTAATGGGCGTCAGTCAGAGGCTGGCCGGACCGGATGATCTGATGCATATCGCACTCCATGAGCTCTTCGTACAGATACAGCTCGTTGAAATTGTTGGTGTCCACAATGTCCATATCGTACAGACAGGTGATGTTCTTGTGCCCCCGGAAGTGGTTCAGTAGCTTGAGCTCCCGCAACGCCCGCTTACACAGAATGTTTTTCGAGAAAATGTTGGTCACCTTCTTGATAGCAACTCCAGGCCCATCAGGCGTCCCAGTGTACTTGGCTGCACACACAATGCCGTACGCGCCATGGCCCAGCTCTTTGGTCACCTGGAACCGCTTGTCTATGGTGAATTCCTGGTTGAACACCTTGTACGTGTGTCGGTCCGCTCGTATCATGGTGGTGTCGTAACGTGTAGCGAATGAGTGGGTGCGGATGTGTCTAGTCTGTTGAGAGAGAGGTCCAAAAGGTCAAAGTTCGTGTGTGCAAAAAAAGGTCTCGTGCAAAAGTCGCGTGTCAAGGCCGTCAATAATCCCGAAGTAGTCCGTAAAAATGCTCGCGGTCGATTGATCGTTCCTGGAAGTAACACTGGTCTGGTCGACTCGTCTATTTTCAGGTGAGGTGGATGATAAAGTCAGACTTGGATAGAGTGAATTATCACACCAAGCCAAACCAAACTGAATTTCGAACTGTACGTCATTGCGGAGAATAAACTAGAAAGTAGAAAAAGTTGATGCTAGCTAATCGGCCATTTTCTTTTTCTCGCCCCTCTGGAAATCGATACAGCCTATCATCTACAGCTACTCGTCTATGGTGAATCCTGTCGCGTGCCCACACCGTTAGCTACCCACCCCGCCCTCTCTTCGTCGGCCTGCTTGCTCATGTCACCTCCATTTATTATACCTCCCAATAGCACAATTTCGCTCACCCTCCCACCTCCCACTCACCGTTCCTCCTCGCCCCCCTCGGTAATACACATAGACTTCCACTGCAACTTGCTGCGTCGTCATCAACCTTAAATACCTGACTAATAATACGGAAGTAAGTCAGATATTTTTACCACTAGATGTCACCATAGTGGCTCTCCGGCCAAATTGAACAGAATCTTGTTGGGCGTAAACGGCTTGAACATCATGCCCCGACGACTCAGCCGGTTCATGTTGGCCCAGTCTCGTATTCGTGTCATGGCCTTGTGGGGCTCGTCTCCCATGCCAAGGTAATATGCCACTAACCCTGCGGCAAGTGGAGCCGACATGGACGAGCCAGACTGAGCCACTGTGCCCCGATTGTTCTGGTTCGACAGCGAAATCACCTCTACGCCGGGCGCAAAAATGTCCACACACTGGCCCCAGTTGGAGAAGCTGGCAATCGTGTCCGTCCTGTCGTCAAACGCCCCGACGGTCAGAACCCCGTTAGCACTAGCAGGCGAGTCCAGACACGCAGGGGTGTTGGTGTTGCCTGCAGCCACCACCACAGGAATGCCAGAGTCGATCGCAGCCTCGACCGCAGCGTTGAACACCGAGTTCTTAGGTGCTCCCAAACTCATGTTGATAACCGCGGGACGGCCGTTCCGATGGATCTCAGCCGCGGCCCACTCCAAACCGGCGAGTACAGATGAGAGGGCTCCCATACCGTCCTCTCCAGTGACCTTGACATCAATGATGTTGGCCTTTTTCGCTATACCGTAGGTCTTAGACGCAGCTAGGCCGGCAACATGGGTGCCATGGCCGTTTTGATCACCCATGCCCTCGCCGGTGAAGTCTCGACCTGGTTTGCCTCGGTTCTCAAATTCAATGTGCTGATGACGCACTCCAGTATCTAGAATGTAGATGTCGACGCCGCTTCCGTCGGAAGGGTCGTGGACAAAGTCCTGGGGACCGAAGGCGCTGATGGGCTCGAGGTTGGATGTTCGGGCAAGGTGGCGAGGAGCGTTGGCCTGAACGTCGTAAATCTTGACATCGATGTCGAAGGTCCAATCTTTGATCTGTGTTAGTGACTGACAGGTTATTGATAGAGGGGACAACTTGGTTATACTCGTACGTAGCAGTGATAGTTTGTATGTTACAAACTGCTGCATCAGCCTTAGAGTATACACGTTGATAGACATCTCGATATCACATCTGCTCAATCTCTAGTAATCTCAAGTATCACATCACATAGTCTGTGTTACACAACACCACATCCGAAGGGGTATCAAAAGGTATCACTCACCATCAAGTTCTTGGCAAGGGCGTAGACCAGAGAACTGGGGATGTCCCCGGCAAGAGCCTGGAAGTTGCCGAAACTGTGGTACTTGTCGAAATGAGCCAGAAAGTGCGGATTCAGGGTGAAGAAGTCGGAGAGATGCGTCTCGTTTTTGAGCTGCAAGATCATGTTGCGGGCCTGTGCTAGCTGAAGTAGCAGCAGTACTGGAAGAAGAAATAACATGCGCGTCATAAGTTGGGTGTACTTGTACAAACAGCTCAAACCAAAGAAGGGACTGTCACTTATATATACAGTAAAGATAAGGTGGATTTTTAGACTTCCATACGAGTCACCTGTCTGTTAAGGTGGGGCACTGTATGACATACACTATAGTACAAGTACAGTATAATTACAATACTGTAACTACTGTAGTGACGACATGGACACTATTGATGCATTTCATCTTCCTATTTAGCCCAAGGAGCTTTCGTGGGGGCCATGCCTGGTGCATCTCCTCCAGGAACACTTGAGCCCGGAGCTCTGGTGGGAGGCAATGCAGTTGCACCAGGAGCTCCAGTAGTGCCAGAAGCACCCCCACTAGCCCTGTCCTCTCTCTCCTCCTTCTCTCTCGCTGCACGCTGACCGTCTCGACGAGCTAGACGCTCCACAGTCTCCATTGGCATACCTCTTGGGCCCATAAGTGGCAAACGAGCATGAGGAGTAGTCTGCGGTTCCTTCTTGGACTTGAATCCAAGGGGAAGCTTGGGCTTGACGGGCTCTTCGTCCTCCACCTTGGAGTAGGGCAGGTCGTTACCTTCAGTATCCTTCCAGGGATATAGCTCTGAACCAAAGTAAAAGTGCTGGACAACAGGGAACTTTCCCAGAACTTCTGCAATGTACATTTTGATCATTCCTGAGTGGATCTTAGCCCAGGTGGCAATTCCAGAAATATCGTAGAGGATGGGGGAGTGCTCATAGAAGGGGCCAGACTTGATATCGTAAATGAAGGCAATAGCTGCAAAGTACAGGTTGGTAGTCTTTTGCTGCTGGACGATTCGAGGATTCATGACACTCGAAGGGGGACACTCTTTATCGTACTTTGTGGGAACCAGAAGGGTAGATGCAGTTACTGATCGTGACACCTTCTGAGCCGATCCAAGAATGTAAGGGAGATGGGAGTGGTCATCCAAACCCCAAACTCCGTGAGATCCAGCAGGTTCCAGAGAGTATGTCATGATAAGTTTTCTGACAAGCACAAAGTATGTCTCAAAGATGAAGAGCACGTCTGGAGCAGGCAGATCTGTTTCCAGGAGACCCAGTTTCTGAAGGCCCCCCACAAATGCCATGAATGAGAGCTCATGGCCTGTTCCAAAATCCAGACGCTGTTTCGAGCCCATTCCCCCGTGGAGGTAGTATTGTAGCTCGATAATCGAGTCCTTGTTGATGCTAGGGAACGCCTCTGTCAGTAGAGCTGTAGTTTGGGCCTCCATCTTGTCATGCCAGTCTCTAACAGCGACGTTTCCAAATCGCCGAGGGCCCTCCAGCGGTGGCGTTTCGTCAATAAGAGCACTGAGTTTGCGACACAAAGTGACGAGAGCCTTGGAACTGGCCGCTAGCTCGTCTTCATTGGGGGGCAGAAGATGCTCTTGAACTGTAGACGAGTACTTGTCCAGTAACGAGATGATGGTGGCGTAAGGCTGAGATCGCTTGAAGGAGTCGACATCGGCGGCCGAAGAAATGCGTTTCTGAGGTTCACTGAAAGTCATTCTTGTTGAACACGAAGCTGTATGAAGAGATGAGTTGTATGTCCAAGTGTGATGATAAGCCTGTATGGTTATGCACAGTGAAACTTTGGCAGTGTCGGTGCGGAAGATGGTGGGATGATAGTGGTAGGTGGATGGAAAGTGAGCAGACCGAAATAGACTGCCTGAGAGTAGACAATTGCAATAATGTAGCTCGTTTCCCTGATTTTTTCTTCAATTGATGAAGAAGGGGGCCTCCAATGACCAGTTGGGGGCCTGCTGAATCTAGGTTCGGTCTACCTCCACAACTTTTGGTCTCTCGAATGTGAATTTATCAAACAAATATGTAGTCAATTTTGTTTCTGGTACAATCAAATGGATGTGAGAATAACTTGCTGAAAAATTGTCACTATTGGCCCACATCAACCGAGAGAGGGCTTCTCCTCCATTGCCTAACTAATGTGAACTACAACTTCAATAATACAGTTAACAGCTACTTAAGTAAAACACAGCAAGCTTCTTTTGGGAGGATTTCTGTATGAATCGAAGCACATTTTTTTACACATTCCCATTCAATGTCTCATCAAGAAGTCACCAAAGCTATCAAATGTTACATTATCCACTCCTCTCCGTCTTTTATCACCGTAATCACAATCTGTTCAGAATTGGTTAAGCTTTGTGCATGCATGTCATTCCAAACTTTTATCAACATCCAAAACATCTTCAGTGGCATCACCAAAAAAAACATCAACAATGCTTACGTGGTCTCTGGAGCTGTTTGATCGGCTGCGGGACACGATGCAGACACTGTCCAAGGAGCTCCACGACGACGATGTGGACGCCAACAACCTTCGGAAGATGCTGAACGAGGTCTCGTACCTGAAGGATGACTTTAAGATGTCTCTGGACAATCCGAAACAGAGTGCTTCTGATCGGGAGACTATCCAGAAGGGTGAGTATTGCAGGAACGACGACTGTGGTTCCAGATGGCGGAAAAATTCGGCGCGTGATTGGCGGGATTGGGTGGTGTAACAAGGGAGGTGATGGAAGCTCGTCACCAATCAGGACATGGAACCGGGTCCATGACACGTTGCTGTGCGGCGTCTCCTTGATCAGATCCCTCGGACTGCTTTATCTGTACCAGCTGCTATCTTATTCGCGCTGTGATGGAGAACATGACTCCCGGCAAAGGTTGCCATGACACCCTACTAACTCAGGAAAATACACATTTGGAGACGATGAACGTCAACTCTCTCCTGAGTTTATCGAGGGAACGCTTCTCATCGCAGATGAGCTTCAACTAAACGAAGCAGCTGCTGCAGAGCTCGTCGAGTACGCCATCTCTTCTCGACAAGGCTCCGACATGTCTCTCAGTGAAGCTGCAATCTACGCCTACTACACACGTCGACAACGTATACTCGACACAGTTCGTTTCCTATATTTTTGGATTCATGAGGAGAAGGATAAGCCCGAATTGATTAGCGAGCTCAAGAAGATCGCAGCTGTTATTGGACCCCACAAGGAAGTGTTCGACAAGTGCGTCGACAACATGTCCAAGGATGTAAATGCTCTGAAGGATCTGGACGAAAAGGAGAAGCAGGGAGTCTTTCTGGGCCGAAACCAGGACCCTAAGTTCGAGGCGACACTCAAACTGCGGCGGGACTTCATTCTGCAGGAACATGAGGATCTGGGCCAAACCATCACTGTGTTGATTCTGTCCGAGAAGCTCGATTTCGACTCCATTAAGAAGCTGATTACCGCTGCTTCTTCGCTTCGAGCATATAACACCCTGCTTTTGCATCACGTGCCTGCTTTGCTGTCCGTCTTCGGTCTGATTGAAGCCGACAATATCCAGCGACTCTCTGTTGGCGACACTCTCAAGCTCCGAAGCGACCTGTTCAGCAAGTCAATTGAGTGGGGCATTCCTACATTCCAGCGGTTCATCCAGCTTGCATTTCTTGCAGGATTAGCTGCCCTGGCACGTTCAGACGAAGGTCTCAGTTCTCAAGTGAACTTCACACGCGACATCCTCGATGTCTGTCGAGAGGCTATCGACGAGGGTGCTCTGGAGTTTGGATACGCATTGGCAACTGACACTGCTGCATTCAACGTCCGAAACGTGTTCTACGATATGCGGCCTGCTCTACAGCAGCGAGTGCCCGAGTTCAAGTTTCTGCGACGACTGTCGGCTGATTTCGAGGTACTCTGGACCCGTCAGATGCAGTGGTTCATTAGCACGTTCATTTCACATCTTCCCGACTTGCTCAAGCAGATGAAACAGTCCGAAGAAGACACTTTCCTGGCCAACGAGGCCGTATCTGATCCCGACCTTCAGCTTCAAGACGATGTGGGACGTGATCTGGAACGGTTCTACATGATGGTGTCAAATCTTTACGATGGCCACCCTGATGCTGCTTTGGATTACTGGGTTGATGGCGAGAGTGATCTGTACGGTTTTGTGGATTGGGCTTCTCATTTCGCCGACTCTCCTCTCATGGCTGCTACTGCCACAAACATGCTGGCTTCTCTATCTACTGGTCCCGAATGTGCATCCAACGCCCACCGATTTTTGGCTGCTGAGTTGCCCAAAACCAGAAACCCTAGACTCACTTGGCATCAGGTTCTGGACGCTTTCGACTTCTACGTCGATGCTCTTTCCCCCCAGGTTCCTGAGCGTGGAACCACCACAATGCCCAATGCGCTGGTTCAAGTCGCTGCCCCTGTGCTAGACAGACAGGCCACGATGATGATTGAGGCATACATGCACTTGGTTTCGCAGGTGCTGGCATACTCCCCTGAGGCAAGAGAATACCTTTTCGAGGCCGGCTTGGTAGATCGAGTGTTTGGATTGCTGACAGTTGAGACTGGAGTAACTGGAATTGTCCTGGAAGCTCTGTCCGGTCTAGCAGTTGATGCCCCTCTGGAGGTCAAGCGACTCCTCTGGACTCGTCTGGACGCCTGGGCTTTTCAGTCTGTTTACTACACAGCCGATGGACGAATCCTCAACAACAACTTGTCTCCCCGTGAGCGACTTCAGGGTCTCATCACCGATCTTCAGAGTGCTGTTGGATTCTCCAAGCTCGTTGAACGGCTCATGTACCCTGTCGTCGATATTGGTGGAGATCCTATTGTGCCTGCTCTTCCTTTCCCATTCGAGCTGGGTGCCAACTACAGATTCCCTGGCGTCTGGGTGTATGTTAACTACATGCTGGAGGATATTCTCTACTACTCTTCCGTCGCTCAACTAGAAGAGAGTCAAAAAATGATCCTGCAAATCACTTGTTTCAACTTCGCAAAGAGTTGTCTCAGACTCTTCAACCCCGACACAATCAGACTTGCCGCAGCGGCTGGTGTGTCTCTTGACAAGATTATGGACAACGACCTGACATTCAAGCAATACCTCATTGCTCATCCTTGTCCTCTGGCCATGGCTTTGATTTTCAACGAAAAGCTGTACACCATTATTCTGGGTCTGTGTGAGACGTCAGCTGATATGTCTTCTAACCTTGCTCGGTACGAGATTGAGCGAACTGCATGTGCTCTGGCTATTGTCGATCTGGTGTTCAGCATGGAGGAAAACTTCATCGACAACATGCTGCCTGTTCTGCAGGAGATGAGCAAGAAGAACGACCAGATCATCAGCAACATGAGTGTACATTCGTTCGAGGAGGCCATTCTCTTCCGGATGACTGTCATTCCCCATCTAGCCCATCACATGGCGTCTGCCAATGCTGGCATTGCTGCTACCTCTTTCAGCATTCTGTCTCGAGTTTCTCAATCGTCCCTGTTCAACGACAACGATGGACGAATCGCCACGAGCCTGGAGCCCCAGAACCGTCTGCTGCGAGCATTCAAGACATACTCTGACGCCCAGAAGATCAAGTCTGGCATTGTGGAACAACTCGAGCGACCCTTCGACGACTACGAGCACGAGCATCACAAGGCTACCGGTCTGGAGCTCAAGCTGTCGATTCTGCAATTCATTTCTTCTAACCTGGGCCGTGATTCCGCTGATGCTACCGTTGCTCATTTCCTGCTCGGATTTGCAATCAACGGAGACGGCTCTCTGGCTGCCGACAACGGCACTTATGGTGTTGCCAATCGAAACTCCGTCTTTGGGGTCATTCTCTCTCAGCTCACTCAGTCTGTTGCCAATATTGACCCTTGCAACGTCTTCCTTGACTCGGCTGAATTCGCTGCTGAATGCGCAAAGGTCGTGATGCATTTGTGTCGGAACCAAAACTCGGCTGCCATCACGTTAAGAATTTTGCGAGACTTTGGCTTCTTCGCCCAGATTCTCGCTGAGGAGCCTGTCACCGACAGACAGACTCTCTGGAACGGACAGGTGCTCGACATGAAGAAACATTTTATCATGAGTCCTGCTCCTGCAGCTTTCTCTTCTTTCTTCCACCACAGAACTGCTCTCTTCGAGTACTTTAGTATGGAGGTCCACGCTTCTGCTGTCAAGGGTTCGTTGTCTGTCGTAAAGCGGTACCTGGACTCCCTGGTGACTCTTGACAAGAAGCCCCAGTGGCACTACGCTGCTTCTCAGATCTCCACAACTGCTCTTTCGTTCCTGGATGTTCTTGAGTTCCAATGGGACACTCGGATCAGCACCCAGCCTGATTTCGGACTCTTCTCGTCCATCAACCGAGAGTATGTGGACAAGACTTTCGGCAAAGACAAGCTGATTGACATCTACGGTCTGCTGACGAAGCTTTACCAGCTTCGAGCTTATGAGCTGACCAAGACTGGTTTCGTTACTGAGGACGAGATCCCCATGTTGGATGCCCAAATGGACGAGCTTCTCGAATTTGAGATGGGCGTGCGAGCTAGTGGGCGAATGCGACAGCGACAGCTAGATTTCCTCAACTCGTGGTGCCAGTTGGTTCTCATTTTGCTCAACGACTGTGAGATGAACGCTCCCGATCGGTCTGTTTTCATCCTGGAGGCTCTACAGAAGATTGTGCCCAAGCTCGGATACTACGCTTCTTCTGACTCGGACTTTGCTGAGGTTTTAGCATCTCTCCTCTGCTCTCTGTTTGAAATGTACAGACGAGACATTGAGGCGATGAACTCCTCTGCTGGTCGAGACAGATCCCACGCTCTGTTCAGAGCCTGCATTGGAGCCATCAGAACGCCGGTTTCCACCCCCACACTCCGTTCCGACCTGTACATCATCTGCCACAAGTACCTTGAGTCGGCGGCCTCAAACCCTTCTCTGTTGAAACAAAACTACCAGGTGGTGCGTACTTCGGGAGACAAGTTGCTTGAGACTGTTTGTTCCGACGCCATTTCCGGAACCACACACCAGAGAACATTGGCTCTCATGTTCCTAGAGTCTTTGGCCTCCCTGTGTACCAGAACTGAATCTCCCTTCGTCCTGGACTGTCTGGTTCGATACAACCTGCTATTGTTGCTGGTTCGAAGCCTGAAGACTACCGACCAGCTGATTCATTCCACTTCTGAGCAGTTGCCTCTCGACAAGATCATGTCTGAGGTTACAGCTTTCCGAGCAGTCATGTTTTTCCTGCTTGAGATTGCGCAGACTCGAACTGGAGCCTTCCAGGTCGTGCAATGTGGCATTTTTCAGACCCTTCATGAGTGTCTTTTCCTCAACACTGACCCTGACGTTGGCATCCAGCTGGCTACTAAGGAGGCCAAGAAGGACAAGACGGTGGACCCCGTAGAGCTGTACTACCAGATCCTGACTCCTGTTCTGCGTCTGCTTACAGCCATTGTTCTTTCCATGGGATCGGAAAACCATGTGACTATTGAGCGGGTTGGCACCATTCTGCGAGACAGACGCCATCTAGTGGTGGCTCTGTTCAAAAAGGACGTACTCAACAAGTCTCAGTACAAGGAGGATGACTTGGAAAAGAAGAGCGGCAAGAAGAAGCCGCTGATTGGCACCGACAGTCTTGTTGATGCTGCCAAGCTGTTAACGGTGTTGGTTACTCTCACTGATGCTTTCAAATAGACACACACATAATTATACATTTATTATTGATTAACCCAAGCTGAGCTGACTCTCTTCCTCCACTAACCCTACGTAAACTCATCAACAGCAAAGAAAGCTCCGAGAACTCCGTATATTAATATTGTGAGTCGTAAATTATATTTCTTCAATTGAATTGAGCGCCTGGATCTCTCTTTCAAAACACTTCTCCATCAACTGCTCCCCTCTGGAACACTGAATTTGCACTCCTGGCTGACTTTTGTCTAACAAAATCTCAAGTAACTGGAAATTCGACAATTCGTGTAGAGACGACTTCAGTGCAGACTCTTCTGATAACGAGATTTGTGCCTGGGAGGTTTCTTCATGGTATAATATCAGAATAACCGATAGATGACCTGAATAGTGTCGACGCAACTGTCATAGCAACAAGACTAGCGATTGCAGAGACTAAGAAAACACCGGTTCCAGGGGTCCTCATCAGGATGAAACGAATGGGACACAATAAGAACCAGCAAGACGAAAATCACACAATCACAATAGCTACAATTCCCTTTAGACTCAATATATATATTGTTTATTACACTAAATTGCGACCTGGGACAGACTCGTGGCTAGCCAGTTGACCTGCCCCTGGGTAACGTAAGCTACTGGATTAGCTCGAAGTTTACTTCTTACCCTGGTTGGCAACCGCAGCGGCACCGGCAGCGGCGGCCTCGGGGTCGAGGTACTCGGCGGCCTTGGTAGGCTTGAGGTTGTCATCAAGGTCGTAGACCAGGGGGATACCGGTGGGGATGTTAAGGGCGGCGATATCGTCATCGGAGATACCGTCGAGGTGCTTGACGAGAGCTCGGAGGGAGTTTCCGTGGGCAGCAATGAGGACGGTCTTGCCGGCCTTAAGGTCGGGGACAATGTCGGAGTTGTAGTAAGGAAGGAGTCGGTCAATCACGAGCTTCAGAGACTCGGTCTTGGGCAGAATATCCTTGGGGATGTCCTGGTATCGCTCGTCGTTGTACTGAGACCACTTGTCGTCGTCAGCGATAGGGGGAGGAGGGACGTCAAAAGATCGTCGCCAGAGCTGGAACTGCTCGGGGCCGTACTCGGCGAGAGTGGCGGCCTTGTCCTTGCCCTGCAGAGCGCCGTAGTGTCGCTCGTTGAGTCGCCACGATCGCTTGGTGGGGATCCACAGTCGGTCGGCCTCATCCAGAGCAATGTTGGCGGTCTGGATGGCTCGAGAGAGCTCGGAGGTGTAGAGAATCTGGGGCTTGAGACCGGACTCCTTGAGCAGAGTACCGGCTCGCTTGGCCTCGGTGTGGCCGAGCTCGGAGAGCTTGACGTCGACCCATCCGGTGAACAGGTTCTTCTCGTTCCAGTCGGACTGGCCGTGTCGCAGCAGAATCAGTTTAGGCATTTTTGTATGTGTTTTGGTGATGTCACGAAAAGGACGACGCAGCATAGATATATATGGACGTGGAAACTAGGAGAAGGAACCTTATTGCTGATCCGTAAAATTATCGTGGAAAGAGGTGGGGAGGGAAGATATGGGTATGGGGAGATGCAGAAGCGACAAAACACGCAAATCGGAGCCGTCAACCTCACAAATATCGCCAATTCCTCCCCCATAGCTCCCCAAACAGCCCGTTGAGCGCTTTTGCCCTACCCTCTCCAGTCCAAAAAAACCCTATTGTCTGGTGACGTCTCCTACTCATGCACCTCGTGGTTGCTGTATAACTGGGGACTCCACGATCCGAGGTCAATTAGGCCACGTGACACCCAATTGTGTCGCTCGCACCTCAATTGAAGACTAAGCTCGTTCCACCACCTCAATTGAACCCATATGAGCACCAATCGCCCTCACCGCAACATAAAACGCTCCTCATAGACTAGTGCTATCCAAACGCTATTATGACGTGACGCTGAATAGGGTTGCGCTTAAACGAGGACAGTTGTCTTATTTTGGGGCAAGGTTAGGGCATCGAGGCAGTCCGTAACTGTCAGTAATTGCATTGTATCTTCCCCTTTGTCACGGACTTGCCCCTGACACTGGTTGGTTGTGTCACATTTGTCCTCAAACAGTGGTTCACGCCTTGATTTGATCTGAACCCAAAACCTGAGTGAGCACATGGAGAAGGTTAAAAACAAACCACTCTCAACGGATGCAACCCAAACCCTAGTGAACTGTGACTGCGAATGGGTCGTAATCTGTGGTTGGTACGAGACGTTAATAATCTGTGTCACGTGAGAATTAATGAGGTATCGCGATATATATATATATATATTTTATATTTTTTGGAGCTGTTTGACAGAGCTTGAGAACGAGTTTTGGTGTATTCTTTAATTTACTGTAAAGTGAAGTATGGAAGATACTGTCGCTACTGTACATACTGTAAAGGTTGTCAAGGGTGCCTGCTGTGCCAGAGACCATAACAGTCCACTCCTCCAATTCGTTTGATAGCGTACGGTGAGGTGGGGAGTGTACAAGTACTGGTTAAGAATGTACAAGTACTCGATGAGGATTTTCAACTACAGTACTCGTACTCGTACAGCACTGGAATTGACATGTCTTCATTCCAACAACGCCTTATCTGACAACAAGAGCTGTGGTGGGGCTGTTCAAAGAGCTGAAGTTATATCCCAAGTACATCAAGTACAGTACTTACCGTAATTGCAAGTATGTTTTTTAGGCTGTCTACGGTTTTCGATAGTGAGTAGCGACAGTAGCTACATACTGGTGACTACAATACAGTCAGAAAAAGCACAGGGTCATCAAGTAATGAGAGACGCAGGTATCAACTGCAGAATATATAACCCATTCCCGGTAAAATATTGCTACAATTTCTTTCCATTGCCTACATACTCCCTGCTTACACTGTTGTGTGTTCACCATCTCACCTCCCCAGCAACACACGAAAGTTTGATTTTTTGTGCATACATATCGAAAAACATCTTTAGCATCACCACACAAAAACACATCCAACATGAGCAGCGGATTCTCGTTTGGAGCCAACACTGGTAAAACTGGCGGAGGATTCAACCTGGGCAACAATGCCTCTTCTGGTACCACCGGATCGGGATCCACCGGCTTCTCGTTTGGAGCTGGTAACAACAACAACAAAACCACAAACAACACCAACACATCCGGAGGCACTGGCGGTCTTTTTGGAGGAGGTGCCGCAGCTGGAGGAGCTGCCAAGCCCTCGTTATTCAGTGCCTCTGGCGCTTCTGGAGCTGGAGCTGGAGCTGGAGCTGGAGCTGGAGCGTCATCTGCTCCCAAGTTTAGTTTCGGTGCCACTCCTTCTGCTTCTACTCCTGCTGCATCGTCGACTGCCGCCCCTGCGGCCTCTGGAGGTCTGTTTGGAGGAGGAGCCGCTTCTTCCAAGCCCTCGTTTGGAGGATTCGGTGCTGCTAAGACCGACGATAAGCCTGCTGCTCCTGCCGCATCTACTGGAGGATTCTCGTTTGGAGCCAAGCCTGCCGACGCTGCTGCCGCGCCTAAGCCTTCCTTTGGAGGTTTTGGAGCAACCAAGACGGAAGACAAGCCCGCTGCTGCTTCTACTGACTCTGCTGCAAAGCCCAGCTTCAGCTTTGGAGGAGCCACCAAGACTGAGGCTCCCAAACCTGCTGCCACCGGAGGATTTTCTTTTGGTGCAAAAACCGAAGAGAAGAAGGATGAAGCTCCCAAGCCTGCAGCAACGGGCGGTTTCTCTTTCGGAGGTGCCAAGACTGAGGAGAAGAAGGATGATACTGCTAAGCCTGCTCTAAGCTTTGGAGGAGCCACCGCTGGAGCTCCCGCCGCCGGTACTACTGCCGCTGGCACCACAGGTACCGCTGCTCCCGCTGCTCCCGCTGCTGGAGGCCTATTTGGAGCCAAAAAGGACGATAAGAAGGAGGACGGAAAGACCTTGCCTTCTTTAACTGCTGCTCCTGCCACCTCTGCTGCTTCTATGGCTTCCAAGACCCCCGTGGCGTCGGCTCAGCCCGTGTCCACCTCCAACCTCAAGAACAAGTCAATGGAAGATATCATTTCCAAGTGGACCACAGAGCTGTCAACCCAGTCGGAAGAGTTCAGACAGCAGGCTCAGGATATCATGGAGTGGGACAAGGTGCTTGTAGACAACGGCGACAAGATCTCCGACATTTATGCCAAGGTGATCCAGACAGAACAGACACAGACCAAGGTGGACCAACTGTTGCAGTACGTCGGCAAGCAGCAGGACGATCTGGAGAGCCTGCTAACAGGTTACGAGGAGGAGGCTTCTCGTCTACTGGGCGATCTGGCTGGCACTGATGGTCTTCAGCCCGTGGACCAGGAGCGTGAGAACGCTTACAACCTTGCTGAGGATCTGGGTATCAAGCTGGAGAGCATGGGTGGCAACCTTTCTTCTGTGATTGAAGAGGTGAACAAGATTTCCAACGACATCAACAACTTCCATCGAGATGATGCTCTGACCCAGATTGTCAAGATTCTCAACTCCCATCTCTCGTCTCTGCAGTGGATCGACTCCAACACCCAGAGTTTGGAGCAGAATATTGAGGCCATCAAGCTGCTGGAGAAGCAGGTCAACTCTCGAATGTACGGTAGATAGGAGGACAGCCAGGTGGATGATTTCTAAGTAATGGATGATGTAATTTTATGGCTTCACAAACATAGACAGACTGATTCTGGTTATGTCGCTGTAGCATGGCTTGTTGAGTGCTTTTTGCTACTAGTGAGCATCCACTATGATATAAACACAAAGTGCCTCGGACAACAACAGGTACAATACAGCATACTTGTATGTACAATTCTTCAGACACAGGGTATACACATAATCTCGTTAATTAAATAAAATTGCTCTTGTACTTCTCCACAATCACTCTTCCACAACCTCGATAGTCTCCAGTCGCTTTCCGGCGTTCTTGAGCTTCTTCACGTTCTTAATCTTGGCCAGTCGGCGCTTCCACTTTCGGTTGGTGTGGACACTCTTGATACTCTCGCCTTCATCACCAACCTCAGCGTCGAACTGGACCTTGGGGGGTCTGTACAGTCTGAGAAGCAGAGATGAGCAAATGACCGAGACGGAAGACAGAGCCATAGCCAGAGAGGCCCACACAGGATCCAGACGAGAGTTGTTATAAGGGTAGATGACACCAGCTGCAACAGGAATACCAATGCAGTTGTAGACCAGAGCCCAGGCAAAGTTGAGTTTGATTCGTCGGAAGATGGCACGGGAGAGATCAAAGAGAGTAAGAACCGAAGTCAGTTCCGATCGCATCAGGACAAACTTGGCCGACGACATGGCGATATCAGCTCCAGAGCCAATAGCAATACCGACGTCTGCAGTAGACAGAGAAGGGGCATCATTGACACCGTCTCCAACCATGGCAACGATAGCTCGACCGGTTGATTTGCCAGAACGGGCTGAAACGGCAGTCTTCTGGAGCCACTGGACCTTAGCTGCCTTTTCCTGAGGCAACACTCCACCAATGACATTGTCGGCAGGAATTCCGATACGAGCAGCGACAGCATTGGCGGTGATCTGGTTGTCTCCAGAGATCATCCAGGTCTGGATGTTCTGCTCCTGAAGAGCCTTGAGAACCGAGGGAGTCTCGGGTCGAATCTTGTCCTCCGCAGAGATAATGAGAGCCAGAGCAAAGTTACCCCCGTCCGGTCTAAGAGCCATCAGCATGACAGACTTTCCCTCGGTCTTCCATCGATGCAACAGGGCAGCGTCTTCATTGGAGATGGCGGCGTTGTTCTCCTCAATAAGACGCTCATTTCCGAACAAGAACTCAGTGACACCAGCCTGGCCAAGAGAAGAAGTCTTGGGAACAGAAAGAGAACCCTTGAGACCCTTACCGGGAACCTCTTCAACTGTAACTGAGTATCCCGGAAGCTCAATGTTCATGTCGGTTACGTGGTTGACAACAGCAACAGCCAGAGGGTGGCCAGACTGCTGCTCAATGAGCTTAGCTAGGAAGAAGATCTCCTTGGTGTCGTATGAAATCACCTTCTCGTCGGTGATCTTAGGCTCTCCTCCTTCAGTCAGGGTTCCGGTCTTATCAAAACAAACAACATCGACTTTGGCTCCCTCCTGGAAGGCCTCTCCTCCACCTCGTGCAAGAATACCGTATTTGGCAGCTAGTCCAGTGCCCACAAAAAGAGCAGTCGGAGCAGCAAGACCAATACCACAAGGGCAGGCAACAACAAAGACAGAGATGGCGAATTGAAGTGACCAGACAACCCATCCTCCGAGATCAATGTCGAGGTAGTGGGGAGGAAGAGAACCGGTGGTGCCAAGAGCAAGCCAAATGATCCAGGTGATGATGGCGAGAGAAGTGACAATGGGAACAAATACAGACGTCAGTCTGTCAGCAACTCTCTCAATGGGTGCTCGGTGAAGCTGACCCTCTCGGACAACATTGACAATCTGGTCCAGAAGAGAGCCTCCCTCCAGAGCCATGACCTTTGCAATCAGAGAACCAGAGCCGTTATTGACGGTACCAGCAAAGATCTGGTCACCCTGGCCATGACGAACGGGTCGACTTTCACCTGTTAGAGCAGACTCATCGAAGGTAGAGCCACCCTGGACGACAATACAGTCGGTGGGTGGAGTCATTCCTGGAAGAACACGAATGTAGTCACCAATCTCAAGATAGTCAACGGAGACTTTGTCGTCACCAGAGTAGGTAGTATGCTCCTCCTCCTCTTCATCACTCTCCATCTTGCCCTCTTCAAAGTCGACCTTCTCTTTAGCCAGGGCTCCGTCTTCAGCGAACACAAGGATGGCTTCCTTAGGACGCAGATCAGATAACAGGGAGATTGCAGAAGCAGCTCGGGCCTTAGAGTAGGCCTCTAGACATCGACCGATAAGCAAGAACATGGTCAGGAACACGACAGAGTCAAAGAAGGTGGTATGGTAGCCCATCTCCTCGTCCCCCTTACCATGTTCTTCTCTGTTGGGGGACTTGGCTGCCAGAATCAGAAGGGCAAGTGAAGTCCAGTAGGAAACGTTGACACCGAGACTCATCAGCATGTCCATGGATCCAAACTTGAAGAACCGTCGCTTCCAAGACACTCCAGGGCGCCACAGGTTTCTAATCTCCTTCACTGCCTTGATATGAAAGACATCAGCGGCAAAGAAGTAAATGGGAGTAGCGAGAATCAGGAGAGCCCATGTGACTCGGGATGCACTGCCAGCCCAGGCAGATTCATCGATGTACATTCGGAAGGGGTGGTCCTTCTTGAGCAGAGACATGCCGACAATACCAAGAATGAATGTAGGAATGGCCACAGCAACAGAAAGTGCCAGTCGGAAGAATAGACGCACCTGCTCGTGCTTCTGGAGCTTGGCTGATCGTTCCTCGAGAGTCATGGGGTGCACGATAGACAGGGTGAACTGAGGAGAAAGGTCTTGCACCTTTCGGATAATGTGTCGAATAGTAACGTTGGGGAGCTCAGGCTTGTATGTGAACTTGACAAAAGGATGATCGAGAGCAACGGGATCATCAACAACCATAGCTTGGCCATATGAAGACAGTGCATTGTTAATGTTGTCAGGACAGTGGTCACAGAACATGCCGTCGATAGCCAGGTTGACAGTTCGAGTCATCTCCTCGACACGCTTGGATTCGGTATCTTCGACAGCATGGATGTCACAGTCATATCCAGAGTCCTCGATGGCTTCAACAACCTTGGGAAGCCATTTCTTGTCAGCAATGATGATGTCAGCACTATTGGACATGAGGGAAACAGTGACACAGTCCACACCCTCAATGTCCTGAACTGCTGCAACAATTTGGTTGACGCAGGCAGCACAAGTCATACCTCCAATACTAGCAGTCACCTTGTATGCCTTGGTGCTCTTCACAGGAGCCATCTCGACAAGATCACACATGTAGCCCATTCCACGAATGCACTCCTGGATCTTTGTGGCGGTGGTTTTGTTGTTGATAATGACCACAGCGGATTTGTTCATCAGGTCGACGGCAAAAGTATCGAGCGATGGAAACTGAGCCTTGACAGTCTCGGTGATTTGGTTAGAACACGAGACACAAGACATGCCACCAATGGCAAATGTGGTCTTGAACTCGGTAGCTGTGGCGGGGGAGTTCTCTCCGATGATTGTAGGTGCTTCATCTGAGTCTTCTGATTCCTTGTGTTTCTCATCGCGGCACGATTCGCAGTGTTTCTTGTGTCGTTTCTCCTTCTGTCCTCCATCGAACAGCGCACTCTTGAACTGTCTGAACCAGCCAGGTTTGGCCACAATCTCGTCCACGTTCATGTCCTCCACATCGTATCCAGACGCGAGCAGCCGGTCGACCACTCGTCTGATACCCTTGGAGTCGAGCTTGCCTTCATCAGGGACCAGGGTGACTTTTCCTTCAGCCACAGACACGAACACCTGCCAAGAAGGGGGAATCACGGGAGCCAGAGCCTCCTTGACCGACGTTTCGCAACTCGAACAGTGCAGGTTCGAAACTTCAAAGACGTAGGAATCCATTGTTTGTTTTTGGTTATCTCATACGGCTGGGCTCCGATATATATGTGTTTTTACAGACGTTGTGCCATCTAGGGTCATTTAAATTTGAGTTTGAGACTTGCATTTTTGCGTTACTTGTGCTGCACGGCTGGTAGCGAAAAGTGCGCAACTTGAAGTGAATGTAGAAAAACAACCAGCCGGTAGATTTGAATGGCGAGAGTTTTAGGGGATTTGAAACGTCCAGAGTATTTATAATAAGTTGCAATAACCAATCATGGATGCATTTATCGCTACCTACGGCTCCCTTCTCGCTATCTCTCGCCTATGGCAACCCTAAACAAAGTTATCAGATCTCTAGTACAATGAAACCTTGTCATGTCGGGAAAATAGACGGAGATTTTGCGAAGAAATCCCAGTAGAAAACAAATCACATAGCTGTTTAAATCACGTGTATTCAAGTTGGTTTATTTTTTGTGAAAGGTCTTTACACCCATATCTGACCGTTCTACATCCACTTTTATTTCTTCTGATCTGCACCACGCGAATTGTGCTACTGGCAAAGTCTATACAGTAACTGCCAGTGGCACATCACACGGCGCTGACAAATGTCGCCCCCAGGCGGCTTTACCGCATATACGAAGCAGAGCTCTTTGTGCGGGGCGGGGTTCAATCCATTTCTTTGTGCTTTGTAATCATCTGATAGCCACGAGCTTTCAGAACATTCTAGCGGCTCTTCATTGTATGTACTGTAGCTCCGATCTAACAAACAAGACTATTGTAGACAGGTACAGAGCCAGTAGCTGCAAGTAGCAATTCAAACACTCCTAGTCTATCAGGATTAACGAAGTCATATTACTGAAAGTGATTGAAAGTACGCCTTTGAAGCTGCGGCAACACCTACTGATTTCACACAGACCACGTACATTCGGTAGTTGTAGTTCCAAGTATATCTTTCTGACTATCTAATACTTGATTAGTATTATCCCTTGACTACAGTAGCAACTCACACTACAAGCACCAGTCGCTAATTATTAGTGCAGTATCCAGTACAAGAACAAGTATCAGTACAGTACAGTATGTAGTCAGACGTATGTTTGATACCGCTGTTTTTTTTACGCAAAGCTTCATTCTAGAGAACTACACGCAAAAGTCACTCCTTGGTCATTTGCGAAACCCCTGTACTTCTCCTACTCGTACTTGTAGACACAGTCTGAGGTTCTCACTGCTGATGATCACGATGATCCCCCTACAGTATGGACATAAATCTCGAGTAGTGCAAAATTGGAGCTATAATTTGAATATTACCATCAAATGATCATTAATACACCCATAACCGGCCACTATACGTAAGGCAGCACATTGGCATTCCTCTTAGTTTAGTTTCCTTGATTGTTGCATTTGAATGGCCCACCTACGCAGAACAAGCATTCCTCCACCTTTGGCTCCTCTTGGCACCTCTTGGCAGTAAAGTTCAGGTGTTTTTGCTACTCGCCAGATCCCATGAGATTGTCAGAGTTTACGTGTCTCATCCCCAAAAAACCCACATGCCACAGAATCAAGTTCCACTGGTCGGCTCATCCCCTTCGACCCACTTACTGCACAACAATAACCCTTAAATATTCATAACTAATAAAATGTACTTCTCAAACAACAGGCTACTTCTGCTCACGGCTAGCCTCGACCCAAATATCGTCCTCGGACTCAAACTCGCTATCCTCAAGTCGAATCTGGCCATCGTAAGCTTCATTGTCATGCTGGACCTCGGGCATGGAGACAGAAGCCATGGGAGGAGGAGGAGGAGGAGGGTCGTCGACAGCCTGTCCCTGTCTGCTGGCAAAGTACTGCTTCCAGTACTGCTTGTAGTACTCGGAGACCTCGATCTTGTGCTTCTCGGCCTCGGAGAGTCCCTTTCTGTTAGATCGCGAGGATCTGCCTGATCGACCGGATCGTTCAGAACGTCCAGAACGCTCGGAACGCTCAGAGCGCTCAGAATGACGGGATGAAGGAACCTCTGAAGCGTGTGAATGTCGAGAGGAAGCAATGACCTCGGCCAGCTCGGCGGCCTCGGTCATCTCCGCAGCGTCAAGGTCAACAATCTCACGCTCCGGAGGAGGGCCATAGTGGCCCTCGCTACTCACGGGGGCTGTGGGCATGAGCTCATCGGCCAGAGTCGTGCCGGCGGGAGGAATGAAGGCAAACGGCCGCTCAACCATATGGCCAGGAGGGGGCCCAGTAGGGGGGCCATATTGCGAGGGAGATGGAGCCGCGGCGGTCTGGTTCAAGGCATGGAAATGGGGTCCTGTGGAGGTGGAAGATCCCATAACAGGCCGAGAAGGAGGGGGTGTGGGCACAGGACGTGTGTGGTGTCCCATCATGGGACCCAGGATGTGGGTGTTACCGGGTCCATGGACGTGCCCATGACCATGTCGTCCTCCATGATGACCGTGTCGACCTCCGTGTCGATGTCGCTTCTCCTGATCGAACGATTTGGGGAAGTCGTCACCACGTCGCTTGGGCTCGTCGCTGAGGCCGTGGTTGTGCCGGCATGAACCAGGGTGGTAAGCGTGAGCCCCAGGAGCGTGTCGAGGTCTCCAAAGGTCATGAGAGCCACGGCCATCACGCGACGGCTCTGTTCTGGGCGCAGCAGAGGCAGAGGCAGAGGCAGAAGTAGCCTCGGTGCCGTCTTCGGTGGCATCAGTAACATCGGTGCTGTCAATAATGGGGACATCCAGGTTAAGCGCCTCGAACAAATTATCGAGGGTGAACTGCTTGTCGCCTACACAGACCCGGAAGTTCTTCTCTCGGGCCTTAGCGGCAGCCTGGGCAGCAGCCTCGAGCCCGTGCTGCTGCAGACGACTCATGTGGTCCTGCACGCTCTGCTGTAGATCGGGCTCGAAGGTGTTAAAGAGTCTCTGGATCTCCTCGCCAATAGGTCGCAGCTCTGTGTTGGCAAATGACACCACGTTGGTGATGATACGCTGTAGAATCTCCCAGAAGGCAGGGAGAGGGGGTCTTTCGGTCTGTTGGCTGTGTCGAGATCGCTCTTCCTCCCGAGGACCAGGCACGCTGACGGGCGGGTCGTCTGTGTAAAAGTCCATGTTTTTGTCTCTCCAGAAGGTCTCTTTAGCGTTGGGGGTGAGAGTGAAAACGGGAATGGGAAGGCCGTTGAAATGCGCCTGGGCAATGAGCAAATGAAGCATCTCCTCGCTCTCGACGGGGTTCATTTCGCCGGTGGCGGAGGACTGGTGCTTCAGAGGCACTCCATAGGCCTCCACAATGTTGTCGTAGATTCCTCGGGGGAAGTTTCGAGTGGGGCCCGAGTTTCCGGACACGTAGAAAGGAGGCAGGCTTTGAGAGGCGTCGAAGTCGTCGTCCTCCTCCTCCGAAGGAGTGTCTTCTTCTTCCTCCTGTTCAACCGAGTTCTCGCGCGAATGCTGATTCTCGGCTCTTCCGTACTCGGGGAAGTCTGCAAAGCCGGAGTTTCGGTCAACCCGCACACGACGCTGGTTGTTCCGCTGGTGTTCTTCTGCCCGTCGCAATTTGGCCCGGGCTTCAGCGTAGAACTCTTTGGCGGCGTCGTCGGACGATTGCCGTCTATGGTGGTCATTTCGGGACCCCTTTTTGATTTTCATGTTTCAAAGTGGTCAACAGGTTGAAAGGTGAGGGTGGAGCTGATAGAGGCGGTCTTATGTGTATAGATAAAGTTGGTGGCGAACGGTTCACCTGCACCCCACATGAAAGATGGTGTGTGTAGCGGGATATAGATGTGGTGAGCCTAAAAGATTTTTGACAAATGGAAAAAATTAACGGGAATATACAGATCCTTTAATTTCGCTTAATCGGGTTTTTCCACCATTATGATATACAGCAAATTCTGAGTAGCCGAGAACGAAAACCTCTCGCCACCTGCTAGAACAAGGCCATTGTGAAGAAGCTAATTATTGCGCCTAGTCTGTCTGTCGGTTGGTGTCTTCGGAACGAGGGTCTTGGAGGAAGATGCATCTAAAGTGAATGGCCCCGGTCTTTACACACACGAACTGAGACAGTGAAAAAAACACATTCTGGAATCTGTTGAGTGAGTGGCGACAGCCGGGGCTATAAATACAATACACACACGCGTGTAGCTCTAATAAGCACACAAGTCGCCTTAGCTACTACAGTATCAGCATTGATCTTCAGTGATCTTCAGCAAGTTTGATCGTGGGAGACTATTGTTCAACACAACGTATTAATATCAACACCCGGTCTCATTGTACGGCACGAAATATCACAGATCCACTTTGTCAATCTTCCAGACCAACTCTCTCTATACACACACACAAGCTCCACTTTTTACCCCTTCACACAATCGGGCTGTGCTATCACATGCCTCATGCGCTTGAGCAACCTTATCGCGATATTTATACTGGGGCCAACCTCGTCCTACCAGTGTCTGATAGGGGCCAAAATGACACACAATCGTCCTTGAGCCGTGAATTTTTGGGAAGGGGGGATGTTTTAAAAATTTCGCGGCTATAGCGTTTTTGAATTCCCCTCTGGGTCTCACGTGACCATATTCTTTTAAGTTTGGCGGATTTAGCTCAGTTGGGAGAGCGCCAGACTGAAGTCGTTCTTCGGTCAGAGTATCTGGAGGTCCTGTGTTCGATCCACAGAATTCGCAATTTTTTCTTTTTCGGGTTTTTTTTCCATTTTTTTCCCATTTTTTGTCACTCCCGCCTTATCTACAGTATCAAATCTTTCGTAATGCAATCAATTATATACCTTTCTACCAATGAATAACATGCTGGTTTTCAGGGAGATCAAAGGCTCCGGTGGTCCGTCTCCATCTCCAGAACCTGATGACGCCATCTGAAATACCAGCAAAGTATCGATCGTGTGGATAGCTGAGATCGGTAGCCATTTTCTTCTGCTTGTAGCACGTTCGAGTAGACAAGTCAAACACCATATCGGGGAAAGAAACCAAACTGACTAACCTCTGTAGTTTGTCTTGCCGTTGTAACAATTTAGGGCCCGTAGGAAAGCCGTGTGTATGACAGGAAATACGCCAATCTGCCCTCATTCGGATACTAGCGAATCCATAGTCGTCCATGTGCTCAAGGTCAACCTGGTAAGGAACCAAAGTATTGTGCTGAAAGTGCCAAAGTAGGCCATTGTGAAGAGCAAACTTCTCCCAGTGGTCTCCTCCAAACAGCCCATTGGTGGTTGCAAGAACAGTAGTCAGCCCCCGAGTCTGGTGGTTGATGTAGTAGATCCTCTGACTGCTTGTAGTTGCCTGTGTGATGAATGTTGAGTCGTGAAACTGGGTGATCATATACGCCCCTATCATGGAGAAGGAGAATCTCTTGTCGACCTGCAGTTGGCCGTTTTTGAGGGGCACCATGATGAACACATGTCCTGTGACAAACAAAACTTCTTTATTGTTCACATGTTCAGTAACATGAATAGTTCCTTCGGGTACAGGCACCAGTGTTCCCAGATAGTCGTAATAGGTCTGCCCTGTGGGATCGTCCCGAACGACCTTGTTGACAAAAATGGGTTCAGCAACTGGCTTGATTTCCAGAGTTGATAGATTGACAGAAACCTGGCCGCCAAATACTCCGGTGTTGGAGTTGGTGATTATCATCTTGTTTCCCTCTAGATATTCACCTTCAGCAACTGGCCTATGATGAATCGCTTCAAAGTCAGGAGCATAAGGAAACTGGTAGGTAGTATCAATCTCGACAATGTCGTCTTCCGGAGACTTAGGGATCATAAATCGAGGAGGTTGAAGGACCCTACCCTGGGCCATGTTTCCAAACACGTGCTCCCACGGTCCCTTTTCATGGTAAAAGAGGCCCTCGATAGACCAAGGTCCTAGCGGAGGGTGAGTGGTGCGAACCCGAGCACAAAAGACATATGCAAGTTCACCCCAAGTCTCTATTTCAACTCCGTCTTCCTTTATACGCAGCCAGGGGCATCTGGCTAGCAGCTTCTGCTTGAGTAAGCTCTCGGAGAACTGATACATGTCTCGAAACGAACGACATGTTTGGCTGAGAACAACACACGTCTCAACAGAAGAGTGTCTGAATATCATTTCGATAATCTCGTTTGGTAGGTTCATTTTTTGCTTAAATCGACAACATCTCTGATCTGTCCTGTTTTATATATTTACTGCCCTAGATCGCCATGCAAGCCTGAGCCATACATTAGAGTCATGTTTATGGAAAGTGCAGAATAGGAATGGAATGGGCTAAAAAGTCAGAAGTAGATGTTACTAATACCATTGAAATCGATGAAAGTGAAAGAATACAGTGATACCTATTACAACTGGTGCTCTAGTATATACTACTATGTCGAGCTCCAAACCCATAAGTAGTTCCTCGGATGGACTCAACTTTATGGAATGAGAAGACACACTCAAGGACTAAAAAAAAAACGGTCATTATACCCATGCAATACTGTATAAAAGGCTTTGGTGTAGCCATGATTATTTTACCACTCGTCAACCAAACGACTCCTCAATGACAGCGCTAACACCAGAGTGTATGATATGTTACGGGGAGATCCACGCACGATCAATGCTGCAAGGTATCCCGTTCCACTCATTTTGCTCCTCTACTTGTGTTTTCGGTTCATTCAACAACGTCAGTTATTTACATATGTACATTTATTTCTCCTCCTTATCCTTACCATCCTTGGAGTCGTCCTTCTTCTCCTCCTCATCGTCCTTCTTGACTTCGTTCTCGTCCTTCTCAATCTCCTTGGCCTCTGACTGAGCCTTGTCGGCCATCTTGACCTCCTTGTTGTCGAGGTACTTGTCAAAAGCGTCGTTCTTCTCGGACCACGGCCGCTTGCCCAGAAGTCGGATCATGTCTTCTCGAGTGATGACTTCCTTCTTCAGCAGCTCCTCAGCCACCAGGTCCATCTCCTTGGACTTGGATCTGATCAGCTCGTGGCACTTTGTGTGAGCCTCGGAGATGATTCGTCGAATCTCGTGATCAATCACGTTGGCAGTTTCCTCGGAGTAGGGCTTGTTGAATCCGTCCTCGGCAACCTCAAAGTTGACGGGACCAATCTTGGGAGACATGCCCAAGCTGGTGACCATGGAGGTGGCATACTGTGTCACCTTTCGCAGATCGTCGGCGGCTCCGTTGGTGATGTCACCAAAGTAAATCTCCTCAGAAACTCGACCACCGAGAGTCATGACAAGCTGGTCGGTGATCTGGGCCTCAGAAAGCAGGTTGAGATCCGGAGGAAGGTACTGGGCGTATCCAAGAGCCTTTCCTCGGGGGATGATGGAGACCTTAAGAAGAGGATGGGCATGCTCGAGGAACCAACCGCAGATGGCGTGTCCAGCCTCGTGGTAGGCAATGGTCTTCTTCTCATCGGGCGTGAAAACCATGGTCTTCTTTTCCAGACCAGCAATGACTCGCTCAATGGCCTGCTCAAAATGCTTGATATCAACAGAGTCGGCGTCGGCACGGGCTGCAATCAGAGCAGCCTCGTTACATACGTTGGCAACGTTGGCGCCAGAGAAACCGGGAGTCAGGGCAGCCAGTCGAGAGGCTAGATCCTCTCGGTCCAGATCGGTAACAATCTTCTGGAGATGCACCATAAAGACAGCCTTTCGGCCCTCGACAGTGGGGTTGTCGATGGAAATGTGTCGGTCGAATCGGCCAGGTCGCAGAAGAGCAGGATCAAGAACATCAGGTCGGTTAGTACCGGCAAGAACAACGACGTGGTCAGAGGACTCGAAACCGTCCATCTCAACAAGAAGCTGGTTCAGAGTAGCTTCTCGCTCATCGTTACCTCCACCTCGCGTAGCATCTCCTCGAGCCTTTCCAATGGCGTCAATCTCATCGATGAAGACAATAGAGGGGGCCATCTGACGGGCCTGCTTGAACAGATCACGCACTCGGGAGGCTCCAACACCAACAAACATTTCCATAAACTCGGATCCGGACACAGACAGGAAGGGCACTCCGGCCTCACCAGCAGTGGCCTTGGCAACAAGGGTCTTACCGGTACCCGGAGGTCCGGACAAGATAGCTCCACGAGGGATCTTGGCACCAAGCTTCTCGTACTTCTTGGGGTCCTTGAGGAAGTTAACAAACTCCATGATCTCGACCTTGGCCTCGTCCATACCAGCGACATCGGAGAAGTTAGTCTTGACATCGGTCTCCTTGTTGAACAGCTTGGCCTTGGACTTACCCATACCGAATAGTCCTCCTCCTCCTCCGGGGCCTCCCTTACCGCCCTGTCTTCCCAGACGCGAGATGAAGAAGAAACCGGCAAGCATGAGGATAGTGGGGATCAGGGGAAGAAGAGTTCCGAGCAGAGAAGATCGTCGAACGTAGTGGATAGGGATTCGGTCAGCAGCAGCGATGTGGAGGGCGTCCTGGGCCTCCTCCATTCGTCGCTCGAAGGACTCGACAGATCCAATGGCAAACTCCACAATGGAGGTGGTGGTTCCGTTGGGCTGCTGCACGGGGGAGGTGAGCTCAGCCACAACCCGCTGGCCGTTCTCGACAGTCATCTTCTTGACCATGCCCTTTTCCAAATAGCCACTCTGGAACTCCTGCCACGACAGCTTGGGGCCGCTGTTAGAAGGAGAAGACAGATACCACGACAGAAGAGCAAACACAAGCAGGTTAGTCAGGATCGATTCGCCCATGGGCAGGTTGGGCTTCTTAGGATCCTTGCCGTCGCCACCCTGGCCTCCCTGGTTGTTGTTACCGCCCTCCTGGCGGTGGTTCTGCCACCACATTCCTCCTGGGGCGTTTTTGTCGTCCTTCTCTTTCTTGTCGTTTTGTGGTTTGTTGAAGACCCAGTTTCGAAGCAAGGAAGAAGATGTCTGAAAGCTGAAGAGCCGCCGTTGGGCCACGGGCAGTGTATGAGCCCGCGTGGCAACTCGCAAACCCACTCGTAGCGTCCGTAACGACACGATGCTGGGGTTCATTGTGATGTGTATAGAGAAGAGTGTAGCTGGGTGCAAATAAGTAGGTTTAAGTTGGTGAGTAAGCACTCCTCGGGCGAAGCGAGAGGTGGGGAGAAATGGGGGTTGCAGATATAGTAGAAAGCAACTGACTGAATATTCGGAATCTTCACACTTGTTTATACAGATGTGGGTCGTGACTTTTTCAAATTTCGACCACAACCACCATCTTATACTCTCCCCTAAGGTTCTCCTTATATTTCAACCAGAGCTAATCATACCACCAGTAGAGAAGAGTGATGACTAATTACGACCAAAAATACAAACCAAACAACCTTCTAGAGCACACATACTCCCTCACTCTCTCAAACGCCACTCTCAACCCCCTTTAATCCAACCAATCCAGCCAATCTTTGCTGTGGAAGCTTCCTGATCCCTCCAGACTGATAATATGCATCTCGGTGGCAAATCTCAGCTAGAAGAGTGACTCGAACAGTAAGAAGTCACGTGACAACTAGCTGGCACATGTTTTTACTACTTTTGCGACCCGTCCGTGAACTAAAAACCATTTGGATCACCGATCTTAAGCCCCGGAACCCCCCACCTTCTCCTCCGTCCTATCAGATTGTGGCACATTAAGGTTTGGACACCAGCCACATTTTTTGCAAACGTGGCGCAACAACCTAATTTTCCGAGGCTTACTTTGGTGGGAGAGTGAGCAGATTTAGCGTGATTATGTAAGCCGAGGAAGATGGAAGACAACGTTCCAGCATCTTTTCAGGAAGACTAGTTGAACATGAAGACGTTGCAAAGGGTGTTTAGATCGTGTAGTATTAATTGGAATGTGCTATTTCAACGTCTACTATGACCATATTTACACATTTTAGTTATATACTATGGCAGGTATCTTAGAGAGAACAAGATATCCATAGATGTGAGTTTCCAAGGATCATTTTGATACCAAGCATATCATCACTGTAATACTTACAGTACAGTACCCTCAGTACGAGTGGCTACTCATAGCATTATCTTGTGTTTAATATACATTGAAATGTAGAACTCGTTTAAGTAGCTACAGTATTCTGATGGTGGAGAAATCATGACAACTCGTGACTGTAAAACAGCATGAAAAGTAATAAATCGCAATTTAGGAGTACATTTTGCTATTAATCCTCCATTAGTAAGCCAATTGATACCGTCTACAAGCTCGTACACCCACACACACGTGCTAGGACTAGTGTTACTACTTGTGCTGTAAATTTTGCACCTCCATTTTTAGGTGCGCAACTATCGTCACCAACAACACGGTGTACAAGTAACCTGTACTGTACCTTGCAAATCTGTTTAGAAAATAAGCTTCTTTTATGTGGATATTTTGATCCCTATCGTATCAGATATATTATTATGATAGCAGGTGAATATTTTGCCGTTAAACGATCATTAACCACTGTATCTATCACATTACTCAAAATTGTAGCCATATGATGGAAATTACCTGTTTTCTAACCACCTCCATCTTCCTCCACCTGCCCCTTACAACGTCATATCACCTTAACCTTGCATAACCTCTCCACGTACAGTACTGTACAGAACAAGAACATCTTCACGACTCGACCGAAATGGATATTTTAGAAGACACGACGGAAGAAAGCAACTACTCTTCGATCCCCACGACGCCGCGGATCAACAAGAAAAAAGAACGGCCCTCGTCCACCTACTCAAACCTCCGATTGTCCATCTATGGAGAAGACGACAAGGGACTACTACCGGCTCCAGTCACCTCCGGCTCCTCCACAAACTACTCTGCAGGTCTACCGTCTCTCGCGCAGCTCGCAGACCTACCCACAGCCCCACCACCTCAATGGACCCAAGCAGGAATGACAGGATCGCCCAGTAGAGCCTCATTTCGTGCACCATCACCTACGCGCAACAGCCCCCTAATGCCTCCTCGATCGAGATCTCCCATGCGATCACAGAGTCCCCAACGGCCACAGAGCGGTATCTGGGACGGCAAATTCGACCCTCGAGCCGACTCAAACGGCTTCTTGACCCCCAACAATACCAATGCAACAACCAACACAGCAAACAATTCCACAACTAGCGTCAACAATGCCAACCCTTTCAATTTTGAACAGACCACATACTCGCTGTCACCGCCGGTCAAGCCGTCGCAACGACGAGGTCACAGATACAAACACTCCTCGGTGTCAATCAACTTCTTCGAGGAGCCAAATAAAGCGCCCTTGGCCATCCCGAAATCGCACCCCATCCCTAACGCAAAAGAGGCGCTGCAGTCCATGTCACGTGACCAGCGTGCTCGTATGTGCTGGTCTGGCGTTCATCTGCTGGCGGCGTTTGTCATCTTTTCTCTATCATCGCATGACTACACTGCGTTGGCTGCTTTGGCGCATCTTGTGCTGTATGATGCTCTGGGAGCTACTCTTACAGCTGCAGTCGATATTTTAGGTAACTTTGAGGTGTGGAAGAAGTCGTCGATCCACCATCCCTTTGGTCTTCAGCGAGCTGAGGTTCTGGCTGGTTTTGCGCTTTCCGTCGCTCTCATTTTCATGGGTGGAGATCTCCTTTCTCACTCTGTAGAGACTGTGGTTGAGGTGTTCTACGATGCGGACCATGTAGTGCACGATCACAATTCTGATATGACATCTGTGCCCCATGCTGACGACCATGGTCACAGAAACACCCATGGACATGGTCATGGGCATAGCAAGGATGGAACCTCTGTGCTTTCAGGAACCGATCTCAGCATCACCATTCTTGCTCTTCTGGTGACCGTCATTTCTGCCTACGGATTGAAGAACCATCAGCGAATCGGAAAAGCTATGCGACACAACACTCTTGCCCAGCTTCCTCTTCCCTCTTTCCTTTCCAACCCTTCGCATTTGATGACCATCACCTCTTCGCTGGCTATTATTTCTTACCTTCTCTTCCCCGGGTCTGGCTCTGAGGTTCTCGATTCCATTGTCACTCCTATCATTGCACTTTCAATGTGCTACGTTGGTTGGCAGCTGGCCAAGTCCCTTGGAGGAATGCTCATCATGTCGTTTCCCGGTGTTAACCGAATCTCTGATATTGAACAGGCCATTCTGGCTGAGAACCTTGTCAAGTCCGTCTCCGACGTGTCGTTCTGGCAGGTTCACCACAACCTGTGTCTCGTCAGTATGCGGATAGAGATGAACCAGGCTTCCAGTATGGAGGAGCAGGCTCTCAAGGCACGCGCTGCTGAGATTGCAAAGAACATCCTCACGCCGGACTACGAGGATATGCTGGATCAAGTGAGGTGGGAAACCACGATTGATATCACCAGATAGTTGGCTGAGCAAACTATCGCATCAGAGCTACCGTTGAAGGATTGAAATCACAGGAATCACGAGGAACTCGATGTAAATGGAGTAGTTTGACTGCTCCTTGCCTCCACATAGCTCACAATTGTAGTGTATAGAGCCCAAGGTACAGGTGCTGTACTTTAAGGACACACTACTTAATAGATTCATACCATAGAGGGTGTAATTATCGGTAGGTGTGATAGCAGATGAGCCATCTGACTATTGTAGGTACTGTACATACTGTACATATTATCTCTTCGCGTAGAAAACGCGACCTGATGCACTTTGTTTTTTGTTGTAAGCCGCGTCATGGTAGTTTTATGTGGGAGACCACTTGTGTTTTACAAGCACAGTACGAGCACAGTATGTACAGTTCATGGTTGCAATTAAATAATGGTGAGATCTGTGATATGTGATAAGGGCGCTCCTTCTGTCAATCCAGTTCTCACAGACTTCAGACACCTCGGGCAGCTATTTTTGGTGCTCTCTTCTCACTGTCTGTATGTTCACCCCAATCACGGATCACAACTGGATGTCGCATATGTTTCGGAGGTACTGTACTTGTATACCTGAGTGCCTTTTGCACGCACCGGAGCTTTCTAGAAGCCTGGCTCCACAATCGAACCACACGGCGGGAAAACGTGATCCACTTATGGGACAATTGTCTTCAAAAATAGATTGACTTTGGAGGTGCTTTTTGGCGGCACTTCACGTAGCCGTTGAACTTTACCGTGGGGCAGGAGCGGGCTGTAAAAGGGATAGTTTTGGGCCTAGAAGAACTGAAAAACAGCAGGGGACCTCGCGGGAGAAGGAAAAATCCAATGGTAACTTTAGATTTTACAATATCAGCCACCTTTTCAAAAAAAATCGGTACTCTCACCCCCTCCACCGGACTCCGAAACCTCCGACCCAACCTTAACAGAAGCCTCGGCTCATGCACAGAGCTGCAAGGTCTATCTCTGACCATCATTGGAGTCCACCTCTCAGCACGCAGACCTTGCCCCGAAGATCAGATGGGCAAAGCACCCACATGTGAGACAGCCCATGGATCGGAGATGGCGAAGCAACGTCAGAAAACTGAATAACAGAGTATCGGGACACCAGAGCAAAGGACACCAGAGCAACCAAGCAGATGCCAACATGTACCCCTGTATCGTGCTCGTACTCGTACTGTACTGTACGACGTACAATGGGTCTGGTGAGCAGAATTTGTTCACGATTGTGACGTTTGACATATGTGTGTATGTACTGTACTCAAGGTACCGGTATAATAGTTGCACCGATGGTCATGTACTTGCGATGGACAGTTGAGGTACTGTATTACTCGGACTGATACTGAGAACAGCCTTAGTGAAACGCCGTCGCTCCACGGAGACAAGTTGAACCGCTGCCGCGACGGACTAATCCCAATTCAGCAGTGAAGATTGATTGTCGGACGAGTCTGTTAGGATTCTCCTTCAACACGGCTACAGTAGTAGAGCTAAACAGAGTGTACGAGATGAGCTAAAGTAAGGCACAATACGAGTATGTGCCTGGATCGTACCTGGACACACTAGCGCTGTTTTGGTACTGATACTGCGTACAAGTGAAGACTGTCACCATGTCAGTTTCCCTGTATAACCACTGATCTGGCCAACAAGTGTCGACAAGTGTCAACAAGTGTCAACAACGCCCTTGTCCACTTCTACAGCAACATTATGGGCTGTTATTTTGAAACCCAAAAGAGACATCGACATCAAAAAAGAAGAAAAAGCAAAATGCGAAAAAGATTTGGGTGAGCGGGAGGAAAGTCAAGTGACGGAGATGACGAAGAGAGCCGCTGAGGTCGATGGATAACACCAATATGCGAGCTATTTCGGACCTAGATTCGATGGAAAAATACCAGCATATACTGGTCCGAGGGAATACACACATCCTGGACCTTCCCCTCCGCTTGTTTTTGCTCTCTTCATCACTGCCAAATGCATCCGAACATGCCTTTTTAACTTGATACGGCTAAACCTAGAGTACCCTTTATATTTGCTCGCGGGTTGGAACAGAGTGATAATTGAGGGAGTGCTGGCAAGTGCCATAGACGGAATATTGGCTGATTATAACTGATTGAAGCTCCGCAATTCTCGGAAAGCAACACCCATCTCTCTAGCACAATTACTCATCTACCCATGTTGGCAACGTTTTGAACAACCTACAGATGGTCCTGCAGATTCCGAAACGCAAAATCAAGTGGGTGTGGACACCATAAAGAATACAAGACCATCAAAACTACACATGTGGAAACCTACAAGCGTGAAAATTGTGGTAGAACTTTACTTTTTCCCCTATCTCGTCTGCAGCGCCTTGTAGCTCGCCTTCAATTTGCCTCCTTGTGAATTAACGTTGGGGTGGAAATCTTGGCCCTGACATGGGGACTCGCCATTTTTCGCTGGGGGAGGACAAGATACAAAGTACAAGTACAGTTAATCGAATCATCCACCCTCATCCAACCATTAATATACCTCGTCATTTCTCTGTCGGCTCTAGATCGTCCACAATCCCTTGCTAAAATAGCCACACAATGGAAACATGCATGCATGTCCCTCTATCGTACCTCGGGTGAGTCAAAAAAAAAAAAAAAAAAGAGGAAAATCCAGGATGCACGATCGGTGTTTGCATGAACTGTGTTTAGCTTGTCATGTACAAGTACAGGACCGGGAGGTATATAGTCGAGAGCGTCATCTTTCTTTGGTGTAACTGACAACTTCTGTATCAACAGACTTTACTATCGTACCATGACAGATCCTGTACCGATCACGCAGGATCCGACCATCTACTCGAGTCAGCAAGACGCCGAGATCCGGTCGTTGGCCGAGTCCATTCACTCACAGCATTCCAACAATTCCAACAACTCCACAGAGCTTACCAACCCGTATGTCGATACCTCTGATCCAGAGCTCGATCCCTGGAGCGGCCAGTTCAACAGTCGGAAATGGTCCAGGACAATTTTGGGTCTGAAACGACGATATGGCACCTCCAAGGAGATCACTGCCGGCGTGTCTTTCAAAAACCTCGGCGCCTATGGATATGGTGGAGGAGCCGATTACCAGAAGACTGTGGCCAACGCAGTGCTAGGTCTGGAGGGCGTTGTGCGTACTCTTTTCCATCTGGAGAAGAAGGAAGATAAGGTGCAGATTCTCTCTGACTTCAACGGTGTGCTATGGCCTGGGGAGACCTGTGTTGTCCTTGGACGACCTGGTTCTGGATGTACGACTCTGCTAAAGAGTATTGCTTGCGAGACGTACGGATTTCAGCTCGACAAAGAGACTGAATGGAATTATCAGGGTGAGTATGGGATTAACAAAGACTGAGTTAAAGCTCGGGCAAGTGGGGTTTGAAAGTGTGTTGATATTTACAATGTTGAGATGTGCTGATTATATCATTCCAACCACCTTAGCGAGTGAGAAGAATGAGATAAACTGGAACTTGGAGTGTAACGTTCAACACTCATGAACATTCTTTTCATTGAAGTTGGTACAACACCTCAATTAGCTGCCAGACCGCTCTACATTCACTCAATGGATGCTCGTTAATACCTACAGACGACTTTCCATACTGTACTCGAACCATACTAACATAGGCATTCCCCGAAAAATCATGCAGAAAACCTGCCGTGGTGAAATCGTGTACAACGCAGAAGTTGACGTGCATTTCCCTCATCTCACAGTCGGAGACACCCTCATGTTCGCCTCTCTGGCCCGAACTCCCCAGAACCGATTCGATGGAGTCACCCGAGAACAGTATGCAAAGCATACTCGAGACGTGACCATGGCCTCTCTGGGTCTGTCTCACACTCTCGACACCAAGGTTGGAAATGACTTTGTGCGAGGTGTTTCTGGAGGAGAGCGAAAGCGAGTCTCTATCGCCGAGAGTATTGTCTGTGGATCGCCTCTGCAGTGCTGGGACAACAGTACTCGAGGTCTCGATGCTGCTACTGCCACCGAGTTTCTGCGATGGCTGCGTCACTCAGCCGAGCTCACTGGCGCCTCCATGTTTGTGTCTCTCTACCAGGCCTCCCAGGAAGCCTACGAACTCTTTGACAAGGTGACCGTTCTCTACGAGGGTCAGCAGATCTACTTTGGTCCCGGTGAGCAAGCCAAGCAATACTTTGAAGAGATGGGATTCGAATGTCCTCATCGACAGACAACCGGAGACTTCCTCACATCTATTACCTCTCCTGCAGAGCGAATTGTCGCTCCTGGCTTTGAGGGGAAGACCCCTCGAACTGCATCCGAATTTGCTGAGCGATGGAGACAGTCCCAGGCCTATGCCAACCTTCAGGAGGAGATTGAGCGATTCAACACCGAGTTTCCCGTGGGAGGAAACCGAGTTGCCGATATCATGGAGCTCAAACAGGAGAAGCAGAGTGACCATATCAAGGTGTCTTCTCCCTACACAATCTCCATCCCCATGCAGGTCAAGCTGTGCTTGACCCGAGGCTTCCAAAGACTCAGAGGCGATCTCAGTATGGCTCTGACCACTGTCTTGGGTAACTTTGTCGTTGCTCTCATTCTCTCGTCTATGTTCTACAACATGCCCGAAGACACATCGTCCTTCTTTTCCCGAGGAGCTCTTCTATTCTTTGCCATGTTGATGAACGCCATGTCTTCTGTTCTTGAAATCATTGTCCTTTACGAACTTCGTCCCATTGTGGAAAAGCACCAGAGATACGCCATGTACCACCCCTTCTGTGAAGCGTTAGCGTCAATTATCTGCGACTTCCCCACCAAATTCCTCACCATGCTTTGTGTCAACGTGACTCTTTACTTCATGTCCAACCTGCGACGAGAAGCCGGTCCTTTTTTCATCTTCTTCCTCTTCACACTCCTATGTGTTTTGGCCATGAGTATGATTTTCCGAACCATTGCAGCTGTCACCAAAACTCTTCAGCAGGCCCTTGCTCCCGCAGCTGTCATTATTCTCGCCCTTATCATCTACACAGGCTTCACTCTCCCCATTAGCTACATGCGAGGATGGGCACGGTGGATCAACTATATTGACCCGATTGCCTACGGCTTTGAAGCGGTCATGGTCAACGAGTTCCGAAACAGAGAATTCCCTTGTGCCCTTTTCATCCCACAGCAGTCCACATACGACCAGCTGGGATCTCCTTACCAGGGCTGTATGGCCGTTGGAGCAAAGCCTGGAGAGCGTTTTGTCAACGGAGACCGGTACTTGGAAATGGCCTTTGATTACTCGCAGGCTCACTTGTGGCGAAACCTGGGTATCATGTTTGGCTTCATTCTCTTCTTTGCGTTCACCTACCTGACTGCCGTCGAGTTCATCCAGTCTGCCAAATCCAAGGGTGAGGTTCTGGTGTTCCTGCGATCTTCTCTCAAGCAGCGAAAGAAGCGAGCTCATCTGATGGATGTCGAGGCCAATGCTGAGAAGGTTGGTGCAGCTCAGGATAGAGAGATTCTTGTTCAGCAGGAGGAGGGTCAGCAGGAAGAGACTTCCTCGTGTACCCCCTCCGATTCTACCCCCAAGGATATCTTCCAATGGAAGGATGTGTGCTACGACATCAAGGTAAAGGGCGGAGAAAAGAGACTACTGGATAACGTGGACGGATGGGTCAAGCCAGGTACTCTAACAGCCCTCATGGGCTGCTCTGGAGCCGGTAAAACCACTCTTCTGGATGTTCTGGCTGACCGAAAGGCCACTGGTGTGATTACTGGAGACATGCGAGTCAACGGACAGAAGCGGGACGCCTCTTTCCAGAGAAAGACAGGTTACGTGCAACAGCAGGATCTCCATACTGCTACTTCCACCGTTCGTGAAGCTCTCGAGTTTTCTGCTCTTCTGCGACAACCTTCCAATGTGCCCAAGGCCGAGAAGATTGCCTATGTTGACGAAGTCATTGATATTCTGGAGATGCAGGCCTATGCTGATGCTGTTGTCGGTGTCCCCGGTGAAGGTCTCAACGTTGAGCAGCGAAAGCGACTAACTATCGGTGTAGAGCTTGCTGCCAAGCCTGAACTCCTGCTGTTCCTTGATGAGCCCACTTCCGGTCTTGACTCCCAGACTGCCTGGTCAATCATCTGTCTGCTGAAGAAACTAGCCAACCGAGGCCAGGCTATTCTGTGTACTATTCATCAGCCCTCTGCCATTCTCTTCCAAGAGTTTGACCGTCTTCTGTTCATGACTCTGGGAGGTAAGACTGTTTACTACGGAGATATCGGAGCCAACTCGTCTGCATTGATCAACTACTTCGAGTCCAAGGGTGCCGATCCTTGTCCTGAAGAGGCTAACCCTGCTGAATGGATGCTTGCTGCTATTGGAGCTGCCCCCGGAAGTATTGCCAAGCACGATTGGGCTGTAGTCTGGAACGAGAGTGAAGAGCGAGCCCGAGAGCGAGATCTGCTTGATAAGATGGCCGAGGAGCTTGCTGCTCAGAGTACTCATGATGAGAAGAACGAGCTGGTAACCTCCAAGAGCGTCGGAAGCTCCCAGACCTCCTCTTCGTCATACTCTGCCAAGTCCCAGTACGCCACATCTCAGGCTACTCAGCTGTACTACCTTACCAAGCGACTGTGGACCTACTACTGGCGATCTCCCCGATATATCTGGTCCAAGCTACTCATGTCCATTGCCTCTGCCCTGTTTATTGGTTTCTCTTACTACAAGGCGTCACAAGACATCCAGGGTCTCCAGAACCAGATGTTTGCCTTCTTCATGCTTTTCCTCATCTTCGTCATCATCATGGTCCAGATTCTGCCCCATTTCGTGGCCCAGCGAGAACTCTACGAGGCGCGAGAGCGATCTTCCATGGCTTATTCGTGGCAGGCTTTCATGGGCTCTAACATCCTCGTCGAGCTTCCCTGGCAGACTCTGGTGGCAGTTCTTGTCTTCTTCTGCTTTTACTACCCCATTGGCCTGCAGAATAACGCTACTGGCCATCTTGGCGAACGAGGAGCCCTCTTCTTCCTCTTGCTCTGGTCCTTCTACGTCTACAACTCCACTTTTGCTCACATGATGGGAGCCGCCTTCGAGAACAAGGAGAACGCAGCCACCATTGGTTACCTGCTCTTTGCTCTCTGTCTGATCTTCTGTGGTGTTCTGGCCACCAAGGAGGACATGCCCCACTTCTGGATCTTCATGTACCGAGTGTCTCCGCTGACTTACCTCATTTCCGGCCTCCTCAGTGCAGGTGTCGGAGAGACCAGAGTTGAGTGCACCGATAACGAGCTTGTCCTGTTCAAGCCCATGAACGGAACCAACTGTGGAAAATACATGCATCCGTTCATGGAGGGTCTTGGACACACAGACATGCCCATGGGCTATCTGGTCGACCCATCCGCCACCGACATGTGTGGATATTGCCCCATTTCCAACACCAACGGCTACCTTGACCAGATTGATGTCAAGTACAGTCAGCGATGGCGAAACTATGGCATTCTGTTTGCCTACCCTGCCTTCAACGTCTTTATGGCTTTTGCTTTCTACTATATCTTCCGAGTCCCCAAAAAGTCTCGAAAGCAGAAGGCCTAGGCACTTTCATCCCATTCTTTAATTAATTTTATTCACATATTAATCGACATTTTAATTCGTACAAGTATTTGCTTCTCTTCTGTATTCTGCGCGGTGTGTGTGCGTACATACATCCTGTACTTGTCAGTTCAAAACTCGCTTATTACGTCAAAACTGTGGCTCAATTAAATTAATTTCGTATTTTTTTGACGAATTGATCTCAAAAAATTGAATCTGAACGCATTCTATAGTGTCGTCCAATACCCAAAAAATTTTTGCCTATTACCAGAGTCGAACTGGTGCTCTTCTCATGTCGCATTTGTGATACGAGTGAGACGCCTTAGCCACTTGGCCAAACAGGCTGGCTGTAAGGTTTCGGGAAAAGAAACCCTCTACACTGCAACAGACAAGTCACGTGACCTAAATTTTTTGATGGCATATAATGACATCCTAGTGTGCGATGTTGGTTCGGAAAAAATAAGAATATGGTTAAGAAAGAGCCAATAATACAGTGGAATGGTTTTAAAAAAGGCTAGGCTATTGGATCATGTTGAAGGGTTAGTTTCGTCAAATGTGGAGGAATAGGGCACACAACAGGCTGCTATGGAACGGAGATACGAAATGGGGACTTATTAGATCCGTTCATGGAAATACCATTGACATATTATGAGAGATTTATGGCCAGCAACCGTTTATTTCTGCGAAGACGTTGACAATAATGTTTCTTGAATATTTTGTCAGGCTTGAAATAAGCTTAACAATACTTCAGTATTAAACGGAATATTACTTGTGTAAGCGTACATTCATTTCAAAGGTTATTCTTTCACAGCAAAGTTATAATTAAATGAATGTATATGCAGAAAAAAAAAAAAAAAACTTGGTTGAAATATGTTCTAGTTAGCCTTGGACAATCAATCTGCACATTACTCTCTTACTGTACGTGAGAGACCAACATACAATTGTTACACTACATCTGGTCAAATATTTACTGGATCCCATACACCATTGCCTATGTGCCTGGCAGTCACACACCCATCTATATAATTACTTCGTTCGTCCCATTATGTAATGTACATTTTACACGTCTCTATGGCGATTCTATTCCTCTGGTGGCTCAAAAATCTCGTCTTCGATTTGGTACCAGTCTAGCTTGTGATAATTCAGCCTACACTGTTCCACATAGCTGGGCCAGTTTTTGTTCCTCGATTTGGACAGTTCATCTCGGACTTTTTCCATCAGACAATAGCTGCCTCTTCCTGGCACCACCAGACACGACTGCGCAAAGTTGTCGTTGCACCGCCAGACACAGTCTTCATTGGACGCCATGGCTAGTGTCTGTTTAGTCAGCGAGTCGAGCGGATTGAGATCGTTTTGCTTGGCTTTGATTTCACCAAACGGAGTGGATCCCGAGTTGTTGATAAGCAAACAAAGCATCTTGTCGCTCTGGGAACAGAGCCACAAAGAGAGAACCACGGGAGTGCTCGCCATGTGCGAAACTGCGTTCCAGCCCTCGGGAGCCTCGCATCCTTCCTTTATCGTGACAAGAGTGCCTGTAGTGTTCTGGACCGGGATCCAAGGAGGCACATAGCACGACTCCGTGTCGTCAATCACAAACGTGTGAAACCGGGCCTGGAAAAGCAGCTCACTGTTCACGTCTCCAATGTAGAACTGTGAGAAGTCGAAATTGGCCACCATATCGGATTGCCGGGGAACATAGAGCCATAGTCCTAGCAAGCAGAAACATAGAATCACAGCTCGAATCGGCGCAATGTATTGTCGCATATGTCGGACAACTGAGCTCATTTCATTGTAATTGAATGGATGGTCGTACGGCAAGGAGGAAAAAACCTACCGGGCAGGGCCCACCCACCCTAACGGCTGTCTAAAGTCAAATGTTTATCTCTTGACTGTGGCGACCTGAGCAGGCATCTGAGATGCATTAAACAGCAATTGAGAACACAGGACGTCGCCAACGCGATAAATAGACCTTTCAATCACGTGAATCAACTGCAGATCACGTGAGTTATCAATCAAACCATCCGATTAATCTTCTCCACCTTTTAAACGGCGAACCATAGTTGCGCCATTTGCTCCATGTTCTTACAGTTTGGTCAGAGTCAAGGTTTAATGCCTAACGCCGTACAGTACCACACATGCATGCACAACCACGAAGCGAGGCTCTTGCATACAATACAAGTAGACATGATGAAGCGCTCAAAAGACCAGACCTTATACGGCTTGTGTTTGGTTTTGTAGCGGGCTTGACAGGCTGAAATTAACAAAGTACTAACAAAACAGGGCCAAGCTGCGTCCGAAGGAACCTCAGTTATACAAGATTGGTAAACAAGGCACCGGTGAAGCTCGTAATCTGAAACACCATGACCACAACGCATATATCTACTTTTGGATACGAATGATACTACGGTAAATGCCAGTGGAGTCTCATATGTGGCTGAGAACATCAAGTCAAGATCACAGAGAACATTCCCCACACAGTGACAAGGCGGTACAATACTACCACAAGCACATTACCAGTAGCTACTATGAGTGACACCTGTAACAATGCAAAATACCGTCCTATTCAAGTCTGGTACTTGTACTTTTGGGGCCCAACCCACAGCAATCTATCAAATGCATTATCATTAGCCACGATTATATAGCTACAATTTAGACCCCTCTGCCATGCTTCCCCTGCCATGACCTGAATCATTCTTGTGACCTAATGGTCCAACACCCCAATTTGGCGCAGATTGGCAATCGATCGCATCTTCCGGTTGATCGAGTTGGGGGCAGGAAACTCCTGAGGTTCGCCTGCGAGAGGACCATCGGTGTGGAACAGCAGAGGCCGGTAGCTCTCGTCCTGGTCCATGACCGACGAGTTTCGGAACTTTTCAATGAGGCATTCCTTGCCCTGAGTGCTAAGTTAGTTTTACGTCCGTGGTATAAAGCGGGTATCGCTAGATGGGGAATCACAGCAAAGTATACTCATATGTTGGCGTAGGTGAGATCGCAGATTTTTCCCGAGTTGAATGAGCCCCACTTTTTGCTGCATCGCTCGTTGGCAAACTTGATGATATGGTTGGGCGATACAAAAGAGATGAAGGCGTACCCCACGCTGTGTTAGTTAAAACCTGTCGGCAAGTTACGGACTGGGTGAATGCTCACTTGCAACGGTTCCGGAAGTCCATCCGGAGATAGAGGAAGTCGTATGTTCCCTTGGACGTCTCGTCGACCCAGTCCTGAAGCATCTTCTGGGTGAACTTGTTGGGGATGTTTCGGATCATGAGAGTGGTGCGGGTATCCAGCCCATTGGCAACTCGGTTGAGGTCAATGGTGTTTTTGCGGGGCACGACGGCCATGGTGACGATGTTCTTCTCGCGTTGGGCATCCTTTCTCGAGGTTGACGACTGTTTCATGAGGTCGGTGTCGATGCGGAGGGCGTCGTAAGCCCGAGTAGAGAGGTAGTACTCGAGCATGAGATCGCCAGTGTCAGGGCAGGTGTCGATCCGGTTGACCTCCCCGACGAGAGCATACCAATTGTACTCCTGGGGCTTGCAGGTCACGGTCCCTTCGTGGACACGGACGCCCACTTTCCCCAGAGCTTTAACGACCGTGTCGTCCACAGGCTGATAGACACATGATCTGTGTCCTCCAAAGCGGGAGAAGGCCAGCGCCGCGTGTCGGATGTCTGGGAAGTAGACATTGAGCGTGTTCTTGGTGTAGGCCAGAATAACGTAGGATCCAAACTGTTGGAACACAGACCGAACGTGGTTGGTGAGTGGCGTATTGACTGTCAAGAATCTGGAGATGAAGGGTTTGTGTTCGTTCTCCTTGTTGTTGTTGGGCAGGGGGCCGCCGACCTTGATGCCCAGCGCCTTGGATCGCTTCTCAAACTCCGTCTTGAGGTCCACGTTTGTGTCCATTGAAAGAGCCTTAAAAGTGGTGGTTAAGAGTAAGAGTTTAGGATCGAGGAGTGCGAATCAAAAGGGGCCTGTAGGTTGGAGTGTGAGGGTCACAGGAGACGGAGGGTTGAGACACTGGCAAAATTACAACCAAAGTGGAAGAGAGCCCAAAAGCACCAGTACAAAAATATCGCCAGAACATTGTTTTCTATCCATCACAACTATTGTCCTCGACTTTAGTGTCACCACTCATGTCTTGTGGTTATGCGTAACCTGCCTTATCACGCTTATCGAACTTTATTTCAGTTGTCGTTGCGGGGACGAAGTCTACAAGTCGGTTGTTGGGCAGAATCTTATGAGACACATTGCGCATCACCGGACAGTGATTAGTGTACCCCCGGAGGGGTGAATACGGTGGCCTCGGTAGTTTCCACTATTGAGGGATTACTTCCCACACTGAGTGCGAATACAATTACCGGAGTACGAATACATACTGGGTGGTACAAGTCTGTCCAGTGCTCGTACAGTATGTACTGGTGCTCGTGCAATAGTCGTACAATAGACATGATCTGCTCCGACATGTTGGTCGAAACAACCGTATCACATTAAATCTGTTCATTAAAATTAAATTATTGCTGTGTCCAATGGAATATCCCCCTCTTCGTTATCTCATCCCTTGAGGCGGTCAAGCGGAGTTCTCATCCAGCTTCATTAGTCCTCAATCACCCGCTAAGAGTCCCTCACTGACAAATAGCCACACACAGCCGCCACCGACATAGATCGCCAACGGACTGCCGTATCATCTTACTGGTGTGCGGCTGGAACCTGTGCAGTTGGTGGTTGTGCAGTTGCAGGTTCCTTCTTCTCCGTGGAGGCCTTGGAATTGGGCCGAGACAGACTTCGTATCTTGGCCATAGACATTCTGGGACACTCGTCCTCCGGGGGCATCTTGGTGCCTCGAACAAACATAGGGATGCACATGGTGTATATTGTGTAGTAGTTTTGATGAATGTCCAAGTTGCACCGACCAAGCCATCTGTTTATATAAGTCGACGGATGTCTCAAAGGTGCATCTCGGTAGCGAGAAGATGCACGCACATGACTCAACCCAAAACCATCTACATCCAAGACGCATCCTTCGGACCAGCCTTTCCGGAAGAACGGGGTAAACTAAATGTAACCAATCATCTAGGTCGCCGCCCTTCTGCAGAGTCACAAGTGAGACACGCCTTCATCCCAAGCTCAGGCGATATTTCAGCGATCTGCGCATCCCAGATGCATTGCTTCCTGCTTTCAACCTCGCCGCATGTGGATGGGCTCCGGCAGAAGAGACGCAATGGATCCGATACCGCACTATTCCCTCCCTTTCTAGAAAAGGCTTCGTCGGACGAGCGGATCAACAAGGTCTCGTATGTGCGGCAGTCATGGCAATAACCCAAAAGGTACCGGTATCAGTGTGAATTGCAACTACATGCGCCCTGGTCTAGGCGCAGGGTGTACACGATTTTCACGCAGTATTACGGGCGGGTCTTTCATAAGGTAAATACTTGTCGTACACTGTACTGTACAGTACTGTATGTACTCGTACATAGGGGTGCTGCCCTCACGCAATGTCACTCTTCGAGTTTCTCGATATCTGGGACCGGACCAGCAGGGATAATGCTTTCTGGACCCTTGTCGTAATACAACTGTTTAATGTGCGAAAAATCAGTTGTGTCTCGGAATGCTGGAACCTGCCAGTACAGGTGTCTCAGCCAAAGATGGATCCAGGGGAAGTTATGGCGGATCATGCCAACGTTGCACTTGAACCGTTGCACATAGACCGGATCGAATCTGACAATCGAAGTGTACAGAAACACATCGGCTGCTGTCAGACTGTCTCCAGCGAGATACTTGCTGTCTCTCAGATCCTTCTCGACTTTTTTCAAAGCCGAGAACAGCTCCTTGATCGCTCCATTGTAAGCGGTCTGGTCCTTAGAGAAGCCCACCTTGTACACGGCAAGAGTGATGTTTTTGTGGACAAAGTCGGTACTCTTCTTGACCCGTTTGTCAAACTCGCCGTCCATCATCTCGGCAATCTGGGCTGACTCATTGCTGACCAACTTGTTCGAGTGAGTGTCAATCAATAGAGGGACGGTAATGGATCCTGAGTAGCCAGGGTCGACCTTTTCGTACACTTGACGGAGCGTGTCGAGCCCATAGATTGTGTCTTTAGTACACCCTTCCTTCGAGGGCGAGAACACCCACCCCTTGTCTCCCAAGACTGGGTCCACAACATCGACACTGATATTGTCCAGCTTGTGCAGATCGCGCATAATCAAAGCTCGGTGGGCGAACGGGCATCCTCGAGAAACATATAGGTGCAAGTTTTTAGTTTGTCTGGTTATTTGTTTCATGGTATCAGAAGTATGGGGAGGTGGAAGAAGAGACATGTGAGAATGAGGATAAACGTTGGTAAAGTCGGTGATTACTAATACGACAAAGAGACCAAGAGAAAACGGCCCACGTAACATGAGAACAAGTAAGACAGTACTATGCTAACAGTGAGTAAGTGCAGACGGTCATGTCCATCTTTTCCGGGTACTTTACCAAAACTGTCCAACATTTCGACTCAGCGTCCTCAGAACAAACTTCAGCGGTTCCAGTAGGGCACAGTAGAACATGACATGACAGGATCTAGCTGACGCAATTTTGGAGATATTAGTCTGAAATTGGACACGGAGACTCACATTGAAACCCACCAGCCGAACTTCTTGATACTTTAGTCTCTTACTGACCAAGTTGTGCGCTTATCGAATTTTTTTTTTTTAATCTATTTTCTTTTTCAAGTCTATGCACTTTTCCCTAACCGTATCAGCACAACTCTAACATTTGGAGGGCTGTATGGACAATCAGCAGGGCGTTCTATTTTCAACATCGTCGTAAATAACGGGTAAAACAAACAACAAAAAAAGAAAGTGCCGATTATAGTAACAGGTCTTAATCTGAATAGCTATGATCTGACACCCAATCCGCCTCCGCGACCCAACAAAATGTGTGCCGCACCTCACATTGAGTTGGAGGCACTGGTCACATGATTTCTGTATGGAAGGTGTGGATACGGGCCAATCCCAGCCCAATCCAATACGCCCCTCATTGTTGGTAGAGCGATCGACAATGCGTCAGATACAAAAATAAATCAATATATTAAATATACAATACAGCGGTACGAAAGTGTGCAAACCATCGTCCTTGTCATCTCATCAAATCGCCCTAGAGATTGGGCTCCATCTAGTAAGCACAGTCCTTGGTGGCCTCGGTGCCGGGAGCAGAGTCGGTGGATCCACCGTAAGCAGGCTCAAACGAGGCAATGTCAGCGTTTCCAGGCTTGGGGTTCTGGGAGGCGTACGCAGGGTCAAACTGCTCGTTGGTCTCGGTGGTCTTTCCGTGATTCTGGTCGAGGTACTCAGGATTGGTCACCTTCTCGACCTTCTCGTCGATCTTCTCGACGGCAGCTTCAATTTTGTCTCCAAGTCCCATTTTGTTGTGTGTGTGTGTGTGTGTGTGTGTCGAAATGATATTCTTTTAGTCTCCGACAAGACGGAAGAGACACCTATATATACACCCACAACGGGTCTCAGGTGTACACATGGCGTACTACATGGTTATTTGCTTTTGCCACTGCTGCCTGAATATATGCACTGTGGGTCGGCGGTAAACGGCTATTTTTAATTGGGGTTTGGAGCCCTGAGATGATCACGTGACCATACGTGGACTCCGACTTGATTAACCCCCCCCCAAACCACTTGTATGCCTCCCTCCGCCTACCTCTTACACCAGTGTTGAGAAACTCATTCAGCCGTCCGACTTGAAGGTTCGGAATAAACTCCTGAGAATGGCCTTTGTTGGAACTCTGTTATGGTTGCTACTTCTACGACAATGGTCATGTGTGTTGAAGAACAATGGAAGAGTGCGTTTCCGAAGCAGTATTTGAGCATGGTACTCTACTGGATGACGTAATACACTCGTAACCTTTCCTTATGGTTTACATAATCCATCAAAGTGGGCAATTCGCCCGTACGATATGACAGCAACATGCATCCCTGCAGTGTATATTGGGCGTAATCTGCAGCTACTTGTAGTGTAGTGGGGCATCATGTAATGCGTGTTTCTATTTATTTATTTATATTAATTTTTGAGCTTTTTTTTTTGAATATTGGCAGCGAGGGTCTCTCTGGGTACATGAATTCATTTCCAAGGAGCCTCTGAGACAAATGTCTATAGATCCACTGTTCTGGAAGATGTAGATCTGGGGAGCATAAGGTTATGGGAAGTACCAGTACAGTGCCCAAGTAATTTAGTGAGAGTTAGTTGAAGTAGATGATGCTCAATTGAGACGGTTGTGTAAGATAGGCAGATAACGAGTAAATGACAGAAGACTTCCCAGGGAAGTGTTTTTTTACAAGTGGTATTTTTCATCACAAAAGACTCCTTATATCAACGACATTGTGTGCCGAGGCCAGTTGGATTTCCTAGAGTCTGGGAATATGAATTGAATGTGGAGCTCGACGAGAGACTGGAGTTTCCTCAATATCTTTTCTGGGTGTAATTGCATGGTATAGAAGTGTTTGAATGGTATCAAAGTGTTTGCATTGGTCACTTCGCCACGTTTCTGAAGCACAGAGATTTACATGACTGAAGCTCCAGCTCCAGCAAGACCAAAGGAACGCACGTGTTCGAACGTGAATACTCGAGGAGATCCGCAATGGCGAGTCAGGTCTACACAGTTTATACGCGATCCTTCCTATTGCTTCCACAAAACCGACCTGTTTTGTACTTTGCAGAATCATGATCGCTTAAGCCACGATAGTCGGTACAGTGAACATCGCGAGCTACTATACCATCAACGCTGCCTCACAGACACCAACTAATGAAGCTGATGCCTGTGGAAAGTTTGAAAAAGAACAAATACGTTCGTAACAGGTCTTGACAGATCTCTGAACGGCAAGTTCCATTGATAGACAGGCAGGCTACCGATGCTCTCGAGAAGGGCCACGACCACGTTTTGCTAACTTTGAAAGTTGATTGGAGATCAGTTTTAAACCTGTTATTGCTGCACGTATACATCCCCTTGTGTTTATCCCCCATTCATGGATCTTGGTACCCCCACGGCTGCTCGAAGGTCTCATGTGAACCCCCAAACTCCAATTTTCCGGTGGTATCCGTCTGTTTTGACTTGCGAGATATAATTTCTTGGTAGATATTGTTAGAACCGACTCTTCTAGGGTCGCTCTCGGCTGTCGCAGTCTTCTCTAAACGCCGAACGTCTCTTCGTTCGACGTCCTATAGCATCTGAACGACTGAATGACATCAAGAAATCTCAATGGAGCAAGTGAAAACAATCGCTGTATAGAGTGACACTTGATCAGCAGACGTGCGTTGCATCGACCCCTCGTCAAGAGCCGTACATCATCCACACATCCACATATCCACATTTTGCTTTCTGTGGCAGCATCACGATAAGAAGTGTCAGATGTGCCCTCCACCCCTGCTAGGTCGTATTTGAGTTCTCCACCTGTGCTCCACCCTATCAGCTCTGCCAATTCACACAGTCGAAGATAGGTACAAGACACAACCAGATTCGACTCGGGGAACAAGTCGAGGAGCGATCAACACAATACTGTCAATCGTCAGAGCGTATGATGGGCAGTCCTACACTCTCTCCATGACTCATGTCACTGCAAGACTCGGTCCAATGACTCAAAGATGAGATATCATTGCACTTACTTTTTTGTGCGGGCTGCACTCTAGCAGCTCGTATTTCTCTGTGGCTTGTCAAGTGGAGAGAAGCTAATGCTGAGCTAATGAGCCCACGTTACCAAACACGCGAAAACGGAACCCGAGCAGCCAGAGATACAGGGACTTGATGGGAAGAAATAACTGAATCAGAAGATGTAAATTGTATCATTGTTTTGCTCACCAATAGTAGGTAAGGCAATATCATCAACTGGTAAAGTCGACCAATGTCTCAAACTACATCCAAAGCATCCAGTTGATTGCAAACTCTACAACGCCAAGATACGACTATCACATTAGTTCGGACTGGCTGGAAGCGATAGAGTCTTAACTCGGGAGTAATTGTGGAACCACCTTTCTGTGACATCATGCACAACCAATACGATATGGACGTGATTCATCTTTACTCTTCAGCCCTTCGTGTAGCATACCGTACAGAAAAACCGCAAAGCAGTACCCCACATAGTTTAGAATGAAGATTGGGTGCCTTTTAAGAGCGATGTTGCAGGTGCATACAGCATCTGGGCTCGTAGTCTTATCGTCTTACCGTATTACCGTCTCCGTATGGTATTCTGTACCGTGTCCAATCGAAACTCTGGTAACATCCAATCCCAGACAACCGAATAATTATTTGCGTCAATGATAGAGTCTTTGTTTAGACGGCAACTCCGATAAAGTCGACTTTTGGACGACTGATGCTTTGCTGTATATCTGAAAAGACAAGACCAAATGAGTATCCATTAAGAGAACACTTGTACAGGTATTTCCAGACAAAACATTACACAATGAATTACCCATACAAGCTACCCCTGAATAATACACAACAGACACTGTTCAATCTCAATCATGTTTTCACAACCAAAGATAAGCCACATTAAGGAGGTTATTTTTTTTTTTAAGTCAAGACACAGGGTTTTTTTCTCAATGCTGTTGAACCTTGACTTTGTACCCTACTGCAGCGATGGGTACGGTAGTGTACCCAAGACACTGACTGGGATTCACGAAAAAACAATGTCTCCTTCTCCAACATGTGCTGTACACGCCGCTCTCCCATGTCTTGGCTTGCATTATCTCATTGCAGCTATCTTGGCGTCATGATCTGACAGTCTTGGCATCCAGATAAGCCACTGACGCGTGTCTCAGTTGACGCACTAAACCTTGAGCCCTACAAACGAACCATGTTGCTTGGTTGTTTGATTCTTGTGTCACCACTGTGGTAGATATCGTCGGAGCCGTGCGCGGTGCCGTGTGAAATCATGGAGTACTTATACTAGGTGTAGGGGAATGTCGTTTTCCAGACAACCACTTTGGCCATGAGCTCAGAATCGATCCAGGAGCACGAAAAGTCGGACGACAAGTTCCGCTCGGAGAAGGAGATCCACGAGATCGAGTTCGAGGCGACCGAAGTCTCGGACGGCTCTTTCATTGACTACGTCGGTGAAAAGCTCAACTTCGTGCCCGATGAAAACGGCATCCACACCAAGAACATCCGCCTGATGGCCAACTTTGTGGCAGAGCTGTCAGACTCCGAAGCTGAAGAGATCCTGCTCAAGTTCATCCCCGTTCACGAGGATGACTACAACCTTCGTCTGGAATACAAGGAGTACCTAAAAGCCCTTGTTTCGGGAGAGAAAGACGCTCCCAATCCAGATACGTACTCTTTGGACCTCCGAATCGAAGCTGCTGCCATCAAATACTGGTCTCCTTACATTGAGGTCAGAGCCGTCACTGATTGCTACGACGACATGGATGAGCCCTGCGAGACCATCAGAGCGTATGCTATTGGTCTGGTATGGCTCCTGGTCGGCTGCTTTGTCAATCAGTTCTTCATCTTCCGGTACCCTTCGATCTCCATCGGCTCTGACGTTCTCCAGCTGCTCACCTATCCCTGTGGAGAGCTCCTTGCCCGTATTCTTCCTGACTGGGGCTTCACCTGGAGAGGTACTCGAATCTCCCTGAACCCTGGACCTTGGAGCCGAAAGGAACAAATGTTCGCCACCTTCTTCTTGTCGGGAGGAGATGGAGCCACCTACGTGTCTGCCTACAACCTGCCCACCCAGTTGCTACCCATGTACTACAACCAAAAGTGGGCCACCTTTGGCTACCAAATCATGCTGACTCTGTCATCGCAGTATATTGGATTTGGATTTGCAGGAATCCTCAGACGGTTCGCTATCTACCCTACCAAGGCCATGTGGCCCCTGAACATGCCCACCATCGCCCTCAATCGTGCACTTCTAGATCCCGAAAGAAAGCAGAAGATCAACGGATGGACCATCTCCAAGTATTGGTGGTTTCTTGCCACTTTTGTGGTCTCCTTTATCTACTACTGGATCCCTGATTACCTCTTCCAGGCGATCTCCAATTTCAACTGGATGACTTGGATTGCACCCAACAACGTCAACCTGGCACTCATCACCGGTCAATCTGGAATGGGCATCAATCCTATTCCTACATTTGATCTCAACCAGATCGGAGTTGGCAGTGTCGTGACTCCCTGGTGGTCTATTGTCAACAGTCTGATCGGTCTTGTTATCGGTACTTTTGCCGTCATCGGTGTCTACTACTCCAACGTCCGATGGACTGCCTACCTGCCCATGAACATGCCTGGTATCTACAACAACAAAGGAGGCAGCTACAAGGTGACAAAGATTCTTACCAACGGAGTTTTTGACTTGGAAAAGTACCACGAATACGGACCTCCGCTGTGGAGTGCAGGAAACCTCGTGGCCTACGGAGCCTTCTTCTCCGTCTACACCCTTGGCTTTGTCTATACAATGTTGGCTTACTGGCAAGACATGAAACAGGCGTCTATCGACTTCTACAACGGAATTGCCTTCTGGAATGGAACTAAACGTACTGAGGTCGACTCACCTTTTGCCAAGCAGCTCAAAAAGTACGCCGATGTGCCTGATTGGTGGTTCTTCCTCATTCTGCTCATCTCCATCGGATTCTGTATCGGAACAGTCAAGGGATGGGAAACCACCACTCCTGTCTGGGGTATTTTCTTTGTCCTTGGTATCAACCTCGTCTTCCTGATCCCCATCTGTCTTCTGCAGGCATACACAGGGAACGGATTTGCTCTCAACGTGCTGGTCGAAATCATCTGTGGATACGCTCTCAACGGTCGTCCCACGGCCCTAAACATTCTCAAGGCTTACGGAGTCAACGTTGACTCTACGTCTCAGGGATTCGTATCTGTATGGAAGACCGGTATGTATACTTATGTTCCCTCTCGAGCTATTTTTCGATCCCAGGTCTTGTCAACTCTGATCAGTGCCTTTGTCACCGTCGGTATTCTCCAGTATCAGCTTACTCTCCAGGATATTTGCACTCCTGCCCAGAGAGCTACCACCAAGTTCACCTGTCCTGGTCAGAACACCTTCTACGCCGCCTCCGTGCTTTTTGGAGCCATTGGAACCAAGCGTTTCTTTGGTACTGGAGGAAACACGGGCCTATACCCCTTCCTCAAGTGGTGTTTCCTCCTTGGAGCTGTTGTGGGTCTTGTCTTCTTTGTTGTCCAGTACACCATTCCTCACTACATTGGAAAACGGTTCCCAGAGCGAAAACAAGCCATGATCCGACTTTCAGAGCGTCTTGGAAAGTACAACCCCGTGGTCATCAACATGGGTCTCATTGGATTTGCTCCTGGAAACCTCTCATATTCCATTGGAGGCGTCTACCTTGCAGCCGCTTGGACTTTGTACATCAAGAAGCCGGTTCCCTGAATGGTGGGCCAAGTATACCTACGTTGGGGTTGCTGGAATTAACGTGGGAATTGCTCTTTCCGGTATCATTGTGTTCTTTGCTCTCCAATACTCAGGAGTGTCGCTTGACTGGTGGGGCAACAATGTTCCGTGGGAAGGAGCAGACGGAAACCTGACGCCTTTGTTGGAAATTCCGGATGGTCAAATTATTGGTCCTCCTAAGGGCAGTTTCCCTTAAGCAGGAGCTTGTCACGTTCATTTTGAGATTCAATGAGAGTAATTTAGTAATAAATGTCAATTGGACAGAGATATGGTGAATGTATAGACATGGGGAGTTGAAAAAGGTGGGTATTTCGTAATGAATCAATGTGAAAAAGTCGGTTTGTGACCTTGTCCGTCGCGTGGCTGAGAGAAGATCTTCAGTCGATGGCAGATTGAGGGAGAGAGTAAGAACAGCATGAGAGTATGTACGGTACTATCTTCAATATATCATACATAGGCACCTCAAGTCAAATGAACTGGAACTACTTTCAAAAAGACAAACGAAAGGATTTAAATTTCTTTTGATAGCTGAGATTTTTTTTCTGCATATACATGAGAAGCTCAATGATATCATACCAAATGTAAAGTAATTAGTTAAGATTAATCCAGGCTATCGTTGAGAAACCAAACATTCGTCTAGTCTCGCTCACAGCAATGCTAGTGTTGTTCGGCCCGACAATGAACACCAAGAGACGGATCTGATTCCCCCAGACCAACTTCTGGCCACATGGGACTAATTTTCCTCACCCCGCACCACTATCCCCGCGTCCTAGCACCGAAAAGCTAAGTAAGTGTAAAAAGCTCAAAAGTGGCAGACCGATATCTGAAACGCCTTGAAAAGTTCAGTGGAGTTTCCGAATCAGGACAAACAGGTGCAACCAGAAAAATTAGCCAGCAGGTAATAACACTCATTAGTCCCTGTTTTGCTTACTAATATTCAACTACCTCTAAACCAATTGAATCCCCGCAATTGGTCTGTTACTAATACATTTCCCCCGTCATCTCATCACTTGTTTAGAGATTCCCAGTCTTCACACTACTTATGGGTACATGATGATATGCGTGTATCTCGTCATTACAAAGACGGAGTAGGAAAAAAATGAACACCAGCATTCCAACCTCCTCGACGCCTCGCCAAAGTCACATGACCAACGTTACGCTCGTCAGTGTTACCCTCTTGAGGCCAGCTCACACGACACCTATTCTCAGGTACAGTTGCAAGTGTAATTATTTGGGAGGTGGAGGCCAAAGGTTGGAGGTAGGGGTGTAGCATAATGTGAGAGCAGTGTACCCAGTATCATAGTACATGTTTGGCATTGCCATGGGCCGAGGAATTGGGCGCGTTGATTTAGTTTTGTGTAATGAAACACAAACACGGGCGAATAATATAAATACTTTGACCCCCCCGCGCTTCCCACCATATTTATATTCTTTATATTCCTCGTTCGTTCGTCTCTGTCCTTCTCCATCTTGTACACGTCAAGAAGTTGCCATGTCTACACCTTATTCACTCCGTGTAAGGTTTGGCCGAGTTTATCTCGACAAGGTACCACACAGCACACATCCGAGGTTCGACACTGGAGGTGCGACGGTAGACCTGAGTTGCCACGACAAGGAGAGTTCGACGCGACCACCGACAAACAACTGCGACATTACATCTCTGTCGTGATCAGGACTACACAACACACCACCCTCTTCACGCAACACCAACCTGCCATACGCCAGACAGCTCATCACACACCACACACACACACACACGTACACACGCACACACGTTAGATCATCATGCAATACCAACGAAACTCGTCGCTAAGGCGGTTCGTGGAGTCCGACCAGTTCACGCTCTTCCGGTGCTTGTCCTATCTCGAGCGATACGCGGGCGACATTGGTATTCACTTCTATCTGTGTCAGAAGCTGCTGTCGTTTCCGCGAGACGAAATCGAGTTCATCCTGCCCCAGCTGGTCCAGCTTCTCATCACGGTGGAAACCGAGTCCATGGCCCTCGAAGACATCATTCTGGATCTCTCCAACGTGTCTGCGCACTGTGCCTTGCTGACGTTCTGGCAACTGCAGGCACATCTGACCGATCTGGGAGATGATCCCGAATCTTTCGGCTTCCAGGTGTCGCGACGAGTCTACAACAAGCTGCAGTACATTCTGTTCAACATTGGCGAGCCGCCCAACTCGCGAATCAGAGAGAACCCCATGCCTGCCATGGTTCTGGCCTCGGCAATCATGGGAGCCATTGGCATGCCGCAGATGGCCGCAGCTGTGGGACCCATTGCGCTTTCACAGGGCCGAAAACAGAGGTCGTACGTGTTCCAGATTGCACCCAAACTGACCCGTTCTAGATCGACCGTGGAGGCTGACAGAGACGCCCTTCTACAGCGAAAATGGCGGACCATCAGCCAATCTGGTGTCGCACTGCCGTCCAAACGGGAGAAGCACCAGCATGAGCATTTCAGAGACGCCCCCAAAGCAACGCCCTACAAAAACTCGTCCTTTTCGGCTCCCGATCTCCAAAACGCATACCATTCGGCCCCCGATCTACGCCCTTCAAACGAGTGGGACGGCACTCGAACGCCGGTGAGTCTGGAGTTTGACGATGCACCCGGCTTCGAATCCGAGGAGCCACGTGACACCTCTCCGGACGACATCGAGGAGCGAGCCAAGGACGACCAACGAAAGATTCTGCGATCAAACTACTTCCGATGTGAGACACAGTTCATGTCAGCCCTGCAACAAATCTCCGCTCGACTTCTTCAGGTGCCTAAGCAAGCCCGTCATGCTGCTCTGAAGGCCGAGCTCACTCTTCTGAACCAGGAGCTTCCTGCTGAGGTCGACATTCCCCTTTTGGTTCCCTCGGACACAATGAGAAAGAACCCCACACACCACAGAATCGTGCGAGTGCCTCCCGCCGAGTCAGCTGTACTGAATTCGGCTGAGCGAGTGCCTTTCCTCATTCTGATTGAGTACCTGGAAGACGACATGACGTTCGACCCCGAGTGTGCAAAGAACAAGGAGGTTCTGGAGCATGCAGACAAGAAGAAGTACATTTTCGATCTCACTGTGAACCACAAAAAATCGTCTCATGCTCGAACCCCTTCTCTTGGACGATACCACGACGAGGATGCTGCCAGTATCAAGAGCAACCGATCGGCCACGTCGATCGCCAACTCTCTGGTTGGTTCAACCATTGCTGAATTGGAGGAGCTTGGCATTGCTGAAGACGACGAGCTGCCAGCTGAAGATGCTGACATTGGAGACATTTCTGTTATCTCCATGGACGAGGAGACTCAGGCCGAGCGCGTGAAACAATCCGTGCTCAACACCCTGTCCCATCTCCAAGAGAGCATGCCCTCTCCCAAACTGCATGATGTGGCCAACAGTCCGTATCAATCTTCTCCTCGAACATCAGATTTGTCGTTTGCGTCTTCGTACAAGTTCGAGAAGGCGCCTGAGGACCCCGTCAATCACTTGGAGCTGCCCGACGTGGCGTCTGTGGCCACCCAGATGCGTACAGCTGCCATCATGCTGACACAGCTGGACTCCTCCACAGGATCTAAGCTTTCCAAGGACGAAATCGCATCGATCAAGGCCCGAATCATCGATAACATGCAGGTTATGGAAGAGACGACTCTGGACGACCGTGACTTGTCGCTCTCCAAGGGCGCTGCGGGTGAGCGAAAGTTGGAAAACGATCTGAAAACTGGTGGTATGATGAAGTCGTCGGACCCCTCGCATGCCAAGCTCGGAGAAGACTGGGAATCGAAAAAGGCACGAATCAGGTCAAAGTCGCCGTATGGGCACTTGCCCAACTGGCAGCTGGCTTCGGTCATTGCCAAGACCGGAAACGATCTTCGGCAAGAGGCATTTGCCTGCCAGCTAATCCAAGCTATGAAACGAATCTGGGACGACGCTGAGACAGGCGTGTGGGTCAAGGAGATGAAGATTCTGATCACGTCTGACACCTCTGGACTCATTGAGACCATCAACAATGGTCTGTCGATCCATTCTATCAAAAAGGCGCTCGAGACAAGCAATGTTGTCCAGACTACAGCTGCCACTCAGACCACAACCAAGTACGTGCCTACTCTGACTGAGTACTGGAAGCAGACGTTTGGCGACGAGGACTCCGACCGGTACCAGAACTCTTTGAACGCCTTTGTTCGTTCGCTTGCCGCTTACTCCATCATCTGTTACATTCTCCAGATCAAGGACAGACACAATGGTAACATTTTGCTTGATACGGACGGTCATATTATGCATATCGATTTCGGATTCATGTTGTCCAACAGTCCTGGAGGAGTCGGTCTTGAAGCTGCCCCATTCAAGCTCACCTACGAGTACGTGGAGCTCATGGGGGGTATGACCTCGCCCCATTTTGAGCTGTACCGACAGCTGATGAAGGACGCGTTCAAGAACCTGCGAAAGCAGGCCGAGTCGATCATCTTGCTGGTCGACATGATGTTACAGGATTCTGCTCTGCCCTGTTTCCAACTGGGCCCGGCCACCACACAGTACCTGCGACAGCGATTCCAGCTACAATTGTCGGATTCGGACTTGGACCATTTCGTGGACACGTCCCTGATCCAAAAGTCGGTCGGCAACATTTACACCAGAATCTACGACCACTTCCAGTTGTACACTCAGGGTATTTACAGTTAAGCCGACGGGATGTCGCACATGGTTATAGATCTAATGGAAGAATATATGAACATATCAACACTGTGTGTACAAGAAGATTGTAGTTTGAAGAGTAAGAGAGTCGCAATCGTTTCCTTTTGAGGTCTTCTACTAGTAAGTATGTAGTTGTCGCCTAACGTAGATGGGCGTAGTGTATATGGATGCTGCCGTTGAGTGTTGTAGGGTCACTTTTCTCACGTTTGAGAAGTAAGATTAGGGAGGAAACTGCAGCCACTTATCCCTCAAAGGTTGAATAACCATTCGGTGTACGGTACCTCTTTCATGTCAAGGAATCATTGTGGGCATCGCACGAGCACACCACTGTCTCGATTAGCAATGGATTATGAAAGAAATGTTTTCTTGAGATGTAAGTTGAAAGCACAGGATTAAGAGTATATACTGTTGTCTCTTGTTTCACTTGTTATCTTCAGGTTTCAGGCCGTTTTCAAAAAACTCGAAAATCACTTTTTTCATCATTACTAGCCAGAACTCACTCTCTACTCTATCTATCTTCGAGCGGCATGGCGCAGCGGAAGCGCGCAGGGCTCATAACCTTGATGTCCCTGGATCGAAACCAGGTGCCGCTAATTGTTTTTTTCCTTTCCACAACCCGTTTTTGCTGAGAGCCCGGAGATATCTTTGGTGGGATCTGTTGTACCTATAGTATGAGTCAGAGCGAATTTTGTCTAGTAAATTCTAAGTAAATGATTGTCTATTTAGAGTTCTTTTGTGAGTTTTTTCAATAAGGCTTATTGAAAATAAAGTTCAACGTACCTCATCGATTCCGATTTCCAGTATCCAGTACAGTAGCTGCTAGAAGAAGCGGTTCTGAATGATAAGAGGAGCGAGAATTCATCAGGTGAGATGTAGTTCCATTTCAAATTTGAATCACGTGAGTTCTCAACTGAGGGAGGGAGTTCAACGGGCCTCAAATTCAGTATGTACTGCTCTTAGACATTTCCGAGCCGCACGATGAAAATAAGAGCCGAGGTTTGATCCTAAAACCCTTGCAAGTACGTCTACAGTAACAGTTTTCACGAGTGGAATCGGCCCTACAGGAATTGACTACTGGTATGTATACAGTACAGTAGTGTATATGTCTTGTCAAAATCACGTTGTTATAGAGTAGCAATGGGATACCAAGTCAAGGGCTGGAGTTAGTAAAGGTCGCAAAACCAATGGATGTCATCGCAGGAAAATCAGCATAAACTTTTTTTCTCATTTCAAATAATATCGACGAGCTGGGTTTATAAATAGAGCCTTCTGGCTCGTTATCATCACTCCATTTGTTGTCTCGTTTGCGGTGCTGTTGTACTCACGTTTTGGCCTGTGTTGTGTGGAGGAAAGAAAGCTTTTCGGCTCGGTTTTATGTGCGTGAAAGGTTACCCGGAAGTCACCATGGATCTGGCGTAACCCTAATTACCCTGGAGTAGGTAGGGGGAGGAGAGAGAAGATGGATGTTAGTGGGTGTTGGAGAAACTGAATAAGACAAAATAGACGTCCAATTACACTTATAATGGCGCCAGACGACTTTTGAGCTTTTCGCCTATTGATTTTGACCCATAATGAGGTAGCAATGAGCCTCCATCAAACCGTGACGACTTATTAGTGGGATGCTCCCAACAAAACGGCTTCTTCCTCTTAACCGCCAGTTCGAGCATCCCTATGAAATAGAAAGATATCCCCGCTGATACACGAAATCAACTCAGATGACAGAGAATACCCCGCCAATGATACCAACCGAATTTCTACCCTTCCTCGAGGATCCTAGACCTCTGTTGACTGTCGTGGTCCGGAAACGCCGAGTGTGGGTAGCACAGAAAGAACAGGGCAGCGAATGGCTCGTGCATGTGATGACATCACTAATGATACCCGTTCTCTCTTTTTCAGCTATCGTTTCGGTGCTTTACACCTTCTGGAGCCGGTCATCGCTTTCCACCAAAAGGAAGATCCATTATGAGGTGCACAAGACGAGTGTCTTGCTGACCAAGGTGATGAAGAGACCGGAAATTTACAACAATAGAAAGGCCACAGTGAATGCTGTTGTCTTTTGGGCGTCCATGACCTTTTTACTGGGCGTCTATTGCGTTGGTATTGCCCTTGGGTACGACACGAAAGTTAGCAGGAGAGCGAGGAGGGGTCATCGGGTGAACCGGAGGTGATAGCTATAGCATATATACAAAGAGATAGAGTGACTTTCCAATTATCAGACCAAGAGTATAAGTGTACTCATTAGCGGTACATTTCTGCTGCATCGTAGTTCGTATTGTCACCTTCTAGACGCGCGCGACAGACGCGACAGGAAGCGAATACGAAGTCTCGGTAGCATGTCTCTCGATACGAGGCTTATCGGGTCTGTTGCTAGTTCGATACGAGAATATTGAACTCTGGGGGGTTTGAAATTCACTCATAGCAACATTGGTGGTTTCCGGGAGCTCCCTACCAGTAGTTAACTCAACACGGTGGATCTACGAATACGCTGTCTCAGATGCAACGTTCGAGCGTGTGACGAAGGCCTGTTGAACAGCAACGTCAATTGAGGGTGTGGGGGAGGGGCAAGGGGTGTGATTGTTGGTATGGTGCTTAATCCGACCCTGACAAATACACCTGTCAAGTTCGTTTCTTCCTATCTTGTCTCCTTGTACTTGCACCATCTCTTGCTGTGTCTCAGACCCTTACAACCGAAGCTTTGAAAGTCGCGCATTGTTGGACAGCGAAGGCCTCTGAAACATGGACTGTCGTAGCACTCATCCAAGTTGCTACTTTTATTCTCCGATGGCGTGTTGATACTGCACGGTATGCACATTCTCATACCGTAGCCTCCGCACAAGATTGCTATTATCTGGTTTTAGCGGCAAGGTAAAAAGCGACGAGCGTCGAAACGCGCTCAATTGCAGGCGACAGAAAGGTTTGAGCTCTGGTTCCCAAAGTTTTGTCCACAAAGAGTTCGAATTTGGCCCAGAAAAGTTCTTTATCACAACCTTGTCGGCTTTGGTTGGGTGATGATGATTGGAGAGAGAGTGGAGACGGCCAAAAAAAAAAGAAGAAAAAAAAAGAGAACAGTGTGGTACCTTGAGTACTGTAGAGAATAAACCTCCGTGGACCAACATAGGATCAATGTCAACCACTGCGTTCCGTCTATAGTTCAAGCAACTACTCTTGTATCGGCTATAGCACGGAAATATGTACACTACACTATGTACTCCACGTTGCTAAAGGTTGCGTGATAGTTAAATGAGAAATTGTATTTTACTCACAAGCCTGTTGATGGGGTAGCTGCCTTCCGGTAATTTGTTGCGGAATCAATTGCAATCTGGACTAGCGATGTGATGCAACCTCTGGCCAGGGCGTTACGCGGTCCACCTTCTCTGTTCAAGAGCAATACGACTTGTGAGGTCTGCGGTCTGTTTGTTTCGTGGACTCGGCTACAGTAAGTTTTAGACACAGTTTTTTTGTAGTTGCTGACGGTGCAGATGAGATGCGGTCCAGGGTGAGATTTTCCGGAGGATACGGTGGGCCGATGTATTCCGTGATCCCATAATGATAACACAATTCTGAAAGTCGGAATATGTGCGCGTCGCCACGGGGAAAATTTTTGTTCACTTTTCATCCTTGTAGCCCCATTGTTCGTCCAGAATAAGGCAGACCCGTTGGCAAGCCCCATCGTCAACAAGGTTATCAGACGTCCTCATAGAATGCGTAATATGCGCAACAGTTGGGCTGAGTGGTTGACGTGGGTCTCGTTGTTGAGAAGGTGGCGACGATACGTAGAGGAGTGCGATTTTGAAGGTGAAAAAGGGAATAAGACCATCCACGTGACCTCGTAAGTCAGATCCAAAAATCTCGTTGGTTTCGCCCATTTTACCCCGTTATTTTGTCCCCCTCACTTGGGTCCTACTCTCGTCGACAACGTCGCTTTAGACTTTTGGCAACAAGCTTGATTGCTCCCGTCTGTCGTTTGTGTCGGGGCTCGTCGCCTCTTATAAGCTTGCTCAACTCCACTCCACTCAACTCTCCATATCCCAATGGTAGTGCACAACGGCAAAGAAGTCTTGTCCGTCGAGGAGAAGCGACTCGCCCAGGACCGCGAGCGAAAAGTTGTGAGTATCAGCGATGGAGTCGGTGTCTGTGAAGGTGATTTGGACTCTGCGGTGGTGATGAGATGGTAGTGTGACACTACAGAATGATCACGAGATGGCCAATGTGACGACAAGGTGCAATTGTAAACTAGGTGGGATGATCTGGTTAAGGTGACGCTGGTTGTCACTTGATCTGTGTCACTGATTCCGTCGTTGGCGAGATTCTGTCGACACCTCTCCTCTCATCGAACTACCACTATGATCCAGTACCATGCAATATGGCCGTCACAGATCCACTTCGGCAATTGGATCCTTCCCTCGTTTCTGCTGTCGACAGGCTGTCGTTCACTGGACGGCGTCTCCATGACACCACGGGATTCTTTTCATGTGGTGACACCGAGCACGATCAGTGCCGGAATAGCGTGCTATTGACAGCACAGACATCATGCCACTACGAGCATCAAGACACGATCCAAACTAACGTAGTACTGGAAACGATGGGGAACCTACGTTTCTGAGCGACAGTGGGCCACTGTCCGAGAGGATTACTCTGCCAACGGAGATGCCTGGTCCTACTTCCCCCATAACGAGGCTCGATCTCGAACCTACCGATGGGGTGAGGACGGTCTGGCCGGTGTGTCCGACAACCATCAGCTCTTCTGTCTGTCCTTTGCCTTCTGGAACGAGAAGGACGACTTCCTCAAGGAGCGTCTCTTTGGCCTGACCAACAACCAGGGTAACCATGGAGAGGACGTCAAGGAGCTCTACTACTACGTGGACAACACTCCTACCCACTCGTACACCAAGTACCTGTACAAGTACCCCCAGCGAAAGTTCCCCTACCAGAAGCTGATTGACGAGAACGCCAAACGTGACCGTCTGCAGCCCGAGTATGAGATCCAGGATACTGGCGTGTTTGACGATGACCGGTACTTTGACATCTTCATCGAGATGGCCAAGGACGCTGAGAACCCCGAGGAGATGAACTTCCGAATCACCGCCTGGAACCGAGGCCCCGAGCCTGCTCCCCTCCATATCGTTCCCCAGGCCTGGTACCGAAACACCTGGGCCTGGGGTCTGGTCTCCGAGAAGGACAAGCCTATCCCCTCTCTGACCAAGGTGGGCGAGGATCTGATCGAGACCCAGCACCATACTCAGGGTAAGCGTCACCTCCGATTTGCCAACTCGCCTGGTTTTGAGAACCACGAGTCTGAGGACGATGTGGCTCCCAAGCTTCTCTTCACCGACAACGAGACCAACAAGGCCAAGCTGTACGGCTGCAAGGCCCCAGAGGCTCCCAAGTACTGCAAGGACGGTTTCCACGAGTACATTGTGGACGATAACAAAGACGCCGTGAACCCCAAGGAGACTGGAACCAAGGCCGGTGCCTGGTACGCCTTTGATCAGGGCGACGGTATTCCCCCTGGAGACTTTGTCACCGTTCGATTCAAGTTCACCAACAACGACGACATTGCCCAGGAGATCTTCGATGAGGAGGCTTTCGACGAGGTCTTTGATAAGCGAGGCGAAGAGGCTGATGACTTCTACTTCAACGTCAACCCCATGCCCATTGCCGACGATCTCCGAAACATCCAGCGACAGGCTCTTGCCGGTATGCTGTGGACCAAGCAGTTCTACCACTTTGTCTACAGCCAGTGGGCTGAGGGTGATCCTGCCAACCCCCCTCCCCCTCCCGAGCGAGCCAATGTGCGAAACCAGGGTTGGTCTCATCTGTACATTGATGACATCTTGTCCATGCCCGATGTGTGGGAGTACCCCTTCTTCGCTGCCTGGGATACTGCTTTCCATTGCATTCCTCTGGCCATGATCGATCCCGAGTTTGCCAAGAAGCAGCTGGACCTGCTGACCCGAGAGTGGTACATGCACCCCAACGGTCAGGTTCCCGCCTACGAGTGGAACTTCAGCGATGTCAACCCTCCCGTTCATGCCTGGTCCGCTCTTCGAACCTTCAAGATCGAGCGAAAGATGTACGGCCGAGAGGATATTGACTTCCTGGAGCGAGTCTTCCAGAAGCTGCTGCTCAACTTCACCTGGTGGGTCAACCGAAAGGACTTTGACGGCAAGAACGTCTTCCAGGGCGGTTTCCTCGGTTTGGACAACATTGGTCTGTTCAACCGATCTGAGCCTCTGCCTACTGGAGGTACTCTCGAGCAAGCCGATGCCACTGGATGGATGGGTTTCTTCTGTCTCCAGATGCTCAGCATTGCCCTGGAGCTGGCCAAGCACCGATTCGTCTACGAGGACATCGCCTCCAAGTTCTTCGAGCACTTCCTGCTCATTGCTGACGCTATGACCTTCAAGAGCGGCGACGGTACTGAGCACGGTCTTTGGAACGAGAACGACGGCTTCTACTACGATGCTATTTCTTACGGCGGTCCCTACTCTCAGCAGATCCCCGTTCGATCTCTGGTTGGTCTGATTCCTCTGTTTGCCACCATCACTCTCGAGCCCGAGGTACTCAACCGATTCGGCTCTTTCACCAAGCGACTCTCGTGGTTTGTGGAAAACCGAGGTGAGATTTCCAGCCGAAACATTGCCTCCATGTCCAAGCGAGGCCAGGGCGAGCGTCTCCTGCTGTCACTGGTCAACAAGGAGCGACTGGTCAAGATTCTGGAGAAGATGCTTGACGAGAACGAGTTCCTGTCCGAGTACGGAATCCGATCTCTGTCCAAGTACCATAAGGACCACCCTTACTCCATGGACGTGCATGGTCAGACCTACACTGTTGACTATGTTCCCGGAGACTCCAACTCTCCCATGTTTGGCGGTAACTCCAATTGGCGAGGACCCATCTGGTTCCCCACCACCTTTTTGCTCATTGAGTCTCTTCAGCGATACTATCTGTACTACGGAGATACTCTCAAGGTGGAGTGCCCCACTGGTTCTGGTAACTACATGAACCTGGCCAAGGTGGCCGAGGAGATCCAGCATCGTCTGATCCACATTTTTGCCGCTGACGAGAACGGAAAGCGAGCTTTCAACGGCGACAATGACAAGTTCAACAACGACCCCAACTTCAAGGACTACATTCTGTTCCACGAGTTCTTTGAGGCTGACACTGGACGAGGTCTAGGTACCCAGCACCAGAATGGATGGACTTCTCTGGTTGCCAAGCTCATCTACGATGTCGGTGTGTCTTGCCGAATGCCCCGAACCCCCAAGACCCCTGGCGGAGCTGCTCAGCACTTTTTGGATGACGATGACTACTTTTCCCGAGGAAAGAAGAAGCCCGCCAAGCTCAAGCGACGACGATCTGTCAAGTCTATCCGGTCTGACAAGAGCGACACTGAGTCTGTGCACTCTGTCGACGGAGAGCCTCAGGAGTCCAACGAGCCCACTGGTAAGAAGGATGATGACTTCAACGAGGAGGAGCATGAGAAGAACCAGCATTTGGCTGAGCATATCCGAAAGGCGCTGCACAAGTTCCAGATTGGCGATGGCGAGCAGGATGACATCTAACCTTGCTAGGGTGTAGTTGTGCACAAGAACTTATTATCTAGAGAATGAACATGTATGAATTACTCGTGTAGTATGCAGTTTCAGTAGTCATGTACAACGGAATGTGAGTGACCAGGATTGACGCGACTATGGCGTGCACAGTTATTACTGTAAATCGGAACTTGATTTGAGGATAATGTATGGGCAACTTCACCAACTCACTGCCTCGTTGATCAAAAGGGGTTTACTTGGTTGCATTTTTAGGAGATACTGTATATATACATACTGTATAAATATATATATTGAGAGAGGGAGAGAGCTGCTCAATGTCCTCCTTGCACTGCTACAACCTCAACTAAAACCTCAACTGCCACTTTCCACACACATTTAATGCTCACTAACAGTCCCGATATCGACGACAAGAGTTTTTCTCAGCTGAATCATTTGATTTGTGCAATGAGAAAGCGCGAAACTCAGCTTTCCCGAGTGACCTCGCAGTTTTTCGACTATGTCAACCAGCATCTGGAGAAGATGCTCCATGACATTAACCCTTCTATTTCCATACAAGAGTGTTTCGGGGCGGTTCAGGCTTTGAAACGGAATTCCGTACTGGTGCTTGTTCTGTGGAAAGACGGCCGAACCCATTTGGTTCAACTGCTGGCAGAATGTATTTCTACGCTCGCGAAAAAGATGCAGCGACTGGCTCAACTCTCCAATGGTTCCGGAAAGGTAGTTGAAACGCCAAATCTGTCGTCACAAGAGCCGAAAAGACATTGAATCGGTTCACTGAACATTTCGACAATATGAAGATAGCGACACTATCGACACAGTTGCGCAAGGTCGTTGTACGCCAGAACTCGGGGTTGAAAAAGTGGTCTCGACAGGAACACCTCAGCCGTCGCAGCAATACCCTTGTGTGTGATTTTGACCCAAAAGAGATTTCGACCAAAGGAGTCTCTCTATACGCCTCCAGAGCTCATGGTACTGTTTTCCACCAGTGCAGATATCGTCACGTGTTTAATGAATAGTCGCATCAACTATTACTGGCTCTGTTGCTTCCTGGACCCGTATACATGGAAAAACACTGGGGAGGCGAAGATGCAAGCTTCGAATCCAACTTTTCGGTCCGGAGATGGGATACCCAGACTTGGGCGGACTGTCTCTTGTGTATGTCGGCAGACGTGAACTCTGGCAATATCTTGATCATATGAGTCGCGACACTACAAACAAGGCGCCTGCTGAGGAAGACTCCTACAATCTGCTACACGTCTTTCAGCTGCAACCCAGAAATTTTGTACCTCTCAAGGGCTAATGGAAGTACTTTGGCCACTATCAAGAAGATCGTCGTCGGTCTATCGGGACGAACTGAATCTCTTCTGAGCCTCTCAAAGTCATGTATCTGGATAGCTGTGCTGCATTCTGGATATGTGGGCGTTGAATTCAGGCTTGTTCCCAGCATTCATCTGGATGAGATGCTTGGTTGTGCCGAAGGTCATAATTATTCGCTACTTTCTGTCAAGCCAACTGATGGCACAATCCAAGTTCGGTTGAATAACGGACAAGTTGTCTTATTTGCACCCGACGACCCCCATTCCCAAAAATTCTTGGGGGCAGTTGGAAAAGAATACTTTGAAGTCCGAGAAGTTCTTTTTGCGAGGTCTAGACACGGCACAGACTGGAATTAATCCATTTTCGAAATGGGAATCAGGATACTGTCTAATCCCCAAAGTTTTACAAAGCAAACGGGCATACAATTGGCTGAGTTTTCGAGGGAATGGGTGTCCGTCGCCGTAAACCAAAGCTATCGGATTGGGATTGGTCATTTTCGGCTGCAGCAGATTCTATGGCAGCAGTACGTTAAATATCGTGAAGAACATCAATACAGAACCCCTTATCCTTCAGATTCTTTCTATGGCTCTCCCTCTTCCTCTCTCTCTCTTCGTAACGGTGCATGTGCTCATCCTGGATGCCTGCGTTATAAGATACAATAATATATCGTAACAGGTACTTTTCTTGTACTGATCCAGGTATATTGTCACATTTATACTAATGAACTCGGCATTGGCCCTCAAGTGGTTCAAATCCGAACTCGACAGCTTTTGGAAAGGCTGAGGTCAAGTTGTACTCAGTCTCCAAGCGGTACCGAACGATACTGAGATGGAAAAGATGACATTGGATATCCCTGGAAAGGCAACTGACTTCATAGCCAGCGTCCAAGATGAACAATTCATTTTCAACTTCATTTTTGTATCCCCTTTTTAGGGAGAACCTCCATCTCAATTAACGAGAGCCTTCCTCGCACACTCCACTGATGCGATCGTCTTCTTCCTGAAATAAATACATATATACATTTGGACAAGACGAACATTTCCAAACTCGCCCATAACACCTTCCCAACAACTACTCAAGGGTACTCGCGATAAAAAGAAAACCATCTCGACGTCTACAATCGCACAGTATAACAACGGACACCGTCTACGAACGACATTCCTACTCCAACGCTCTTCATCAAACATTAAAAGTAGTTATGGCTAAACAGTGTATTATTTATTAAGATAAAAAAAAAGATGAGACCAGTCTCGTCCATTAATTTGGGTCAATGAGGATTATGGAATGTCAGTTAGATAGTTCCCGGAGCTCGGAGGAAAGGCTGCGGCGTTAATGAATTAGCCATACCCTGCTAACCTGGTTTTTTTGATATATCTATTCACATTATTGTCATGTATTGGAAGTTGATCGAAGGCCTTTGTTGCATCTTGACCTCCCAACTAATTTTATAAGCAAAAATACATATTCTGAAGCAAAACTTTAACAAACAAAGTCATAATTACTTAATTAATTTATTCAACAAACTCAACAAAGTCTGGGAACTACACAACCACATTGTTGGAAATGTTATAGTTTCCTCTCTTGTCAAAAACAATGCAAACTACCGGAGCCTCTGTTACTGTACTGTACTTGTAACTCGCTGTGTATTCCTCCTAACAACTCTGTTGTGCTTCGTGCCCATCTAGCAAGTTTACCTGTGGATTCCCCGTCACAATCTCCTTAGACAGTGTATATCTACAGTACAGACACCGCACTAGCGCTTGTACATACATATACTCTTCCCTTATCACCGAAGTATCTGCTATCAACCAAGGTCTACAAGTAGGCTCGCACGCTCTCGATACACGCGCGCATCTACTAGTACATACTGTAGAGCAGGAGAAGGGAGCAATTAGAACCGTAAATTGCAGGTATTACAAGAATCTATTATCCTAGGCGGCTTGATTGATGTCTATTCTATTACAACTCCATCCCGCTTTGTCTCTCGGCTTTACAGGGGCCCAATTGCTGCTTTCTCCTATGTTACATAATCAAGCCATGCTTACTTAACAGCCAAGTAACTGCTTGAGCCTAGTGTAAGGTGTCTTCCGCTCGTTCGCTCGTTTCTTTTTGGCAATAGTACGGTAAAACAAATAATGACTTATAGCGGATACTTGTGCCTGTCTATAGGACGACACCGCTAATCCGCTCAGCTATCATAACTATCAGCTATACGCTACCCCTGGTGAGACTCCCTGTATAGTTAGCTAGTGGGTATACGCAGATCATAGATATTTCTGCACGTACCGATTTATCATCTGACACACTGCCATCTTTGTATGCCATTGTGTCCGTCATTGTATCGCTATTAATCGCCCCGACAATGTTCTCTAGACGTTGATATGCGTAGAACAAACAATATGCGCTTCTATTACCGCAAGCAAACAAGCCCCAGAAAAACAAAACATATTGGGCTGCTCTCTGAGACCGGGGCTGTCCTCTGCCGAACTCTACGTCGCCTCAGCTCCCCTACATGAGCTTCAAACACTGCCGCAACGCTGGTAGGTTGGGTTTTCCTCCTCTCAAGTGTCTCAGCCATCCCACATCTGTTTCAGCTGTACCAATACGTATGTAACAAATGCGTCGTAGGAAACTCATCTAGCCAGTCACATGACCCCGGCGACAGGACTGCCAACGTCTCTCGCCCTTCTTTCGCCCTTCTCCGACGCTCTCCTCGCGCTTCTCTCGCACGTCTTCTACAACAGGGGCTCTTCAAACGGACGCTTGCACTCAAAATACGCCAAATGGCCGCGGAGCAAAAAGCATTCAACCCACCGCGTATGTCAAACGCCAACAGGCTCAAGAAAGTCAGCCCATTTTTTTTGAAAGGTCTATACATATCCGTTGAACCTTGAGCTAGGCTAAAGAACAGGTTTTCAAGAAATCGGCGGGGGCTGCAATGATTCTGAAACATGGGTTTTGTTCACGAGACTCGGGAGAATCCAGCGACACCTTTGAAATTTTATTTCGATCGTCGACAAGACCACAAATCCCTCCGTTCTGGCCCCTTCAACCCTAATCTAACATTTATTGTGGATCTCTTGCTAACAAAAAAACAAAGGCTGCCATTGGGTTTATGTTGCGAAAAGCAAAAAGCCAACGGGAGAGAAAAAGCAATGTTTAGTTGGCGGCTTAGTGGAGAAGTGACTGGTGGGTACCAACTGGTGTGTGTGAGGTGACTAGTGTGGGTAAAGCTGGTGAGTAGGAACAGATGGAAGGCCCAGGTCATGTGACGTCTATCTTCAGCCCGTGCACCCTAGTGGTTGTGTGTGATTGCGGTTCCGCTACTCGTGGCTTCTCATGGCTATTGCCAGGGTTGAGTTCTTCAAGCTCAGGAGATGAAAAAGCAACCTATCTCCAACAGGACCGGCGCAATGAGGCAGGCAGTTGGCAGGCAGTTGGCAGGCAGTTCGCACACAGTCGACAGGCATGTGACATGTACGAGTGCAGTACTCGTACTGTACCGTCATCGTACTGTTACTCATCTGATTGACTCGATCGCTCCGGCTGCTGTTGCAAAAATTGGTCATGCTTTCAAAAGAGGCTGAGGTACAGTAGCGGCTGCTTAACCGCCTATAATGCATCGTTCGTGTCCACGGCCTCATTGCTTCATTAGTACATTCTGGAGACTCTGATCTAATGATACTGCCCATGACGAACTAGATCAAAACGGTATTTCTTTTTTGGATCTGGAGAACGGGTGCATCTAGAAAGGTGTTGGTTGCAAAGATACCCACATACAAGAGCAGCCATAGTGACAACAAAACAAGGCTCTCTGAGGACTAGACCTCATAATCCGTCTGTCTCCGCAACTGTTTCTAGTACGCCTCCTTCCCCCATCACTAACAACCGTCCAGCAAGCGTTAAGCTCCCATACTACTGTTTAGAGAATACCTTAGTGGATGCTGTGGTCACATCTAGACGCTGAAAGTTGATACTAGAGCGCATCTCCCTGTGAGAAAAGAAATGTGTCTCTTGTCTTTAATACCAGAGCTCCTGTGACAGAGAAAGACGCTAGAGTGCAGATGTGGGGGGACAGTACAGACATTGGAGTCCAATAGGGCGAGGTAAGGCTATTAGGACGCTGAAAAGTTCGTCAAAAGGCACTTGTTGTGAAAATTGAAGGTACCTACTGTCAATACCCTCCATGTCGTCCACCTTTGTTCTTATTCCGCAAATCTGTGGAGCTACCACAAGTGAGTATTGTGGAACTTGATATGTGGACTAAACGCGGTGAGATGGAGGTATAGAGAACTAAATTAGCAATGAACCTCTTCAGATTCCCTCTTGGTTCAGCTATTGTGTTTGATGTGTCTGTTTGCGATCTAATGAGTGAATAGGAGAGGCATATGGGAATGCTTCTACCAGGGTCTATTGTGTTATATGTAGCACAGTTACGACATCTTTAC